CCAACCAAGGTGCGTTCCGCGTGCCTATCCCGCGACGCAGCGGAGCCACCGAGAACCCTGAGCGTAAGCGCTCGATCGTCTCGGGAGTCATGCACAAGATGAGAGGCGCTTTCTTCTTCCTTCTCCAAACCGAGGATGGTGATCTGTTCAAGTTGAACCTGGAAATGGTCGAAGACAAGCAGGGCAAACCTACCGGAGAAGTGAAGAGACTGACGATCAAATACTTTGATACAATTCCTGTGTCAACGAACCTTCTGATTCTAAAGAGCGGTTTCCTCTATGCCGCCAGTGAATCTGGAAACCACAACTTTTACCAGTTCGAAAAGCTTGGCGACGACCCTGATGAACTCTTCTTTACTAGTGATTCATTCTCAGCTGATCACTCCGTTCCCTCGGCGCCTATCTACTTCCACCCAAGAGGCGCTGAAAATGTCAACCTCATGGAAAGCATGAATTCTTTGAGTCCTCTGATTGACAGTAAAATTCTCAATTTGAGCCAGGATGATGCCCCCCAGATATACACAATCTGTGGTTCTGGGGCCCGAAGCACATTCCGGACTCTGAAGCACGGACTTGAGGTTTCTGAGATCGTGGAATCAGACCTTCAACAGGTGCCTTCGGCTGTATGGACAACTAAGTTGTTGCGCGCCGATGAGTTCCACACATACATCATTCTCTCTTTTGCGAATGGTACCCTCGTCCTGAGCATCGGCGAAATTGTCGAAGAAGTTTCAGACACCGGATTCCTTTCTTCGGCTCCAACTCTGGCAGTGCAACAACTTGGTGAGGATTCGTTAGTCCAAGTTCACCCCCGGGGTATTCGCCACATCCTCGCAGATCAGCGAGTGAATGAATGGCCTGCTCCACAGCATCGGTCTATCGTTGCAGCAGCCACAAATGAACGCCAAGTTGCCGTGGCACTCAGCTCCGGTGAAATTGTCTACTTTGAGATGGATGCAGACGGAACATTGGCCGAATATGATGAGCGACGACAGATGTCTGGTACCGTAACATCTCTGAGTATGGGAGAGGTTCCCGAGGGCCGCATGCGAAGCTCGTTCCTGGCTGTTGGATGTGATGACTCTACTGTCCGCATTCTCAGTCTGGACCCAGACTCAACACTCGAGAACAAATCAGTTCAAGCATTGACATCTGCACCATCTGCCCTGCAAATCATGGCCATGGCCGACTCAAGCTCCGGAGGCACGACCCTTTATCTTCACATCGGTCTCTACTCCGGTGTCTACCTTCGTACTGTTTTGGACGAGGTGACTGGCGAGCTTTCGGATACCAGAACTCGGTTCATCGGTGCCAAGCCTGTGAAACTATCCCAGGTGTCGGTCAAGGGCCAAACAGCCGTTCTGGCGCTCAGCGCCCGTCCCTGGCTGGGATACTCTGATGTCCAAACCAAGAGCTTTATGCTCACACCCTTGGACTACACCGGGCTCGAATGGGGATGGAATTTCTCTAGTGAGCAGTGTGTGGAGGGCATGATCGGTATTCAAGGCCGCAGTCTACGGTACGTGGTTCATTCCATCTCTAAATTTCCCCCAATGCTCCCCCTGATCCTGTGATGAGAAAATCAATCCGAACTTTTATGTGGATGAAACTTTAAAAGAAAAATTCCAATTGTTCCTTCTGAGATCAACCATCTCTCATACTATGTTGAATCTTCAAATCATTCTTGACTGGTACTGACTGAAAATAGGATCTTCACTGTGGAAAAACTCGACAACAACATGCTCCAAGAGTCTATCCCTCTCTCTTACACTCCTCGACGCTTTGTGAAGCACCCAGAGCAACCCCTTTTCTATGTCATTGAATCTGACAACAATGTCCTATCTCCTGCCACCCGCCAAAGACTTATTGAGGATTCCCAAGCTCAGAATGGCGATGCTGCTGAGCTGCCACCCGCAGACTTCGGATATCCCCGAGGCACTGGCCACTGGGCTTCCTGTGTTCAGATTGTGGACCCGATCACCACCAAATCTGTGATATCCACTCTTGACCTTGAGGAAAATGAGGCAGCAGTCAGCGTTGCCGCCGTGTCGTTTGCCAGCCAGGATAATGAGACTTTCCTGGTCGTGGGAACTGCCAAGGATATGGTAGTCAACCCTCCCTCGTCCTCTTGTGGCTTCATCCATATCTATCGATTCCAGGATGATGGCAGAGAGTTGGAGTTCATTCACAAGACCCAGGTTGATGAGCCTCCTCTCGCTCTTCTTGGTTTCCAAGGCCGTCTCCTGGCAGGTATCGGCCCCATTCTTCGTGTGTACGACCTTGGCATGAAACAACTACTACGCAAATGTCAAGCACCCGTGGCCCCCAAGACCATCGTCGGTCTGCAGACACAAGGCAGTCGAATCATTGTCAGCGACGTCCGCGAGAGTGTCACCTATGTTGTCTACAAGTACCAGGACAATGTCTTGATTCCATTCGCTGATGATTCCATCGCGCGCTGGACATCGAGTACAACAATGGTTGATTATGAAACCACTGCTGGTGGTGACAAGTTTGGAAACCTGTGGCTGGTCCGTTGCCCCAGCAAGGTCTCCGAACAGGCCGATGAGGATGGCTCTGGGGCGCACCTCATTCATGAAAAGGGCTATCTCCATGGAACTCCTCATCGTCTGGAGTTGATGATTCACTTCTACGCCCAAGACATCCCCACCAGTATCCACAAGACTCAATTAGTCGCCGGAGGCCGTGACATTGTTGTCTGGACTGGTCTTCAAGGTACAATTGGAATGTTTGTTCCTTTTGCCAGTCGTGAGGATGTCGACTTTTTCCAACTTTTGGAGACACAGCTGGCTTCCCAGCAACCGCCTCTGGCTGGACGAGACCATTTGATGTACCGCGGCTACTATGCCCCTGTGAAGGGCGTCATTGATGGAGATCTTTGTGAAATGTATCTCCTGCTGCCTAATGATACCAAGATGATGATTGCGGCAGAACTCGATCGCTCTGTTCGTGAGATCGAGCGCAAGATTTCTGTGAGTTTCCAGATATTTACCCGTTTGTGTTTGGAATTTCACTAACATCTCTCAGGATATGCGAACCAGGGTGGCGTATTGATTTCGGGTTGGTTGCGGCGTCTACCGGTGTTCCTTTCTGCCCTGTATACGGGCTTCAGATACCTCCGTCTTTGTTAATGGATGATGATTGTGCGGCTTTGCACCGCGACTAATTTTGAAGCTAATTGCCTCGACATGGCACTCCATAGATTTCCCCTTTCTGGCTATTTCTAGCCGCGTAGACTCTTTCATGATGTCTCTTGCCTCGCTCGGTCTGCCGTTTCCCCTCGGCTAATCTTGAGCTGGATGCAGCCGGTCACTTTCAGTGCTGGCTGTATGAGACAAGAAGAAGCGTGAAAACGCGTCGACGATTTTTGAGTACGATTTGATCCGCAATGCACCACGGGTCTACGTCGTAATTTATCAGTTGGGACAACCTTGTAAATCCTTTTGTTATATTCTAGCGACCGAATGAAAAATAAATCCATTCCAAATCTTTCTTTATAAACTGTTGATGGTGTTTCCGTTTGAGGTGTGGTGTACAACAATAGTCGGCCTCTTTGGTTGACGAAGTAGTTCAATAATCCGATCCATTTGGCTCAAGATGATGTCAAGGACGTTATATTTTATAGGAGTCATGATCTACCATATCTTTGAACGTCGTTTGAAATAATTAAGTGCAAACTGTAGAATATGGCGAAAAGCATCATCCATTAGGTCTTCGATGTATAATCAATGGATCACCTGACCATCAGACATCGGTCTCCCGACTTCTACTTTGTACACCGAGATTGAATTGCGCCATACAAGTCCCCTTCTTCTCCGGTTGTTCACTCCGACACCCCGGGAAAGATTAAAAAAACAGCAACTCGGCCTAGCAAAAATCTCGGTTATGGCCGGAAATCTCTGGGGCCGGAACTAGTTCCGGGTTCCATCGTTTATTCTCCGCGGGAAACCTGATGCATACCTCATGGGTGTGTTATTGAAAACCCGAAGGTCCTCAGTGATGGCCAAAGGGTGTTACAAACGTGGAATGAAAGTCAATGGAATACTGCTTTGAAATCGATCCTTGAACAGAGTTCCACACAGCACAATGATTGGCCACTTTACGAGCATTGCAGAAGCTCGGGCTCCCTAGGGGGAATGTAGCTAGGCGTGTGGAGTCCAAAGGGCGTGAAGGCGTACATGTCGTAGTACGGCGCACTCCACTTCTTCCCCCTCCCCCTTGACCCACGCTGCTTGTACAATATACTTGCTTTGAAGTTGACTGGCTTTTGGTTTGAAAGGAAAATGACGATCTGGAAATTCTGGAAAAAAACCCCCCCGGAAAGAAGAAAAGTACTATTCTACAGGCCTTTCAAGCACCTTGGAAATACACCAAATGAATATCAGATCCTTGAATTGAGCTAGTGGACGGGTTCTTTTAGTCCTATGCACTTTGATCAAGCGGAATGTCAATCCAAGGGCGTGAGGACAGAACGGATCCTCGCATCCGACCAATCGCTGTCTGAACTTCGATGACTCCCTGGCTCGGCTTTCCCTATACTGAAATTGTATACGATCAGTCGCTTGTTTTGTTTTGTTTTTTTTTTTAGTTTGGAGGCGCTACACTTGGGTTGTGATTATAATCCAAGGAAGTATAATGTAAACGCGCCTTCTGCATGGGCTGTGAGTCACGCAAAGCTGGTTTATAAGAACCCGAGGGGATGTCCGATGTGAGGCAATATGAAACCTTGCTCACATAGCTGTCAAGGTTCCTCCACACTTGTTTTGTTTGACCCCATTGCGGTTGTCGACGGCTCCACCGTTTACTTTTTTTTTTCCTTTATTTTTCTTCAAGAACAATTTGACTTGATTCCTATTCTTGTTTCATTTTTGGTATTCTATTCTATCTTCTCTTACTTTTGACGTGTCGGCTGCGATATTGTTCCTGCGTTTCTCCGTGGGACAGGCTTTGATATCCCTCTTTGCTTTCCCTGTGAAACAATGTCGACGGCCACTTCAATCATCAGCTCTGGCTCAGACAGACTAGATATTTGGAGCCGACGATCACAACCTAAAATCGAGATATATCTTGCAAATCAAAAGCCAGGGCACGTCAACTCTTACACCACTGGAGAGAGCATTGATGGCACTATAACCATCACTGTTGATCATGAGACTCGTTTTGATGAGATTGAGATCGTGTTCGAAGGTACTTTTATTGAAACCCGGTCTATGAACAACGCTAATTTCAGGAAAGGCATATCTCGAACTACGGTAGAACGGGCCTCATGCCCCGGCCGTACGGGATCACAACAAATGTTTCTCAAGTTGCGCCAACCTATTGACGAGATGGAATATCCGACTCCCCGGGTACTAGAGGCTGGCCGATCATATGAATACGCCTTCACATTCGTCGTCCCAGACCGTCTGCTACCCCAGGTCTGCACTCACACTAAGAATAATGCTCACATTCAACGATCCCACACTATGCTTCCTCCAACATTGGGTGATCCCATCCTCGCCAGCAACGGCAAGACACTACTAGATGATATGGCACCCAATATGTCCCAGATTGCCTACACAGTTCGAGCTTCTGTTCTTCAAAAACGACTCACCGGCAACGAATTCGTGGCTATCGTCGCTATTGCCAAGAAAATCCGTATCATCCCAACCGTCGAAGAAGAGCCTCCTATTGATATTTCTGGGAGTCCATCTCTCTGCACGCGCAAAGAGAAGACTGTCAAGCGTGGAACTCTCCGAGCTAAATTGGGACGGATTGTCGCTTCGTCTTCTCAGCCTAGACCCGTTCAATTGCTTCCTCCCAACGGGGAGCCAACTGATACCGTGAGCACTGTGGCTACCGTAAACCTAAGATTCGATCCAGTCGGCGATGAGCAGCCTCCCCCACTCGGAACAATGACCAGCAAACTCCGTGTCAGCACCTTCTTCAGTTCAGTCCCATACGATGACTTCCCTACCACGACTGGCATGCCCTACGCCCAGATTGGATGTGGGCTCTACGCAGAAAGCGTCCCTCTATTGACCATGTGTGTCGCATCTGCCCAGTGGACAAAGCAATCCTCGGCCGCTGACTCGATGCGCCGCGACTCTACCGACTCCTCATCATCCGATTCGTCAACCGGGCCCTCCTCCGCATTCACTGGAGACACCTACTACACCGCATCAGTCGTCGTCCCAGTCACCCTGCCCAAGTCAAAAGCCTTCGTCCCGACTTTCCACTCCTGTCTGATGTCTCGCGTCTACGCTCTCGATCTTTCCTTGACATACCACACCCCCGCAACCAATATCATGACGCCCACAGTCTCCCTTCGCGTTCCCGTTCAGTTCACGAGCCAGGCAAAGAGCGCTGAATCCCTCAAGGCTACACTCGGTGTCACTGTCACACAGCAAGAGCTAGAGGAGTTCTTCCAACCACGAAATGTCACTTCTCCTACCGAATTTTCTAACCAAAATCTCAATGCGGTTGTTGACGTGGGCCTCGCCCCACCGGAGTACTCGGAAAGGTTGAGTACGCCGAGAGCCAGCCACTAAATAATACGAGATGTGAATGGTTTTCTCCACATTCATTTGTTAATCGCCAACCAATACCCTAATTATATTGGCCGACATAAAAAGTCCTTTTTGCACAGCGTTCATATGGTGTATGACTGCTTTTGTTCTTTTTTTGTTTCGATTATACCCTATTGTTCACACAAAACCATTTTTTTCTTATGTCGTTGGTTTGTATCTTAGCTTGTTTATCTTTTGCTTTAATTAATTTCTTTCACACATACTGGGCCAAGAGCTGTAGTCTTGATCTTAGGAACTTATATGCTTCGGGGAGTCTCATCTCCACTCCGAGAGAGGAACCCAAAGAACTAGTATATGGGCCTTTTACAGTTATGCCAGCTAATCCACAATCATATTATCATACATAAATGTTAAACTGATATAATGTGAAACTAAAACCAAATTCAAACCTATTGCTGCTGAATATAATAGGAAGACATGACTGTACCAAGTTGAGGTCGAGTGGTCGAGGCCTCGAATAATACTTCAATGCCCTTGGCACGATCAAATGGAAAATTACTGTACTCTATTTCAAGTCCAACAAAAAGCAGATCATCCTTTGGCCATACGACGTTTCTTCCCCATTCTTCTTTGGGGTTTCCGGGTGATCCGTTGCTTCGGCAAGCTCCATACTGAATCTGTCCTTCCTGATGGACCATATAGGTATCTTCGCATAGTTGATTCTCGTCTTTGAAGCAGAAAGTGACGTGCCGCCACCCTGCATCCTTCTGTAGGATCTCGTTGATGTTGGTGGTGTCGTGTGTTTCGGATATTGAATTAAGTTAGACAAGATGCAAATCAAAGAGATTGCCGACAGGAATAAAGACCTTGTCATGAACGGCTAAAATATTTTAGCATATTTGATGGGTACTGCTTTGGAATACATATGTCTGTCCCTTACAGTCTGGTAGGCCAAGATAATCAGTTGGTCCATGTACTCGTGGATCTCGGGAACCATGTCCTGTATAGATAGTATTTCACCATACTGATAATGGCCACCTTCTGCTCTGGATTTGGTATTGATTTATCGATGGAGCTGATAGAATCATCGTGTGCTGGATTTGAGAAAGAAGTGAGAGATGAACGAAGATGATGTGTCTAGGATGCATACTCTGCATTTATACGGGGAAAACGGGCGTTTTTTTCCCATTTGAAAGGGTCGACACTTCCATTGCTCATGTGAATATTTTTTATCAGATTTTACTTATGTATAGGAACAGGATTATATAGGTATGATATAGAGTCATGGGAAGAAAACGCTTCTTCAGGTAGGGATTACTGTTATAGGATCATGCGGAAGAAAGTTCACCCGTCTGTTTACGTCTATCCCTTTCTCCCTTATTTACTCGGGCAAGTTAGGTCCCCTGATTATTTGGGGAGGTGCAGACTTTAATGTTGATTATATTAAGTTCAGTTTTATTACTCCCAAGGCCTTCCACTCGCCATTGTTACTTCCTCATCCTCTGACACGAAGGAGACCTTGCGTCACCACAATCAACTTCGTGGCATTTCTCACACTGTATGCATGCCTCAAACATCGATACGCGATGATACACAACATCATGTCTACGGGCCCATTGAGACAGTGGTGATGTTGGAAAGATACAGCATATTGCCCTCGGAATGGTGGTATCAATGAGAAGAACGACAGAATCTGCTCACAGAAGAAGCCAAGCTGATGAATCGAAATCCATGTTGATTGCGGGAGGACCAACTCGAGGACAGTGCTCAGCAGCCTCGACGAGCAGTAGAGATGCTGCCTTTTGGTCGGGTAGTGCGCAATACCTTTTTCTCAATGCTCTGGTCGATACTCTCATTCAGGCCAGAGTCTCGTCCTACTGCTAGGCAGCTGCTTGGCTTCGAACTGACGGTAAAATGGGCTCTGCCCGAGTACCATACGATCCAAAACGGCTTACCAATTATTGAATATGGTTTTCTTCATGGGCACAGATAGTTTTGAATATCCAACTCTTGGATCGAGGTCCTTTTGACTTACCAGTTACCGAGGAAGGGGATCTGAACGGAACTGAAGAGGGATCTCACATTAAAGAAATCTCTAGGTTTCAGAAAATACTACGCCATATACTCCCGCATATTCCGCGTTGCACTGCTTCTAAGGTACAAAGTAAGGACCGAGACTGAAACCCCCCGAGAAATAACCGGTCCATTCTAGTATTTTTGAATCTTCAATCCTTTAACATTCGAACACAACCAGCATATCCAAGCCAGACTCTTAGGTTTATCTACTACAGTTTGGGATTTCAATATGCCTGTCAAGATATTAGTCTTTCTTTACCGCAACCCACACCTGTCACCCGAAGAATTCAAGAAGCGCTACGAAGCGCACGTCAAACTCGTCAAGAAGATTGCAGGCGAAGACTTCCCACTTTCTCATCATCGAAACTATATCTCCCGCGCTATAGTCGAAATCCCTCCGGATGGCTCCACTGCACGCAACGCCTTCACCCCGGCCACTATACTCCGCGGGCGACAGCCTGACTTCGACTTTGATGCCTACGCCGAACTTACTTTCGCAGACCAGGTTGCCTACCAGGCCTTTGCGGCCAAGATCTATGCCCCGGATGCCGCTGCCCAGATAACTACGGACGAGGAAAAATTTCTGGACCGGTTGAAGATGGGAATCGCCTTAGTTGGGGAGGTGAGGGTTACTGTGAAATGAGGTACTTTGACCCCCCAGTTTGTCGGAGCTGTTAGAGCCTCATCGGAGTTGTTTTGTGACGCAGGATATTGAAAGTCCGGTGTGATCGTGAGGTATACATGTGAATGTAGTATCTTTCAATTTTTCAACTTGATATTTCCTAAAAACCTAGTATATCCTCCATAAACCAATGCTTAACACTAATAACCTATACTTGGTTACATTTGAATCCTAAAATTGCATAAGGTCTAGATGTATAAAGCTAAGCCACGTGCAAAATTTCTCCCTTCGTCCGATCATGGGATCGTGTTCTTAGTGGCTTGACTCCTCAACCTTGGCACTTATCTTCAGTACTACCTTAATACAGCACATGCATCGGTCGCATGGCCTTAGCGTTGTTACATTGGCATTTGGAATCAACACTTCTCACAGAACCTGTTCCTGCAGACTGCCGGCGAACCCGGTATATTAATGTGTCAGACTGCACATCGGCACATCCTAAATCACGACCCTGCATAGTATCAACCGCTTTATTTGCCTGGTACTACCATTCAGTTGCATTCTTGAGCACGGGTCCCACTACAGGGATCTGGTACAGGACGAGGGGGGCTCGATGCTGCAACGTCCAAAGACAGAGCTCCTAGTCGCGAACAATTTAACTTGCCCCGGGCCATATTCCTCCATACTAATTTTGCACGAGCAATGCATTTCATATGACAATGTCACCCATTCTTATACATGAGCCCCCCTAAGTGATTGGCCGGGGAATCTTCAACTCCCACGAGGACATACATTCGAGTTGTTGCCAAGGGATCAACCCCCGATTTCGAAATGTGACATCTGCGTGGTGTGCCATGCGGTTGATGCGTCTGCTGTCAAAGACACTGTTAGAACGTGGTAGATATTAGAATGTGATCTTCACTAGTGTGGAGGAGATGCACTGTGACGCTACTAGTTCAACGCCAAACCCACGAGAAACACAACCCTTCTGCTTACCATGTGAAATCACCGAAATGGCCGGTTCCATACCTTGCTAAATGTGAAAAAATTGTAGGATTCCATTGACTCACCAGATATGAATGGCTGAAAGGATGGAGCCCCATTGGTATCAGAGTAGTTACCTTTTAGGTAACGGGGTACGTATTGCCTATTTGGGTTGCAGACAAACGGACTGAATGGACTTGACAATTACAATTTCAATTATCCATCTCAATACTCCGTGGAGGCAATTGTTTGTCAGCCTCGACTACAAATAGTGAAGTCATTCCCCTCATCCTCGAACTCAACCTTCATCATCCATCAACCTCGCGGGACCGAGACATCAGAAATCATCTTGACATTCCTTCATCATGAAACTTGCCATTCCTTACCTGCTAGGCCTGAGCTGGCTCGCTAACGCTGCCTACATTCCTGCCCTGAGCACTAACAGCACTGGGATTGAATCTCGTGATGTTAGCGGGTACCGCTCGGTGGCATATTATGTGAACTGGGTGAGTTCCGACCATGTCCCACATACATTATCTTGCACTTAGATGAAACCGGGGGTATAAAAAGAACCTCATCAGCCAAACATTGAAAAAGGAAACCACGCTAATCAGACTACTCAGGCCATCTACGGTCGCAACTACCAACCCCAGGATCTTCCTGCCGAACGACTGACCCATGTGCTCTATGCATTTGCCAATATTCGCCCCGGCACAGGCGAGGTCTATCTGTCGGATACCTGGTCTGATACTGATAAGCACTATCCCACTGATTCCTGGAATGATTCCGGAAACAATGTCTATGGCTGTATCAAACAGCTTTTCCTACTCAAGAAGAAAAACCCCAACCTCAAGGTTCTTCTATCCATTGGAGGCTGGACCTATTCCCCTAACTTTGCCCCTGCTTTCGACACCGAGAGTGGACGGCAGAAGTTTGCGGATTCTGCTGTGGAACTACTGAAGAACCTCGGCTTGGATGGTATTGATGTTGATTATGAGGTAAGCCTTCCACAGTTGTGGTCTGGGAGTTTATGATGCTTATGAATACTATAGTACCCTGCTAGCGTCGACCAGGCGGACAAGTTTGTCGATGCACTCCGACGAGTTCGTGAGGTATGTGATCATTTTGCAAATGTCCATGAGCTGTGGCTAATTAAATTCAGGCTATGGATAGCTACAGCGCAGTCAACGCCGGAGGCTATCATTTCCTGCTTACTGTCGCATCTCCCGCTGGTAAGTTCTATCTCCATCGTCGGAATATTCCGAAAACAGCTAACACAAGTCCCAGGCCCAAGCAACTACCGCCAACAGCACCTGAACGAGATGGACAAGTACCTTGATTTCTGGAACCTCATGGCCTACGATTACTCTGGCAGCTGGGACTCAGTTGCCGCCCACAGTGCCAACATCTATGCGTCGACCAGCGACCCATCCAGCACGCCATTCAACACGGATCAAGCAATCGACTACTACTCCTCGCAAGGCGTCGCCCCCAACAAGATCGTTATGGGTATGCCACTGTACGGCCGATCATTTACCAATACCGACGGCCCCGGAAAGCCATACAACGGTGTTGGAGCAGGCACATGGGAGAACGGCTTGTGGGATTACAAGGGCCTGCCAATGACAGGCTGTGCTGTGACAGTCTTGGATCAACCAGGTGCAAGTTACTGCTACAACCCAGAAAGTCGACTGTTCGTCAGCTACGACACCCCCGAGATTGCGCGCAAGAAGGCGCAGTACATCAAGTCTCGCGGGCTGGGCGGTGGAATGTGGTGGGAGAGCAGCTCTGACAAGACTGGCGGGGACAGTTTGATTACAACTGTATGTGGTCTTCTGGTTTTGATATATGATTTACACTTCACTAACATTTCCACAGGTTGTGAATACTCTTGGAGGTGTCGGTGCTTTGGAGAAGAGTGGGAATCAGCTGCGCTACCCTGTCTCCAAGTACGACAACTTGAAGAACGGATTCCCTTAGATCATCTTATTCCTTTGGTTGTCAATACTGCAAGATTGGACATATCTCGCGGACATATGGAATAGGACATTTATGGTTGTTACCTATGTGATGTGGGTATATCCGGATCATCCTTGATGGATGATGGGATGTGCGCCACTTACCTTTACATCTACCAAGTACATGTTTAACACGTACACATTTATCAGTCGAATATTCAACAAATACGACTAACACTGCATTTTGATTGAATTCTATCTATAGGTCAGATGTAGTACATACTCGCAATGAGAAACGTAAGATAGTATACTATATAAAAAGAGTAAAATCCCTAAATATTGTGGTATAGAAACCCAAGCCCTCGATCATGCCAATATTGATTGAAGTTCGCAAATTTATTCAAGACTTAGTCTCTTGAAGATATCCTGTATGGGTAGCACTGCCGACGGACCTAGTAGACGGAGAACTACTTTCTCCTTTTCCATCTTTACTCCGATAACTCTCAGTGACAATCTTGTGACCTCTCAGCCCTCGATAGACATCGCGGATCTGCTCAATGCCACCATCAAATATCGGGTAGAAGATAGCAACCAGCATACTGAGCCAGAGCCAGATGATAGCGACGATAACCCAGGCAACATAGAACTAAGCGAACAGTCAGTCAACCAAGCGCAGCCAAAATCTCAATTCCACAGTGCAAAAAAAAAAAAAACCTTTTTCCCAAAGACATAACCAGATCTATACATAGGCAACGGCTAGACAACCCAATGGCCCAAAAAGGTCGCCGCTGACCAAATAGCCGCAATACGACCCCACCGCTTCAGCTCTTTCTGATCCCGGGCAGCCCTGTCTCCATCTTCAATACCCCCAAAATCACCACCTGAAGAAGCTTGGTCACGATGCGCAGTCCTCAAATCACTATCCAAACTTTCAAGAGATAGCTTCACCTTTTTGAAGTCATCCCAATTATAATTCTGCGGCCGGACAAGCGTAATCAGAACCGAGTATATAATCGGCGACATACAAGAAGCGACTGTCCCATATAGACAGGGAAGAACTTGTCCCGTGGACGCGACGGAAACTTCACCACTAAAATGGGATGCAGTCCCGAGCCAGACAGCCATACCTGTAGCGAGACCAAGGACTGGAGAGAGAATTGCGGCGGCCTTACTTTGGCGTCGCCAGAGGATTGTGAAGATCATTGGGAAGATTCCGGGACATGTAACCACGCCTATTAGGGAAGAAGATTATTAGGTTGAAGTACGAGAAAATGGAAAATAAAATGAAGATGTGTGAATGACATACCCAGCATATAAAGTGTCCATCCTAGATTAATACCCACGTAGTGAAGCATGGTGCTAAAGGCCGCAGAGAAAACAGCGAAGAAAATGACGCCGAAGTGACTCGCCCGAATTAGATCCCGGTCTGTGGCCTTCTTCTTAAAGTACTCGCGGTATACATCGAAACTGAGGATCGAGCTGACGGCGATTACCTGTGCGGAGAGAGTTGATGTGCACGCCATGAAGGTTATAAGAAGGACTGCTGCTGCGCCGCCTTTACCGGCAATGGTGATTGCTGCGTATGGGAGGACGAGGCCATTGCTAACTTCCGTGCTTGTCATTCTCTTAGTGGTGTTAGTGGAATTTGTGAGATTCAGAGAATTAGATAGAGGGCTTACCCTTGGGAATGTGGGGAAGGCTGGATGGTTCTCGAGTCCGAGGGCAACTGAGCTCATTACTGTTCCCAAGCCCCATGGGATAGCGAAGTAAGCGATGCCTCCGATTGTATAACCGGGTACTACTGCAGCTGGAGAGGCTGAGAAGGCTTTGATGAAGTAGCTTGTGTCCATCTAAAAGGAGTTAAGAAAGGGGGTAGCGATGGGATTTATGGCTGCTTACAATAACCAAGCCGAAGTTTCCGAGGGTGTGAAGGATTCCGAAAAGGATCGCCTAGGGTGATATCAGTGAATTGATTGGTAGAATTGATTCATTCTTTTTGATCTTACACTTTTTGATGTCATTGTCAGATATGTCCCATCCTGATTGCCGGACACTGGGTGTCGTTGCGCGGCTGCTTGGACAAGCTCGAAAAGATCACCCACAGAGCCAACCTGGTCAGTTGAGAATGCTTTGACAGAAAAATAGCATGCAATGATCATTATTATAGCCGTGTGGAAATAATCGGTAAGGAATCTACACCATAGAATTAGATGCCTGGGCTTATGAGATTGAGGAAAGGGGACTTGCGTTGCTTTGATGCCACCAACAAATGTGTAGAGGGTCACTCCAACCGGTAGCAAAAAGGTGGCAGCGATGATATGCATTCCAGTGCTGCGTTGGTTAGCTAGAGTTTCTCAACCTTGGAATAGACTGAAGGAAACTTACACAGCGGTGATTACTGCAGCGGCACCAAGAAGCATGTTGGCGCAGGCGAAGATATTGTTCACCAGACAGAGAACCATGAATACAACATGTGCCACATGTCCTATATCCCCAAAATAGCGTCAGTAAGTACATAGATAGGAGATTAAAGCCAACTTACCATATCGAATTCGAACAACCTCAAGCGAAGTATGCGCTTCAGGAATCTTTCGCTTGCAGGATATTCCCAACAGCGCAAAGAAGACAATCATCGGACTGCAGCCAGCTGCAAACCAGAATGGACCGGCTACGCCATAATCATAACCTACAAAAGATGAGCCGAGTAAAGCAGTTGACCAAAGCCAAGACTAGAAGAGTCAGTCCTCAGTTGGAATCCAAGCGGATGGGGAGAAAAACTGACTGATATTACAGCTGACGCGGTTAGGCCTGTGGGGACAGAACGGTTTGCTGTCATGAACCTATTTTTCGGATGAGTACATATTGGAGGACGATTTGCGGAAAACTTTGCATACATTTCGGTCTTTTCGTTGTCCTCTCCAGTAGTTTTCTTCAAGACTTTCGTGATAAGCATCATCACTGTTCTGTGTTAGTTTGGGTGTTGAAAGAAGTCATTGAAGTACTAGTACTGACCAAGAGCAATAATCACACCGATAACAACGACAACGACATAGCCTACTGCTTGTGATAGAGGTGGCTGGACAGTCGAAATGCCATTGCGGGCATGCAAGCTCGACATTGTGTAAGTCAAAGAGAGAAGAATGCCGATGCTACCGAGTGCATGAGACAGGCACTATGTATGCTCAAATGAGATTTGTATATCTCAACTACCAAGTCCCTGGGCAAGGATGTAATTTAAGCCACCTGCTTGAAGAATTGGTATAGGGTCCACAATGGCTTGATTTATGCTCGTGATGATGTGCTTTTTCATGAGATTGGCACGGCTGAAGGATCGTTTAGGTCTTAGGTCTCAGGAATGCTGGCTAGGATAATATACCTCAAGTAGATCATTTATCTAGTTACAAGTTAAATAAGGTATATTTATTTGTATGGTCTGTCCTTTTGTACATGTCATAGTGAAAGGGGAAATCAAGGTATTCAAGTTTACCTGTCGCAGAAACACAACACCCCCAAATCAAACTATTGATCCAAATGATTTAATTCCATGAAATTGAGTAAACACCAAAGTTTATGTTCCTCAAGGCCAATAGAGAGAGCCTGCATTGATACCCAAGAACATGTACCGGAACAGGGTAAACGGGGGAGCGCGGAATCACCTCAGGGTCCATGAACAATATTGTGTTATATCTCTCGGGCGAGATAATAAGATTGATCTGCATATATATATATATGCGAGTATAATTGAATTCTAGCCAATTAAAAAAAATTGCAATTCATGAGGATTTGGCACGCCATTGCGGCCCACTGTGATGCTATGAAGGTATAGAATGACGCACGCGGGGAACCTTTTTCATAATTTAGATAGACCGATATAAATAAATATAACCCCTCGTTTCTTCCAGACAATATCATATCCTTAATTGCTTCTAGCCTGCAATTCTAAAATGTCTACTCAAGCATCAGACGCGAAGCCTCGCAAGTCGCTCATCCTCAATGCCTTTGTGGAAATGTGTACGTTCAAGTCAATTTCACATGTGAAAGCCTTAATCTCTAACGATAAGTGCAGGCAGCGGCCATCAGTCGCCAGGACTCTGGCGTCACCCCGAAGATGAGTCGTATCGCTTTAATGATGTCGACCACTGGGTCGAGCTAGCACAATTACTCGAGTCGGCCAAGTTCCATGGCATTTTTATCGCAGATGTTCTTGGTAAATAAGGTGTGGAGCTCTATTCTAGTGGAAAAGTCTGACAAGAAATCTTTTTCTAGGAGGATACGATGTCTATAAAGGACCCAGAAACCTTGATCCTGCAGTTATCTCGGGTGCTCAGTGGCCAGTGAACGAGCCGTTGGCTGTTGTCCCCGCGATGGCGGCAGCTACGAAGAATATTGGATTTGGAGTGACGGTCACAACAACCTATGAGCAGCCGTATCATCTTGCGAGACGACTATCTACGGTCGATCATCTTACTAAAGGGCGGTACGTGGATGTAATTACCGTTAGGAGGACCAGTCACTGATTAAACTCGTCTGATAGTCTGGGATGGAACGTGAGTAGCACACCGAATTTGGAGAGTACGACTCTGAAAGAAATACATACTAACAAATATCCTCAGGTCGTTACAGGATACCTCGACTCCGCTGCCCGCAATATGGGCCAAGCAGAACAACTACATGTACAGCCCCACATACCATATCCATACCTATGACCTACTAACACAAAGCCTAGCACGACGACCGCTACCTCCTCGCCGAAGAATACATTAAAGTAACATACAAACTATGGGAGTCCTCCTGGCGCCAAGATGCCGTAACCCTCGACCGCGAGCGCGGCATCTACACCGATCCAGCAGGCGTGCGTGAAATCAACCACGTCGGAAAATACTTCAACGTACCCGGGCCTCATCTCTGCCAGCCCAGTCCACAGCGCACACCGGTCATCCTCCAAGCCGGTACCTCAAAAGCCGGCAAAACATTCGCTGCGCAACATGCGGAGGCTATCTTCGTGGCTGGCCACAGCCCAGCTGTAGTAGCGAAGAACGTCAGGGAGATTCGGGAGCTTGCGCAGAGTCAGTACGGTCGTGATCCGCAGAGTATTAAGTTCCTCGCGCTTCTTTGCCCTATCCTCGGCAAAACGGAGGAGGAGGCTGTGGAGAAGTTCAAGTATTTCCGTAGTCTGGGATCTATTGATGGAGCGCTTGCGCTGTTTGGTGGGTGGACGGGGATTGATTTGGATACGTATGGGGATGATGAGGAGTTGCGACATGTTGAGAGTAATGCGATCCGGTATGTGACAATACCTCCCCTTTTCAGGTTGATATAGACTGACTTGAATTTCTGTATAGCTCTGCTGTCGAGGGCTGGTCCAAGGCGACACCCGATGTGGCTAAATGGACAAAAGCCACTGTTGGTCAACATATCACTGTCGGAGGGTTGGGTGCCACTCCTGTTGGGACAGCTGCTCAAGTTGCCGATAGTATGGAGCGATGGGTAGAAGAAGCCGATGTGGATGGATTTAATCTGGTAAGTTGTATTTCTTGAAGTAGACCGGTTTATTTAGAGTTATTAACATTCGCACAGGCATACGCAATCAAGCCGGGCTCCTTCAAGGATATCATTGATCTCCTTATTCCCGAGCTCCGCAAGCGAGGCCTGTTCTGGGATGACTATGCTGTGCCCAAAGGAACATACCGCGAGAATCTATATGCGCAGCCCGGCCAGTCCGGACCACATGCAGACCACCCTGCTTATAAGTACCGGTGGAACGCTGGTGTGGATGCTGCAGATGCTGTGATTCCGGATAACTGAACGCGATATCATTTATAAAATTTGAATTGCAATGCAACAAATAATTAAACAATCAATTTTTAGCACAGACTATCCGTAGACCGCTAGCAAGGCTCGCACAGAACCTGTTCTATGGACGCCAAAAAAATGCAAATTTTGTACACAATCATAAACCAAAGCTTTAAGTCAACATATCATCGAGACGCTCACCAAGCACCTTCTCGATCTGCTTAACCCATCTGCGTACTTCTCTCTCAACACCCTCATCCTCGTCTTCCATGAGCTCACTGATGTAAGGCAGCATCTCTGGCAGAAGCGCCAGCCACTCCTCACCAAGCTGCTCTGTAAGGGCCTGTTCGGTCTTGAGGGCTGCGAGACGGGTGTGGGGGCTGTCACCACCGGCGAAACGGGCATTGGGTGCAGAGGAGGGGCGGAGGTATTTCATCAGGGCGGAGTTCAGCTCCTTGTGGTTATCTGTGGAGTCGGCGGCGATGGCCAATTCTGTGATTGTGGGCACGACGTCGGCAATGACCATGTTAGAGGTGGTCATGCTGGTTGCGTGGGCCAGTTGAGCGATCAGAGGACCGGAAATGCTGGCGAGGTGAGAGGGGCTTTGCCAGAATTCTGCAGTAGATGTTAGTGGTTGTAATGGGCAATCTTGGGTGCAGAGAGAAAACGTACCATCCTGGTCATGCTCGAAGGACTTGCGGAGCATACGAAGGGCGGCCAACCAGAGGGACTTCTGGGCCTTGGATGGACCCGATGTGTTCAGGACACTGACGACATTCTCCAACACATAGCTGGAGTACCCGGTGACAATTGACTGAAGCAAGCATTAGCGATGAAGGTTAATGGACAAAGAACTGTGGTGAAACATACCTGGAGAGTGCCAAAGAAGACCTCAAGGAACTTGTAGAAAGTAGTGAGGCGCGAAACTTGACTCTGTTCGTCCTTGGGGGCGCCGGTAGTAGCCCACTCGACGAACTTGAGGAAGATGGGGCGGAACGTGCTGTCGTTCAGCTTGTAGATCATCTTAATTGTAACGTCGTTGAGCGCGGTTTCGGCCTCATCAATAGCAGTGGATTCGAAGATAGCCTTGTCGCCAAGAGCAATCTGCTCACGACGCAGATCGAACGCCTTGAAGAGAATCTTCGTAAGGACGCCGATGTTCTTGGCAATGGTCGACTTGGGGTGCTTATCAACAGCGATGGTGACAACTTCCAAGAGTTCGTTCACAGCAATTGGGCCAGCCTGGACCGCGTGCTGCCAATTGCGATCGACGGCGCTGAGGGTTGCGCTTACATCGACCTTACGGGCCATCAAACGCAGGGACTCCTGGCGGCTTTCATCGCTGCTCTCCTCGATATCTGCGTTAGCAGACTTGAAGGAGAGAAGGAGCATCTTGTCCAGATGACCAGCTGAGATCATGAATGGCAGGTGAACGAAGAGGGCAGAGAAGAGGGTGAAGACGGCGTCATGGAGTCGCGAGTTCTCCTTGCCAGCAACCAGACTCAACTCGAGCAATTCCAATGAACGCTTGAGTGTGTCGGGAAGGGCAGGAATCATGGCTTGACCCAGTACCTCGGCCATGGAGGCCAGGCACAGGATACCCATGTAGCGAATGCGGTCATCGGATTGGCCGAGACAAGATTCACTGGCAACCACTCTAGCAGCAGCAATGACCTTGGATGGGTCCTTACGGCCGTATTTGTCGGTGATGCGGTCAATGCACGAAACAGCAGCATGCTTGAGCAGGATATCCGGAGACGACTCGACAATGCCAACCAGGGTGGGTAGGAAGTCGAGAACCCGGATCTGCGACAGGTTGTCGCGCTCGGGGTTCTGGCGGAGGCGGGTTTCGAGCAAACGAAGGACCTTGCGTCGAAGTTCGTCATTAGGACCTTGAAGGAGAACCTCAATGGTATCCAGGAAGTCCACGAGAGACAGAGTGCCGAACAAAGCACCGAGCACCTCGCCACAAGCCTGGCTGACGGGCTTCATGCTCTGCACAGCCTCGCCGATCGTCAGAACCTGGGTTAGGACTCGGGAGAAGCAAGCGCGGGACTGATCAGCAACCTCATCGTCCGACTCAAAGGCTGTCTCGAGTTTAGACTTGAGAGAAGAGTGCTTGAACAAGTGAGCAAGATCACGCAGGAGGTCAACGCAGATGCTCTGGGCATCGCGTCCATCGTCACTACCAATTCCAAGAAGGACCTGGGAGATACTTGGCTTGGGCTTGAGAGAATCGGTGACCAAATTCAAGTACTTGCTGTAGGTGGTAAGCTCTACGACAGGTGTAGTATCCGAAACCAGGCCAGTCATCAGAGTAAGGACATCCTTGTTGGTGGAGTATCGGTTAGCGAGCATTGCCAGGACAGCGAACAAGAAGTCTTGTGTTCCAAGCTTGCTGATCAAGGCGTGGAAGAGTCTCAGACGGCGATGCGCGGGGATATGCTCGAAGGCTGCAGTGAAGCTGAGCAGCAACTCGGAAGTTCCGGAGACAACATCCCTCTTCTGGTTACGCAGAGATTGGATGAGGGCAGGGACAACTTGGTCGATGGTTTGGTCAATGACAGAAACAGAGTAGTCATCATCCTTACGGAGAACAGTAGTGCCCATGAATGTGAAGATCGGCATGACGCTGTGGAGAACCAACTCGGGCGCAATAACAGACAGGCTTCCCACGAGAAGAAGAGCCCCGTTCTGAACCTGCGGGCTGTCAGTTGTTCGCACACAGTCCACCACCAGGTCGGCCCTAATGACGGACGTATCGAACTGCGGCTTAGCAGATCCTTTGGATTTGTTCACAATAGCCAAGAGACTTCCCAAAGTCAAGCTGAGGAGATAGCTCATGCCAGAGTGAATCTGGGACTTGAAATGGTGGAGAGCAGCGAGAGTCTGGAACAATCCATCCACAAGCTCGGGGTGAGATTCTGGGGAGGAGCTATCCACGATCTCCAAGATGAAAGTCATCTTGTCCATCAACTTGCTAAGCTCTGCCTCATCCTTGACAGTCATAGCAATCATGTTGCTCTGGCTAGTACGTCTCCGCTTCGGCGCAGGGCCAATAGACTCAACATCGGTGATAGAGATAGGAATCTTCTGGACAAATTGTTGAAGAACAGCACCGGAAAGGTCGACAGTGCGAAGAACATCTCGGCAGTTGGTTGCCAGAGAAGCGGTATTTGCCTCACCCGCGAGGGAGATATCGAGCAACTTCTCAGATGCGTCCAACTGACGGTCTTCGGGTATCTTAGACCAGATGTGCTTGATTTGGCCAAAGCAAGCCGCAACAAAGGAGGGGCGCAAGTTATTGCCAGAGCTGACATTGGAGAGGAGAACATCGATGGCGTCCTGCTGCTTGGATGTGACAATAGCAGCAATCAGATGCTCTGTCTCAGATGCCACAATGTGCTCCTTGCCACAAATTTCGGCAACTTCCTTGTCGTTCAAACGACGCCAATCCTCGAGTACCGGGAGAAGCTCACTGGTCAGAGTTGCAGTGGAGACCTTCTCCACGCTGTTGACCAACTTCAGCAAGCTGATCTTAGGTGCGAAAACGGGCATTTTGACAATATGAGAGCAGATGAAAGTAAAGAGACTAAGGCGGAGAGACTTCTTGAGTTCAGATGCGCCTGAAGTTTCGGACAGAACGTTGCCCCGTAGTGTAGCTTCCACCATTCTACCAACATGGTTAGGGTCAAGGATAGACTCTTCCAACCCTGGAAGCAATGCCCGCTCCAGGACCTTCTGGGAATCCTTGGTGGTGAGCCATGCAACACCTGTGGATTGCTTGCCCGCGCCGTAGATCGCATCGTGAGCCCATGGCTTCGAGCTGTCACCGGCCTTGGTGTTCTTTTTGTACAAGGAACCGATAACAGCCAAAACGCCAGCCGTCTCACGGCGAATCCGTTCGGAAGGATCGGAGAGGGCCACAAACAGGAATGGCAGTAGTGCCTGGGGATCAAAATCTCCGGGCTCCGATGAAAGAACAGATGATATGACGTTCAAAGCAGCAATCTTTGTTCCAATAGGGTAGTGGCCAGCAACAACTCGGATAAAGAAGGACAAATATTGAGGGGTCTTGGTCGCCTGGGACTTACCCAAGATTGGCAAAGTGGTGAAAAGCTCGAGATTGTCCTTAGAGTCCACAGCTAAAGCGAAAACGCGCACAAGGTTATCGAATTCGATGATAGACTGCTTGGAAAGGAAAGAGCATGGGAACAAGGACTCTTTGGTCAAAGTCTTCAGAGCTGGCGTAAAGGCGTCCACCTGGGGCTGATCATCTATATCCATCATGTCCACATCTTCGATGGCCTGTACCGCAATTGGAGCCTCCACAACGGTCTGAAGGTTATGTTCCAGCGCCGAGATGTTGAATGAAGATTCAGTCAAAGTCTTCTGGAAAATGGGTTGGAGGGTTTCCGAACGGTTGAATCCTTGAACCAGCTCAGCGAGCTGGGTCTGGGCATCTAAAGATAGTCTGCGGGTCTCATCTGCATTTGATGCTGCCTCAAGAACCAGGCTCATAGCCTTGGCAATCTCGTTCTCGCCAAGCATCTTGCGTTCAAAGACCGAAGCCAGAATTGCAAGGCGAGCATTGTCCTGCTTGTCGAGATCAGTCAAGCAGCCGGAAATAATCCCAAGTAATAGGTTAGATGTCTGATATTGCGTCGCGATTTCAGAAAGTTGGTTGATAGGGTTTTCGAGGCGCAAGATGCTCTTGAAGACCTTTTTCGGGATTGCAACAGCAGGCTTCTGCTGGGCAAGGACTGATAGACAAATCAGACCAGAGATCTTTGTATCTTCTGTCCAGGAGCCCACAACACTTTCCATTAGACCGTCAATGACTTCATTCGAGAGGAAGGCCTTTTGTGCCAATACAACACAGATCATATAGCTGCCGACGATCAATTCCGAGACCTTTTTCATTGTGAAGGCATTACTGAGAACCGGCAAAACCCGCAAAAGAATATCTTCATGCTTTTGCTTCTCGGCCTCTCTTCTGCCTGAGCGAGCGCCGTCCAACATTGTTGCAACAGCCTCTGTGACAATTCCAGCCCAAAATGCCAGTAGTGCATGGCTTTGGGCCTGCTGCCTACAAACCTTCAGGACGTATTCGTTTAATTCGGAAAAGAAAGCCTTGTTCGTCGCAGCGCTGTGAACAAGCGGGTGCCTCGGAGGATTAATGAGCCCATTCTTGTATGGATTGAGGACTTTAAATGTCGGTGCCAGTGTTTCCGGAAGAATAGAAAGAAGGTTCAAAAAGAGTGGCGTCGTGTGATACGGTAAAAACGTAAATAATACGGCTGTTGTGTTGAACTCGTGGATCCTTCCATATAAGTTAGCCACCACATCTCACGATCTACACCTCCCCTCGCGAACTCTTCTCACCTGAACCTTCTCACAAGCCAGTCCACAGCTTTCACTGCAGGACTCAACTGTAGCCTTCCGCCAACCAGAGCCAAGAAGGCTTCAACCGCAGTATCCAGCTCCTTGTTCTGAGAGATATTCATCTGACTGCGGTCCTCCGCTTTGCTCTGTTCGCTGAAGATCGTGCGATCAAACTCGGCAAACCGGGGGTCCAACGAGCATAACTCCCGGAACCCATCATAACAAATATCATAGATCGCATCAAAGTCTTGAGTGCCAGCGACCTTTGGGTCGAAAATAAGAGACTGTGAGTGTGAAATCCTTTGCGCCTTAAGATCAAGCTCGTGCGTGGACTTGGCCGCAATTTGCGACAGCTGCGCGGCGAGAGACGAAGCCATCGTGAAGTCTCTTTTGGCGGGCTGTTCCGCGGACTTTTTTTTCGTTATTTTGTTTCGGTGCTCACACAATTGCAGTGACACATATCCCTAAGACTCCTGACAGCAGTCTTTGTTTCTTTCTGCGAGCCGAGGGAAGACGGTTCAAATTAATTTGAGGTAAGTCTTAAGCTCTGTTTGATCAAGAGCAAATGATTGACTTTTTTTTTTGCCAGCCAGCTCGACCGCCTACCGGAGGATTATTCTTCCGGGTTATCAGACCGTGGCGCAACTCGATAAGAAAGATTGAGAGACCACGATGGACTCATCTGGGTCTCAGGTTAGTTGGCCTTCACTTACATCTTAGTAGATAAACAGTACAGACTGACCAAAAAATCCAGAGTGTCCCGCAATTCTCCAGCTTCCGACCTCCCCCTACCTCTCATCCGGCCGCCGCTACCGGCTCGGAACATGAACGTCACCGGCGTCGCTCCGGTCATCGTCAGCGCGCCGACCGGAAAGAGTCTCCGCGCTCTCGTCGCCATGGAAGGCGTTCAGATGGTGGCTATCAAAAGCCGACTGTCGAAGAAAGTGAAGCGCGCTTGAGTGGGGAAGGAATTGACGATGTAAAAGTTACAAAAGATCAGACAAACAAAGGATTTGTCGTCGACGGCCTCGGCGATCACGACAATACGCGTTACGGCGTGGATCGTTACGATGTCCCTGCGTACCATCGCAATGGTAAGGGCTTCGTACTTGGGCTCCCCAACCAGCGTATTGATTACAAAACGCGATACGACCAAGGTCCCCTTCTCATTCTTCGCCCCGACTCAGGCTCCTCTGCATCCACTGCAGCAAAGCCTCTCTCCGCTGCAACCCTATCTGCTTTAGCCAAAAATCTTCCTATTCGCCTCCGATCTAATCTGGAAGCTAAGCTTGCTGCTGAGGCTCATCATGCACAAAATTTCATACCAACAACCGTTCCGTCTCAACCCGGCGTTTCAGAAACTGCCAACGTGGACGATGAACTACCAGCTTATCGCTCTATGCAGACCGCGGCTAAGCCTGAAGATGAATCACCTGAAAGTTTTGATCCGAACGCCTTCACTCGACTTGCTCTCGAAACCGAGATCTTGAGTCGCAATGCCAAGTTGAACAATGCAGTGGCGCAACAACCCAGTGATATTCAAGCGTGGGTCCGTCTTGCTGAGCATCAAGAACTTGCTGTCACTGCCAATCGCACCTACAACCACAGTGATATACAACTTGTGGCAAGAGCTAAGCTGCATGTGTATGAAAGAGCGCTCAAGGCTAACGCACAAAATCCCGAGCGCGATCACCTCGTGCTCGCCCTTATGGAAGAGGGCGCCAAAGTCTGGGACGCCACAAAACTCGCATTGGAATGGGAAGCAGTGCTTTACCACAACTCCGAGTTCATCACTGTATGGATTCAGTATCTTGACTACTGTCAGACCGATAGTCAGGATTTCAACTTCGACAATTGCTTTAAGACTTATGCCTATTGCTTGCAGACCCATTCGCGTGTCGGCTTCGGACCCCAAAAGACACTCATCAGATCATACCTGCTGCTCCGTTTGACCCTGTTTCTTCGAGAATCAGGGCATCTAGAGCTAGCTGTCGGTATATGGCAAGCGGTGCTCGAATTTACATGCTTCAGGCCCCCCAACCTAATGGGGAAGAAAGAAGAGGCCCTAGTGGAATTCAAAAAATTCTGGGCACCGGAGCGCGCCCGAATTGGGGAGCGTTTTTGGGAACCCTGGAACAGCGGACAAATCTCCCGTGCTCCTGTCAACAAGCATGTTTACACCTCTGAGGCGGATCCCCAAGACTTGTTCCGAACCTGGGCACCTGCAGAAAGAGAGCGCATGTTCAAAAATCGCATGCCCTCGCATATTCTTTTCAATTTCCAAGAGAATGACGCTTTCCGGGTGGTCCTTCTTGAAGATTGCACGCAGATACTGCCATACTTCTGGGACCTGGATGAAAGCCATGGTTACTTGGTTGACGGCTTCTTGTATTTCAGCCATTTGCCTCATTTGACATTGCCCGTCAATATGCACACCAGCCGACTGTGGACTGGTGATAAATTCCTGCGAAACGAATATATGGATGATCCTCGAAACACAATCGCGGACTGGATCACCTTTCAGAAACATGCCGCAACGACCACTGTTGAGCCTTTCGCATTCCCCCACCATACCTTCATCCATACCACTGATACTCTTTTTGCTGACCCAAAGTTGTGGTTCTCCTCTTTGACGAAGTGGGCTGCAACCACCTCTCATTCTTCCTGTGTGATCGATTCCGATTTCGTGCTCTTGACCCTCCATGCCCTTGCCGACCTCTTCGGGGACAGCGAATTGGCTGAATATGCCATTGCAGTAACTTTTGCATGCAACAACAATCTGGGCAAAAAATATGGAAAGCGACTGTTGAAAGAGCGATCATCGAACTTGAGACTTTACAACGCCGTTGCGCTCATGCATTGGCGGACTGGTGACCACAACACTGCTAACACTATCTGGTCAACCGCTTTGTCCATGAGTCAGGATTTTAACGCTTGCGATCTCACTGATTCTGCACTCCTATGGAACTCGTGGATTTGGGAAATGCTTCACACTGGGCAAAAGGATCGAGCATCATATCTGGTCCAGGCTATGCCTTACAACAGAGTCGACTTGCTGTCATACAACACAGCTGAAGATATTGAAATTAATGAGACCAATTTTCTCAGGGTCAAGAAGGCAAGTTTTCATCCCTTGAGCTCAGTGTAAGCCATGCTAACCATTCGCAGTGCTTATTTGCCGCACAGAGAAATGCCCTGATGTTCAAGGAAATGCAGGCATACGCAGCTTACGCCGACTGCTACGCAATCGCTCTCTATCTTATGGGCGATCAACTTGAAGAAGTCCTCGATGTCTACAATGACGCAGTCACATCTCTTAGAGTCCTGCCGAAGACCGACGATGATTTCAGGGTGCTCGGCGGAGAATTGCTACACCAAGCCCGAGCTCGGATGATGTACTACTACGTGGAGAAGCAGAGTGGCCAATTCAAACCTGCCGAAATTCGCGCTGTGCTCTTTGATAGCCTTGAATGGTGGCCTCACAACACCATGTTCTTGTCGCTCTTCAAGTGGAACGATGCTCGCCTTCGACTCACCGATCGAGCCCGCGATGTTTTCGACCTCACCATTGGGGCAAAGGCCAGGGCCGAGGGGGATCTGCAAGGGCCTACACAAATCCACCGTGTACCTGTCACAACCCACCTCTTCAGCATCTACGTTGAGATGGGTCGCCCTGTCATGCTCGGCTCGACCCCGGATTCAATTCGGGCAGCCTTCGAGCGAGCGATCGGTGACGATGGCATCGTCCCGATCGGGCGAACCCCGGTGCGCAAGAGTCCCTTCGAGCTCGCCAGCTCGACCTCCGCTCAGAGCAGCCTCACTATCTGGAGGCTGTACATCCTCTACGAACTGTACGCGGAGTACAACGTCGGCCGCGCCCGCGAGATCTACTTCCGGGCCCTGCGCTCCTGCCCCTGGTCGAAGGAGCTGTTCCTGCTCGCCTTCGAGCACCTGCGGGCGGACTTGACCAACCGCCTGCCCCCCTGCCGCCTCAACCGGAAGGGGGAGGTCAACCCTTCGGGGTTCGACCCTGCAGAGCTTCGAGCTCTGTACTCAGAGATGCTGCGCCGTGGACTTCGAGTCCACTACCATGTGGAGAGCTTCTGGGCCCAGTAGGGCACCAGAGGTGGTGAGTTAAGGGGGGAGGGGAGGAAGGGGAGAGAACAGTGGGGAATGCAATTCCGAGCAGGTGAAGGGGGTGCTCTCAGATCCCCTTCACCTAAATGTGAGAGTAATGTGAGAGTAATGTGAAATTTAACTGAGTTGGAAAAAAAACCAATCTTCAATTCTGTAGTTGTAGTGAGGTAAAAGTGAGAGATCCCGCTCGGGATCCGACTGGGGTTTGGCAGCATACCAATGTAGATAAACTAGCGATGCCGTAGAAGTCCCCTGGACGCATACCATCCAAGCTACAAAAACCAGAACCCTTGATGCAATGTATATTGGCCATCACATAAACTTGTACATGGCTGAAACTTGTGCCTAGACGTGTGCGCACGGGTTGGCGGGTGGTTTGGAGCTTCGGTACAATCTATCTAACTTTTCACACTGGAGTCTTGATATGAAACAAGACAATGCCAATCTCCTTAATTGAAAGGTCAATCACGGGTAGAGTCATTGTACAACTGATCGAAGGACCCCGAGGTGAGAACTGGATATTGAGATTTCTTACAATCTAGTCACTCATTTTACTCTCTCTCTACTGTGCACCCAGCCCAAAATTAGCCGCTGTTCTGGTAAATGTGACTGGAATACAGTTAACATGGGCCTATTATATGAACAGTGCCAACATCTCAATCAAAACTAGAATACCTATTCATCGCACCTATAAAACCAGTCTTAGTTAGATACAATTACGATTCCTCACTAAAAAACCGATTCTCAGGTCTCGGCAGGCCAAAGTGTTCACGCAGGGTCGAGCCCGTATACTCATTGCGGAAAAGCCCTCTTCGCTGGAGTTCAGGAACCAATCTATCAGTCACGTCTTCTAACCCCTGTGGCAAGAACGGAAACGTGCACGTAAAGCCATCAGAAGCCTCTTCACGCAACCACGTCTCCATCTCCTCAGCAATACCACTCGGCGAACCGAGGAATGTCAGCCCCGAGTATCCACCATATCTCTGCGCAAGCTGGCGGATCGTCAGTCCCTCTTCCTTAGCCAGCTTCTCAACAGACTCCCTGCTCGTCTTGCTGGCATTCGTCTCGGGTAGGTCGTCTGGCAACAAACTATCCGGATCAAGATCACTGACATCCACCCCAAGTGAGATTGACAAAGAAGCAATAGCACTGTCATAATGTACTAGACTATCCAACCTGAGTCTCTTTTCCTGCGCATCTTGCTTACTATCCCCAACGATAATCATTGCTGCGGGTAGGATCTTCAACTGATCTCTCTTCCGTCCCGCCTTCTCCACTCGCCCCTTGATATCTGCATAGAGCGCTTTCGCAGCATGGATATCCTTTGGGCTGCAAAACACAACCTCGGCAGTCTCAGCCGCAAGTTGTCGTCCTGGCTCGCTTTGCCCTGCTTGCACAATGACCGGCCATCCCTGTGGTGGTCTGGCAATATTCAACGGCCCTCGAACCTTCAACTCGTCGCCGGAATGGTTCAATACGTGCATTCTCGCAGGATCAAAATATTCCCCCGTCTCCACATTGCGGGTGAATGCATCGTCGGCAAAACTATCCCAAAGCCCTGTGACGACATCATAGAATTCACGGGCACGCTTATATCGATCACTATGGGCCAGATGCTCATCGAAGCCAAAATTATGGCTGGACTCTGGGTTTCCGGTGGTAACAATATTCCACGCTGCTCGCCCGCCGCTCAGGTGATCTAGACTGGCAAATCGCCGGGCAACGTGATACGGTGCGTCGTACGTCGTACTAGCTGTGGCAGCAAGACCGATCTTTTCCGTTACAGAAGAGAGAGCGGAGAGTAGAGTGAAAGGTTCAAATGAAGTCACAGTATGACTGCGCTTGAGAGCTTCGACGGGCATATTAAGCACGGCTAGGTGATCAGCCATGAAGAAGGCATCGAATTTGGCGGCCTCTAGCTTTTGGGCAAACTGGACAATGTGTTTGAAATTGAAGTTTGCATCCGGGTATGAGCCCGGATAGCGCCATGCACCTGTGTGCAGCGAGACCGGCCGCATGAAGGCCGTTAGGTGCAGCTGACGGTTGAGCTGGGAGTCGGTCATCTTGAGATTTATTTGGATTGTAGTATCTATTAAAAATTTGGAATGAGAACTGAGGATAGCTGTGGTTATATATACCCCGCTTACAGGTCGACCAGCTCGGTATGACATTTCCAAGCAGATTTATAAGCTTTGCTCAATTGGTCTTGATATGGCGTGCTTAGAGCTGCATATATATACATATCAGAATGGATCGAAATATACACAAGAAAAGGGAAAGATGAAGAAATAGTCAAACTGTAGTAAAAGAATAAATAGACCAAAGAGTATGCAAACAATGTACCTCTTCTTCAATTAAAATCGACAAACATGCCTTCCTGCTTTCTCACTTCCTCATCTTCTCACCTTCAGATCCTACTCTCTTCCTACCTAAATTCGTTTCACTTTTTCAAGTTTATCTACTTCCCATCATCATCGTCGTTCTAGTTTCTTGTGAGTTCTGCTGCCTTCTCGCGGGGGTCTATAAATGCCATCTCTAACACCCTTTTGATCACCTAGGTCTCTCTTTGCTATTCAATATATCTGGTTTTCCAGCACCGTCGATCATCACTGCCGAGACCACTTCATCCTTTTTGCTATCCCAAAAGATGATTTGATACCATGTAACTTCACGACAAACCTGTATGTTTTCCCTGTTCCGGCAAAGAAGAAAGTGAATACATATACACTTGGAAGACCGTGGACTTACAAAACTGCCAGCAAGAACACCTAATCTGTTTGAAAAACACTACCATTTTACCTTGCAAACGAGAAGATGCCATCTTCCACACGTGGGATAAGGTTAGAGACGAGATAGTGAGACGAATTGATCTTACGCAGGTCTCCACCGTAGGTTGCTGCCATGTGGGGACAACAGACGGCCCACGGAAAGCTCCCTCAACTATTATCGTTTCTGCAAACTATACCAGACACCCTCAAACAATCAAGAGAATCCGAGATACAATCAATGAATTTCGAAAAAGACACAGTGTCAGAAGTCTGAGTCAAGTTTTTAGAGTCAGGAGAGTTTCATTACAATGTATCAATGACGTTCCCAAAAAGCACAACGTGGCGGGGATGTAAGCTAAACACTTCAAAACCAGATATGCCATAAGCATCAAGAGCGGCAAACATGAAAAAGCCCACTAACTATGATTGAACCTTGATTTTGACTGATGTTCCCGTGAGCGAGCGAGGATTAATATCGTGGGTTTGGCTACCGTAGTCACTACTATGCTAAATATCTCACTATTGATTCGACCCCTGAGGGCTGCGTGCTGAAACAGCCTAAAGATTTTGCCTGAGACTTTGTATGTCAGGCCAAACATTGAGATACTCAAAATGCTTCTACAACTCTCTCAAAGTGGCTAACATCCAGCACGAAATCATGGACAGTGAGGTTGTCATAGGCTGTTTATTATCAGATTCTCAATATCAACCCCACCTATGTACTCAACTGATCACTTGTACCCCACCAGCTTGACAATTTGAGGCTTTGGATTTGGGGCCAAATATCTAGGTACTCTAAATATGCTTACTCTCTTAGGGAGGCTACTTTCTGCCACAAAATAACTCATCAAAAAGAAGTTCAATCCCGACTATCGAAAATACTCTGGCACCCAAGAGCAGCCCGTTCATCACGGGTCCAGCTTCTTGGTCTACAATGAAGACAGTCATATAATAATTAGCTTATATCCACCGGGCACTGCCTACTTCACCCATATCGGTAATGTTATTGTAGATGTCAACATGTCGCTGAGGAACATCCGACATGAGTCTTTGATCAGCGTGTCATTCGGCTTACCTTGGTGCAAAGATAGAGCTTGGCTCTCGGTGAGAATGTGAGCATCCAGGCACTTTTGGAGGCCTTTCGACCTCAAGCTCCTTAGATAGACGCAACTGTAATGAGAATCACATGCTTTCATGCCATAGACCCAACGAATATACAAATGATAAATATGCGCAAACAAAGGGTAGATATGTAGGAAAGCGTAACTTGTGATATTATGGCACGCTCTATGTCATGGTCCAGGTCGATTGTCATCGTTTTATCTTGCTTTGCCATGTGGTAGTTTGCCTTTTGCAGGCCTCAAGTCTTGGTAGTGAAATGCCCACGCTAGTGATCTCGCTACAAGGCTGATGGATCCTGCCCGGAATCTGTTATTCTACTGAGTATTGCTTAACTCATATCCCTTCTCGATACCCAAAAATTGTGTTTAGATATCTAAATTGCAGTTTAATTAAATCTTATATACAAGAAAATGTTGTCAGGAATCGTGTATCTCACAGGCATTCTGTAGTTCTTTGATTTTGACCCTTCTGACTGTAACAATGTAGAAGCAAAGATAACAGCAATGAGGACATGAAAAAGGATATCAAAAAGAGGCCTAGAAAGACACACCAATGTTGCACACCGAGTATAGTCGAGGATGAGCTTCATTTCATTTCAACTTGAGCCTGCCCACCCTGCCCACCTGGATATTGTGCTCTCCTCAACTACCACTATTAACCAAATTGACAATATCATACTTACCTTTCTGCCCGCATTGTCTCAATATTCCAAGCCTTTCCTCGTTTACCTTAGGTTTTTCGTCTGTTTCTCTTTCTCATCCTCGTTGTGTATCAACAGTTCAACTAATTTCATCCGTCTCATTCCATTTATCCTTCTCGCCGATTTTACCAATATCATTCTTCTCAACATAATGGCGAGTTCCAATCGACGAGACTTCCCGAGATCGAGGCCCTACAGCCAGGAACCGAGTGCCCGCACAATCCCTTTGAAGAACATAACGATCCTACCATGTCAACGAGGAGATAAAATCTTTAAAATGTGGGATGGAGTGAGAGATGAAATCGTAAAACGCATCGATCTGACGCACGTCTTCGCGGTAGGATGTTACCGCATGGAGACGGTCGATAACCCACGGAGAGCTCCCCCGACCATTATCGTTTCTGGAAGACACACCAGACACCTAAACACAAGCAAAAGTACCACAGATACAATCAATGCCATTCTCAAAAGGCACGGGTTGTCAGAAGTCCGAGTCGAGTTTTTAGAAGGCCGATACAGCAGAAACACATCCGATGAGGAGTCGGGAGATGAACCTGAGTCAAAGCGGGATGTCGATGAAACCCGCCCAGGAAAGTTTTACCACGATGTCGTTCGGCTTCGGTCAATGCCAGGGCAAAACCTCGCTCTGAAGGAAAATTCGAGCACTTAGGGCACGTTGGGAGGCTTCTTCGAGATTACCCTACCTGGAATTACGGAACCAAAGGTAGTGGGAATTACTTGCTTTCACGTAATTGACCCAACGTACAATCACACGGCGAATGTGACAAAAGCGATGGTGGAACAATGGCACAAGAATGGCATCAAGCCCAGCGACACAATGGCAAGAGAACTGAAAGTCGACCACCCCAGTCCTCGCGCGATCCGAGATAAGACCCGAGCGCTAGAGAAGGAGATTGACAGGATCCAGACTCCAAATTACAAGCTAAACGAAGAGCTCCTTAGCTATGACCAGGAACTCAGAAAATCTGACGAGAAGAAGCATTTGAAGGCAAAAGAACAGCTATTGAATCGCCAAGCGTTCCTCCATGACATCCAAACTTTTGATCCAGGATTTGGAAGGGTCTGGGCTGCCTCCGGCCTTAAAGTCGGACAGGCCCCAAGTATCGATGGCGGAAATAATGTTCTTCCCAGAATATATGATTGGGCTTTGATCGAGATTCCCCGTGAGCGGATGGGAAATAATATCGTGAGTTCGCCTACGGAAAGACTTACTAAGCTTTATCTAACCTTGAACTGTTTCATAGACCCCCGAACGCCATCGACTGAAGCAATCACCTCTCCCTAAGCTTGATGAAACATTGGAACTGTGTATATCTGGGCAAAAGTCAGGGTATTCCGAAGGGTACTTTTACTCCCTTCGCCCGGCACGCGTCCACCATGAGATCATCGGTGGAAAGAAAGTCATCACAACAAAAATTGAGCATTTAGTGATAGCCAATGGCGACAACGGCCCATTCTTTTCAAAGCGCAGAGACTCTGGCTCGTTGGTGTGGTGATAGGTTTACTCTTTTCAGGTGACCAAGACCCGCCGTACACTACCTGCTTCACTCACATTGATGACCTTCCCGCGGATATTAAAAGTACCATAGGGGCATCTGAAGTTCTATTGCAAAATGGCTGAGAGGCTTCAGGTTATGCTAGTTGACTTTCATCTTCCATTTGGCTTTTTTGCTTTTTCTACATATCCCTTCCAAGGTCGTCCGTTCATACCTGATCATCCATAGCGTGCCATGCACACAAGGGAGCTTTCTGTTCTCATTTCCTATTTCTCTTTGAATTTCCACATTCTATTATTCTACATAGGAGGATGATTAAATTTGTACAAGATGTTCTATAAAACCATAATTAACACGCAAGGCAGTTCAGATCCTGCCTGTAGTATAATTTGTAATACGGGTGTTTTTATAACTACATCTAATTCTGCTACATACTACTACTATAAATAGTTCGAAAAACAACCAGTTCTCGATGGTCTAACTTTTGGAATATTGGGTGGAAATTAATCAACAAGCTATAGAAAATTCTCAATGATAAATGTGATTCTCAACAATATTGTATTGTACACACCCCTCACTATGATCGATGAAGTAGGATTGAATGATTTGAGAACATAAACGTAGCTAGGACAGCAAAATACGAAATGGTATATGACGCTACACTATGCCTCAGCACCTGAGGTCTAAACTTTGTAACGACTTACTATGTCTATGAGACTACATGAAGTTTACATAGATCTATAGAACTAAACATAGAAAAGAAGCCCTGTAATAGCTACATAATGGAAAAATCGATAACAAGCTGGGTATCAGTAGGACTTGTAGGTCGTAAGTTGTGGCTACAATGCTATTTGAGCCACAAGTTCAGAATTCTCGGGCTTTCTCCGTCGCTCTGGCAAACCGAAAGATCCCCCCCACATCCTGCCCTTCATGATCATTACTCCCACCATTGGAAGTTTGAACTCTTCTAGGATGGACAAGATCTGGTCTCGAGGGCCACGCCAGTCTCTTTTGCTCTTGAAATCAACTTTCAGAAACATTACCACCTCGCTGTTCTTCGTATCTTGGGTTGTTCCTATGCGCATCGTTCCATAGTGAAGGCAATCTGTAAGATCGACCTCGTGTTCGATTCTTTGTATCACTGCACTCTGCACCGAATGAATGCGATCCCGTGGTCCCATAGGTAACACGCGAAATGGTTCGTGAATAATTGGGTTTGATATTTCGACATTAACATGACCGAGTTGGTTGTCGAATAAATTCTGCCAGATTTCGCGACAAGCCTGCACCCAAGCGTCACTAAATGCGTCACGAGTTGCAGTAATTATCAGAGTCGCCATCGGCTGGGCTTCAGGTTCATGTTTGTTCTCACATTTTTTGATCTTGGTCGAGGACGCACTGATTTTGTGTTGCTCAAGAACCGAAAGGATCATCTTGTAGATGCTGGTGGTTTCGAGAACTGTCCATAAAGGGGAACTGCCTTTCAGATTAAGAATTGTGACAGGTAGGGCACAGAGGTATGGCCCTCCAGCGCGATATTTCTCATTGATGAATCCATCTGGATCAACGTGCCACCGGCCCATGTCGTGGATACTGTCACAGCTGGTCTGAATACGTCGGCCATCTTGGAGGGGAGAGGCGTACGCTGCCCCACTTTGGGACCCTCTTGGTGCTTCATCATCCTCTGATTCAGAATCATGCTGGGAAGGAGTATCAAAGCTATCGATGGAGGATGATTCGGATTTGGCACTGAAACAGGAATCTGAGTCCGCTGAAGCTGAGCCAACAGAGGAATCATCAGAGATATTGTCAGAAAAATCATCAGAGAGCGTGCTGGATATGCTACTAGGATCTTTCTGGCTAGAGCTAGGGGCATGAAGCGTGTTGGAGTCATTCTCCGAGGTATTTCCACAGAAGATGACGGTTTGAACGTCACTATCGTTGTCCCTGTCGTACTGAGTGGACGTTTTGAATGCAGTGCTGGTTTTTAATTCACTATTCTCTTGGGCAGAAGGTTTGAAGGAGGCGATAAGTGGAGTTTCTGGTCGCATATCAAAGCTGTCGATGGAGGACGCTTCGGACTTGGCACCGGAAGGGCTATTCGAGCCCGAAGAGGAGCCATCAGAGGAATCATCCAAAAACTTGTCGGATATGGCGCTGGGATGTTCCTGGCTAGAGCTGGAGGTATGGAGCGTGTCGGGGTCATTCCCAGAGGGATTGTCGCACAGGATGACAGTTTGAATGTCACTGTCATCGTCACCGTCATACTGAGTCAATATGTCTGATGCAGTGCTGTTTATGAATTGACCGCTCTCTTGGGGAGGTGAGCCGAGCAAATCGATGGATAGAGATTTGGGTTTCGTCACAGTGGAAATCTCGTGTATGATGTCGTTTTCAGTGTCAAGCTAAGTAGGTGTGTTCGATGTAGGGCTGAGTTCGAGTCTGAAGCCTGCTTTTGAAAACTGTTCAAGCAAGGCTATAATTGGAGGCTTGAACCTCTTCTTAGTGAAAGCCCCAGACATCCTGATTTGAGGGTGGAAACGACCTCGGGATAAAAGTGGACTGAGGTGAAAGTGGAGAAGATATGCGGCTCAACGCTCTTGGCGAACCTTAAATTTCAGAAATCATGAAGGTCACGTGTTGGCTGTCTGTCTCACAGGGGCTAGCCCGGGAGGTACTGTCCCATCCCCATCCACAATACCTGGATCAAAAGTAGCCTTTCCAGCCCCCGTTTTATTGCTAATTCTCAAAGTTTTTCAATAATCTCATGCTCACTTGATCAAATACTACGCGCTTTCCTAGAAGAAGGCACTACCCGAAACATTACATTTCATGGAATATGTGCCGACCCCAATCCGCACGTGTTTGGTGCAATGGTCGAAGTAAAATACAAACCCCGAAGCAATGTTGCCGGTTCATCTTGAAATTGTCACCGCTATTCGAATATCACCATCCCACCGGCATGAGCTCTTCCCAGCCAGGTAAGCATGCTCACCTGAGCGCGTTTCAATATATCACTCATTCATATCATACTGGAACTCGAACGATGAATTTTTCAAATTCACGCGTGGTCGGTTTATTGTAGATGAGGCGGATAATCTTCAAAGACGAGAAATCAGATTTGACTTGAACAGGCTTGCAAGAGTCGCGGTAGACTCGGTCGGTGCCGTTCAATGCATTTCTATCAAGAAGTACCCTGATGGAATGTTCAACAAAACATTCCTTATGACTATGGAAGATGGCCGAGAAGTCATAGACAAAGTGCCTAACCCCATCGCTGGTGTTCCGCACTTTACCACAGCTAGTGAAGTCGCCACGATGGACTTTGTGAGTTCATTTTGAACTCTCTCAACGCCGAATCTTGCTAATGCGACTGTATTGAGAGGCTAGAAAAGTTCTTGACACACCAGTACCCCGTGTCTATGCGTGGAACTCGCGAGCAAAGTCACATCCTGTTGGGGCGGAATTTATTATCATGGATAAAATTGAGGGTGTCCCGCTGTCTCAAGTATGGAGCATGCTGCAACTACCCCAGAGGCTCAAAGTCATTCTTGCTATGACAAGTCTGCAGAAGAAATGGCTGAGCGTTTCATTCTCGCATTACGGCAGCCTGTACTACGCGGGAGACGTGCAGTCCTTCTCAAGCAACCACTATGTCAAGGATGGCATAGCCGTCAAAAGTTCAGAGTTTGCTATTGGCCCGGCTACTGGTCGGGATTGAGTCGATGCAGGTCGATCAACTTTGGATATTGATAAAGGACCGTGTAAGTCAGAATTTGTATATTTTTCTCGCAGCTGCTGATGGGTTTTTAGGGGCTTCTCCAACGCAGTACCTACAGACAGTCAGAACACGAGAACTGAAAGCAACTCGGTATACTAAACCACCCAAACAGATTGCCTTGTTCTGTGGTCCAAGGCTCTACTAACCCAATACAGAAACAAAGGTTGCTGCTTTAGCGTGCTATCAAAAGATCGTCGATGCTCTTATCTCAAAGGACACCTCTGTCACTAACCCATACCTCTGCCATAATGATTTGCATTATCATGATGATAATATCTTCGTAGACTCAGATAATCCCGAAAGGATCACGGTTATCATTGACTGGCAGTCTTGCCATATCTCACCTCTCTTCAACTATAATCCCGACTCAGCTCTCCTCGACTGGGATGGCCTTGAGCCTGAGACGCTCGACCTAGCTCCAAGGCCGACACTTTCTGGGCTTCCCTCCGAAGAAATATCCGCCGCTATGCGCGATTATATCGTTCAAAACATGTTCATTGGATGGCGAAAACTTATGCATGCCAAAAATCCAGACTTGTATCGAGCAATCGAATTCCGAAAGACGTCGGCGTACGGGCTAATACTTCTTGCCCATCGCATGTTCGAATACGGCGAGGCACACTTCCTATCCCTTCTAGTCGATCCCGGGATCACTGGCGACATTCCATTTCCATTTGAGTTTTCAGAAATGGATATTGAACGCATCAAGCTAGATAGCGACGATGCGGTGGCGGGAACTGAGCTTTTGTTTGAGATCAAGGAGACAATGGGCGATTTGTGGCCCGACAAAGGCTTCATCGAACATGAGCGATACGACGAGTGCAAAGCTGCGCTCGACGAAATCAAAGCTCAGATACTGGAGCAATTGGCTGAGACTGACGAGGAAAAAGCCGAGTACCAGCGGTATTGGCCATTTGAATAATATCGCGCTTTGGGGGTCACTCCAGTTCTCATCTATTATAGAGTATTGAGTCCACGGAAATGCTTTTAGTGCCACTATGTATGTACAAATTCAAATTCGGGGCAACTTCTGGGAACGGTCTCACCACTCTACTTAAGAGCTTTCCGCCAATTCAGCTTCAATAATTCCCAACCCGTCGCCCTCACGGACCCAGAACTTGATGACTCGCAAACCAACAGATGTGAGTAGGTTACTCCAGCGCTGGCGAGTTCTCTCCAATCCTGAGCAGAAAACCATCACAGCAATATCTGTCATACAAGGAAGCGAACGAGCGTTCTGATCAGGAAGAATATACTCTTCCATGATAACCTTGGAGAAACCCCGCTTCATAGCTGGCTTCAGATTGTTAAAGATGATGGTCGCTTTCTCGTCAGACCAGTCATGCAATACATTCTTGAAATAGTACGCCCGTGCCCCTGCATATGAAAATGTATGTGTTAGCCCAATCCAGATGAATACATATACCTATCAAAGAGTATTACCTTGAACTGGTTGAACTTCAGCAAAGAAGTCGTGCGCAACAGTGTCAATAGAAGCTGCCTCTAGATCCTGTGCGCATTGTACTTCCTCAATCACAGACGGGAGATCTTCCAGTACTAGTTTACCAGGGGCATCCGGGAACCTATTCCTAAACCCGATCAAGTCGTGGCCACGACCAGCGCCAATGTCAACCAAAAGTGGTGTTTCGGTAGTCATGTCCGGGTGGTCGAGAAGTTGTTCGCGAACAGGGAACCAGTCACCCCAGTGTGGACGGCCAGCACGCTGTCCTTCCATGAAACTATTAAATCGAGTCAAAGCTTCTGGGTTCTGGCAGAGCCATGTGAATCCATCTATCTTCATATCGTTCGTGTATTGCAGAGGGGCGAACATGGGATCATCTGGATTGCGATAGTTGGTAGATTGGAGATATTCGGGGACTTTTTGAACCGAAGGAAGAAACTCATGGAAGCTGGTTACATCAGTATACCAACATTATAGTGTTTTTTGTAAATCCAGGGCAGCTTACAGTGATCCCACAACTCCAATTGACGTTCGCTGGGTCATTTCTCGGGATAGCGCGGTGGGAAGGTATTCGCTGGGAGCCGGCTCTTCCACGAAGCCATTGGCGACCAAAACTCGCATAATGCGCTCTGAGAGCAAGTTAGATCTAACGCTTTTTGTGTTTGTAAGTATTTACTTACCGACTAGAAGGGGGTCTGCCGGCTTTGCTGCAGCCAATTCGGCCAGAGAGACCGGGGCAGTGGCCTGGGCTAGCACGGGAAATACATTCATATCATGGGCCGTCCTGACGGCCATGAGAATGATGGGCTTTCCAATTGGTTAGCAATATATTATATATCAATAACTCTTGGGGGGTATCTGTTACAGAAAATGACAGCTTGAGGATTGCATCTTTCGGTCGTTCAAGTGCACGCGCTAGCTGGGTAGCCTTTTCTTGTGCTTCAACTCGAAAGGTGTCGGTTTGAGTTGATTCATACAGATCGAGTGAAGCCTTGGCTTCTGCCAAAAGACCCTGAAGATGTTCGATATCCATGTTTAAAATTGTAAGGGGAACGAGAGCGAAACCAACAGGAGCAGGAGGGGCTTCGGCGCAAATATTTTCTATAATATCCCACCCTAAAACCACTCCACTAACTCAATATGTAGATGCAAGCCGAAGGATCCGATCATCACGCACTATGTACCTGAGGATCCATACAGCATCCACACAGAGACCATCGTGTTGTCTCCGTTGGGGGCGGAATAGCGGGACGATGGTGATGGACTCGGCCTCGGCCAAAGCCATCGGAGCTAAGTACGGCCCCGACGGCCCCATTAATATGTTTTGATTTTGATCGTCTTCTGTGTATGCACGCATGTCTTATTTTATTTAAATGAGGTTACAATCGTCAGAAGTGGATTCCAGGGCTCTGACTTGACTTAGGGGTGCCCTTTGATAAAAACTTGTTTCGTTCATTTTTTTCGCCTTCATATATCCTGACCCACACTTAGTACGTGGCAGGAAACAAATAGTTTGTTCAGGAGAATCCTAGGAATTTGGACTAGGCATTAGTACCTCGTAAATCGACATTAGCCCCCATATTTCTCTGCCGATTCCAAGTCACTAGATTCATTTAGTATCTTGCCCTTTATTTTGCCTCCGACTGAATCCACAATGAAGCTTTCTTCTCTATATGTGAGGGTACATAATTTACTTCCGATTCCTCACTCTCTAATTCGCGAACACTTATCATGGCCTCCAACGTTATGGTAGAGTTGTTCGCAGAATGGGCTATAGGGCTTGTCATCATTGCAATTCGCATTTACGCACGCTGGAAACTTGGAAATGGCAAATTCTACTGGGATGATCTTTGTCTAACACTTGCCGCGGTCAGTCATTTTTGCCTTTCAAGGGTAATCATAGGGGACTATACTGATTGAAAAAAGATATTTTGGACAATGCATACCGTCTTCCTTTACCTCTGTACAGGTATATTTTCCTCTAAATTTCTAATTTGGTCGATGTTGATTCAAAACAGATGTATACGGATCGAATATTGGCCTCAATGAGAAAACGGCGATGGAGGTGCCTGACAGCCAAGTCGCAGCACTACGAACCGGCTCCATCCACGCATTTGTTGCCTGGATCAGCTATATATTCATGGTTTGGTTGTTTAAGGGGGTCTTAATGTTTCTCTACAACAGATTAACGTGTGTCCCATACTTCTTACAGCTATTCAAAATTTACGCTAACGAAACGACAGAATGGGTCTCTGGCAACACCGCTTGACTTTAATTATTGGAGCCTTTTGTGTCTGCACATTCGTCACATCATTGTTTTTCCACATCTTTATTTGCGAGCCTGTACATAGGAGTTGGCAAATCAAGCCATATGCTGGAGGTGAGATCACTATATTCATACCAATTCTATAGTTTTACTAAACTCCTTGGCAGATAACTGTACCATACGCCCCTTAAACTATATCATCATTGAGACCCTCAGTATCACGTCAGTCCAAACTTTTTGAATCCCTCCTAACAATCGATAATCTAACTAATTGACCAGAACTGACATTGCGATCCTGACAATCCCTATTCCCCTCGTCATAGCAGCCCGCATCCCAATCTCCCAAAAGCTCCTTCTCTGCCTCCTCTTCTCATCCGGAATCTTTGTCATGATCGCCGCATTCCTCCGCGCCTACTATTCTGTGAAAGACATATCCGAACTATCAACCGCCCTGGGCTGGGCCTCCCGCGAAGCCCTCGTCTCTGTGATAATAATCTCCGCTCCGGGAATTAAGCCATTTATCAGCAGCTCGCGCTGGTTCTCGTCGAAGGGTAGTTCAAATCGTACTAGCCAGACGCCAAAGCGAAGCAGTCTGTTTAGTTCCTCGAATCGTGGTGGGGAGACGTATAATAGACATCCATATGAGCTATCATCGGGGGGTTGGGGGAAATGGCGGCGAGATTCGATGGGTGAGAGCCAGCAGCATATTGTTGATCGTAGGAGTGGAGAGGGCGCAGAAAATTGGAAAGAAGGAATTGTGGTTACTACGGATGTTACTTTGTTCGAGGACACAGGGTCTCAGAATCAAAGCCATTCTTGATGGTGCGAGGTGCATATAATGTTCTAATATCTGTAGTAAAAAAGAAGATTGAAACAGGCGGTAAAAAATCAAAGTTAAACCAGAAATTGAATTCGATACATATTCAATGACTCGCAGTGTGTAAGGAGCGTTGCTATCAAATTTCTCGTTTAGGACAGGGCAGTTGTCTTTTTTATGTCGTCACTGTCCATCGCCTTGAAAGATTTCAACAGGTCTAGCAGTGGTCATGTTAAGTCGGTTCTGTTTTAGTAGAATTCAAGCATTTCTTTTTGGGTAATTCACGAAACTCGATAACGGGTGCCACTAGGTCATCATAACTAGTCCGCTTACCGCGACATTCAGCCTTTTCCTGCAGATCCTGCGAGCGAGGATCTTATCCACCTCGTATTTTGGGCGGTTCGTACCGATCACGGCGGGTGGGCGATTTGGCCGTGGAAGCTCCGACAATTCCAGTGAAAGAATGCCACCTGGAATTCACTGTTAAACCTCCTGAAATGGTTCAAGGCCATGGACAGCCACGACTTCCGATTATACGAGGGCGACAACCGCCTCGTCCTATGAGAAATTTAACAGTGATCCTTTGACGAAGAGGAGAATGAAGCGAAGGCCTCTGATCTAAAAACTACGGGATACAGAATATCATATGATGGCAATCTGGGAGTGATACATAGATGAATTCAGGAGAAATTGGATTATGGCTTTGGAATGGGCTACTACTGGCATAATATATGTGTATAATACAGGTGAGACTCTTCTTCTCAACAATGTTAACTAAAGGAAAGGCAAGCTTGCTAGTTAGAAAAGTGGAGGTCGAAGAAGAGCTATAGGTGATGGTGGAAGAGGATGCGGGTCCTAATGACCCCTGTGGGACTTTGTAAACAATTGAGCAAAATGGAGGGAGGTGATATGAAGCGAACCGGGAGCTTCCAAGGTTACTCCGTAGATAGCTCCAGGGCTATATTAGCTTATGCGTATCTCTCGGCGCCACATCACCCCTTTATGGAACCGCACCTATAGACTTTGGTAAGCACTAATAGAAGCGAGATTTGCCTAATTTGGCTCGCTCAGCTGCCAACTACCGTCGGCAAACAGAGGAAAGCAATTTATATAGTTGCTAGTCCCCAGGCATATCCTTCTCTTTCAGTCACTAGCATTTCTTGAAGATATCGCAACAGCAGACTTCTTCCGAGTATAGGTCCTCCTGTGATCAACTTGCATACGATGGATGGCACGAGTATGAATCTATGTACGGAGTATCACCGGGCATGGCGTAAACCTTCTCCACAAGGAACAAACCCGGCTGACCGCTACATCGTATTCTACAATTATTCTGAACAAGGATTCAAGTTAAGCGATTTACAACGGAAGCCAAGACCTAGAAGACCTATAATCCTAATCCAAAGACATAATGATATTATTCAAAGCACATTGCCAATTCTATTTCCCTATATTCCTACAACCCAGCATCCCCGCTGGTAACCACGTATGTTGTGATTGTTTCTCGCGCTGATCCATCTGCCATTCGCGCGCAGGTTTATGTTTTCCTCCAAGATATAAAACCCAGCGTAGGTGTAACCAAGAAATTCCATGAAATCATGGAAAACAATAATAAAAAGAGAGATTCGTGACTCGTGTCATTCGTATATGATAGAACAAGAAAGAAAGAGAAGAAATTGAAAGGGCACTGGAAACAAGACTAGAAGTGTTCCTTCCAGAATTTGAACCGGACGTCCTTGGTTGATGAAGATTTCGCTGCATCGCTAATCTGCATGGCAGCAGTATTAGGACCACAGAAATACACACCGATCTCGGTGGTACCTGCACTCTGTAGACCCGTCATGTAGGACTGGTTCAGCAATCCAAGCTTCATAGCCGTGAAAAGCCGCTTGAAGTCTGGACGACCGAAGTTTGTCCGACTCTTTAACTCAGTGAGAGGATCGAGGGCCTGACCGACAGAGTTGAGGTAAATATTTGCAGCAGTGTCAGCGTCAAGACGCTGTGTGAGGTAGGTGTGGATACGCAAGAACTCGGTGCTTCCCTCGCTAGCAGCTGCATTGGCAGATTGGGCTTCGAGAGAAGACAGTAGAGCTTGGAACCACTCAAACGAGGAGGTATCTTTGCAGACCCAGATAAACTCGACACGTCGTAGTCGACGAGGAGGGTTTGGACTTGAGCGGAGATGCCAGATGTTCTTGAGAATAGATGCCCAGGGTGTGACGCCGATGCCGGTACCGATGAGAACGGCGATTTCGTTCTCGAACACGTCTTCTGCGGGTGCACCATATGGTCCATCCACGCGGATTCTGGGCATGGTCTGTCCGTTCTGTAGGGCAACTTCGTACATGCCGTTCGGGTCGAGGCCTTCAAGATCTTTGGCTTGGGCGGGACCGCAACCGAGTGCATCTCCCAGTGCTCGGGTGAAATCTCCGACCTGACGGACGTGGATACTGAGATATGGATCAAAGGGGCAGGAGGTGATGGTGAATGGATGCCATTGTGTGCTGGAAACATCAGGCACTTGGAGGAAGAGCCATTGTCCGGCTTTGTACTTCATGCTTGGTTTGTGGAACTGGATCTCCATGGCGGCTAGGGTTATTTGTTAGCTGCATTCAATCCAATACTTGGGAAAGAAGAGAATCATACCATAAGGATGACGGATGACTTTTGTGATGACCGTCACGCGCCGGGAGCGGATCTCCCTGTAGATTCGCTCGAAGAGATACAAAGCTCCGATGACCAACTCCCATCTCCACCCTTCATAGCCAAGACAATGATCCCAGAACTGTTTTCCTGCGAAGGGGGAGATCGGGGCGACGGTATCTCGAACAAAGCACCCGGTAGCATGGGTATACAGTGCCAACATAAATGGAATGAAAAGGTGGTGCGCATACCAGAAGGTTTCATATGCTTGCTGGCGAATGCGGTGGTGTGCAGTGGTATACATGAGCATCATGCACAGGAGCATGACATGGCCAGTAATACCACTTGCGCGTGCAAAATGGATTTCCACTGCAAGTTCTGGGCGGATTTGGTCCTTTTCGATGTTGTAGAAACTGGTTATTGTCAGTAAAAAAAAACCAAAGCAACCTGACAGAAATCAGCTTACTTGACGTAGTGAGCAGCTGTGTGGATAGCTGTGAATACTAGTATGGCATAGGCTATTTGTCGATGGAACCACGCCGATTCATCTAGCGGTAGCCATCTGATCTGCGGTCTCAGCCATCGAAGGACATTCCGACACATGGGAAACAGGATCAAAGTGCAATCGACCGAAAGGACAAGGCCTGCGCCTCGCGATATCCAGACTGAATAGTTAAGGACATTCAGCCCCGCCAATTTTTGATTTGCTGCCTGCAGATACCTATTAGAATGTCAGCAACACACTCCAGGAGTTGCTAGGCGTCAATATACATACCATCCCACAGCAAAAATGCCAATATGTACACCCCAAAAGAACAACTGGAACAAGACCCCGGAAACGGTCAGGTTCGCCCTCTTGAACCAGGACTCTTGAGCTGCAGCCATTCTTTCTCAACGTTTTCAAGAATGTCGACCAGCGACAAGTAATTTGGGCGATAATTCAATCAAAGGAGTGACGAGTCCAGACGGTTGACCAGCAACCCGGTAATATAGGCTAAAGTTCTGTCGAAAGCGAAATCTGCTGATCCCGTTTCGCAGCAAGACTTCAGTGCCGATATGAGAGGTTGGTGGCTTCGGAGTTCTTCAAAGTCGCCGTTTCTCCATGAACTTGACGTAGAACAGAATTTTCTGGCCTAACTTCCGCTTGGAAGTTGAGGATAAAGGTCTCAGCGGCTTTGAGAATGTTCCAAATAATATTGAACGGCTCGAAGTGCGGATAGCACGCTCACGGCTTGCGATAATACTTAATCAAGATGTATAGAAACTGAATGTAGTTTGCGTGCTTTGTCGCGAGCGATGTGGCTTTTCGCCGGGGAATTCCCCTGCACGTGTCCTCTCGAATACAAGAGGTTATTGAAGTTTGAGATAAAATATGATGTTTTATCTGTTAAATCGAGTTATTCCAGGCATGATTGACGTCAATAGATGAATAAGGACAGGACCGAAGGAAGGTTGGAGGTTCAGAGAATCCCAGTGTTGTGGTTTTAGCTGCAGGGGTGAGGGGAGGGGCCCGATCTATAATTACATCGCTTCTAGCGGGCCTACAACCGAAAGCCTACGGTATATTTTAGTCCAATAGACTACTCAGACCTACGTCTGTGCTTTTAAAATTCTCCTAGGAATTAGTTGTGGAGAGACTAAGATTGTAAGTGTACGGAGTAGAGGCTAGAATCTTCGTCGCTTACAATACTCGTCAGTTTTTGCCTCCCTTTCAACTATCTATCTTGGCTGATTCTTTCCAAGGTTTTCAAAGGTCCTGCCTGTGATCTCAGACTCATGTTTTAATTAATAGTATGCGAAGTTTGCTATTTTTAATAACCGTTCGTAGTAGGAACACCAATCATGACCTGAAGTTTATACGCCCTTGCAGTCTGACCGTACCATGTTCCCCGCGGTGAAGCGAGTCTAGTACTAAAAAGGCGGCACCCCCTGCCCAAGAAATCTTATCCGACTCGGCTTTTTTACTCTAGTAATGACGGGCTTGAACGGGGAGCTAAACGGGTCGAACCCAATGTTCAAAATAGATCAATGCCCCGGAGACGTCAGAGAGGCTGGTAAGTGGCCATGAGGGACCGTGAGCTGCGTTAAAGGAGACCAGGGAAAGAAGGTTGCTGGGAGATTGGCCTATCACAAGCCTTCTGCAAGCGCTGTCTTCCTGTCACACTGGAGCCCCGAGGGTTGACCAGGGTCAATCTGACGGTCAATTGGTGAAAACACCTGTCATTCGATCCAGGATCCTTAGCGAGTTGAAGGTTTGGCCCAAATATAGAATAGTGATTTGACTTGGACTTTGTTTCCCCATCAACGGCGAATTTTTTCCGATGAAAAATCCCCACTTAGCACTGAAAGCTAAACCAGGCACGGATTTACTCTGCAGAAGATGCAGAAAGACGGTGTGTTGGACGAAATTGAAATCAGGGCTACCGTGATCATCTGATCTGGAATGTTCCAAACTTGTCTTTGGTACAAAGCTGAGACAGCCCAGACAACCCAGCCAGTTCAAAATAACATGGGCCTCGGTTGAAATTCTCAGTAAAAAAAAGTACAATTTGAATGTCGATGAGACTTGAGAGGAACACCCCTGTTGTAACTGCCCTGTGCGTTCCATGCGTGCCACCTGCAGTTCATCACGCCAAGCCTAAGCGCCACGGCCTCTGATTTGCGGCCATCCACTTTACGATCCGCTCCGTCACATCCCCCACTCGCCAATCACACGGACTTATGCCACTTCTTCAAGAAGCTCAGTGAGGGGGTTGTCATGGAATCGAGGACCTTTCCCTCGATGATTGGTCTACAATACTTGCATCCGTGCGGGCCACGGTTTAGCCCTATCCTTCTTTTGCCGGTGGACCAACCCCATCCAGCGATTCACTTTTTTGACGCTCAACCGTCACATCCTGGCAGAGTGATCCGAGTTCTGGGTAATTTAAGTTGCCAGAGGGGTCGCTACGAAGTAGTCTAAGTATAGATTCTTATACCTGGTCCCATCTGCAAGCATGCCACCCGGAACATGCTGCTTTTTCTTCCCCATATGAGATCATGCTACCGCGATAAACCCTTGCAATTCTATCCACTTTCCATGTGCTCTGGATTTTTCAACTCAATAAACATCTCTATGGCTTGCTAGGCCGTACGATGAAGTGATTCCCTCACAGAATCTGTCGCAGCTATTTGGGGTTTACGACAATTGTCGCCCAACATTAGCTTCGCGCTTTGTCACTTATACCCAAGTGACTTTATTTCCTCCGAAATCTTCGCTGGTCGAAGTTCTACCTCACACAAACAACCCGATTTTCACACGGCGAGGTGCCTATAGCCCAGCACAATGGGCAGACTCATCAAGAACCACTGGGGGAGGTTAATCATTCTCACCGCAGCTGCTTGTACGTTTCCCACTCGAAATTCCAAACTTGAAACCGGCACTGACAGAATGCAAACAGACCAGGTTGCTAGCGCTGTCGAGGGCTTTATCTGGCCCAAAGTTTTCTTCGACTTTATCTCCAGAAACCTCGATGCGGCCGTCGCACCGATACCCGTTCTTCAAATCCTAAACCTCATCATGGGCCTCGTGGGCATAGCCTGGGAATGGCCTCTCAAGCCATTTGCTGGCTCAATACCCCACCGCAGCATTGAAATCCGACTCATCATATACCCTCTTAGCGCCCTCCTCGCGGCGCTTCTCTATCAAGGCACAGACCCTGCAATATATTATTTGATTGGCATTGGAGTCTATTTCTGGGCCTACAGTGAAGGCGAGGTATTTTTCCCGCACGTTTTGACATAGCCTGTTCTATGCTAATGAGAGACTATAGGTTGTTTGCCCAGAGCCTTGGACCTTGCCGAAACGGCATGGACTACTTAAAGTATAACAAAGCGATTCGGTCTGGTGCATCAGATGCAGCAGACGCAGATCATGTAAATAGCATAATACGTAACGAACTTGACGACTTGAAAGAATGACATTGCTTGTATTATCAATCTTCATGTGGGTGGTGGGGTTATATGGTCTATGGCATGCGTGGGGGGGGACTACCCAAATATTCCTCCTGCTTTTATTTTCAACGTGTGTACATCCAAATTGACATTTTATTCAATCGACAACGACAACACTACTCTCCTCTCAAAGTATCTGAAATAGTTGCACATCATATGTTGATGCCTTGTTAGTCAGGAATCAACAACGATTCGTCTGGCACGTGATGCTCTATCCAGATTGAAGAAACACGTCATATTGACAATAGCACCACACCTACAGATAAAGCTCCAGAAGATCCCATATAAATGCCTTACGCTGTATCCATATGTCGCAACCGACCTAAGCGCAGCTTAGACTGAAAACTAACCAAATCAGACTGACACCAAAGAAGATGTCTCCGTCCACAGGAATCCAACCCAAAGTCGAGGAAGACGGGCTTGCCCATGGCACAATTGAGGATGTCCCAGTCAACAAAATTACCAGCTTCAATGGCAAGCTACAGAAGTTCCTGCATAGCGGGACCACAGCGCCTTCAGTCCCAAGTACCTCGAGCACTACTACATCGCAACGTCGCATAAACCCCGAGGCCGAATATAAACGAAACATCACCGAAGACCAAGCAGAAGCCATTATCTCCAGCCCAAGGCGCAAGAGAGCAGCCCCACAGACGACAGTGTCAGAAACCATAACCACGCGCCCACGCACCACCCGCTCACAGTCAACCTTAACGACAACGTCTGCATCCCCAATCCCACCTCCTCGAACCCCAACCAAACGCAAGCGCAGCGCAACCCCCAGACTCCCACCAACGCCCCCAATTGCCGGGCCTTCAGCTACAGAATCCCTTCTCCGCGACACAATCCCGCCAAACCTGATCCTCCTCCTCGTAGGCGTGAACCCAGGAATAATGACAGGCATAACAGGGTACGCCTACGCGCACCCATCAAACCTATTCTGGAAACTCCTCTACTCATCCGGTATAACAAGTATCCGCCACATACCTGCGGACACATACAAGCTTCCTGCGCTGTACAGCGTGGGCAACACGAATATTGTGGAGCGGCCGACGCGGGATGCGAGTATGCTCAGTCGCGCGGAGATGGACGCCGGTGTGCCGGTGCTCGAGGCTAAGGTTGCGGCGCAGAGGCCGGAGGCTGTCTGTCTTGTTGGGAAGAGTATTTGGGAGGCTGTTTGGAGGGTTAGACATGGGAGGGGGATTCGGAAGGAGGAGTTTCGGTATGGGTGGCAGGGGGAGGAGGAGAATATGGGGCGCTGTGATGGTTGGGATGGTGCGCCGGTTTTCGTCGCTACGACGACTAGTGGGCTTGCGGCGGGGATGAAGCCGGCGGAGAAGGAAGCTGTTTGGGGGGAGTTGGGGAAGTGGGTTGTTAGGAGGAGGGGGGAAAGGGGGTTAGATCCTGTGGTAGTTGAGGATGAGGTGGTAGTCAAGGACGAGGTAGTGGTTAAAGATGAGGTGTGATATGGGGGGTTGCGATTTGTCGTTGCTTTTATTTGTATAGATGATGTCGCTGTGCTATATACCATCATGAGCTTGCTAAAGAATCAAACCGACGTACGAATTAAAATATTAAGATGAAGATTGAAATAGTTTGTATTTATTTGTAGACGAGTGAAATCGCTCATCATTCATTATCTCATGATATCAGGTGCAGAAGCCTGTGGGTACCAAGATGCAAACCCAGAAACGGCAAGCACTTCCTCTCAGCCCATTCCAGAGCTGAAGATAGAGGGTGTTACGTGACGTTTCTCCGAAAGGACCATGCGCCGAAGTGCCATACAAGGGACGATCGAGGAATGTGGATATCTCAATAGAGGTCAAGGTTGGGGATAGAGGAGAGGAGGTAGGTGTCCAGGGTGTGCTTCAATTAGACAGCAACACTTGTCTGGTCGCCCAATTGGCCTCGAGAGGAGTGGATAGATTTAGCGAGAGCCGTTGGAGTCGTTCTTGCCTCCCTCACGCTCGCGTGCCTGTTGAGGTATAGTTAGTATATAGAACTATTGATTCACTGTGGAACTGAGAGACTTACTGTAGAGGCCTGGTATTCGCCGCCTTCTAGGATCTTGACCATGCAATCATCCTCGTTGGTTGTGCCGAATTCGTTCTGCAGAGAGCTCTGGCTGGCGGTATCAAGGACACCTTGGGCTCCGTGGCTGTATACAATGTTAGCCATTGCTTTGGTGATTGAAAGGTTGAAGACACTTACGAATGAGTCAGGAAGATCTTCCAGCCGTTGAGAACTTCAGTCAATGGAATGCTGCGGTCGGTCTTCCATTTCTGGAGGGTCTCAAGGTCGTCCACGAAGACGATAAAGTCGTCGGACCGACCCTTATAGAAGATCTTGGAGGCAGTTTCGTTTCCGCGAGCCATTTTGAAAAGATGTGGAGGTTAAGTTTTGAAAAGGGTTGAAAAGGTTTGAATAGGGTTGAAGATATAGTGAAAATTGTAATGAAGAAGAAGATGAAAGGTAAAAGCTGGTGGTTTAATAGCTGCGCAGGTGGGAGCTTAGGTGATGATGACTGGTGACGTCACAATATGAGCTGATGCAAAAAGAGTAGTCGATCGCATGTCTTGGTATGTCTTGGATGTTCATACTATTCTCTATGGGGATAATCTGAATTAGTTCAAATTGTATAATCAAATCACAGTGGATAGCATTCTATGTCATTCTACTCGTTCTAGTCCCTTACTTTACTACTACTACACAGTTAGTTGCCAACTATTGCAGCTGACGACGTCATAATAGCTCTCCCCTCCCCGCTGCTGGATCCGCTGTGACGCCAAACGTGGGGATGAATTCTCAAAGCCAAGTGGCAAGTTGGATTCCAATTAGCTATATGGAGTAATGCAAGCCACAATTACGTTTTTGCCAAGTTAATTATAATAAGGTCTCTTGACTCCAAAGCTCCCAGCTCCCATCGAATCCAGCAGAACCATCCAGAACCATCCAAAAGGAATAACACAGATAACACTTCGCCTAACAATAATAGGGAACATCACTCGGCCTGAGAGCGAGTCTTTTTCAGTTTCTTGGATTTCAAGGAACTAAACACTTTCTTCGGAGATGACCACTTCTTAGGAGACTGAGCTGACTCGGAACTGCCATCCTGGCTTAGTCGCTGTTCGCTGCGAGGTGAAGAAACCGACGATGCAGGATTCTTGGGTGAGTCTTTGAAAAAGAACGCCTTTGATCGCCGAGGGGTGGTGGGTGTTTCAGGTGAATTACACTCGGCTTCCTTGTTCTCCCCCATCTCGCTGTTGCCTGGTGCCTCCTTATTCATTTCCTCTTTCTCTTCGTCAGCGCGCGTGTCGGTCGATACTGTTCTCGAATGGAAGGTACTGTCGGAGCTCGACCGCCTTGTAAAACCTGGACGAAGGCTAAGCCGTCTCATGATCGAACCACGTCGGAAGAGATCACCCCTTCCGAGAACCATTCCTGGTGATGGAAGGAGGTCTGCTGTATAGATGTCTGATATTAATCGCTCCAGCCGAATTCGGTCCATTCGGCGTGCAGTCAATGTCACTGCGGAGCGGTCAACAGGTGTCTTGGGCCGTTCAATCTCGCCTTCAGCCTGTGTGACGGGTTCTTCCGTGTGGCGCGGGAAGTGCGTTTTCTTGATGACTACATGTTGAACGTGGGACTTGCGGATGATTGACGTTGAATCCATCGACCTCCGCGCTACGGAAGATACTGAGTATTGAACATGGTCCAGAGGCAACAGTTGGAGGGCCAAAAAAGAATGTCTTCCTGGCTCCCACGTCCTAGGCTGGGTCGTTTCGACCAAAGTGGCGGACACTTTGAGAATCTCAGTATTCCATTGCTTTTCCTCCACTGCCGATGATGCACTGAGGATGAATTCGTAGTTTTGGCCTTGGTTTTGAAACAGGAGCTTCCAAGAAAATACACATCCGTAGGAATATAGCCCTGATAGGTTAGATATATTTCTAGCATATATCATAGAAGAAATTTACTCACCTCGTCCATTTTGAAGCGAATCAAACTTAAGACTATCTAGATATACACTGGCCACTGCTTCCAGTCGATGCATTTCATCGGCTCCCTTGGCGAAGAGAAGGTAGCGTTGAAAAAGTGCACACACCATGAACTCGCCGTTGGTGGTTGCCGGCGTTTGATAAGTGACATGGAGCACACCGCACATGATCACCGGGCCTAGGTCCATATATATATCCTGAATTGCGTGCTGTACCAAAACATTCAGCCTGTTAGTTCCATCAATTAAGAGATCTTGGGCTGCTTACCGATTTCGAGATATCAATCTTATCCTGAAGAAGGAATGTCTTGCGAATGCGATCTTTGTTGATCGGATTTCCAGCAGCCAAATTAATTCGTGTCACCTGCACACGTATACTATCCAAAGCTTGCTGAATTCCATCATGGGAAGATGGACAGTCACTGACAGGAGTAGCCCTGAGCAGATCTTGTAGCACAAGGGGGTATTTGCAAAGACGTTGGATCGGCTATCTTCTTGTTAGTAGTTGATATACTCATGCTTGACTCACATACTTTTATTAGCAAATCATTCAATGTCATTGATTTGTTATCCTCTTGCCTGCGTCGCTCTGTGGACGAAACTGATTTCGAAAGCGCCTCAATTCCTTGATCGTATATTGTCCAGTTGGCAATTGATCGGCGTAAGAGAGCAACATCATGTGTCAATAGTTCATAGTTGCTGCAAAATTTGTCATACACGGGGAATGAGAGTAACTGTGGAATTCCCAATCAGTACATGCACCACACACTCTCATTGGTGTACGAATACTTGCCAATCTTTCAAATTCGCGAGCAACTTCCAATGTCTCTGCTGGTTCAGCGGCGAGTGCCAATAGGCGTTGATTGACTGATGCCTTAAGTGATCGGGTTCTCAAGGATCGTTGCTGAAGTCCCTTTAGGCTACTCAGATCAAGGGTCCCTATACGCTTGGTGATTCCCCGAGATGTAAGTTCAGCAGCGCCTGTCTGTTGAGCCTGAGGTGCTGACATGGGGGATGCCGTGTGAAGCTGGGTCAAAAAGCGTTCATGCATTTCGAGGATCTCCTGGACGTTCTCATAGATCTCGCGCCTCGTGCTAAAGATCGTAAGAATCTGTGAATTTACAGAGCACATCAGTATCAAACTAAGAGGTAAAAGTTGACTCAATGGCTTACCCCGATAAGAGCTTTCAAGCCAAGTACATAGTCGGACTCAGTTTCAACAAGTTCCTGTAGGATATGGCGCCGTCTGGTGGATCGTGTTTCCGCAGCCTCATCAGCATGCCGAATAGAGGTTGATCGAGAGATGTCACCAGAACCACGTGCATCCGATTGTATGCTCTGGCTTGTTGCACTTTGAAGAGTTGTCCTTGATCTTATCAAACTCTGGCTTCCAATGCTTGCTGTGGTTGTTTTGACCGTTCCGAGCTGCGATGAGTCGGATGCACTAGACTGGAGAGTTTGCGAGCCTTGCGAAGATGAATCTGACCAGCCCTCCACATACCGCCGTTGAACTGTTGGAGACTCATGTTTCCGTCCTCGAAAGCTGTCCATCCATTTCTTGAATGGGCGAGAAGTTGACTTGTCGGTCGGAGTCACTCCACCGCTGCTTTCGAACTTCTCTTCAGATTCATCATCCAGCAGAGCTTGTTTCTCGATTTCTGTATCATCCTGGCCCGCCATTGTCCCAAATAATGATCCCGCCCAATAAAATATAGGACTCAGATTCCGATGGCATGGAGAAGGAAGAGGCGGACCTAACCGACTACTCAAAACAACGGGATCGAACTGCATGGCGAGGGAAGAGCGACGGGAACTACCTGCCTCGCCTACATCCCCGACTCTGAAAAGTGAATATATGAAAAACAGGGGAAAGTACCACTATTCAGGCAGTACAGAGTAGAAATTGCGAATTTGAAACCCATCCATGTACGTCATGAGGTGAAGCAGCAGGATAGCTGGAATTGAAATCGCTCATTTTATCTTTCTTTTTCTAGCCATTGGGTGAGCTTTTGTTTCTTGTTATGTATTAGCGTATGTGAAAAAGTGAAGCTTAACTTGAAGAGGCGAAAGTCATACATCCTTCGAGCGCCAAGCATCGCCGCTTATATAAAATAGTGGGAGCTCCAGGGCTAGGTACCTACATCCCTCCAGACCCACCTCACCTGACTTTCTTCTCCTCTCCCTTTCTTTCTGTCTTTTCTCAGTTAATCACAATGGGCGACAACATACATGCTCCAACTGTTGCTTCTGGACCGTCGTCTGGGGGCACTCCCCGCGATTTGTCCAAATTGTCGATGCCAGATCTGATGCAGGAGAAAGAACGCATCGAAGCGGAACTATCAGCTCTTAGTAGCGTCCTCCAGTCGGTATGATTTTAGACGCAGAAGCTCCTACCGCAGTTCCTAACAAGGTTTTTCATTCCAGCATGGAGTACGCATGACTTCATCTCTCACCACCTTCGACGGTTACCCCCGCGATGATATTGACATCGCGCAAGGTACGCCTCTGCCACATCCTAGTTGATTAGGACATATCGCTGAAGAGAGAGTGTGTAGTTCGCACAACGCGCGTGCGCATTATCCACCTACGAAACGATCACAAGGAGGTGATGCGACTCCTCGAGAAAGGCATCCACGCACATTTCGCCAATCTACAAAATACGCAAGGCGCTGGACCAACTACGAATGGCACCAACGTTGCGCCGATTGCGCAATCGTTGACGAATAACACCGCATTGGGGGCACCGTTTGCCAAGGTCAATAGCGTGGTTTCGGGAAGTCCAGCAGACCAAGCAGGACTTAAATCTGGCGACGCAATTCGAAGTTTTGGGAACATCAATTGGTTGAACCATGAGCGCCTTACGAAGGTGGCCCAAACAGTTCAAGAAAATGAAGGAGTACGTTTGGTTCTCCGCCCCTCCGTCAAAATAGCTATATGTCTGACCCTCTTTCTCTACAGCGGGCAGTATCGGTCAAAGTCTGTCGGAAGAATGAAACAGGTGCTAACACAATGGAGCTGGACCTCCAGCTCACCCCTCGACAGAATTGGGGCGGCCGTGGCCTTCTAGGATGTCATTTGGTTCCCTTATGAGGGCACACTTCCACCCAGACTAAAAACATTGCATAACCCAACTTTGCTACCACCGTGTACATTGTCGATATGTAATTATCATGACTAATGCGAGACGTCTTTTCTGGCTGTTTTTTCTACAAATACTTCGATTCCTGTAAAGAGAGATCGGGAAATCGTATGCGCCGCAATGGCGTTGAACTTGGGAGGCGAAGACCTGACCATCAAAATTTATTCTAATAACCCAATATGAGAATAACTAAAAATAGAGCTCATCGCGAATATCGTCCTTTATTTGGAATAAAAAATTATTATTCAAAGTACAGAGTAGCAAGCTCAAATATGTTTGCGCCATGTTGACACTACGTCAGAGCGCCTCAGGCATACATTCACGTGACCGCAAGCAACGGGCAAAAATTCCATCCAGCGCTATTAATTCATTCCCCTTCTTTCACCCCTCCCTTTTATCACCAACACGCCCCCATTTCTACGGCGCGAAATCTTGAAAATTTCTTCTCGTGAAGTTTCTCTCTAATCGATTTTCATCATGGCTGAGACACCCACTTTCAAGCTCGTCCTGGTCGGTGACGGTGGTACTGGAAAGGTAAGCGCATTCGAGCCTCAATATCTGATAGTTGATGGGCATGGGCCCAGAGTGGTAGCTGTCTGCTCAGCGATGGAACTCGCGTGATATTCATGGAAAAACTGAGCGGCTCTTTTGTGACAATCCTCTGCCCCGCGCCTGTCAACGATACTGAATATCTGCCCAACGGGCCCGCCTCACCGCGACTTCATGACTTCATTACTAACATAGTGACAACAGACCACCTTCGTCAAGCGTCACTTGACTGGTGAATTCGAGAAGAAGTACATCGCCACCCTTGGTGTCGAGGTGCACCCCCTCAACTTCAACACCGTATGTGGAATACCCCGCCGAAGAACCCCGCTTCGACCCCATGCCATCGTGTGATCGTTTTAACTAACCCGACCTGAATAGAACTACGGTGCTATCCAGTTCGATGTCTGGGATACCGCTGGTCAGGAGAAGTTCGGTGGTCTCCGTGATGGTTACTACATCAACGGCCAGTGCGGTATCATCATGTTCGATGTCACTTCCCGCATCACCTACAAGAACGTCCCCAACTGGCACCGTGAGTGATTCTTTATCTGATCGTAAACCGATCCAGATCATTCTTGACTAACCAAACTCTAGGTGATCTCGTCCGTGTCTGCGAGAACATCCCCATCGTCCTCACCGGTAACAAGGTCGACGTGAAGGAGCGCAAGGTCAAGGCCAAGACCATCACCTTCCACCGCAAGAAGAACCTTCAGTACTACGACATCTCCGCCAAGTCCAACTACAACTTCGAGAAGCCCTTCCTTTGGCTCGCTCGCAAGCTTGTTGGCAACCCCCAGCTCGTACGTCATTTTTTTGCCCCCATTCGAATACCACCCGATCGATACTGACTAATCATTCTCTTAGGACTTCGTTGCCGGAATTGCCCTCGCTCCCCCCGAGGTTACCGTCGACGAGGAGCAGCTCGAGGCTTACCGCAAGGAGATGGAGTTGGCTGCCAACCAGCCCCTCCCCGATGAGGACGATGCCGACCTGTAAATCAGTGCGATCAACGACGGGTCCACGAAGTTTCCGAAATGAAAGTTGGGAGTCGCTATACCCTGTTCTCCCCCACGTTTTACCGAGTCCCATATCACAACCGACGGGAGATAGGAAATAAACGACTCCCGGGGGATTTGCCTTTTTTTTTAGTTTGGGTTTTGCACTGCAAAAGCAGTCTCTCCGAAATCACGATACAATGAAAGCGGATGGGGGATAGTCGTGGTTTGAGGACATGCATTTTTTCCTTTTTGATTTCCCCCAATCTCAGTAGCTTAGACACTCCCAATTGTTCCTTTTTCTCTCCCCGAAACGAGCACAGCATCCAAAAAAGCATGTCCTCTTTCAACAAGATTTAAAACTTCTTTTTTTTATCAATATCTATTCCCAAAACAGATACATTTAGATCTCTGAAAATCTCGTCGAGTTGAATAGAGATACTTGAATCACGAGTAACAAAGAGTAAATTCCCTAAAAAGAAGATATCAAAAGGTTGTTGGCCTTGATACATTATTGAATAGCAAAACGTTCCTTCATGAGACAAAGAGAAGAACGCCAGGGTATAGCAATCATTAGGGCCTCTGAAAAAGCAGCAAAAAAAAAGCAAAAACAACAAGTGGTTTCCGCGCCAAATACCAATCATTCGTATATGGCGATAAATGAAATAGCAATCATATCATCGGTCTATCTGCGGTGTTTGACCGAGATCACAAACGGGATAAACAAAATCAAGCACCATTACAAGTCTCTCACACCCTGTGTAAGCGATAAGCGGTTAGCAAAAAGTCCAGTAATAGTAGTAAATGAGAAATAAAAGAGGTAAAAACATACAAAGAGATAAGCAAGTTCCCTTGCATCCAGTCGGGAGACATTCATAGTACCGCCCTCATCGAGAGCACCACTGATCAGCTCACGCTTCTGGTCCTGGAGAGTAACAATGCGATCCTCGACGGTATTCTCAATAAGCAGGCGGTGGACGAATACTTCTCGGACTTGCCCGATGCGATGAGCACGATCAACAGCCTGATCTTCAATGTACGGGTTCCAGAAAGGATCAAACATGATGACATGCGAGGCGGCAACAAGGTTCAAGCCCGAGTTACCGGCCTTGAGGGAGACGAGCATGATCTTGCAGTCAGGGTCGTTGGTGAAAGCTGTCACGGCGGCGTTGCGTTCTTTGAGGTTCATACTGCCGTCGAAGCGGGTGTGGTTCCACCCGCGACTGCTGAGGGGGACTTCGAGAAGATCCAAGAGGGAGGTGAACTGGCTGAAAATGATGGTTTTCTCGTCTTGGCCGCGGTCTACATTGGCTTGGAGGATCTCCAGCGTCTTGGTAATTTTTGTGCTGGGGAACCAGCCCTTCTCGAGGCGGCGAAGATATTTCTTCTTCTCGGCCTTGTTTCTCAAAGCGTCCTTTCGCAGCTCGGCCAGAGACTTTGACTTTGACTTCTTCTTTGGTGCCCCGTCGCCCTCTTCAGTAGAGCTATCGGACTCAGACTCGTCACTGCTAGCTGTCGCTTCTGAATCTTCATCGTCATTTGCCCCGTTGGTATCGTCAGCTCCGGCGGCAGAGTCAGGCACTGAGCTTGGATCGTGAACCTGCCTGAAGGCATTAGTGTCAGTGAGCTTCGCAGGGTCCACAGGCCCTCGGCAATTCTGGCACTTGATCACAGCTGGACCATCGTCCTCAAGGTTGATGGCTCCGTTTGCAAGTGCAGAGTCGGAAATTCGAATCCAGCACTCCGAGCACACATGGTGTCCACATGGAATGTAGATAGTCGCATTTTTGACACTATCCATGCAGACAGGGCAGGTACCATCCTCTTCACCGTCATTTGATATGATACGCTGAACTACAGCGGGGCTCAGAAGCTTGGCGTTGGCGATCTTGTCTACCCCTGGGATAGACGGAGCAGGTTCGTTTCGGAACTCCTGCATGAGGAGGGGATGACAGCATGCCTGCCGAAGACGGAGAAGGAGAACTAGAACATGGCTGTAGTTTCTGCCTAGCGTTCCGGAGTCAAGGTATCGGGTGATCTGCCTTTGAGTGGAGGTATTGAGCTCTTCATAAACCTGGCTTTCCCTCTCATCAAACACAACATGGACCTTCTCGGTGATCTTGGGTGGGAGTTGCAGGATGGGCTCGCCATCAATCTTGGAGGTTTTTGTACGTCGGAGACAGACGGACTTGACTAGGACGCGTAGTTGCTTCATAACATCCTCTCCTCCCCAGCCAGATTTGATGCGTTTGACGAAGTCCTGAATAAAGTAGAAATTTTAGTAACCTAGAGAGGCACCATACTAGCCTATAGAGAGTACTAACCGCTTTGAACTTTGCTGGGTTGCTGTAAGGCCGAATCCTGAGGAATCCCAATAGCGACTGGAAATCTTCGAGACGATTCATCATGGGCGTACCAGTCAGACACCAGCGGTAGGTAGCATTGAGTCGACAACATGCTGTTGAAGATTTTGCGCTTGGATTCTTGATGTTCTGTGCTTCATCAATGATGACTCGGTGCCACTTGGCGGCAGGATTGAGAGGACCCGCCAGATTTTTGAAGTCTTGAATTATCGCAGGTTCCCGTCCTTCCTCTGCCATCTTTTCCGCTGACAGCAATGTTTTGTAGTGCGCAGTAATGGTACCAAACGTCGTGATGATGACATCGTACTTTTTGAGCTCCTTCCAGGGCCTGCGCCGTTGATGGTAGATCAAAACTGATAATTGGTGTCTTCCCGGCTTGACATGGCGCTGAATTTCGAGTCTCCATTGATCCATAAGTGCCTTGGGCGCGACAATCAAAGTCGGGCGTCGCTCTTCATCTTCAAATGGACGAGCAACCATCAGCGCGATCGCTTGAATAGTCTTACCGAGGCCCATGTCATCCGCAAGAATTCCTCCTTTGTGACTGCTCTCTTCTTTGGCTTTCATCCATCTAAGGCCGATCTTCTGGTGCTTCATCAATGTGACTCGAAGCGCACTCGGTGTCTCCTCATTGTCTGCTTTAGTTGCCTCCCGGATGTCTTTGATACCGCTGAGCAAGTTCTTGATATCCTCAGGGAACTCTTTCTCGTTGTAGGCCCTATATTAAATAATTTAGAATCAGAACCATCTGTTTGAAAAGAAAAATATGGAACATACGCTATGTCAGCATCATCATCGAATATTTCGTTCTGATTGCGAATCAGGTCAAAGGCCTTCTCAAACTTGTCGAAGGCACCCGGCATTGCGGAGTATGAAGGCTCGCGCTTCCAAGGAAGAACTCTAGAGGAGGCCGCTGGTGAGGCATATGGCGCCTGCGAGAGGTTCGACAATTGGGAGGGATAGGCCATTTCAGAAGGATATGCCATTTGAGAGGGATATGCCATTTGGGAGGGGTATGTCAACTGGGAGGGATATGTCATTTGGGAGGGGTATGTCAACTGGGAGGGATATAGCATGTGCGAAGCATGGGACGCCTGTGAGGAGTATGCCGACTTGGAATATGGCGAAGGGAGAGATGGTAGGTGGGAATAGTTCAAGGAACTGGATTGGTGGGCTGGCTGCTTGCCGATTCGAGAATTGAATGAATCAGCAGTTATTTCTTGAAGATCATCGTCGGAATTGAACGGAGTGAGTTTATTGAATGGGGCTATCGGGGCATATGTTTGAGGGGCGTGAATGGCTTTTGATGAGATAGGTTCGAGTTTTACCGGTTGAGTGCGGTCTGGAAGATCCCATGCATTCTGCTCATTGAAGCCCTCTATTGGGAGCTGACTGTGATCCTCGTCGGCTTGGAGCGCGCGAGCCAATTCTGCGTCTCGTGCCATTTGGAACTCTGTTTCAATCAACTTCGCCTGTTCATCGCGCTCTTCCAGGAGATCCCTTAATTGATCTGCATCGTCACCTGCCGCGTCAATCCATTGCTTATACAAGTGGTTATTCTCAGCCAGGCGAGCTTTTTGTTCAGCATCTATCTTCTCGAGTTGAGATCTGCGGGATCTAGGCTGAGAGGGAGCAATCCTTTTTGATGATCCCTGCATCGTGGGGGAGATGTGAGATAGCGGACGTTGGCGTTTACGAGAATTATCGGGAGAAGGTGGCATTGTCGGTGAAGTTGGTAGTACTGTCGATTGGCGGGACCCGGCCGCAAAAGGCGAGGGTGCAGCAGAAGGCCAGTGAGGGGATGCAAATGACTCCCCCGGGATTCCAGTAAAACCATTCGACGCCATGCGTGGAGGTGCAGCCGCAGGTGTTCGGACTGGCGGAGGGGGGGGACAGAACTTGTGGCGTTGGCGTCTGAGCGGCTTGGGGAACAGGAACAGGATCACCGAGGAGCGCGGCAACTTGGACTTCCATGTTTCTGATTGAATCATGAAGCTCGTCGGCTTCTGCACAAGCACCTCGCGTCGCGAGGAGATCATCGTAGATGTATCTGTATGTATCGAGGTCTTCTAGAAGATCTTTGATTTGGTCCTCTTGGGACTGATCTGCTGAAGAAGCCATGGCTCAAGAGCACCTGGCGCTAACCATGAAACCTCCCAAGAACAAATTATCCCGATCGCTGAGCGTGGCAGAGTAACTACGGCGATGGGTATGACGACTAGTACAAAAGGCAAAGTCTGGGATCGGCAGAGCTACCCGGTGAAGTGGGCGCATAGGATGAAGAGCAAAGTATTCTAGGAGAGTCAGTCAGCGAAACTTGGGTTCTCAGCAGCAAACAGCAAAGCAGAAAGCGGGTGGTGGCATATGACACAGAGAGGAAAAGAAAGACAGATAGAAGCAATTCATAATACTGCGTCTCTATCCCGCCTAATCCGGGTATTTGCAGATGATGTAAACTTACATCGAGTACTATTGCCAATTCCCTGGGGGAAATCCGTGGCTGACGGAGCAGATTAAGGAGATCGGTAGCGAAGAGAAGACGAGCACAGAAAGGAGAGAGCCCTCGTTTTTGTAGTGCAAAAGATCCGACGGAGAAAACACGAGAGTAGATGCTCTTCGGGACCGTTCAGCTGGCCCCCGGGGTCGAGATGTTCACCTTGCGGGGCGAGTTGAAGTTCTCGCCCAGGATGTCATCATCTATCGCAATACATAGTGACCATTGGGGACTTTGGTCATATTGACTTTTATTGCCTGCAGAAAATTGGTTATCTAAAAATATATCCTAAAATATATTTAAAAAAGATCTAGGAAGATATCGAAAAGACACATTAAAAGACCTTTAAAAAGACATGAAAAAGCAGCTAACTGACTATAAAGCAATAGAAACCTCTCATTAGTAGGTTAATATACCAATTCAAGTACTCTTCATGTACTCCGTAGATAGCGTAAGAGATCACTTCAAAGAAAGCGGAGTAGTGAGCGGTGAGTAATGAAAGCCAATCAAGTCAGAATTCCAAGTGGCTGCTATCTACTGCGGTAGCCGTAAGCATCTGCCAAGGTTCCACGAGAGGCCCTCTACTTTTGAGCCTCCTTCAGGAACACTATGGTTTTATTCATTGTTGTATGTCGTACATAGGTTAGTTAAGTCTTACAAGAAGGTTCCTTAGCAATATAGACATAGATACTTAGAAGGATGTAAGTAATTCTACTCATTTCCCTACATCGCTATAGCCTTTCATTGATGTGAACGCGCTCTTATCTACACGTGATCATGCGCGTTACCTACGCGCCAAATAGGTACATAGGCTAACTACAGGGCTAAATGGTATTTGCCCTACTGTCCTGATTGGGCACTTGACACCCAAGGCACCATATAATTCTAGTTTCATCTATCTCGGAGGAGTAATTACAATATCTCAATCATGACCGTGAGAGTTTGCTATGACTCATATGGTTGCCTGGGCTGATGGAGGGAATTTTCGAATCGTGTATTATAAGACAAGTAGGAGTACAACATTTGACGTGCAGCTCAGACTACAACTGGTTCCGATATCTAGACTGAGATGGCTGGGTGCAAACCAAGCTGAGGAAATGTCTTTCGACACGTAGCTGAAACATAAATAAGGGGGGTTAAACGGGATGTAATAATATATAGTCTGGAGACAGGAGACTCTATTTTTATATGTTGATTTGCAGCAATTAAGATATACCAACTTATCCATTTCTATCACAAACCATCTACGCGTAGTGCTCATCGTTCAATCAAGTGAGCTGCTGTCTAAGTATTTCCGCAGGAACGATCAGTCATGGCACTAGAACCGGGATTGATCCGACTATGGAAGACCAAGCGCGTCCAACAAGTTCTCACGAGCCATCTAGCAAAAAATGATCTCACCGCATGCCGTCTAGTATGCCGCAAGTTCGCTATATATCTTGCACCAATCCTATTCGCGGACATTGAAGTCAATTTTCGTAGTAGCAATTTCAACAGACCCTCGCGAATGGCAGCTTTGGAGCGCATTGGGGGACACGTCCAGGCCATGACGTTCAAGATCTCACATGGTAGGGAGACCTTCTTACCTCCAATCCTAGATCCAACCATGGGGACAGAACAAACCTTCATCTACAAACCACAGCGGTGCCAAAGGGGTGGCAGTGATCATAGGTATGGCAGCCGGCAAATGACAGAGCTGTTGGTCAAACAGTATCCGCCTCTGTTCCATGCATCTACAAACATCCCATCATTTGTCCAGGCATTGAATATGATGAGCGGTTTGCAACATCTCCGAATTTCCTGTGAGGGTCAAGTATCAAGCCATCGCTACCGACGAAGTGTAGTAGATTATGCATTGATCTCACTGCGAATGGCAATCGAACAAGCACCATTGAAAGATCTCCACACTCTGTCACTGTTATCGGTCCACCCAGGAGCGGTCCTCTAGCTACGTCCAGCTCCAGGATTTGGTGCTTCGCCTGCATCTTGCAAGCGCTGGTCCCAGATCCGCAAGCTCACACTCTACATGACGAGTTTCGGCCATGAGCCAGGCCAACCGACAGACCACCTCGAGCTCCTCCATGCATACTTAAGAAGCTTCCCTTCTCTGCAACGACTGGTCTTTCACTGGGAAGGCGAGAGGGGCCCCTCACCCCTGTCACTTGCAACAGAGCCCAGCCTCAACAGCGCAGCCAAAGGAAAGCCCACTCAAGCTTGTCCTCAGAGATGCGTATTACCCTTACAGCCATTGAAATTCCAGCATCTTCAACAAATGGAGCTGGTCAATGCAAAAATGGACGCGTCGCAAGTGGCGTCTTTCATCCAGGAGCACCGGAGTACCCTGCGCGAGTTCAATTTCGAAAATGTGGTTCTCCGCAGCGGTGATTGGGATGATGCGCTCGCGCCGTTGACGCGACTCAGCAGCAACGAGGGATGGAAGCAGGGCCAGCGTGACACCGACACTGTGGATGTGCCGATTGTATTGAGTCCAGCGGGAGTCAGCCAGAAACAGTTACTGAAAGCAATTTATGCTTTGCAGCAGCAAAAGTGTCCAAAGACGCCGAGAAGCTTGGCTAAAGCGCGATCCCGGACACGCGAGCTTCTGTTGGGGAGCCCGGATCATATGAAGAGATTGCTGCGATCTTCGGTGTTTAGTTGGCGGTGACGTCCGAGGCCGGGGGTTCGCAAAAGTTCTTTTCCGAAGACGGATTGGTATAGGCTAATGACTGTATTAGTCTCGCGGTGAATACCCCATTTGTGCAACCATCAGATCCCAATGCAACATAAGCGCAGTTCATGTGGAGTCGGGGGATCGGGGGAAGTTCCTGGGGGAAAACCGTCAATGTTAGGGAAGATTTGGAGAACGGAAAACCGAGATTGCGGACAGTAAGAGAAATGCAGATCTTAGTCAATTCCGAGCATAATCCCAGAGAATTGAGAAGAAAAAGAGCAAAAAGAGCATCAAACGAAGAATCACAGGCACAAAGCTTCCCTCGATGTGGAGAAAGTGTGGGTTGGGGCCTCGGCACGTGAAGTTAGTTCACATGCTTTGGGCAGATCATTTATAGTCGGTCATCCGCCTTCGTGACTTAGCACATCACCTTGTACTACCATATTCACCATGTCTCTCAAGAAAGGTATGCCTCCTTTTCTCTGTGTGAGAAGCGAGAACGCCAACTAATAGAAACAGATTCCCACCCCTCGTCCGCTGCCTTCGACGTCATCAACCAGACGCTCAAGGCTAACGAAGCCGACCGCAAGGAAGCCCTCAGCAAGGCCAAGGCAATCTTCGCCTTCAACCTGAAGAACTCCAGTGGTGAGGAGTCTGCATGGTACCTCGACCTCAAGAACAAGGGCGAGGTCGGACAAGGTTTTGCCCCTGATGGTGACAAGGCTGATGGTGAGTCTACATTCCTGATCTACGCGTTGATGTGCCGTGTTTACTTTTTAACATATGCTAATTCCTCTCGACAACAGTGACCCTCTCTCTCTCCGATACTGACTTCGGCCAACTCGTTTCCGGCAAAGCCAATGCTCAACGTTTGTTCATGGGCGGCAAGCTGAAGATTAAGGGTAACATCATGAAGGCGACCAAGATGGAGCCTATCCTGAAGAAGGCCCAGGGCGGTGCCAAGCTGTAAAGATTAGATACCCTTTTGCGAAATTATATACGAAGTCCCTTGTCTAAAAATGTGCTTATTTTTCAGCCTTTTACTTTGGATATTCTGGTTGTTCAACTTCGAGTATACGAATGATTTTTTGATATGTGCAGATGACCGCGATCGTCGCTGGTTCGGATCGATAAATACTAACTCTGCAAGTCCCGCACATGCCCCTGTCTTGAAACCCGCCCCTGATCCAAAACCACAAAGTAATTCGCATCCTTGACAGCTTCTATGCGATGCGCAATCGTAATGACAGTAGACTGCTGCAACTCCTCCCGGATAATCTGCTGGATCTCAAGAGAAGTCTCTTGGTCAACTGAAGCAGTCGCCTCATCGAGAATGACAATTGCGCTACGACGAAGGACAGCCCGTGTCAGAGCGATAAGTTGCCGTTGACCCTGGCTAAGATTTCTTCCTCCGGCCTCAATATGCGTCCCAAGATGCCAGCCATGCCGACTACACAGACGCTCTAGGATTTCAGTGCACAGCTCATCAGAATAATCTTCCGTTGGGTCCAGATTGAGTCTGATGCTACCAGGGAAGAGGACGGGATCTTGCGCTACAAATGTGACTCGTGTGCGTAATGCTTGTGTGTTGACATCGGCGATATTGATGCCGTCGATGAGGATGCGACCGGATTCAGGTCTGATGACGCTCAGAAGCGACATTGCCAACGTGGACTTGCCGCTTCCAGTACGGCCAATAACCGCTGTAGTAGATCCCCCAGGGATGCGAAGTGAAACGTTTATAAGCGAGGGATCGAGATGTGGTGCGTAACGGATAGTTGCGTTCTCAAACACAACATCGCTGCCGTAAGTTGGCCATGCGGCTGGAGGAGCGATGGTCCCAGGGGTTTCTTCTTCGATGTGGAGTAACTCGTCGACTCGCTCCACCGATACAAAATCCATTTGAAGTTTGCCGTACTGCTTGCACAACGCATGTGTGGAGTCGACGAAGTTATTGGCAGCAATAAGCACGAATGCTACCAGTCCCGGTGTGGTATTGGTGTATAATGCCAGAGTTGTTAGGCAAAATGTTGAGAGAGCGGACAGGCTCTCGAACCGGTACATGAGCCAGCTCTGGAGTGACCAGTAGAAATGGTCCATTCCCTGGAACTTGTCAACCACGGATATGACCCTGTTCTGGAACTGTGACTCTGCATGGAAAGCTCGGACGGTGGTCAGACCGTGCAATAGCTCGCCGAAGTTGGACAATAGAGGACTGAGGGACACCATCTCGAGTCGCCGTAGGCTCTGAGATGTGGGAAGGAAACGGAGGAATACCAGGACAAATGCAACTGTAAGAGCTAAGGAGAACAACAAAAACACCGGAGTAGCGGTGGCGATTACCAGGACAGAAGAGATCCAAGTGATGGCCTGGAACGCAATGGCCTGGAATTGCTCACTAATGTTACCATCCACAACTCCAATATCAGATGTGAGGCGGTTCATCAAGCGCCCAAGAGGGATTGTATCTTTACAATGATTAGTTAGGTTTGTCATGTTGAGTCGAGTTATAGAACTTACCCAAGTATCGGAAGGTCGCGTGGCTGACTCGGACCAGGACCCGTCGGAACAAGGACTGTCCAGCATAATAGACGATGACCAGCATGAGAAGCTGAGCGATAAGGAGTGTGGCCGCTTGGAAAGAAATGATGGCAAAAAATGACCATAGCCAGGGTCTCACATCCTCACGCGGAGAGGGCAGTTGGTCCATTGGGTTCCGAGGTGTAAAGTATGTGTCTATGTTCAAGTTCGAGGCTGACCAGGCACCTTGCGAAGGTCTTTCACTCAAGTCTGAAAGATCCCCCGGGGCAAGAGTCGTCTGCTCATAGGCTTCTCCCCACCCTTTGAGGAACCATGATTGCCCGACAGCCACCAGGCGGTAGACTGTCAAGATCAGGACGAGGGTAAGCCACCATCGGTACTTTCCAGCTTTAATATAATTCCAGTAGACTCGAAGCTTGACGCCCCCTTCTGCTCGATACTCCTCCTCGATGAATTTGTCAGGCACGGCAGCTGTCTCCTCCTCGAGGGTAGTTTCCGATTCTGTTTCGCTTTCATGGTCGATAAATTGCAGGGAGGACTCTGTCACATCGAGCTTGATGGTATCCTTGTCGTAAATAGTGGCACGCTTTTCACAAATATTGATGATTTGATCCGCAATTTGACGAACCAACGCAGTTCGATGCGTCACTAAAACAATAGTTCGGTCCTTCATCAATGGCCCAGAAAAGCATTTCCGGACTATCAGTTCCGCAGTATTGTGGTCTAGTGCAGACAAGGGGTCATCCAAAAGCAGGACCCGCGATGCACTATAGACAGCTCTTGCCAAAGCTACTCGCGCTTTTTGTCCACCTGATAAACCGATGCCATTTTCACCCACAAACGACAAATCACCGTGTTTGAATTGAGTGAGATCCGGAAGCAAGGCGCAGGCTTCCAGTGTCCGCTTGTAGCGCTGGTCATGGTAGGGGGCAGAGAATAGAATGTTATCGCGAATACTCATGCTTTGCAGCCACGGCGTCTGGGCACAATACCCCACCATTTCGTTTGGAATATGCACCGAGCCGCTAAGTCTATCCAGTTCTCCAAGAAGAGCTTGCAGGAACGCTGTTTTTCCAGCGCCGACCTTACCAGTAACAACAGTCAGTCCTTTGGGGATGGTGACATCAATATCAACAAGGACTGGTGAGACCTTGCCTGGCCATGCAAATGAACAAGACTCCATCGAGAGTGGAGTATCATTCGCCAGAGTCTCAGAAGGCAGATTGTCCTTGTCTGGTTCGGACATGAAGTCCTCGATACGCCCAAGGGCAATAAAGGCATTGATAAGCGATGTGATAAGACTAGGAATATCCCGAAGGCGAGTCTCTAGCATGGTAAACAGCTGCAATGCGGGAAAGATAACATCAATTCGCAGTTCATGTCCAGCCAAAAAGGTATATGCGTACAGCGCAACCACTGGGAAAACGCCACTAGCGAAAGCATTGATAAAGCGAATCAAGATACTCCACAGACTAGTCACAATCCGAATATTCAACTCATGCTGTCGGGCATCCATTACTTGTTGAAGCCAATGATTCTGCCACCCGTACCATCGAAGATGGCGGATTGCTTCCACGAATTGTGAAGTTATTTGGAGTCTTGTATCCGTTGCCACTCGTCTGACTCGCTCCCAACGAAGGAGAGCTCGGGTTACCAGTGCATTCACAACCTGTGCAACCAGAACAGCTAATATTCCCAGGAAACAAGATGGACCGAAGAGTGTCCAGACAAGGAAGGTAGCAACCAGGAGTCCTATTGGTTTATCGATCAATGAGTCAACTTCCCAGAATCTCTGTGCAACTTCATAAACATCTCCGCGCAAGAGGTTGAAGATTTTTCCAAGTGATGCAGCTTCTTTGCCTTCTTTCTGTGGGGCCTTTTTGTTGCGAGGATTGATACGCTCCCAGAAACGTTTCACGGCTTTGGTTGGTGGTTGTTGGCTCTCTTGAACTGCAATCTCATCATTAATGCCATTGACTTCCTCGTTGGATGGTTCTGGGTCGCGCTCGATCAACAGCCCAGAGATGTTCTTTCGTGAAAGGGCCTTTTCATAAACCATCATGATCATTTCACCTCTCGAGCGTTCATAGCTTCGTCTTCCGTACCATAAAAGTAACACTTGAGACTGTGTAGCGACAAGTCGAAGAGCGAACGACATGAGAGCATAGGTCAAAGGCACTCGTTTTGGTCGGGACGGGTCTTTCATAGCTTGCAGTAGTTGCTGCAATAAAACGGGAGTAGAAAAGTCTGCGAATATTATTAGCAATGTAAAAGAAAAGAAGAAATCCAAGTTTCAATACCGCATATCATCTGGACCAGTGAGATAGTAGAGATCATAAATATTTCAATTCCATTGGCTCTCAACAGTCGACTGAGGACAGAACCGCGAAGTCGACGAAACTTTTCATGTAGCCGACTGTGTTGAAAATCAAATCCAAGCAGCCAAACATCTTGTTCATGTAGTTGTCTTTTAAGCCCAGTTGAGATAAGCGGTGCCATCCACGACACTGTGAGAAACTGCCAAAGCCTCAGATTATCTTCAGGAGTGCGGAAGTCATTAGATGGCTCTTGACCAACAGCGCTGATATCAATAGATGACAATGAAGGTTCACGGAATGGCATGAGGAGGATTGTTGCGCAAGCTGCTGCCGCCGCCACTGTGGCAATGTAGCGCGCAACAATTTTGAATTTCGGGCATACATCTGGGTGAGTTGCCAAAGAAAGTTCAATTGCAAATGCTAAGACATAATACGCTAGCATCGAAATGGAACATGATCTGGGCCGCTGGACTGCAACCAGAATAGATGCTGTCGCCTAAGGAAGGGTATATCAGCAACTGATACTCTCGGAGACGGGGAGAACCGACCCATGAAAGAACAAGCACAAAAGCCGAGACGTCAATGCTTGGAGGAACAAATTGAATTGTCTCGGCTAGAAGTCCTGTGACCGAAAATATAAGAAGAGAGACTGTCCATCGCAATGATTGTTTGGGCTGGTCTAGCGGGAGCTCTTGAGTATCCTGTTGCTCTGAAACAAAGGGAACAGTCCAGTCGGGACGCCACCGATGACAAATGTATCCAAGCACATGGCTCAATGCAATAAGCAACACTATAATTGCCGGGATACATGCCAGGTAGGGCAATGCACATGGTGATAGCCACGCATTATGCGAGTCCTGGATTGGTCAGTCGGATGCGAGCCGAAGCAACCGGGGCACATGAGTTCATACCCATAACTGATCACACGAGGATCCGGGCACACCCTGGACCAGCGGAATTTGATTCATCCTTGGTCCGAAGAGCAGTGCCTGCTCCTCGTAGTGGACTTGCGGTGACATCCCTTCGTGAAGCACGCGGTGCTGGATCAATATTCATCCGCTTGGCCCGTGCCATATATACAGACAGGCAGGTCAGAATCAGTTTAGTTCCTGTTTGAAATATCATATAGAGTAGTTACAAGCTGGGTATATGTGCTAGTATTGTCCCGATCGGACTCGATGCCTTGTACAAAAACATAATGTTGGCTCTTTTAGGCCGTGTGCTTCAATGACCCCGCTAATCATCTGGCGGGATCATCCGCCGCGGGGCCGCCCATTCGACACAGACTGCCCAGGTGGATAGACCTTGCGTTACCAACTCACAAGCAACTACGTTTAAGTAAAATTGTGCAAGGTCAAAAGAGAAAAAATATAGTGGATCTTCTCAATAGTAACGGCGTGTGGTGCTGATTTCATGATTGAAGCCAGGCAAGCCACTTATCCTGACTCAAAACGAGAAATGAGAAATCAAGACAGCTACATAGCCCGCCTGAGAACTCGTGTCTTACTTTGCAACAATGTAATGATTCCATGAATCTCCTGCATCAAAGAGCCATCCACGGCAAATCGCTCGAGATTGTCTATGGTGTTCTTTTGGAGAGTATCAATATCTGGTACCAAATGCGCCAAAGCCGGACAAACAGAGCCTAGGGTCAGGAGAAGAATTGAAGAAAACATCCTAAAAAATCAGATATGAGTTGAGTTTCAGTATAAAGTAGCTATAAAGTAGCTTATGGACGTACGTATGAATAATGATCTCCGCGCAAAATGTCGGGCCCATCAGTCTTCGCGCCGAGGCATCAAGATACGCCCGACAATTGGCTATACTTGACTCGCACTGCTTGAGTACCATAGGTGGAAGATCATTCTCAGGCGACGAGTCAATTGCACAAAGAAGGAATGGTCTGGTTATAATATCCTTGGCGGAGTGAAAGCGGTGGAGCATATTGAGTTGAAGGCCAGTACATCGAGACGGATCGTTAATATCTGGTTTAATTGTTCGCGGTAACAATTCAAACCAATTATCAAGTTGTCTGTGAAGCTCTTGAGAGACATTCAGGATTGTAGAGAGTGACTGGAAGTCATACGACGGGCTGTCGCTTGAAGCTGGCTGTAGACCAAGGCTGCGCCTTGTCCAGTCACTTCCGTACATAGTGTGGTGTACTCTGTTGAGCAGACGACGGACAGAAAGCTCAGCAAGGAAGACGTGTGTTTCTTGGGCATCATGGTTTGCAAAGCTTGGGAAGGGTGTCAAATCAATTACATGTTCGATACCACTTCGTGGTAAATGGTGTTCAGCTATCAGGTCACTATCATCAATGTCAGCGTAAACGTGTTTATCTGAATGAAACCAGGAAACTAACCACTCGGTGTCGAACGCTGCCCATGAAAGTAGTATGATGCTGGATTTGAGCTCGTGATTATCTGGCGAAGCTTGGCTTCTGTCTCAAACAGATATTTGATAAATAGCTGGAATCAAACAGAGTAATCAGGGATCATCGACTAACCGGCTATTCAGATACTGGATACTGGTAGAAGCCATATGGATCAGTTTCCATGATTGCAAGGGACGCAAAAGAAACCCAAAATATTTTGAAATGAGTATCAAGCTCTGGGGAAGAGTGATCGTGGGACAGAACGACAGTAGATATTCGTTCATCAATATCTGCAATGCAGGTGAAATAAAATTTGCCCCAGGCACCCAGTATGGAGAGCTAGACTTTGTCGGGTCGACTTGCTCGAGAGCTGCTGATCCTAATGCAAGAACTGCAAGACATAGTGCAGAGTCACAGCCCACATTCAGACCAGCTCCAATATGGTGATCATAAAGCCCCCAAAATTGGTCTTTGTCAAGGATTGGCATCTCAACGTGGACGTATTTGAAATATGCCTCCACTAGTGGATAGGTGCTTGCTTCATCCAGGATTGGCAACTGACTCGCTGTAATTGTACCTGGAACAAAAGATAATTGGTGCGGCATATGCCTTTTTGATTCCGCGCGTATGAACAGGTCTGGTGGAAATTCCCCGAAGAGCGTCTTCACTCTGTTCATATGCAGCATATATTCAGTTGTTGTTGTGTGGCCAATAGGAATACTCATGGGTGGGATATCATGTTCAGGCGGTATGAAAGAAGACGAGTTTGTATTAATGAGCTGGGAGACATTCGCCGGGTTGGGTCTCGACGGGGATGAAATCAACATGCTGGCAGGATGAGGAAAATCCCCCCTCCCATGTTCAGATGTCGACAAAAATGCGAGACCACCGCTTCTTGGCTCACCAGTCTGAGGTGTTTCAGGAAGCCTTGGTTGACTCCATAGAAAGTTCTCAATTGCATCAAGTCGGCGGAAGAATTCCGAGGAGGAAGTCTCTCGAGGCCTGCCAGAGTTTAGCAATGTTTATAAAGTTTTGAGTAAGACAGGTCTCTCACCTCGAAGAATCTACTTCATTATAAACACAATCAACACCTGAATCCTCGCATAGTCTGCAGGAGGGTATCGCGCCATTGCAGCGGCGTTTCCTAGTTGTCCGTCAGCATGGGGACGCTCAGTGATGGGAGTAAGGGAAACTTGCCGCCTCCGACAGTAGTTGCATGCCAAAGAAGCACGTTTTCGGCTGCTTTCCATGTGGTAATTCTATATAAATTTCGAGGATCACAGCGACCTAGATGGACCGTGTTGAGGTTGATGTTGATACAAGGCGGGAAACTCCGCCAGGGCCCGCTTTTTCCCGCCTTAGTCACGCCCGCCCGCCACCTACCGAGATGGGCAGATCCCTCCGAGAGCTTAGATGAAAGATCAGCTTAACCGACTCATCAACCCCAAGTTTGCTTTTCGAGCTTATTTCTTTGATTTTGATTCGTTTGATCTCGCTTTGAGTTGGACATCTACGTTGAAAATCTGTACTACACTAAAGCTCCTCTCGAAAACATTGACCAGGCGACTTCAAAACACACACCACCACCGTGTACCACTCTTATTTAGTTTAGTTTTTTTTTTTTTTCGATGTATACTATAGAGCTAGAGAGCCATCTAACTAGGATCCTTGTCGTTAAGATTTCCAATTCGATTATATATGAAGCCGTAGACATGGCCGCGTTCGGCAATGAAAATATGGCGTGCCGATCATATCTCGGAAAACATTCGGCTCCACCTGAGTTCCCCGGACCGCTTTCAGAGATTTTTTTTTTGGGCTTGGCCGGGGTTACCCAATTGATTTTAGTCTTTGAAACATATTAAGAGTATCAGTCATTACTCAATTTAGGGTCTAACGTCCTGGCTTGAGTCTTGTGGAAAGTCACTATGTTTGACGAAAAGCATGCCGCGGATGGCAAGGTCAATGGACCCCTCGAAAAAGACTTGGAGAAAAAATTGGACGCGAGGCAATTGGAGCCCTTCGGAAATGAGGAGACAGCGGAGATCAAGTATCGGACTATGAAATGGTGGTAAGTTATCATCTTCTGCATACATATTATAGATTCGATTATGAAAAAGGCTAATGATCCTTCGACAGGCACTGTGGAATGCGTGAGTAGCTAAATTTGAGATATCATGTCCATTGAAAGCTACGGCCCCTAACATCAATTCTAGTCATGATCGCAGAGAATGTTTCTGTTGGAATTCTGTCTTTGCCATCTGCAGTGGCTACTCTTGGAATGGTTCCGTATGTATTTTCTTTGGACGGCTTTGAGAATCTCCTTGCTAACAGTATCAATCAGCGCTGCTATCATGATTCTGTTTATCTCTGCTCTTTCATGGTATACCGGCTATGTAATTGGCCAATTCAAACTTCGTCATCCCGAGGTTCACAGCATGGGTGATGCTGGCGAGATCTTGATGGGTCCTTTCGGCCGTGAATTGCTAGGAATTGGCCAGCTGCTGCTGTTGATCTTCCTCATGGCGAGCAACATCTTGATGTTCAACATCCTAATGAATGTACTGACTGATCACGGTACCTGCACGTTGGTGTTCGGTGTCGTTGGACTGATCATCTGCTTTCTGGGTGCCTTGCCTCGCACTATGGACAAGGTCTACTGGATGTCCGTCATTTGTGAGTACACTCCTCATCCATTACAGTCACAACACTGTTCAACCCAGAGCAAAACTCAACTGACTGATATGAAGCATTCTTGAGTGTCTTCGTTGCGACAGTGTTGACCATGATCACCGTGGGAGTCGAGAGTAAAGGACACATCAAGAACGAGGCCACCAGGGAAGTCAGCTTCCGCGAGGGCTTCTTGGCTGTGACAAACATCATTTTCGCTTACCGTACGTGGAACACCAAATCGCGCTGGTCGTCAGCACCTAAAAAAAGTAAACCGAGCTAATGCAAGGACCGATTTTATAGTTGCCCATGTTGCGTACTTTGGCTTCATGTCCGAGACAGAAGACCCACGCACATTCAACAAGTCCCTCGCCATGCTTCAAATTGTTGACACTGTCCTGTACCTTGTCAGTGCACTGCTCATCTATCATTACGTGGGACCGGAAACAGAAACTAGCCCCGGTGTCCAATCACCTGCTATTCTCTCTCTCAGCCCTGTGATGAGCAAGATTGCTTGGGGTCTTTCAATTCCAACGGTGAGTTTATCCTTTCAGTCCTCTTGTTTGCTGTATCCGCCTTACTGATTCAATACAGACCATTCTTTCCGGTGTTGTCTTAGGTCACGTCGCGTGTAAATATATCTACGTGCGTATGTTCCGAGGATCCGACAAGATGCACAGCCGAAGCTTCCTGTCCATTGGATCCTGGGTCGCCATCTGTCTCGGAGTCTGGGTTATTGCCTGGATTGTGGCGGAATCTATCCCCGTATTCAATGATCTGCTGAGTTTGATTGTAAGTCTTCTATCAAACCTTATTTGACTGAGAATACTGGCTAACGCAGGGATTACAGAGTGCGGTCTTTGGAAGTTGGTTCAGCTGTAAGATTGACCCCTACCTTCCCATTATTGAATTTACCAAGATCGAAACAAATGCTGACTTTGTCATTAGTCGGACTCCCTGCAATCTTTTGGTTCTATATGAACAAGGGCCGTTACTTCCAGAACTGGAAGAAGGCTGTTTTGACGATTACCAATGTTTTGGTCCTGGCTATTGCATTTGCTATTGTAAGTACGGCCCTGCTTGATTATATTTATAGCGGCTAATCTTTTCTAGTGCGGATTGGGATTATGGGTGTCAGGAGTTGCAATTCACGAAGACTCCGTTTCCAAAAGTTGGTCTTGTGACAATACTGCGTGATTGGAGGGTAACGGACCTCGAAAGAACACGCTTCTGTACAAAAAAACGCCAGGATCCACCGTTTAGATCTGTTTACTACATACGCAATCTTCATTATAGACCATAGATTTTTTTTAGCAATTTCATGATGCATTTCAGATTTTTCTGTTGAACCACAATGTTGATAGTACATCGGCTTTCGAAAATGGCTATGTACATACTACTACACCTACCTAATTATGTATCTTGAACTCTAGTTTAAGCTCCCTTCAACCTTGATTGAACCTTGGAACCTCAAAACCTTAGAAGCCTAGGTAGACCCAGAAGAGTTTTACCAAAATCTTAGTCATCACAATGTCACGTGCGATAGACGTTTTTTGGGACGGATTAAAGGCAAAAGCGCTAACTATATATGGTTAGCACGCCGTTATGACTGAAGAAGGAGTTGCCGATGAGCCATCGGGATATCTCCTCCTTCTGCTGCCTCCTTAAGGTCTGCTACTGTGCTTAAAAAAAGAATTCGAGTTTTTTTAACACGGGTAATACTTCACACCCAACAAAAGTAGATAAGTAATTCATAGGATATCACGAGTAATTAATTGTAGAACAGGAATCAAGTATAGATCTGAGGGCCATCGCCGTCTCTGAATATATTCAAAGCATTAAAAAGTACAGACAAAATTACTACAAATAATAACGGAAGTTCTTGTTCTCCCAGTCAGTCTCATCCAGATTGTGCGCAGTATCAAGTGCAGCAGCCTCCTCGGTTTCAATGTCCTCGTGAGATTCGGGGTCTCTCTTGACATTCTGCTCGCGGTCGCGTTTCATGTTCTGGAACTGGCATACCTGGCGCAGACAAAGAATGGAGAGGAAGGAAATAGCCAGGGAGATCATAATTCCGAGCCATGCGCTCTATTTATCGTTAGTCTTTCTGTATCAGACATAAAGGTAGATAGGAGTACTCACTGAGTAGTCGGGAATTTGATCCGGGAAGAAGAGGAAAGGACCAGTGATGTTACCAGCACAGTTGGCAATGAACATCACCGCGGTCACGGTGGTCCTCTTGGTGTATCCAGCCACATTAGAGGCGATAAGACTCAGGACAATAGGAATCCCGGCGGAATACGCAGGGAAAAACCACATTCCTGCCAGTCGAGAAATTTTCTGAGTGGGGTTGATCTGAGAGACCATAAGAGACCCAGCCAAACTGATGAGCTGTAGAACAGCAACGGTGAGGCACCGAGATTTGCGGAGTTTGGAAACGGCGGTTGTGGCCAGAACCACCCAGATGAGAGTGAACACCGAAGTGGGCAATCCAACGAGGAGAGTGTTGAAAGTCGAGTATCCAAATCCGGCAATAACAATACTTCCAAACTGCAGAAGGGTAAAACCAGTCAGTAAGGCTCGATGAAGCGTGGTGCGGGTATTCTTACGCTTGTGAGACCTCCGTTAGGAATGCTGGAAGCCATGGAGTAAACGAAAATGAGCCAGGTTTTCGGGTCCATGAGTGCTTCGAGGCATTGGCTCTTTGACCATTTATACGAAATAGCAGTGTGTGACTCCCGCTGAGCACGCAGTTTGACGAACTGTCCTTCCTCTTTAGTAAGGAAACGGGCATTTTCAGGGCTGTCTGGCAGGTAAATATAGAAGATAATGCCATATGCAAAGGTCATGATGCCGAAAATGATAAAGATCCACTATACATCATTAGCTTAGGCAAAGGGGGAAAAAACTCATACCCAAGGACCCCTTGGGGGATACAGGGCAACTTACCCTCCATGGTTCAACTGAGTTGTTGATATGGCCGATACCATACGTCAACAGACCACCAAAAATGGATGAAACACTGTTTCCTGCAAACCAGATTCCATGTCTAGAGGCATGCTCGGACCGCTTGTACCAGAGGCCAGTCAGCAGGGACAGACCAGGACTGATGGTACTTTCAAGAATCCCAAGTAGGATACGAAGGGATATGAGACCGCCAAAGTTGTTCGTGGCTCCATGGCATGCCAAGATCACAGCCCAGATGAGGCTATAAAGTTCATTGTAAGCTTTGGATATGCGGTCTGAGAGAGAGAGAGAAGTTGCACACGTACAAGGAAATGGAGAGGAATTTTCCAATAGGAAACTTGACGAAGCATACAGATACCGGATATGATGCCACCAAGAAGCCAAAGTAGAATGCACTGGAGGCCCATGAATACTGGTCACCAACAAGTTTCTGTTTTCTCGCTGTTAGTAAATATCCTTTGGCATAATGCTAAATATACATACCAAGGATTGCATAATTCCAAAAATTGCAGTATATCCTAGCGCCGTCTTGTCGAGGAACTGAAGCATGTAGGCAACGAACATGATGGGAAGAATACTGAAAAAAATTGCATGTCAGTCAAACTCTCCACGAAAAATATTAATGAACAATATCACATACTGCCAGTCAACTTTGCGCATCAGCGCTTTCTCGTCGTGAATATCAAAGACCTCAGCCACGTCAGTCTTAACCGCATCCTTCTCCACATCCATCTCTGGGTCAGGTTTATGGTTTTCCATGATGTTATCCAATTGAAATCGGAATGTAAAAAGAGTAGAGTAGTTATGCAGATGGAATGTATGAGTTAGGGCAAGAGCGATACATATGTATTGAGCAGAGTCTATATATCTATCACGGGCCCCTATTATTTACTATTAACTGACATCAAATCCTGTTCTACTGAAGCCTAGATGATAGTTATCCTATCTCTGTGTCGAGATAAGGCGTCAAAAGGCGCAATTGCCCTAGCCGGTGACGATGATATCTTCTAGCGATCTGGTTGGTCCTCGGGAAATTAATCTAACATAGCCTTTGGTGCTTGGAGGTAGTGGGGCCTGACTATTCCATCTGGGGTTATCTCGGCAACAATATCAACCCCAGAGTCCACGTATCAAGTACATAGTTGATAACCTGAGACGTAATTTATATCCCTGTCAGTAAAAATTGTGCCAATTGTATCCCTGCTCTCTATCGCATATGCTCACCGCACTGTAAGTGTCAGTAATCGTTGCTGCCTTTTTGATATTGAATACCTGAATTTAACTTCACAGAGTTCTTAGTCCGTTCCCCTTGGCAGGCGATTAGGATGAAGGTAAATTTGTCAGTGTGGCGTTGTGCGTTCAGTCCAGGTATGCACAACGCCATCTACACGGGGTATTATCGCTTGGAGCTAGCTAGGTATGTTGTATAGTACTTTCATTATGTTGTAGGAAAGTTGAATTAATCGTGACTGAAAGTATTGAGTGACAAAAGACAAGAGATATTCTTCCAAAATCACGCATAGTAAACGTCTGTGGCAAAGACTTGAATATGCATAACCCCAATAATTAATCCATATTCATAATGTACACATGTTTGTACATAGGTACAGTACCAAGAAGCTATACATCAACATACTTTGTCAAGACGGTGTGCACGGCCAAGATCTATGTGGAGTGACTCCACTCTACCTTCCCATGCCCGAAGATACCTTTTCACAATACAACATAAACCTTTGAAGACGTCGAGTATGATAGTATTCTTTATGAGTACAAAGCTTAGGGACATCGTCCAAAGGCATAACTTTATCTCTAAAGGTTAACCATGTAAACCCCGGCTTATCAAGATTGGAGATACACGGAACTAGTTCTCAAAGAGGAAATATTAGTCTATCCAGGGGTATCACCTACCCCTCGTTATCGGCAGTTAATTACTGAGTTCTGATTTGCCGCACTAGCTAATCACGCAATCCACGTGTTTGACAGTCTAACCTGACACAACGTCCAATATACCGACATTAGACCCGCATCCCGTATTCAATATATAAATGGCTATTTACTTCAGTACAGCAGGTATTAGTATTTCGTTATCAAAGTTATCAACTACATAATATCATGTCTTGGGAGTCAGTTGCCGCCACAAAGCGCCAGGCGCTCAAGGATTCTATTCCAGCTGAATGGGTGATTCCTGCTGCCATATTCCCCCCTGAAGATCAGTTGGATGTGACCACCTTTCCTCGGGAATCCGGCTTTTTCACTGAACGTGAACTAGAGATCACCTCCATTTCTGCTTTGACCATTCTATCCAATCTATCTTCGGGTGCATGGACATCGGAGGAGGTGACCAAGGCGTTCTGTAAGACCGCGGCAGTAGCCCAACAATTGGTATTTCTGTTTCCCCCAGGTTAAAATAGAAATAATTTCTAATTTGGAATTAGACCAACTGCTTGTCGGAAATCTTTTTCGAAAAAGCTATCGCCCAGGCTAAGGAGCTTGATGCCTATTTCCAAGAAACTGGCAAGACAAAGGGTCCCTTCCACGGCCTGCCTATCTCTATCAAAGATAATTTCAACTATGTTGGCTATGATACAACTATTGGATTCACCTCCCTGGTTGGCAAGCCCGCTACCTACAACAGCACAATCATCGAGCTCCTCCTGGAGACCGGCGCTGTGCTCTACTGCAAGACCAATGTGCCAACTGCCATGATGATCTCAGAATCTGTGAACAATCTTTTCGGTCGCACAGTCAACCCAAAGAACCGCGGTCTCACAACTGGAGGTTCATCTGGAGGTGAAGCTGCCTTGATTGCATTCGGTGGTAGTCGGATTGGTGTTGGCAGTGATATTGGTATGTATCAACGCCGAAATATTATAACAAAGCAACAATGCTAATTGTATTACTAGGCGGCTCCCTCCGTATGCCAGCTGCCTGCACTGGTATCTTCACTATCCGTGCCTCAGCCGGGCGCTTCCCCAACACCCGTTCGCGCGCCTGTCTGGAAGGCCAGGAATCCGTGGTTGGCGTCAGTGGCCCCATGGCCCCGACTCTTGAAGAAATCGTTTACTGGTCCCGCACCATTCTCGACCTAGAGCCCTGGACCCGCGACCCCAAGTGTCTCCCCATCCCCTGGCGGTCTGTGGAGCTGAAGAAATCCCTCAAGATTGGTGTCCTCTGGAACGACGGATTCGTTTCTCCCACTCCTCCTGTAGCTCGTGCGCTCAAGGAGACTGTCGATAAATTAAAGGCAGCTGGCCATGAGATTGTCGACTGGCCATGCACCGAACACATGGAGATGCTTATTATGCTCGGGCGCTTGTTCCTCGCAGACGGAGGTAAGTCTGTAGGGGATCTCCTCGAGCCAACGGGAGAGCCTTTCCGCCCAGAAATGAAGCCCTACGAGGACGCAAAAGAAATTAGCGTGTACGATTTGTGGCAGATTCATGCTAAGCGCAACGCTGTCTGCAAATCCTACCTTGATCGGTGGAATGAGGCTGGCCTTGATGCTGTCCTATGTAAGTTCGCCCGCTTCAGCGAGGAAGTATCCTTTTTATTGACCGGTTTCCGTAGGCCCTACCACACCATACAGCAGTGCCGAGAATGGAAAGTTTGCTTACGCCGGATATACATGTGTCTTCAACCTGCTCGATTACACTGCCGCTTCGTTCCCTTGTGGCGTAACGACCGATAAGGATATTGATGCATCATACTCCGACCACAAGGCACTGAGTGATATGGATGCGAAGATTCAGAAAGACTGTCAGTGACCCCTACCTGAAGTGTCGATGTGTTCAAATACTAATAGAACTAGACTCTGCCGAGTCCGTACACGGCATGCCAGTTAGTCTGCAACTGGTCGGCCTCCGACTCCAAGAGGAGAAGATTTTGGCGATGACCGATGTCATCCTGAAGGCCGTTGCTCAATGAGCAGGATGAGACAGTATAATAAACTCGGACATCAGGACTTCAATATCTATCAACGGTGTTTTGAGATACAATATATGGAATCACTGCGTTGGCGATGGAAAGTAAGCTATTGTGCGCCATCCTGCTCGAGCGTCCGTTATACCAGAACGAGTGCGACTGGATGGGAAGTCTTTCTAGAAAGTTGTTCTCCATCGAGACGGATTCATGGCGAGGCTGGAGGCTCGCACAATCTCGGCCAAATTCATGGTCAAAGCTGGCTTCCTCGGTCAGTTTCTGGCAGTCGATCAAACTGCCCTGGGAGCGGAAGTGCGGATGTTTATAATTTAGCGAAGTCATGCATTGTTTTTAGGAAATTCAAGAAATTATGCATATAAATCGGTTCTTCTTATAGAAAGTGCCAGAGTTTATTTCCGATGTACTGGCTTTATTCCCGACCTTTACCATCCTCATACAACAGGTTGAGAAAGGATAATGCCGAGCTCAGACTATTCTTGGATACCAGTTTACTTGGCAACCTGCATAATCCTCGGACCAGCCCACTCCGATGCAATCCTTGACGTCTCCTCTCAGATGATGGAGAATCGAGGTCCTCTCATCCCCACTTGGGCGGAAGCGTCCCGCCTTGCAGCCGCTTACCCCAACATCTGCATATTTCGACAGAGCGTCGTGAATTGCTTCAACCCACTCCCTCTAGTGTTTTGATCGCTGAGGGTCTTGCTCTTTTGTATACTGAACCTATATACTCCAAATTCTCCAAATGTCTTCCACTTCTTGTTACATTATCTTCGTTCACTAGGCAAACTGGCTTATCCTCCAATGTTGAAAACCGAGTGTTGAATTAATATCTGGAGGAACAGCTATTTATCTCAGATTCTATTCTCACAAAATCAATATGTCTACCGAAACCTTAGCAGGATCGACTGAGGACCAGCGAGCCGCGCTGACTTCCCGAATCCTTCCTATTATGACTTTATCGGAGGGATCGAGTCCGCTCACTCACCCCCTCCCCCCAGTACCCTTTACATCTGCTCGCTCACGAGCAGAAGCACGATTCCAAGTTCAGGGCAAAGCCATAGTCACCGGTGGAGCAGGAGCCCTAGGCCTAATCTCCTCACAGGCTCTCCTAGAGCACGGTCTTTCCTCACTGTGCATCATGGATCTCCCCAGAGCGTTGGAGATGTCAGCAGAACAAATCCAATTACTAGCATCAGAATTTCCCTCTGCCGATATAACCAAAATACCCTTCGACGTGACATCAATGGAATCAATCGAAGCCGCCTTTGAGCAGGCGAACAAGACAATGGAAGGCATCGATATCCTCTGCTGCTTCGCTGGAATCCCGGGGTGCCAGCCACCCCTCACCGTAACACCCGACCAGTTCACCAGAGTGATAGACGTCAACCTAAACGGATCTTTCTTCTGCGCTCAGGCAGCAGCAAAGCGGATGGAAGCCTCGGGCAAAGGCGGGTGTATTTTGCTCACTGCGTCGGTGTCTGCGCATTATACCAATTTCCCTCAACCGCAAGCTGCTCACAATTCGAGCAAGGCTGCGGTCGCGCATCTGACTAGAAACCTGGCTGCTGAGTGGGCTGTTCATGGGATCAGAGTTAATGGTATTAGTCCTGGGTATATGGATACCATTCTTAATGCTGGGGATAGTTTGGCGGATGTTAGGAAGATTTGGGATTCTCGTTGTCCTATGGGCTGGATGGGGGATCCTGAGGAGATTACTGGGGCTGTTGTTCTTCTTTTTAGTCAACGTGCCGGACGGTATATTACCGGTGCTGATATTGTTATTGATGGTGGGACTTTGACCCTGTGACGATGTAGTGTCATGAAATTACATCTTGTGCTAGCGGTTTTTATTCCATTCCTATTATCATCAAGTTTGTGTCTCTAAGCTCGTCTATTTTTTTTTCTCGGTTTGTCTTGTAGGTAGGCTTCTGCAGAGCCCACAAAGCCCAAAGCCCAACCCGCACCCAACCCGCAAATGGGCTGGGTTTGGGACCCGAGGCCAGGCCCACCGATGGGCTGTGGGCCTAAGGTAGAAGCCCACTGCGGGTTAGTGGGCCCCCAAATGGGCCCCAAACAGTACAAATATACCGAGAATTCAGAAGTCGAACCCCCTTGTAGGGTTTTTCAAAATTACCCTTCGTTTTATTCCCGTTTCTAAGCCTTATCCTAAAGGTAATATCTTATTAATTTGAATGATTTAGAATTGATCACTAGTTGTCTCTCTATATCATGTTTAAAAATATAAATGAGCGCCTTATTTCGATAACTTATAAATTACAGAAGTTCACTTAGAAAGTAGTAGTACTCCTACACAAACCCAAAATATATATCTTACCAATACATTAAGATTAATGGTATCCTGACTTCTACTAGTTGAATTTTATTTAAAATTGAAATATATACTTATATAGCTACTATAATCCTAGATTCTAAATTTGAACTTTCTATACCTAGTGGAAGGTCTTAATACAGCGATTATAGAGGCCGCCTAGGATAGGCTTTAATGGGGGCCTTATAGGCTCCTACTGATAGGCTGTAGGTTGGGTTGGGTTTCGAAGGTAGGGCCCATTTATGGGCTTTGCGGAAGCCTACTTGTAGGCATACTGTTTAAAGATATATCTTCCCGCTTCTAGGTATCTTCCTACAAAATTAGGTAGGTAATTAGTGCCTTTAACTACTTCTCAGCCCAGCTTTAGAAAGTTGGTTATATCTTCAAGTTCTATTCATTGCCTTTTAAATACAAAAAGGAAAACACAATAGCTTCTGCATATCCCCAAAGCATCACTCTCTTTACCGACAAATATAACCTCCATCAACCCGCAGATCCGCACCAGTAGTGTAACTACTAGCATCACTAGCAAAGTACACATAAGCCGCCTTTAACTCCTTAGGATCACTTTGGCGACCCATAGGAATCATTTTATTCCAACCCTCCTGGGTCTCCGCATCCACAAAATCCCCCAATCCAGTATTAATATATCCAGGCGAGATACTGTTAACACGAGCAAAGTCCCTCCACTCATTAGCCAATGAGCGAGCCATGTGAATACATCCAGCCTTAGCAACATTGTACGAAGTCTGCTCCTGTGGGTAATTGGCAATATGCCCCGAGATCGAAGCAGTGATCACAAAGCTTCCCGTGCGGCGCTCCTTGAAATGCGGACCAACAGCCTTGGCACAGTAAAAGACCGAGTTAAGGTCTGCCTGGATGATGTTCTCCCAGTCTTCAACCGAGCCATCGAGAACACCCTTGTCGGTGGTGCGGCCCGCGTTCGCGATGAACGAATCGATCTTGCCGAAGTCGGCGATCACGTTTGCGACTAGCTCTTGTACTTCGTTCCATTTTGAAGTATCGCATTTATAGGCTTTGGTTTTGATGCCGTACTCCTCTTCCAGGGCTTTAGCATTTGCCTCGGCTCCCTCTCGTCGCGTGAAGTATGTGATGGCGATGTTGCCGCCCATTTCGGCACAGCCGCGGGCTGCTTCCAGGCCGATTCCGCGGGGCCCAGAGGCGCCGGTGACGACCACGACCTTGTCTTTGAGACTGAATAGATCTTTGAGGGAGCTGGCTTTGGGGGTTTCGATAGGCATGATGGGCGAAAAAGGGAATTGAAGTGTCTTGGAAATGTGTGTAGAAGGGAAGATAGAATGGGTTGAGAATTGTTGATTTGTGTGAAGTATTGAGAGGTTACAGAAGAATCCCTGTGGAATTTATACCTTTTGGCCATCGACGGAGTCTCGGGTCCAACCTTCCCACTGTGCAACTGTGCAACTTACACTTCCAGTCTCCTTTGAGATGTTGTGGCCTTCTCCACCCGGCGGGACACTCGGCGGCACGATCCCGCCAGGATTTTAGTGGACACTTTGGAGTAGAAGAACCATTAAATTGCTGTTCATTTCAAGAGACAAAATAAATTTAGAAAATAGCAAACGCATTAGGCGGGCTAGCGACACCACCAATAACCTAGACTCTAAATCAGCAAAATCCCAACACAGCCAATAGGAGAAACCAACCTTCAAAGGCATACTAGACAAGAAAAAGCTATAACGTCCACTAGCCTTACAATGCTCTGATAGCTTCTCTAAATCAAACATCTCCCCAATAGGAGTCCCCCAACCCGCCAGCACCCACTCATGCAAATTGAAATTCGGATCCGCATGGGCACCTCTAATAGGCGCACGCTCAAAGCTCGGCGCATCACCAGCGACGGCAGAGAACTGATGCTCCCATAACCACCGCACCATATCCTCCGTCGCTTCCACGCCGCTAAAATCTGGCGATGTTCGGAGTGCCAGGTCCTTTCGCTGCTGGTTGTCCAGCTTGTTGTACGCGGCTGTGAAGCCGCTGCGAATGAAAAGAATGTCCCCCTTTCGGAAATTAAGGTTGTGATCTTTGACTACTCGTTTTAGGTTCTCAATGGTGATGGCCTCAGATCTGAGGGCGGAGACGGAAATTGAGTTGGTGGTGGCCCATTCTGCGTAGTCCAGGAGAACGCCGCGGCCTGTTATTCCACCGTGTTCACACATGGCTATAATGAGGGGTTGTAGTTAGCGCCGGTTGATTGGGTATCTTATGACTGGCCCATACAGTGAATTCCAATGATATCTGAGCTCTCTATCTCTTCTGTGGTATGCCCGTTATAAAATTGCCGAGATTTCTGGTTTGCTAGAACAGCCAACCTGTAAGCCATAATCTCAAACTCCAGCCATAGTTGCTCAGTGACATACCATAATGTCTAAACCCATCCCATTGGGTAGACCCCTGACTATTGAATGTCAAGATGTCATCATAAATACAATTTGGATTCCGAAGAATAAGCTCCTGCTTAAATGGATGGCGATTGAAGCTAGGATGCGAAGGCATGCTCATCGGCCAGTCAAGTGAGATTCGCACGCCAGTTTGAATTTCCTTCGCGGCTTCGACAACCCGCTCAGGAGTGAGCAGGTTCAATGTCCCAAGTTGATCATCTTTTCCAAATCGACCCCAGGCATTTCCGCGTGGGCCTGTTGGGTCTAATGGAAGAGAATCGAATGGGATTACTTCGTTTACTTTCGACATGGTATTAGGGTTGTGAGAATAAGGTGTGGCTTTGGTGTATGCCGAGGTCTTTATATGCTATTTTTCCGGGGTATCCGACCCCTCATCGATGAACCCCGGATTCATATCCGAGGAATGCAATTTGCATTAAATTTCATATTTAGACTATTTAATACCTCTTTCCACTTTAGATCACTGAATGTGGGCCTGAGCACCCTCGTAAAAGCGGCAACCCAAACACGAAAACCTCCAGGTTTGATACTCATCATATATCACATCTCTAAAATTGCTCTTAAATACGGATCTAGAGATGGAAAGATTGAGAGCCTTGAATATGTGCCATTTGTTCCACTATATGTACTATTCCTGTCCCTCCGAGAGTCAACCCTTATCTTGACTTTTGGGTGCAAAAGCAGGTGAAGAAGGAAATCGAAATCAGAGGTATGCCCTAGAAGGTGAAGTACGCAATAGTCGCAGCGAACGTAGCCAGATTATCGGCAACCGTCGCCAATGCAGTGCCATCCTTCACGATCATATAACTTGTCCCAACGGTGTTGAGGCCATATACCACCAGTCCACTTGTACTGCCTTCAATGCTGAAGATCATGCTTTGGCAATTTTCCGGTAGTGGGAATGTCGAGCAAGTGGTGCTGTAGTTGTTGAAGAAACTATATAGCCCAGCCCCGTAGATAATCACATCCTTAGTGTTGAGAATCCGAAGACCGAGAGAGTTGCAGTTTCCACCGAGACAGCTACTATAGTTGGGGTCATTGAGAGCCGAGTTGCTGGGATATGGGCTGTTGGCTGCGTTGGGATTTGGCTGGTAGTAACTGCGTAGAATTGGTTAGGACAGGATATACAAGGACAGTTTCATGTATAAAATCACTTACGGAGTTTCTGTTTGTACGAAACCTGCCACAATCGAACTTGCGCCTGAGAACTGGTACTGATACAGCGAGTGGTGCTCGGATCCCGTTCCGTACCTTGCGCCAATATTAGTTATGAGAGCGCATGACGGGGATTATATGTCACTTACAGCCAAACATTCTTTCCTTCAACCAAGAGACCACGACCGGTATAGACCGAAATTTGGGTATCAGTTAGGCTTTCAAGGTCATGATCGGCGGTCCAAAGCCAGACATTCTCCAAGTAAACACCACTGGCGGTCTTGGTAATGTGCATAGACATGTACGCAGCCTGACAGGCCACAGAGACAGCTGCGCTCGTCGGGCACTGGGCAACCTGCTGATTAGATCCTTTGAAGCCCCCAATTCGAGTGTGGACATCCCACATCCCAGAACCTGATGTTGCCGCCAAGTTCCACTCAACAAGGACAGCGCCCGGCGTGGAACCCGAGGTGCTCACTATCATGTCGGACCATTCAACAGACCCGGATTCTCCAGATTTACCGATTTGAACAACGGGAACCGGGTTGGTAATACTCGACCATACATTGCCAGTGGCCATGATGACAGAATATGCCTCGCCGACAATCCGAGAGCCTGGCGGGACGTAAAGAGTGTTGGTGACTTTGTATGTTCCTTGATTGAAGAACAAGATTTTGCCTGCAGACGCGGCAGATGTCAATGCGGATTGAATGGCTGTTGTGTCATCGGTTGAACCATCTCCCTTGGCACCTGCGCTTCTAATGCTGACAAACGAAGCTACTGGTGATTGCTCATACTGAGGCTTTGACTTGGCAAAATACCTGTTTGATCCACCAGCGAGCAGACCACTAGGACGTGATGGTGCAGTGAAAGAACCTCGGAAGTTGGTCGGTCCGTTTGGAGTATACTTGTGGCCTTGTCCCCAAGCACCAATGGTCGTAGAGCCACCAGCAAGGACAGTACCGCTGACGCCCTTGACAGCAACCGGGACGTTATCTAAAATAATGTTCTCCAGAATGAGACTGCCAGTTGATAGCGTTGAGGTCTGCCAAGCAGTGTCGACAAAGGTACCGCAGTTTTTGATGGTGCTGTCAAGGACATTCACTGAGCCAACTTGCTGGGACCCAGCCCCACCATTGCTGATCGAAAGAGCAGTTGTGCAATCGGAGATCAACAGACCTTGATAGGTCCACCCCCAGTCCCAGATCTGAGAAATTGCGGTCACTGCATTCGAAATGACGACGTTCCGCATTGTGAATTGCTGGTTGCCAACATTGGCACCATAGAGGCCACCAGTAATAACCACATCGGCCATCCAGCCGCCGGAGCCTGATATTGTATTAGTATAGGTTCCAAAAATTAATTTCAAGTACCAACATACCATTCTCAATGAAGATACCCTGGTGCTGCGTTCCAGCAGCAGAACTCATAGCAATGACAACATTCTGGATGCTGGAAGCTTGACCAGTTGGCCAATGAATACCAGTCGCAGCAGTACCAGCAGGGATTCCAGTCAAGTCCAATTTCAAATTTCGGATCTGTCTGAAAAACACATTTGTTGATGTCCAGCCCTGGTTTCCATCGCTCTGGTATTGGTCACCGTCAATCAAGCCAAGTCCGACAAAACCTGCGGTTGCTTTTATAACTGGCATTGCATTCGGGTTGCCAATCAGCTGGGTGAAATAGTAATCAATGATCGAGGATGAAATCAGGTACGTTCCGGATGGAAAGTAGACTATAGCGGGAGTCGTGGTGGAGGAATGCCTGCTTGCTGGGCTAAAGCGACCACCGGTGCTTATGGCCGCATTGATCGCCGCCGTATCGTCGGTCACACCATCACCTGTGATTTGAATTAGTACTTCTTCGGAATAATAGTAATCCTTGTATTCTCACCTTTAGCTCCGAAGTCTTTCACGTTTCGGAAGACGGTATAGCCGGAAGGGTTCGAGTTGAAGGCTGCGACTCCCTGGTGAGCAATATCTGCTAGCCAGTATGGAGTGTCTGCTGCGGCTGCAGCTTTAGCGTTTGTAGCGGCCTTGGTTTCGAAGGTTTTGACAGCCGTGGCGACTTTTGTTGCAGCACCGAAGGACATGTACTGCTCAAAGGGAAGTAAAGCAGAACTGACCATGGCATCCACGGCTGGGATCTTCAGTAGCTGTGCATTGGCACAAGCTACTAAAGAAAGGTACTTGATCACAGAAGAATAGTGCATCTTGACTCTGAAGCACTGAGGTAATTCAGCGAGACGGATGCTTGCGAGTCGCTGGATAGAGCAGAGTGGGCAATTAGAGCCTTGGGAAACATAGTTTATATATCTAAAACCACCTGGGCAATTTTCCCAATAGCCCCGATCCAAGAAGGCCAGACACGCGTATGACAGGAAAAGGATAAACTCAACATTGACCCTGTATCTTCAGCTAAAAGCAAAATAGATTAGGGAATCCCACCCCGAAATACCACACGAGACGGGGAAATATCTAGCGAGTGACTGCCGACCAGGGATATCCATTGGTTATTTCTTCCCGGGGAAGACCGTTATCCCATTCTCCTGTCATGCCCATGACATGAATGTGCCAGGTGCCCAGGTGGAAATGAGAATGTGAATCAATAGTGCTGATCTTTCCCCACAAGAGATGAAGTCCCCTGCCTCTACCTGCATGTCAGCCAATAGATAATCCATGTCTAGGACATCACATTGTGCAGAAACCTTAGAAGTCAAAGCTAAATGCTAGTTTACCTTAGGCGTTTCCTAATAAGAATGGAATGTGACTAAATGAGAGTTTTGAAACAACTACTGGAGATATGTGACCTAGGAATTTGCATATGAGCCGTTAGTAAGACAACCTAGTCATTCAGTAACCTCAGGAGTTATGCTCATAAACCTTTAAATAAGGAAGTCAAAGTGCCCTATAAGTCTGATTAACTTAAATGAGAATAAGGTCAGCAATGACCCACGGGGAAACCGCCCTAAGTGCGGGGAGACGAAAACGAGAGACTCAGGTACATCCGGTCCTTAGGGCTTACATGTTACACTCTTTTATTCGCCTAGACTCCAACGTTGTAACCTTGGAATACTCGAAGGTTCTTTGTTGAATATAGTAGTTGTGACGGACTTATCCGGATCAGCATGATTTGCTGGTCACCCGGAAGGCGTGCAGCCCGCTACTCTTGGCCTGTATTCTTTGCCCAAGTGGTTGAATATGCACATACATCACGCGGAGTTTCGGAGATGCGCTGGATACTTGCCTTTCAGAAGGACTTCAGAATATTCAGAGGCACTTAACCCCGCTGGCCAAATTTATTATGCGCATAACGTCAGAATTTACTTCACACAAAAGTATCCTTTATATTCTTTTGGGGCATCAGTGTACCTTGGAGTGTTTTTAAAACGGATCGTTCTTTCTGGTCAAGCTTGGCGACATCATGAAGTGAGTAGGGCTTCTATTTGAACATAAGAACATTTTCCTTTCTCTGTTGCTTCATTTACTACTCTGTAGAGGATGAGCGGATTTCATCACAAATAAATGACGATAGATATGATAATCATCCAACCTATCACATCCCCTTTTGTCAAATGCGGGCAAACAATAGCTTGAAAAATCCTAAGCATAGACCTTCCAACTGCCAAGACATACCACGTGATTGATTTCTTTCCGCCTTGGATGCTTCCTGCAAAAAAAAAAGAAAGAATAACAGTCGTGCCTCCCTTCATTGCGTCGTGGGACATATCGAAACTCGAACGTAAATATCATCAGGGACAGTACTAGGTCCACGGTCTGTCTTCGATCTCAGTTCTCCTAACTCAAAAGCGCCTTCGTTGTGCTGACAGCTCCCTGCGCGACGGGTCGCGAACGTGTCACGGTAACCGCGAAAGCTACCGTATAATCACATCAAAGACGTTAGAGACAAATTGAGTTTTGCTCTCTCCACGACTGGGAACATTTAAGTGGAGGGTAATCATCATCGAAGCCGTTGCTTTTTCGAGTCCGTACGGAGTCAGGAAGAGCCTCGTCGCACACCGAAAGCTCCCTACTTCGATTGCCGCAACTGAGGAAACTCTTCACGGCATCATACTGAAGTTAAATCTCGCATTGGGCTTGATTTAGGACATCTAAACCGGGTCATACAGATTCCGAAGGATACGAGGCAGTTCGCGCAGTTCAAGTTTGCAAGCGTACAACCAACCGGTGGTTTTCATACGCTCAATATGTCGAAACGTGGAGCTGAAGGTGATCATATGAGAAGAGAGGAGGAGAGTATGTTTGGGATGGCCAGCACCCCAGATGAAAAACCGCTCCGGGCGACGCAGGCCCAGTTAGCGAACAGAAAGTAAGTAATAACAAGGGAGCCGTGGATGACCACAAACTGACCAAAGATCTCTTTGAAACCTTTAGAATCAAGGATGTCCGCAAACGCCGGGCTCCAACTCCCACAACCGGCGGAGGAGCGGCTTCATTCAACCCCTTCGCATCCGTGGCACCGGCCTCGGCACCAGCACCTACCCAGTCGACTGGGTTCACATTTGGTCAGACTCAGAGCCAGAGCTTTCCTGGGGCAAGCTCAGGGCCCAGCCAGGGGGGAATGTTCTCGTCCGGTACTAATGGCCAGGCGGGTGGTCAGGCGTCGTTCAGCTTCGGGGCGGGCCCTACCTCATTTGGAACTGCACCGCCGAGCAATCCTTTTTCTGTAGACACATCATTTGGCGGAAGTTCCCAGTCAACGACGAATGGGTTCGGCTTTGGGGGATTCAATGCCGGAAACCAGTCCACTCCGTCGTTTGGTGGATTTGGAGCACAACAGAACACAAGCACTCCAACAAAGCCCACCATATTCGGGCAGTCTGCATCACATATGACTTCGCCTGCCGATGACAGCATGCAAACTTCGCCCGATACCAAGCCCAAGGGAACTTCCATGTTTGCATCGAAGCCAGCCCCAGGTCCTTCGGCACTTAGCAATCCATTCTCAAACCTCTCAGGGCAGACCCCGTCCAGCAATCTATTTGCACCATCACAGACAACTGCTCCCGAGAAAGTAGCCGACAAACCTGCGGAGACCCAGCCTTTCAAACTTTTCGGATCAACGCCGGCCGCTTCGAAGCCCTCAGATGGAGAGAAACAGCAGCCGACAGCCAGCAATCCATTTGCGAACCTGTCTGGACAGGCTCCAACCAGCAGCGCTAACATATTTGCCCCAAAGACAACAGCAGGGGAGCAAACTCCTGCGAAGCCCGCAGAGGCGGCGAAGCCTTTTGGTGCTCTTTTTGGGTCGACTTCCGGTTCCCAGCCCTCAGGGCCTGCTAGCAATCTATTTGCTCCCAAGCCTGCCACAGAAGAACCAAAAGCGATCAATCCCTTTGCGACGCTATCAGCGCCAAGTTCCTTGGGTACTTTCTCCTCACCGAAGGTTACTGGGACCGAAAGTTCTGGAAAGGCTACCGCGGCACAGCCGTTCATGTTTGGTACACCTACGGCATCAAAAGTTTCGGAGGCTGGAAAAGAGCAGGCGGCTATGCCAGCATTCGGAAATATGTTTTCACCGAAGCCAGCCGTTGAGAACGTGGCTGCAAAGCCTGCAGCGGACCAGCCGTTCAAGTCTATGTTTGGTACACCTGCGGCATCGAAAGTTTTAGAGGCTGGGAAAGAGCAGACTGCTCCGCCGGCATTTGGTAATCTGTTCTCGCCAAAGCCGGTCGCTGAGAATACGGGTGCAAAGCCATCAGAGGACAAGCCCAAATCCGTGTTCGGAACACCTGCGGGTACGACGCCTACAGGGGCTGAAAAGGAACCATCAGCTGCAAGCAGTGTTTTTGCACCGAAGGTGACAAGTGAAGAGCAGGCTCCTGTACCTGCAAAGACGTCACAGTTCGGCTCAGTGTTTGGGGCGTCTCCTGCGTTGTCGAAACCAGAAGACAAGACAGCACAGGCAACACCTAGCAATCCATTCGCGAACCTTTCAGGGCAGAACGCGTTCGGCAATCCATTCGCGCCAAAGCCGACAGAGCAGGCTGTGAAGCCCCAGGCACCGAGTACTTCTCTTTTTGGTGCAAGCACGCCGATTGACAACAATAAGCAGAATAAGGACAATAATATTGCAGCTAACCCATTCACTGTCGAGCCTAAGGCGTTGAATGAACCTCAAACGGAAGGTTCGACGAAAACTACCACGCCTCAGGTGTCTTTCTCGCAGCCTTCACGCGACCATAAAAGCTCTTGTTTACCTGTCCCTTCCTCCTCTTCTCTCCCCTCCTCAACTTCTACTGTTTCCAACACTTTCACTGCTCCAGACCCTGACAGTCTTTTCCCAAGATCTGATTATCCTGTATCAATTGAGTATCCTTTACCAAGCGAAGATTCCGACGAAATGCCGCTTAAACGTCTTTTCCCTGAGGACAAGACGGGCGAGCTTCGAATGCGGGCTGACCTGCTGGTGAAAATCGGCATCTTGACCGAGGCGTTCAAGCGTGAGATCGCCAAATGCGACCCCATGAAGGATGATATTGACGAAGTCCTCATTCTTTATGCTGAACTCCGCCGTGATCTTGGTGTCCCCATTGGCTCGATCAGCCCTGCTGAAGAGGCCAAACGCGCCGCCATCGATGAACGTGATGCCGCCAAGGAAGCGCCAGATGGCTGCTCCCCTCCTCGCATCCCGTCCCCTCCGGCCTGTGTGCCTCGTAGCTTTGAACCGGTGCCTCCCAAGAAACATTCGGTTGGGTCTACGACTTCTTCCAAGTTCGCCCAATCCTTCTCTGCTCCGGCTCCTGCTTCGGCAACTACTTCCGCTAGCGCTTCTCCCGCCCCAGTTGCTGGTCCTTCGTCTCCCACTGCTGCTCCTGCTACTACCTCTGTCGCCCCCTCTGCTTTGGGAGTTCCCAAGTTTGGTGATGCGGCCACTTCAACCGCCGCCCCTGTTGTTGAACCTCCTAAGTTTGGTGGTGCAGCCACTTCGACCGCCCCCCTGCTTTCCAGATTCCCAAGTTTGATGGTGCAGCCACTTCAACCGCAGCCTCTGCTTTCCAGATTCCTAAATTTGGTGATGCGGCCACTTCCACTGCCCCTTCTGCTTTCCAGATTCCCAAGTTTGGTGCTGGGGCTACTGGCGCCGATTTTGCGGCCCAGTTCAAGTCACAGTCAGACAAGAGTGAAGCTGAAGCAAAGGCCAAGAGAAAGGCTGAAGAGTTTGATTCCGAGGAGGAGGATGAGGAGGAGTGGGAGCGTAAAGATGCGGAACGCCAGCGCGAGAAGCGCGAAAAGGTCCAAGCTGCAGCCAATAAGCGTGCTGTTTTTATCCCCGGCGTGGGTTTCAAATTCGCTGATGATGATAGCGCTGCTCCCAAGAGCGCTGAGGAGCCCGCTACATCTGCTCCGTCTGCTGCTCCATCTGCTACGTCTGCCAACCCTGCCACTGCTCCACAGGACGTTGAGGAACCTGATCACAACGCTCCTACCCCTCCACCGGCCTTTGAGGGCAAAGTTTCTCACAATACCACTCCTAGTATCTTTAAAGAACCTCCCTTTACTGCCTGGCCTACTTCGGGAGCAAAAGGTGCTCCCTCTTTGTCTTCCTCGCAACACCAACCCCAGTTCCCTAAATCTTCTCCTGACGCCTCTGAATTTTCAACTCTCGTCGGAACAGCCACGCGTTCGCCTGCGGATGCCGCACTCTTCGGGGGCAAGCCTGGATCCTCCTCCTCCTTTCTTCGGTGCATATGGTGCAGGCCCTTCTAGCTCCTCGGTCAACTCTTCGGTTTTCGGATCAGCTAGTAAGCCGGTCCCAGCCTCACAGAACATTTTCGGCGGGCTTAAGCCAACCTCGCCGAAACGTAAGGCCTCTGCGGATGGAAGTGACGAAGACGATGATTCCCCTGCAAAGAAGGTCAAGTCCACCCAGAACATTTTCGGGCCCAAGCCAACAACCTCTGAGAACATTTTCGGTCCTAAGCCAACAACATCGCAGAGCCTTTTCGGTCAACCCAAGCCGACCTCGCAGAACATCTTCGGTGGGCCCAAGCCAACCTCGCCGAAGCGCAAGGCCTCTGCGGATGGAAGTGATAACGAGGATGATTCCTCTGCAAAACAGACGAAGCTATCGCCTCCTCCATCTGCGGGCGCCAGTATGTTTGGACGGGTCTCCTCTGCACCAGCACCGGCTCCTTTGACCAATTCCTTCCCACCGTCCGCCATTGCCCCAGCATCAGTTCCTTCTACTCAGCCCAGTTCCACCCCAACAGAAGATGAGGATGGTGAGCCTGGTGAAATTTTCGATCTCACGAAGGGAAACGGCGGTGAAGAAGAAGAGACTGTTGTATTCGAAGACAAATCCCGGGTTTTCAAACTTGAGTCCAAGTGGCTGCCCAAAGGAACCGGTCCTGTCCGCCTTCTGAAGCACCCTGTCACTGGACGTGCACGAATTGTCTGCCGTGCCGAACCAAGTGGAAAAGTCACATTGAACATTCTCCTGAAGAAAGAGTTCGACTACAAGCTCACCACTAACAGTGTCCAGTTCCTGGTGCCCGACGAGGCTGGCAAACTCACACATTGGGCTGTTCGAGTGAAGACCGAGAGACTACAAGAGTTCCACAACCTGATCCAAGAGATCAAGAACTAAATCTCCGTCTATCTCTTCTACATATCTTTTCCATCTTTGTCCTCCCTTTCGGGAATGTATGTTTATGTCCAAGCGCATGGCCTAGGTTTGCATCTGCGTTTTCTGCCTTCATGGTCTGGTTTTTTTTTTACTTTCTTGCTTTTTGTTGCTTTTTCTTTCTTTTTTTGTCCATCGATCCCTGAGACAAAGTTGACCCTTCATACATTGGGTCAGCTTCAATACCGGCGGCCTCGGTCTCTTTCATTTTGAGCTCTGTTAGGGCCCGGGTGAGTATCTCCCTGGGCCCACGGGCTCCAAGTCGAATTTTCCGTTTTTTTTAGTGAAGATAATGGGATCTCTACATTGTATTTCTGTGAAATGAATAAAATTTTGATTTTTTCTATTTAAAGATCCCAATCCCCAAAACCAAGCTAATAAAAATTAAGAAAAACTAAGAAGAACTAAAGACCCTTAGCCCCTGAGGCTCTAATTTTCAAAGATGCCGAGACCCCGATGGGGGCTGAATGGTCCGAACTATAATTCTCAGCTACTTAAAGGGTCTTTTTTCTCTCCTGGCCTCCAGCTCTCCCTTTTATTCTACTTCTTATTCACTCGTTTAATTTCCCTCATCACTCATTTAAAATCCAAAATGAAGCCTGTCACTCTTTCCTTCCTCCTCGGCCTCACCAGTCTCGCCAGCCTCGCCAGCCTCGCCACAGCCCGCACAGACCTGTCAGGCTGCGTCTCCTCGGAAGTCATAATCGAAAAATACTACGCCAGCTACCTCTGGTACGTCCCAGACACCGGCGAAATCTGCTCGTTCCTCGACTGCGGTGGCGGCCGCGCACCCCCCAAAACCACCCAACCGGGATGTCCACAATACAGCGGAACCGCAACGCTTACTCCCGACTACCTAGAGGGATGGGGACCCAATGGCAAACAAGCTGCATCTGCAACTACCGCGGCGTCGACTGCTTCATCAACTGATGTTGTCATCGCTTCAGCTACACATACTTCTGAGGCGTCAGTCGCGTCGGACTCGTCCTCTGCGTCTTCTTCTGCTTCATCCCCGTCTGGCACCCAGCCTGCTGATAGCATGATCACGGAGGCTCCTTCTGGTCTTAGCACCGTCGCGTCTTCTTCGAAGACTTCCACGTCGGACTTGGCTGCTAGCAGCGGTACTTCTACTTCTGCTGCCGCGACCAGCTCACCCACTTTCAATGCTGCCACTAACCCTGCCTCCAATGTGGCTGGTGTCATGGCTGTGGTGGCTGCTATGCTCGGGGCTATGGTTCTGTAATTTCAACTTGAAGATGCACTTTTACATTCTGAAAATTGGATTATAGGGGTTGGGCTCGAATCTAGATAAATAGTTTGAAACGCGACCGTCTTATAGAAATTGAAACTCTCGCTAGCAATGCACAAGCGGATTTCAATTCAGATAACATTTTCTATTCCCCTTGTAGCATGTAGCATCACTAGATACCCGGCGACAGAAGAAAAGTGTGAGCCACATCGCCGATCTGCACGACCCGCTCTCTTGGCGAGACCCAGGTCTGGGGCTCTCTCCGTATAGAGATGGTCCATAGATGTTAGCTCAATAATTACCCGATCTATGATTTCTGGCTATCCTAGAATAGTGACTGTCCCTTAAAATCACTGGCGTCAAGTGGTACATCTACCACTTTCCTATTTAGTCGAGCGCAAGAAAAACACGCTACATCTCAACAGGGCTCTCAACTCCCAGCTGATGTGAACAATTCCCATGCCTCTTCATTCCTATTGCCTTGTGAGCGCACATGTATGCATTCCTGCACGGGTTACATGATGACTGGCTTATGTCGGGTTGTTCTCTCAAAGAAATAAGCAATTATGCACGATCACGTTACCTATATTACCCCACCGATCATCATGACAGTAAAGCTCGCTGATCCTACAGAGAATACCCGAACATCTGCCACTGTTTTGGAGGTTGCATCCAAAAGCAGTAGTTGAAGAGTTCACTAGCCTTGTTGATTCCATTGGGGGATTGCAGCTTGTTAATAGGACGGCCGAGCTGTCCGGCTCAGACTCTAATCCCCTAAGGAATGGATCGGATTTTGGGTTCAGGTGCTGGATAAATATCCCGATAGGCCCTATTCTATTCGTCAGCAACTCATCAGCCTCAATGCGACCTTGCAGATATCGCGCGATACCTGTTCAGGGCATTCGACCATGAAAGCTCGGGCAAACGCGACCATAGGGTTGTAGCATCCACGGAGAGTATTTTAAAACGGTCCTCGCGCAAAAGAGCCGATATCCTCTCGAGGGCAGAGAAGGAAGCAAGCAAAATGCTATATATTCATCTAACTCAATCATGTTTTAGTAGGGAAGCCAGCGATGACTTGATGTCGTGGAATAGTTCTCTACTTTTCGTGATCCAATATGCGATTTGGAGAAGCCAGCAACGCAGGCGTAACCCCACGGGAAGTCATACTTGTACGGTCGATACATACTAGGATGTCCCCGCGTAGGCAGTTTGTTTGGGACAGATCGTTGCTTAGGCCCTATCGTAGGACTCCAGAACTCAACAAGGCAATGCAAAGATTTTTCGATTTTCGTCTCAGAAACGCAAAATATGACAGTGGATAGTATCTGTCGCAGGGATTATTGCATCATAGTAGACGCTCTGTTACAGTATCCTTGGCATAGCTCACTATGGCTGGGCTACATGATCTTTACCCCGAATTTGCCGATCCTGCTGGAATGGAATATTGGACAAACCGTGTTAGAGAACTTCGTACAAAATGGTCCGTCGAGCAGATTACAACCTAGCTTGATATAGAAAGTGCATTAAAATTGGCTAGAGCATGCTTCGATCGGTTCAATAAGTATGATATAGCTAGCTGTGTTGCTATTGTCATTCAAAAATCGCAAGCTCCGAACCTCAGCGATAATTGATACGTCTCAATCCCCCCAGGTAACAATAGCTAAGCGAAGTTCCTCGAAATTAAAAGAGCAACAAATAACCCCCAATCCCTACGGCCCAAATGAAGTTCAACGGTACATGAAGATCATTGAAACGATGATCACAAGGGGCCGATACGGTTTCAATGCTTTGGGTTTGCTCTCTACTTTTGCTACCTGTCCCCTTAGCAAGGTTTCTGTATGCTTATAGTTGTTATGCAACTTAGAAATAGCGGATTAAGCGATTGGCTTCTAAAGAGATGTACGAATCCTATGGAAATTAGAAATAGGTCCCGCACTGCGACTAGAGCCTATGAAAAAGATCACAATATGTTTCCCATCTAGAATAAAAAGTCTGCTTTAATCTAGCAGGGGCAAAGGATAAAGTTACTGAGACCCTGTTTCAGATATGAAGTACATTCCTTTTTTTTTTCATGCTCAGCGGCATAAGTATGGACATAATAATCATACTTTAACTATCAAATACGACTCTATTCCTAAACCATAAGGCGTCGAAACAAAGCACCCCATCAACCCCGCAAATCATGCGCCAAAGCCCTAATCAGATATCATAGCCATCAAGCCATGAAGCGAACACCTGCCCGTAAGCACCCTGGATGGACTAGTCGTATTGATGATGAGGATGATAATGACCACGCTTGTGCCCGCTCAGATGAGTTGCATGTCCTTGGATCTGAATTTTCCGTTAGAGATAAATCCCCAAAGATCAACCTGTGTTAACACGCGGGAAGGCCTTACGTTGGATAGGGAGGACTGAGCAGTCTGTGAACCAGGTACCACAGAGGATGAAGCTGGCAGGAACACTTTCGATGTCGATTTAGTCCCTCGGGTGCCATTTCTATCACACGATCCCATGATGAAACCTGCACTCTTTGCCTGTGCCACAGGAGCTGAACGATAGAACTGGCATTCATTCGCATTGACGACAAAAAGCCATGCTTGGCAGGTGCTCATGCTGTCGCATTCATTAGCGCATTCAGATGGCGATAAATGAGTGTATCCATAGGCCAGAGGTGCTTTACTGAAGAACCCAATGGTTTCATTCTGAGCGCTGGGAAAGCAAGAGGCGGATACCAAGGAGGAAAAGAGACCCTCTATAGCCAGTAGAAAGGTAAGAAGAAGAATTGAAGTTGATTGCATCGTTTATGGCAGCCCTAGATGTCGTTTGAGGGTGGGATTGCAAGTGAAGGCAAAGTATTCCATCCAGCACTTTTCATAGGGGTAGATATGGAAGGCACAAACATGGATCCGATGATATTGTACTGTTTGCCGGCAATTTCCGAGTTCATTTCCCCTAGACGCCACTACATAGCAAGGATCGTGATCAATGTTCCGCGGAACTCCGTGTGGTGGTCAGTGAAGCAAACAACCTTGCAATGGCGTACCTAACAATCCGAACTATATAAGCCACAGATAAGGTTAGCGCCCGCGCCAAGACCCAGCTAGACTCCCGAGATCCCGAGATACTGTACGGAATACACGCCCCATATCAAAATTACCGCTATCTTGTATCTTGGCCTCCCTTTAGGCTTCGAGTCTTACAACTCTCTCCCTCGCACACACATTATTGCCATTTCTCATGCTAGCATCACAGGTACCCTTTCTCAATGGCTACCATTCTCCAACGGCTTCACTTTCATACCCAAATTCTTGGTCGTACTAGACCAACCCGACTTCTCGGTCGTGCTATAACAACCCACCTTCCCTTCTCATCATCTTCCTGCCACTTGGAACAGATAAAGATGGACATTCCATCTATCGAGTTGGACAACAGCGGCACTGGTCCCTTGCGAGTTCCTGGTTTCAATGGTGTACCCCTGTGGTATGAACAGCCAAAAGACAATCGCTTTGCACATGGCATTGCCGATTGGCGACAAATTCCACAGTTGTTTCTCCGAGAGCTTTCCATGCTGCAGCTTATATCGTATGTTACGGAACAGCCAGGCTGGGAAAACAAGTGCGAGGACCCGCAGACACTGCAAGAATGGCATCAGTACGCCAATTCGGTCTTCGAATTTGATGAACCCTTATGGCAGTGGTGTGTAAAGGAGTTGCGAGACAAGGCATCTGATTTCAAACGCACGGGTTATATTGCTGTGCTTGATGCGGGCTCGCGAGTCATCAAATCTCAAGTTCCTGACGATCTTCTCAACGAGCTTCGCGAATCCATGTCTCCGCTTTTTTCCGACTCGAGATCTCTCTTATCCTCTACCTCGGGTGAGACACCTGGGAGTGGTTCTGAAAGTCACGTTCGACATGTGGTTGACTCCTTCCTGTATCCTCTCATTTATGGACGCACTCGAGTCCTTACCGATGGGGGCAAAGTTGATATGGAGAGACCTGGCTCCTGGGGACCGTCACAGTCTCAAATTTCTGTAATCCCCGAGAAACCATCCTCAACTCATAGAGAGAGGTATCGAGATGAAAGAGCCCGAGTGGACCGAAGAGACACCCGGTATTTTGACAAGTACAGATACTGGTCGAATGCTTTTCAGTGTCTTCCCTCTGAGGTTACTTTAAACAAGGAAGAAGGAGCTAAAATTACCTCCTATATCAATGGTGTACATCCAAAGGAAATGAGCATATACAAAGCGCTCGAGGGCTTTATCTCGGCCGCCATGCAACCGTGGAATGAAATGCTTATCCTTGGAGATCAAGGTCGGACACCAATTCGAATCAGGACTTATAATTTTGAAGTGGAAGGTAGTGATTGGCCTCCTGATTTTTATTATCGCCTGCAGGGCGCGAGTGGGGGATGGAGACCACCTATCACAGATGAAGAATGGTCTGACCTTCGATCACAAATACAAGAATATCTTAGTCTCCCTGAGCCCGAAAAGCGATACCGCATACAGCCTGACTCTGGGTACCATGATCTTCTCGCCAGTGCGCAGCCGTGGCAATGGAATTCTCCCAATTCTTCAGAAGAACTAGAAGAACTGATCTTAGCAAAGCAAAACCGGATGTTCGCTGTGAGAGGCGTTGATCCGGGGATCTCCTTCACATACGATGAATGGAAGACGGGTGAAAATACAGGCCGCGCGATCATGCCCAAATTCAGTGAACCTGATCAAACACCCCCACCTCCTGATCCAGATCACCAATACTATTCTATATCTCTTCAGGATCAATTTGAGAGCCTGTAGATCATAGTTCGAGTGTCATCTATTGAGCTCACCCCAGAAAACCCCCTGTATGGTGGTGATTCCCATCACAATGTTGCTGGTATCCTCAATGAGCATATCGTTTCTACAGCCACATGCTACTTCGATATGCACAACATCAAAGATGCAAAGGTTTCATTCCAACATGAGACAAAAATCGATGACTCTGGATTCAATATAGCGGAATATCGGGCCATGGATCGACTTTTTGATGTTCCTGAGTGGGACGGCGAGAGTGATGATTGTCTTTTTCCGGATGCTCTACAAACCATAGGATCTATCCCGATTTCACGGAATGGGCAGTTTCTTGCTTGGCCAAATACATTGCGGTCTAAGGCTGAACCTTTTAGTCTCGCAGACACATCCCAGCCGGGATACCTTCGATTTGCAACTTTGTGGTTGGTAGACCCACATTATCGAATCTGCTCAACTCAAAATGTGCCCCCCCAGGACCCAAGCTGGGCCGACACATCACAATCAATGGAGAACACACGGAAGGATGATTCAATGACAATTGCGCAAGCGGTTGAGTTTCGAACCCAAATGAGGCAGGAGAGAGACAATATAACCAAGGCTTTTCTTGCACGAGGAGCTTGGTGTCACCAGTATGCGCAAGATTTCCTTGTTTGAATACATCTAAACTCAAGATGTTGATATCAGCAACCAAAGCACGCAGTGTTTACTATGCATAAACTACATATGTGAAACAACAAGATACCAATCTTTTTCAAAAAACTTATATCATTATAAATACCCAAGCCACATTAAATCCAGGGGTAGACTTACCATTTGGCAGATTTTATTTTCGCTGGATTTTGTGCGATTAAATTTGAGCAAAATGGAAAGCAGCATGTAGATAGCAGTTCAAATTTGTATACTATACAAGTACCTATCATACATATATCCCAGAGACATCAAAATTTGACCTGCCATCCAACACCTATCTCGTCTGCAGGATCTTCTAATCACAGCTATCTGCGCTGTCCAACTCAGTCAAACTCTGAGCAATCGTGGAAGTAATCTTTACATGGGTCCTGTATGACTTCGCTTGGTATCTATCATGGAAGTATCTCTTTTGCGGGTCATTCTGGTGACGTGGAAGTGACTGTGACTGCCTCGAGTGGCTTTCTCACAGTTGATGGAAAGCCAATTGATAGCGAATGTCACTATGATGATCAAGTCGAAAATTGGAATGCATGGGTAGACTTCACCATGGGAAAATATCTTGTCGGAACCTCCCCTAACCTTGACGACCAAGTCTGTGTCGAGGGATGGGGGATGGGGGATTTCATTGGGCTTTGTGAATTTTCCTGCAGCTTGGGATACTGTCCCGTTGGCGCGTGCGTGTGCACCAAACTGGGACCTCAGCCAACACTACCCGAATCTACAGGCGTCGTCGGCTATCCAGCTGCAGGCAAAGACGCCAATTATCCCGGTCTTTGTTCGTTCGACTGTACCTATGGCTATTGCCCATCAACTGCGTGCGGAACTGTGTCAGTTCCATTGACGATTCCGACAGTCTCCCCATTCACCCATGACACATGTGTCGCTGGCATTGGAGAGGGTGAATTGACTGGTCTGTGCAGCTTTAGCTGTAACTATGGCTATTGCCCCATTTACAATTGTACTTGTACCGCAACGGGTCCCTTGAATAATCCTCCTGCTCAAAACACCTCTATCATCGGCTGGGCACCATATATCGAGGATAACGGTCTTTGTAGCTTTGCTTGTACCAGAGACTATTGTCCTTCGCCGGTATGCTTAGACATGATCCCTGAGGATGATCCCTGTGGATATGTGGATGACGACAGTGAGGAGTGCTCCGGCACCTTCCCTTGCGATTTCAGCATTAACTACTCCTCTCTTGATGCGCTGGAAGCCGATAGTGACAACTTTGATCCCTACTGTGTCGACTATTATATGCTGGGTGCACTATATGGGGAGCTGAAGGCTACCTTGGCCAACTATACAAACATTGCCAATACAGCCGACTACGACAAGGACTTTGAGGAGTACACAAAATACATGATAGAGCAGGTTGAACCCCAGCTCTATTATTTCATGAACATCAGCTATGTTGATAATAAACCCAGCGGCTTGGGGAATCAATATTTCGAATGTACATATAACGCGAATGGCAGAAATAACTCAAAAGAAAGCTGTCCAAATGAGTATGCTGAGTCGTCAGTCCAAAACCATATCATCTACTACGATATTGTGGACCGAGAATGCTTCTTTGGCAATCTCACTGATTCTTAGTATGCTGTTGGGCTTTGCCGGCGGTTCCGGGGTTGGCACAATTAGTGATGAATCATTTGGGGCCTTGCAATACAATACGATGGCTACCGCTCGGCGCGGGATGAAAAGTGCTGAAATAAAGGCGTTCGGACAGGTATTTGAGAGTAAGATAACTCAAGTTGATTCCATTGTCAGCAAGTGCTTGAGACGTTGAGCTTGAAAATCATGCAGCTACCGATTGTACCAACATGATAAATAGACAGGAAACTAATGGAATCTGATCGATTGAACATTACTATTTTCGTTAGCTAGATAGTACGTATCATGGCCCGTATAGAATCCAATCTTTCTGATACTAGTCGTAAAATGATCATATCGTGTAGCGCGAATTGAGACAGCACATAATGTATTAATTGGTTTTGTTATGAAATTATCGGTACTCAAGCTGCTCAAACTACGCAATGATCAAGAATGGGCGAAAAGAATAGAAGGGAAACTTAATGTCGGATACACTGGATAATATCTATGTCTAAAGCTCTCGTTGGTTTGTCGAGGTCAATTTGGGGTGAGGCGGCCATTTCTAGCTTCGATCTCCTAGACCCCCCGATTCTAGTTCTGATTTCTTTACTTATAGCGATCCTTTACAGTTGGAAATAAATGATTATTACATGGGGGTTGTACAAGCAGATTGAGATCGCTGAATCTCAGCGATGACTCCATTCGATCCACTGGGCCTATCAACTATATTCCCCATATATCGATGGAATTTCACCAAAAGGAAACATCATATCGAGAGGATAATTCAACAAGAAGTTGTAATCCATCGGTGGTACATCCGCTGGCAGGGAATTTTGCTCCAGTGCATCTTTTCTCCGCCGATGCATCTTTTTAATCATTTTCGCGCGAATCGCCATCCTTCCAAATATCTCCGGTAATTCGTTAGACTTCAAATCGTTTGCAGCCTGTTCAACAACTGGAATTTGTTCTTCGAGCTTGCAAATTATACGATCAACGGTCTGGTCAAAGTCCATTATGCTTTCCACATATGCTCGGTCCCATCCCGGATGGTCATAAAGAGAAAGCTGGGAAAGTGTGACCAGTGCCTTTCCAAATTGACACATGATGCTGAAAGGAAAGAAAGGGAAAATAGCTGAGTGGAGAGAGAGGATGATTTGAAAAGAGGAGGTTGTCGCTTCCAGGCAACGGAAAAGGAGATCCAACCGCATTAGAGGATGATCACCGTAATTGGATTTGGAGGGCTCGTTACTGAGGGCTATTCGATAAAGATGTATCTCGAGGGTACTGTAATGAAGCTTTAGAATGTCTGTCGTTGTTGTCAGATTATTATTATATTGTGCGCTTGTGCACAAAGACAATAACATAACTCACCAGAGTGTGGTGACTCGCTCGGCATACGAGCTTTGAGTTGCTTAAGCTCGGTTTCAAGCCATCGTATGCTTAGTCCAATAGGCGGATGCACTGATGAGATTGATGAGAAATCGAGATCGGTATGGTATAGTGTGTGATGAATCCTATCTGCGAGGTTCATCACTCTGACTAGTTGTACAAGATAAGCATCGGTGGGATATTCTGCGACCTGCTCTAGAACGTTGCAACATTCGTCGGTATATCTTGTAAAGCGAATAATTGGCCCCAAGTCTTTTACACATATCGAGAGCCTTTGAAACATTAGCTTACGTCCAACAAGATTAGGTTGTCGTATACGTACATGGTGGTTAGATAATAACACCCAAGGTAGGTGCGTCGCTCTTCCAGTGTGCGAACAGGGTCCTCATTCACGTTTTCCTTCAAATAAGTCAAAGGATAGTTCAAGTTTTTCTGGTAAGTCAGCGCTTGATTTAGGCCCGAGCTTAACGATTGCGCGACCAGTAAGTGCACAAAGGTATCAAGCTGAGCAGTGTTTCGAACAACATGGTGGGTCTCATCGAATTTGCGCCCATCGGGAAGTTGTTCACCCGGATTGGATCGCGGAGAACGACTGACTGAAATGAACCAGGCAACATTGACCATAAGCCCCTGAAGCAGATCCAGGCTGTGTTCTCCCCTCATGACAATGTGCTCTGCCACATATGCTTGGACTGCATCCGCTATTTCTCGCTGGCGCGGGGCATTTTGGCACGCGACCATTGAAATATTCAGATAGAGGAATGGTTTCTCGCGGCGCAGTTCCTCTGCAGTGACGTGCGGAGGGATCACTAGGAAAGGAAAGAGAGGAAACATTTTCTTGAGGAATATTTCCATCAAGACCTGGCCTTCGATTTCATCGGGAGCAGCGGTATTTTCTTCAAACGTAGACGATGATCTTGTCGCCGGGTCACTTTCTAATCGTTCTCTGGCACTTCTTTCCGAGGCGGCCAGCATGGCAACCATGCGGTCTAATTTAGCCTCCAGTGCAGCAACATCTCTAACTGAAATGTCAGGAGCCTTTTGGAGAGATTTGATGACGATATACGCTTACGAGGCACTTGCGACTGATGCTTTTTCACGACGATGGGCTCCAGGTAATTGATTTCCGCATTCTTTTCCCAAGCGACGACAACTAACAACAGTCAATATATGTATCAAGTATGAAATCAAACTATACACTCACCGTTTACAAGGACCATCTGTTTCCGGTGAACATCGTACTTTGGCCTTGGCACAAGTTAGGCACGCTTTGGGACGGTTTCCGACTCCATCCTCCATAACGTCTTGGCATACACAGATGAGGCCAAATGTGAGGTTCAAATCGAGTTATCGAAATACATGAACAGTTAAATGATGCGCATTCAAGTCCGATGTATCCGAATGGGAAGAAATCAAGAAGTGGGACTCCGTGTCAGATCCCCCTGATCGAATTTCTATTGGTACAATTACACCACAGTGGGCCACGCTACTATGTTTGTAGTGCCGCCTTGAACCGTTTTATTCCCTCAATATACGGAGTAGAGATGTTACATATTAGTACGGTGTAATTTTTTTCTCTGTGAAGTCGGCCTTCTATAAAAATATAGTTACTCGTCAACCACATGCTTCTCATGGCTCGTAGTATAGGCTAGGGCCACATCCATGTTGCTGTAGAGAGTCAATGACAACGCCCAAAGTGTTCCAGGACTACGATGTAGCAAGACACTGACTACTTTCATAACATATGGAGCACCTCAAATGTCCACGGGAAAAAGAACAGAAAAACTCAAGCCTAATAAAACTTTCTTGGATGTTATGTCGGAACACAGTACTGATGAAGTATCCATATCCTCGTACTTCTAGCATCACCAAGTAGGGGGGAAAGACGCCCAAAAAAACATTTAAAAAGACATCTAGAGATGTTCTTAATATAATGGCTCTATTAAAGGGATATGGAAGTCAACGGGTACCCAAACATAAATATGCTTAACCAATAAATGCCCGCCTTTTAATGTTCTCTCTCCACGACTATCCCCTGAGTCTCCCCCAGATTTTGTTCTCCTCTTTGCAACATAGGGACTATAAAAACCCCAGTTTCTCTCTTGGGTTCTTTGCAGGTAGCTCTGCCATCTCTGTCATCCCTATAAATCCTCCAAGTCCATACTTTCATGACATAATGTCGTCGTTTGGGAAGAATTCAACCTCATCCAATCGTAACAAAATGTCCTGGCAACCGCGGTTCTTCTAATCCATTGTTAGCCTTCCTATCTCGTTCTATTTCTACTAAAGATACTCTTAGACGCCGAATCGCCTCAATGATTGCACCCAATGCGACGGGCTCTCCGGACAAGCTTCGCACATTTGGGTTTCTCGGATCTTTGCGAAATACGTGCCTGATCTAGCATACCTTGTTGCTGGGGAAAATGCCGGAACCAGTCGGAACCGAGCACCCGGGGATCTGAAAGCTGGTCAAATGGGAAACAGATATGAGAATAGTGTACAACCAGGTTCTGAGCCAGGTGAACTGGTATACGAAACAAAACAACACAACTCGCGATACGATTCGGAGAGTGGACGAAGTACAAATTCTCTCGTTTGGACGTTTGTCTGCAATTACCACCAGGAGTTGTTGGACGACAGCAATGCAAGGATTGTCTTTTTGTGCGGGCCTCACGCAGCAGAGGCATTCGGCTTTGTCTACAATATACAGCTATCTCGACCTATTCCATGAGAACTTGATAGTACAGTCGAGGAAGAAATCACCGTTTCAAATTCTCCGTTATGCATCCAATTTGACCTCTTGATGCGGCGAGCAAGCTCTTCTCCACACCTATGATCGATAGTTATGTTTGCGTTATCATACCTCAATATACTTGCAGCTCGACATAAGGGGCCATTGAAATGGAAGCTATGAGACTTTTTTGATAGCTAATATGAGCGTAATTGATTTGGATTTGCCCCAACTTGAAGCCCTACAAGATTCTAAGCGTATTCGAATTATTTAGAACCAAACAGAATTCACCAAGAGAGAAAAGGAGAAAATATGAGCAATTCGAACGAGTAATGAATGTCGGACTGCTTATCGGCGAGATGGCCGTCCCCGCAATTCGCAACCTCTCCGATATCATTCCAGTCACCCCTCCAACTCTTCTTCCTCACATCCTCAACAATGGCTACCTTCTTGAAAAAGCCTCTTAAATTGGCTCTTGTCCAGCTCGCGTCAGGTTTGAGTCCCTCCTAGACCTATCCATGTTTTCCAAGCTAACTGAACTATCTAGGAGCGGACAAGGCCGTGAACCTCTCCCATGCTCGGAGCCAAGTCCTTGAAGCTGCAAAGGCTGGCGCACGATTAATCGTTCTTCCTGAGTGCTTCAACTCGCCCTATGGCACCAATTTCTTCCCAAAATACGCCGAGACCCTCCTCCCCTCTCCTCCCACGATTGAACAATCGCCCTCCTTCCACGCCCTGTCAGCCATCGCCGCGGAGGCAAATGCATACCTCATCGGCGGGAGTATTCCTGAACTGGAGGAATCCACCAAGAAGTACTACAATACCTCGTTGGTCTTCTCGCCGACAGGCGCCTTGATCGGCACTCACCGCAAGACGCATCTGTTTGACATCGATATCCCGGGCAAGATTCAGTTCAAGGAGAGCGATGTACTTTCACCTGGAAACCAGCTGACAGTCATTGATTTACCGGAATACGGAAAGATCGGTCTGGCTATCTGCTATGATATTCGTTTCCCAGAACCAGCAATGATTGCCGCCCGCCAGGGCGCTTTCCTCCTCGTCTACCCGGGAGCCTTCAACACCACCACTGGTCCACTGCACTGGTCGCTCCTTGGCCGTGCCAGAGCTGTTGATAACCAGTCATACGTGGCGCTCTGCAGCCCGGCGCGTGATCTGGATGCCGCCTACCACGCTTATGGTCACAGTTTGGTCGCTGATCCCAGCGCAAATATTCTGTCCGAGGCTGAAGAGAAGGAGGCCATTATTTACGCCGACTTGAATAATGACTCGATTGCAAACATCCGTAGTGGAATTCCTATCTCCACCCAGCGACGATTTGACCTTTACCCCGATGTGAGCGCAGGCCAGAAGTAATTGTGGGGAAATTTAGGAGAGTGGAAGGGATCTCGTTATAAATTATATCAAATTTATCTAGAAACTTTAGTTTAAACCGCCTGAATATTCACAACGATGTTATTTAATCAACCTTGGAGGGAACTTTGGAAGTATGCATTTTTGATAGTTAAAACGCCGTTATTGCCTGAGGCCTAATTATCTCCACATCCGGGATATAATTGGTTAACATGTAGCCCCACTCCACCCAATCAGACCCCGCACAGTCAAGCGAGACCACACTGAATTTCACTCGAAAATCGACCGCGAACTCTTCTTCTGACAATCGATCACTTCCGCCCACCGTCGACCACCCCTTCAGTCAGTCTTCTCAATCACGAGTTAGAAATACCCTTCTAACCTTCTCCGCAGAGATGTCCAACGTCAAGACCGGCAACAAGCGCTCGGCTATCGCCGATGTGGTGACTCGCGAGTACACCATCAACCTGCACAAGCGAGTATGTTGAACACAACCCTTTCCCAGTCTACCTGCGACGATTCGAATACGATTCGGTTCTGGAGGCATATATATTGGACTGAGAACAAGAACTTTTCCTGAAAATGGAATTTGTTACGGAAAAGAATGTGTGTGGTGTGGGTTGGTGTGTGCGCATCGAGGGTCGAATGGGAAACCAATCCCCTCTATGCCACATTATCATCCTCACCATGACCTGTGGAGAAATCTGCAGGTAGGACAAGGCGCTTCTGTCTTTTGTCTGCTTAGCGATAGAGACAGCCGAGAGGAGATCTTGAAAAAGTCTTCGCTCGCATCCACACATATCCGCACCCGGAACACAAAAGAAGAATTAGTTTTATGAAGTCCACTATGGCCGAAAGACCAGAAACATTCATCGCGCAGAGTTTTCTCTAGCAGATGGCATTCGGGCGGAAGACTGATTGCAACTTCTTTTCCGGAATTATAGTGCCACGGCGTCAGCTTCAAGAAGCGTGCTCCTAAGGCTATCAAGGAGATCCGCGCCTTCGCTGAGCAGGCTATGGTAAGTTTTGAGCGATGCTCTTCCTTCCCTTGTCTCTATTGGGGGATCAGTCTGCTAACATGCGCAACTCACCAATAGGGCACCAAGGATGTTCGCGTCGACCCCCAGCTTAACAAGAAGGTCTGGGAAGCCGGTATCAAGGGTGTTCCCTTCCGTCTCCGCGTCCGCATCTCCCGCAAGCGTAACGACGAGGAGAACGCCAAGGAGCGTCTCTACTCCCACGTCCAGGCCGTTAACGTCAAGGACCCCAAGGGTCTCCACACCACCACCGTCGATGACGCTTAAACGTGTCGCTTTTCGTTAGCATCTATGATTCCATGTTCCCAGCTGGGGTGTGGTCGGGGTTTTACAAAATACAAAATACCTTTTCCCTTTGGGGCATCCTTATAAATTTTGGCTTAGTGTCGTAGTTTTGGTTCTACTGTATTTGACATGCCCTGGAACAACAAGAGCAACATGACAGGAAAGTCAATTCAAGGATATTAAGTACACTGTCTAGTTCTCCACTTTCATACATTTAGGATCTGCATACTAATTTGTGCTCGGCATCGATACATCTCAATGTGGGATCCGAGGCCTTCCTGCAAGTAAGTATCAGGTCTCTATGGAATTTTCTTTCGCGCCATCTGCTGGTTTCGCCTGAGTAGATGACAACCTTTATGTTCATGATCCAGGTTGGTGATTCAATTAGGGCTACGCAGAGGAGCCGCCAATTCAGTCGACCCAAGCATACATTTAATGACTATAGGCAAGCCTATACTTGTGCATCGTCTTTTCTCTTCTTGTTCTAGCATTGGCGAACACTCTTCTTCACACCCTCTTAGAGGTATCTAGAGGTCTTACCAACGGTCTGTCACCGGTATCATAGATGCAACTATGGTTACACACAAGAGTTTAACGGACAAAGCTACGTTTTCACGAGAAAGACAAATTCCACAATAAAACAAGAGGTCCGATTGTTTTATTCTCCAAAGTCTCGCTCAATACACAGCCACTCAGTGCCTCGCATTTTTCACTGTGGTCTGCACAAACAGGGCTTCCGGGTGGTGAATGAATAACCACACCCTTCCCTAAAACTTACATGTCCTTCAGCAGTGGGCTATTGACGAGGTCCATGTAAATATGGGCTATACTTCCCTGGGGCTAGAGAAATTGTCAACTCTCCAATCCGCTGATCAAAGGCAGCGGAATTTTAGTTAGTGGGGTTCTGTGGGATAAGCTCACGGCGATCAGACATGTTAAACAGAGGTTCAAGGAAGTCGCTTCCAATAAGCTGTCCTTAGATATTGCCATGGAACAATGGAAAATTCACGCATATTCTGTCCATGGCCCATGACCCGAGAGGAAGCTCAGAAGAGTGTGCCTCGGTGAAGCTATGGGGTTGTAGTTGGAAGCCCGAACGCTTCATCGGCAGGACCGGTGGAGAAGCTATAAATGTCAGGGGAGCGCACGCAATAGCGGTCACTGTTATCTCACTTATCCTGTGACTTTCCCTCTATATGGATATCCTTCGGTATTTCAAACCATACGCCCTTGCCCTCGATCCAGCGGCGTCTCTTGGATATGTGTGCTTGGTATGTGTCTTCTCATCCCCAGGGAAGACCATATTCCTACAACAAAGATGTGATTTGGCTCGTACCAATAGGGCCAGTCTCTTGTACCCCATTTGTTTGAAGGTCTCAACAAGTTCGCCGCTGCTTTTCAAGCCTTAGGAGCAACACGTTTCTGTTCGCGCTCTTCTCTCTGGGTGCTATCTTGTTTCTTTTGTGGCATTATGCACTTGCTTGGGGCGTTTCTTTGTATGCCTCGTCTGAAAGATTAGATACAATACGTCTCTGTCTATTCAGTTTCTTGTAAGGATTTTTTTACCTCACTAGGGACTTGAAGGGGATTGTGAAGGGAAAGATAGTGGTCTTTCTTGGCTGATCTAGTGCATATATCCTAGCATGAAGCATGAAGCAAGAGGTTGAAAGGTTATAGGAAATCTCGTAAATATCACTCAGGGGCTCGAAAGAAGGAAAATAAAAGTGTATAGGGGATCTACGCAAATGAGAGGATATCGCAAACCTCCCGTATGTGTTTAGGATATATATACATTGAAGTATCTAAGCGGGGGAGAGATCCAACAAAGAAGCATACATGCAGGCTTTACTTTTTTTTTATCGGCTTCTGCCTCATGCCTAGCTGTATAACATCAAATATAAGCAAAAACCAAAACAGAGAACTGCCATTGAAACAGCAAAGCATCGAAGACCGTGGAAGCAAGGGCGGTGAGCGAGAGCTCCCCAAACTGCCGGCGTGAGGACATCATATCAGCTCTCTTACAGTCCGCATCAACCATCAACATCTCCAATTCCGTCCGAGCTTACTACGTTACTATCTTGATTCAGCATCTTGTCCTCTATCAGTGACTTCAATCTAAACAGCACCCAAATCTCCACCATGGAGTCCAAGATCCCCGATTTCTTGCTCGAGCAGCAAGCACAAGGAAGCCCAGAAACACAACCCTATTTCCTCACCTTCGAAGACTACTGGGAGCGCAAACTATGGCACCAGCTTACAGACTCATTGGTCGAGTTCTTCCGCATGCCAGAGAGTGCTCCGCATCGCTTAGCCCTCTTTAAGACTTTCGTGTTCAGTTTCGCCGACCGGGTCAACCAGCTCAAGTTTGTGTCTCTGGGGTTGATGGCAGCAACAGAATGCGCAGGTTGGTGACCCAAAGTCTAGTCCGGAAGCTCCAAAATCCACCATGATGAGCATTCGGTTACGTTGATGCAGGCTAACCATCTTCCTCTAGATGATCAAGAACGACTGGCTTTCCTCACATCCCTCGCCAACAAGACGGATACGGCCGACACACAGGATGCATATGTCTACGCGCTCGCTGACGTGGCCAACGTCAAGCTGTCGCTGAAGGATCTGGAAGGAGCACAGACAGACTTGGCCACCTGCCAGAGAGTGCTAGACACCTTCGACTCAGTCGAGACTGTCGTGCACGCATCATTCTACAAAGTGAACGCGGACTACTACCATGTATGTGATTGGCCGAATCGTTTCTCCAGCCGGACACGGTCTTTCGAATGGAAAGCTAATACCTCTCCCCCCACAGTCTAAGCAAGAATTCGCCTCCTTCTACAAAAACGCCCTCCTCTACCTCGCCTGCATTGACCTGGAAGAACTTACCGAGACCGAGCGCGCATCCCGCGCCTACAACCTCAGCGTAGCCGCCCTGGTATCAGAAACGATCTACAACTTCGGAGAGCTCCTCCTGCACCCGATTCTAGACTCGCTGACTCAGACCCCGCACAACTGGCTCCGCGAGCTTCTCTTCGCCTTCAACCGGGGCGACCTGACTGCCTATGACGTGCTGGCTGGTAACATCAGCAAGAACAAGTTGCTGGAGTCACACAAGGTATTCTTGTACCAGAAGATCTCGCTCTCCGCACTGACGGAGATGGTCTTCCACCGTCCCCCTCACGACCGCTCTCTCTCCTTCCAGGCTATCGCGTCCGAGACAAAGGTGCAGCCGGATGAGATCGAGCATCTCGTTATGAAGGCTTTGTCGCTGGGTTTGCTGCGTGGTTCCATTGATCAGGTTGCTCAGGTTGCACAGATCCACTGGGTTCAGCCCAAGGTTCTGGATATGAAGCAGATCGATGGCATGCGAAACCGTCTTAAGGAATGGGATGCTGGTGTTAACCAGCTCGGTCACTGGATTGAGGGTGCTGGTAAAGATGTTTGGGCTGCATAGATGTCTTATCTCACTTGTGTTCTGACCAGTTCTATTATAATGAATACAATGGTGTCATATTTTATCGTGGCTCCGGTATACCCGTAATTCCTGCATTACGCAGGTGCTAATGCCAGTTGTCTATGAACCCATGTGTACTTGTATTTGACTCGACACATCTACTTCATCCAAAGCCAAGGAAGAATATGATAATCATATTTATATGGTAGTACGAAATTTGCTGAAGAAAATATATACAAAACCCCCCGCATCTCACGCTTACACATAGTATTGCGCAGTATAGAACCCTAGAATATCATCAAGTGTTTGGCAATATTAATAATGTAATTCCCTCCTATACCTAATATAGCTAGCTAAATGGTTCTCAGACTAAGGCATCACATAGCCTTCAGTCGCACACTGCAAAGCCCTGAAATCAGGTGTATCGTGTTGAGTCCTATTATGACACCCTTTAGATTCATAATACTGGCGCACACCGTCATAGCAATCACAATCACTTTTACTGAAGATATTACAAACCCCATTCTTGAGAGTCCACGATTGAGGTTTCAAAAGTGTGCTCGCATCGCAAGACTCCCACGTGAAGCTATCATGCGTCCACCACTTGCAGGTAACGTTCGTATCCGTGAATTTGCTGTTGAGGTTTCCGTGGAGATTCAAGCAGCCGCCGGGTTTGCCGTCGAGGAAGGGCCGGTTATACCCCTCGAGGTGGTAGTAGTCGCCCTCGCAGCCCATTTTGCTGTACATTGTGATTTCCCAAGGAGCTGTCCAAGCGTATTGAGAGTGCGTTGGTTCAGGGACGCTTGGTTTCTTCGTAGTAGTAGATGGCACGGTTGTTGTCGTGGCCTTGCTGGTGGTGCCGGCTTTGGTAGTACTGGCCTTGGAGGTAGGCTTTGCGGCTGTGCCAGTGCCGGCGGGTTTATTGGTCCCTGCTGCGTTTGTCGTGGATTTCGGACCCTCTGTCGCTGGTTTCACGGTGGCTACGGGACCGGCAGGAGGTGCACGGTAACCGGCACTTTGGCAATACTGATCAGAGTCACGGCAGTCGCCCCAGAAAGAACACTTTTGATTGTTAGGACTAGATATACGAGATGGGATACAGGTGCGGGTTTACTTACACATTTAGACGAAGCACATGGGTTCATACCGGCGAGGTCGGCCCATTTGGGCGGACGTACTGTTCCAGGTACTTGTGGACCGCAGGTTGCTTGAGGAAGGGCCATTGGCATTGGAGGTTTCCCAGCGCTGAGGCAGATGAAGTCGCCCTGGTATAGCTGTTTGCATCCGAGCCATGCCCAGGTGTTCTTATTGAAGCTTTCGATGTCCGCCTCGGTGATATCGTGTGCTTTGGCAATCATTGCACATGTATCATAACCTTCGATGATATACTTGAAACAAAAGCCGTCTTTGGTTGGCACTGGGACAGTGGCTGTCGCGAGACGGAGAAAGAGAAGCCATAGAGCAAGAAAGTCGATTCGAAAGAGATCCATCTTGTGTTGACCTGGGGGATACATCCATTTGTTCGAGTAACAAGGCGCTTTTTCTTTATATAGATTGATAGAGAGAATTGGGGTTATAAGGTTGAGACTTGATAGAGAAATTGCATGAAAGAAGCAGGGCACTGTTCCCGAGTTAGGGCAAGATACATGGGAATTGGTTAAGAACAATCCAATATAGATCCACTTGATGAATGCGAGTTGTTAGTATTGTTCTAGGATCAAAACAAAGAGTCGAGGAAATTTGTCGAATCGGAAGTTTGACATCCTAGATGTTTTCATTGTTCGCTCGAATCAGCTGTGCATGACCTTTGCGATATGGTATGTATAAAGTTATAACATAGGCGCAGTCTTTGTCCAACCTCGCTTTGGGATCTTCTGGCGTTGAATACCAAATGTTCTTTAATGGTAGTTATTGGCCATGACGAGGCAATAGAGGCTTGGGCGCTAGAGAGAATAATCTGAAACAAACCCCCTTCTTTGAAGACAGGTACGTGGCAAATGAGACATCTCAAAGGGGGTGGGCACATTCAGAGTACCTATTGGATCAAGTGACAAGAGTACATTCAACTCGTTTTGGGTATGCATTTGCGGTATACGTACCTTGGACGGTTGATATTCGGAGTCCATGCTACCAGGCCAAGGCATCCAGGGCCCTGGTCCATCTTCGTTTCTTTGTTTTAATAGTCATATACGCAGATTCCCAGACTTGTATTTATTAATATCCTATATCATTGGATCGACGCGACAGAACGCACGACACAACAATGTAAAACAATATAATCAGAACATGGACGACCCCAGCAAAACACAGCCAATCAACCAAGCTGGCCACCACACACACCAAACGACGACCTGAGTCCACATACCCCAAACATCCCAACCGAAAGCCGCCTGTGTGAGGACAGCCTCGACCGAGACCCCCATATACCAGCAGACGCCAAGGAGAACAGTTGGTGGGGAGACGAGGTTGAGAAGCACCAGACCCAGACTGGAAATTGCTAAGCGGAATGGCGCGGAGCCTCGTAGGCGAGTGACGAAGCTAAGTGGCGTGCAGAGCAGACCGATCATGAATGAAAGGGAGAAGTTGAGGGTGGCGAGGGTTGAGAGGGAGAGGCCCAGTAGGAGGAGGGAGAATGATTTGATAAGGTGGTACTGTTGGGGAATGATTGGTTTTGATAGACCGAGGCCATTGGAGAGGATTGCGGCGAGGAGGAGGGGGAGGATGATGTCCACGACCACGAATATGTATGTGGTAGTTGTGAAGTACTATTGATTTGTTAGCGGATATTATTCTTGCGGCTGTAGGCTAGCAGATCTCACATGGTGGAAGACATTATTGAAGACCCAGAGCGGGACAAGACCGAGTAGATGGAGTCCGACAACAAGCGAGAGTGGTAGAGCAAGATATCGTTCTGCGATGTTACTCATCTTGGGCTTCTCTTCAGTTGTTGACTTCTCGCTCTTAGGTTTAGCACTTGGCTTGCTTTCTGGGTAATACCCAGTGCGCATCCATAGGGCAATTGCCATGATGGTGAAATTTACAGCGATCAGCATAGCGCTAGGCAAATAGGTTCCAATGCTGACAAAACGGTTGGACTGCATTAGCAGATAGAAGAAAAAGCTCTGGTGCAGGTGCTCCAGCAAATTGTTCAAACTGCGGCAAAGAGATTCGATAGTCCGGCCCAGGGCCATTTCATCTTCCCATCCCTCACCCTTGGTCTGCAGAGTGATAGCATCGATATGGTACGGCATGAAGCTGCTGTGTGCACCGGTGGCATATCCGAGACCCTGTTTGGTCATACCGCGGAACATGGTCTGTAGACGATGCTCGTAGCTGTCGTCGTGACCCCACATTTCCTGTAGATTGGCCCCAATGCCCATCTGGCCGCCTGCAATAGCCACAGCCGTGTTGAACAGGTCGAGGTTGGGGAGTTGGCCATTGACTCCATCGTATACAATATGGAGCGTCTGGAACCGGTGTTCGAATGGGTATTCAATGACTAGTGCTCCTTGTAACGCTCCACTCTTTAAAGGAAGTGGCTGTACCGAAGCCGGGTGCATATCATGGTAGGCATCGATCCAAGCCTGAGTTCCTGTTTTGCTGTCCGGGGTAATTAGGAAAATGATATCCTTGGACCATAACGACCATCCTAGTATTAATTGTCAGTAACATGACTAGAGGAGCGCAATGACGAAACTCACTCTTGAAATATCTCGCCAATGTCAATGCAAGAGTGACACCATTCAGGTTCAACTCATTATCAGCCGTCTTCCATGGTGCAACCAGCACAATTGCCTCCGTGGCATCACCGCGCGGCGCATGGATAATAGCATAAGTGTTCTCTCCCCGGTGCGTAATGCCCGCAGAGGTATATTCGTATTTTTGCGTGGCAACTTTAAGGCCCGCCGCTTGCAGAATTGACTGCAACTTGTCCGAGACCCTGTTGAAGTATCAGCAAATAGTCCAGCCTGTGTCGGGTTCGTTCGACCTACGCCGCTGTCACTTCCGCCTCGTCTTTGTGGCCGCCTCTCGCTTGTCCATCATTCAACAACCCTTCCAATTCTCTCTTATAGCCCCGGAAGACATTCTGCTCGCTTCCTGTGAAATACGCATGGACTTGGCCCGGCAGGAGCGCATTCTCGGAGATGTAGGTTTGTCGGGAGTATTCGTTCAGAGGCAGGAGAAGCAGCCAGACAACACCAACGACAATGCAGATAAAGGATAGGAGATTCGGAAGGCGAACGAAGAGGAAGGTGGGGTTATTCCGCAAGTTGCGGATTGCAGCTGGCATCTTGTTAGTTGGGGGTTCCGGTGCTGGTGCCAGGAAGGACAGGTGGTATTCCAGGTTGTTCGCTCACATTTCAACGCCATTGACTATTGACCATCGGGAAATGAGTTCCCGTGCCGCGAAGGCGAAGCCGTTAAATGAGTGGAATTAATTGGACTGAACTGTAGTTTTACAAGTCAACAGTGGAGATCGAGAGCTCCGTTGTTTATGCGCGGAGAAGTGGAATTTACGCCGAACGACAATGACCAACAGCGCAAATTAAATGGGAGTATGCACACGCTATGCTATTTTCCAATGTCCCTCCCCCTCTTCTACCCTCGAGTCTGCAACAATATAAAAAAAACTATGGTGAAAATATACATTAAAATGGGAAATGAAGAATGCATCAATACCGGGATCAGGCTCCCAGGCGCTGGGTGGATCCCAAGTAGCTCATGGGTGTTTGGTTGCCGTTGGCGCCGGAAGGGTTGTTGGTTGGGAGAACTCCATAGCGACCATAAGTCTTTTGGTCGACGGAGACATAGTGAGGCAGGCGTCCCAGGAGATTCAGCTTGCCCTCGATCCAGCGGAGGACCTTCTCAGGGGGCACAAACACCTTGAGGTATCCGAGGCCAACTAAGGACAGTTAGCAGCGAAAAACAAGAGAAATCAGAAAGGAGAACTCACGGAGATATCCAACAAGGATGGCACAGAGGTGGCCAAGGAAGCTCACGTTCGAGATGAGGATGGATACAACGACACATGCGAACAGAGGTGAAGTCCAGGTGGGAATTTTGTACGGGCCAAGACTGAAGGGCGTTAATAAAATGGGACTAAGTTATATCCAAACGAATCATACCTGAAGTTGGGGTGAGACTTGTAGGTCTTGATGGCTTCCGAACCAAGAAGCAAGAAAACCCAGATGCTGGATTCAAGGTCAGTTACTGAAATATCTCAACCCGGTGAGCTAAGGCTTACCTTGCGCCGACCACTGAAGTATTTCTGTGTAGGATAAACCTCTCAACCAATATATAAAGACCAGCAGGAACAGTCGAGAGAGCTAAAAAAATATTCAACATTAGTCAAAATGGCCACAAGCGTTGGGTTTACCAGAGCACTCACGTCCAACAAACAACGCAATAGCAGTCAAAGTGCCATGCTCAGCCTCAAAGCGTTCGATCAGCGGTGTAAGCGCCACAGCATTAAAGAAAGCATGGAAAAATCCCGTATGAATGAAAGGATAGGTGTTCAGTCGGTACACTAGTAATACCGTCAAGTCAGCATGCGCCCAATACACTCTTCCAACACGGAATCAAACATACTGGTCCCAAGATTTATTTCCTCTGGAATCAGAGCACCCCATTGTATAACACCCCACACAGATTGGAATTCAAGCAGCCAAAAGACCAGAATGATCAGCAGCACCAGCCGGGTGAACAGTGGTAGTCGGAGGAGGTATGATCGTATGCGACCCGGATTGAAAGGCAATGGGGGTAAAGCAGCCGGAATCGCCATGATTGCTGATTTTTGATATACTGTCTACTATCACCTTTAAATAAAATATAGTGACGAAACCACTTCAGGGTGGCCGGAGTAGAGTTGGGCTGGCAAGTCGGGATCTTCCACGACTGTGAAGAAGAGGATTTGTGGTCGTAATCGTTAGGAGGAATTGGAGACGTGTTCAAGTATCAGATGGCGAATCAAACAATGAATGACTAGAAAGAAAGTACAATCGTCAGTTTTCTGTTTTCCTCGCTTTGAACACGAACTTCTGGATAACAGGGATAACTCACAAGGCGCACGCGATTCCTGACGGGAATCAACAAACAGAGACAAGAAACCCTAGCGGAAAACTAGTACAACTCCGAATACCAAGGTCAAAAACAACCTTGAGTAAAATATCCAGCCTGAAGAGAGAGGTCAAGGGAGACCAGTCGGGCCATTAAAGTGACTTGTTCGCGAAGTTACGCCCTGCGATAAAGACCAACCGCGCAATTATAAACTACCGGATGTCGGATAGGCAGGGTAGACACGGACGGTGGCGACTATAAATTGGCAATCTACTCCACACTGAATGGTCTATTCATTCTATTCCTCAGAGATAAGATCGTGCTCGATATCGCTATCTGCTATGTATATGTGCAAAATCCTCACAATATATTTACAGGTGCTCGTTAAACCAGACAATGGCCTGGCAGAAAGCCTGCTCCTTCGCCCACTTCTGCTTGGGGTCGCTCAGATCAGCGCGCACAGCGAAGCCGTGGTTGACACCGCTGAACAGGTTGATCTGCCACGGTTGATCAGCCTTAATAAGAATCTCCTCGGACTCGTGACGAAGCTGGGTAGTGAAGATGGAGTCGGTCTCTGTCGACACAGCTAAATTAGCCTTTGGTGATACTTTTTTAGACTGATATCTAGCAAACATGAACTTACGAGCAGCGGCAATAGACAGGGGGCCCTTAATGGCGCCGAGCTCCTCGTGGGTAATGAGCGAGGGGTGTGCAGTGTAGCCAACATCAACCTGGCCGGGCTTGAGGAAGCGGCAGACGTACTAAACGAAGATTTTAGCACCAGAGTTTCAAGTCATGTTTTCTGAGACCGGATCTTCAGATCCAAAATACAAGTACATACCTTACCGCCGAAGCAGTAGCCAACAGCGCCAATCTTCTTGACGCCGAGAGTCTCGCGGGCGTACTTAATAGTCGACTCGACAACGGGGTCAACCTTCTCGGGCAGGTGGTGGGGGAGCCATGAAGCCAGATCGGCCTTGCCAGATTGCATGTCGCTAACGCTGATCTTGTCGCCCTGGAAAAGATCCGGAATGATGGTCAGGTAACCATTGTTGGCATACTCATCGGCAAGGATTTGGGCGTTGGTGAAAATGCCGAAGATATCGCTCAGGAAGATAATGGCCTTCTCGGGGGTCTTATTGTCCTTAGGGTAGACGAAGTAGGTTTCAACTAGACAACAACTTGGGTTAACAATGATAGCTCTGGCGGGGTGTCTGCAATCGGGGAATTTCCATCTTACCTCCGTCGATGTTCTTGATCTCGCCAACGGGAGTACCTTCGTGCTTGAAACCAGAGGCACAGCAGGCAGCGGGAGGATTGGAGGCCATTTTAAACTAAAAAAGTGGTATGAAATGTGAAAATGAGGTACTTTGGAGTTGATGTATGTCAAATTTTCTAGAGGGGTTGCTTGATTGCTTATAAATGTACTCCCAGTTGTACAATGTTTAATCCAAGCCTTTGGCGATTTCAACAGACATCATCTTCTTCCAATCAGACTGGCTCTTCACTTCCGACTTTCTCTTGGGACTCCACTTGCCCCTCGTTGACCCTCTTTCATCCCGACGGCTCGGGGATAAGTTACTAACTCCGTATATCTATCACAACGTACATATATGTACTTGTTTGAAAAGAGAACAACATTGCATTCATATTTTGCACTATGTACTGCATATATCTGAGAGACTAGCATATCCAGTCCCAATCATTTCCAACCATTATTACCACATTAGTCCATTCACACATTGAACGTCACAAAATATCATGTCCGAGGGGTTCCAAGGAACTATCCTTCCCAGGGTATCTTTTTCTGTAAGGAATATTATGTCGCATGAAGAATTCACAAGCAAAATGACTCCGTATATTCCAGCATGAAACAAAAAAGCCTCAGAAATGTAAGGGGGTATCAAAGGAAAAATGTCGCGGATTCTTCACTTGAAGTGGAAGTCTGGCCGCGGACGCTGAGTACGCTTCACAGCCCAGGCCTTGATGGCAATTGTCAAGATCTCATAAGCCATGATGAAAGCACTGAAGCCCAGGCCAACGGTGAACGTAAACATTGCATCCAGGTCGTAGTACTCCATCGCTTCAATCACATTACGGGTCTGGATCAATGTTAGCCATGTCCTTGGGTGACATCGTAAAGCTTATAAAGGGGTAGATGTAAACTTACACTCATCATGAAAATTAGACCTCCCGAGATCAGGCAAAATGCAGCAATAATCTCTGTCGGGGGGCGAGCCGGGAGGTACGAGGTCGGCGGCTTGAGGTATAGCAGGACATATGTCATTCCACGCGCCAGCGCGAATCCAACCAGCATATTACCCCATTGTTTGTGTACCATACTCGACGTCATGCTGGTCTGGTGGTGCGACCCCATCATCATGCCAAGCAACATAATGACCAGGGCTGGCATGGGGTTCAAGGAAACACCCTGCGATTTCGGTGGCCGCCAAGCTTCATCCAAAGCACTGTGAGCTGGGATTTGGAGGACGGTGTTGTTGAGCCAGTCACGGATGCGGGTAGATTCGAAAAGCATACCGGCCTATTTTATGTTAAGTCAGATCGATTCCACAATGAGACCAAAAACAACAAGAGGAAATCATACCAGACCACCGCCGAAGAACAGGATGGAAATTGAAACGTGCTCCAGATCTGTGGCAGACCATGGCTTGCCCGCACTGGAGAGGTGCTCGAGGAAGACATTTGTCGCGCCATATAGGAAAATAACGAACGACTCTGTAGCTTCACCCGAGGGAACCTTGGATTTCCAACCAGCAATAGACGCCGGGGGTTTCTTGTTCCAGGCCCAGCCCAGATCTGCCCAGCAGCCAATGTAGCGTCCAAGTGTCAGGACACCATACCAGAAGAAGATACCACCCTTGATGAAGTGCGCAAGCCCATTGAAGACCTCGCGCTCCCTCATGATACCACCATAAGTCACAGCGCCAGTCGCAATAGCCGTGAATCCGAACGGAAGAATGACACGGTCAATGACGTTATACACGACATTCAAAACGCGGAGGAACCGGCTAGGAATCAGACCAGGGATAGTCTTCGACAGGAAGCGACCAACACCCGTGCGCTGAATCCAGCCATTTTGGGTGGTGACGTTCGCTGGTAGTTCGTCGGGCTTTTCGAATCCATCGTAGTCGGTTGGTGACTCACAAGATGGCGAAGTAGGACTGTGGATAGAAGACGACGAGTTACTATCCGTACCCTGGCCACTATCGCGAGACCAGCGGTGCTCGCGAATTGCAGTGTTCAGGCAAACATGCTCATTGTCATGGTCGTCAGTCGCGATAGGCAAGAACGCAGCATGTTCATACGAGGGCGCAACCGACTTGCCGCGACCAGCGTAGGCAAAGAGCAAAGCCAGGACGCCCTGGGTGCCAACAACACACGTCGCGATCCAGCCGATTTTGTGGTGGGCGTTGTTCTCGTAAAGGTCTGGCGTCTGGCTGTTGTAGATAACCCCGAGCAGGACACCAAAAGCGTTAAAGGCAAGAAAGAGGAATTGCGAAGGAAGCGCAAGCCAAGAGCGCGCAATACTCAGCATAACAGCTATTCAAGAAGTCAGTTTCTGTGCGTCTCCTTCTCTTCGCACCCCAGAGCACAATAACACGTCAAGTCACTTACCAACAGGAAGAACGAAGCACCATCCCAGAACCATCAGGGCAATGTGAGCTATAATGGCGCTGGAGTGCTTGCTATATGCGAAATAGCTCATCGGTCCATCAGTGTCGGCCGGCATCGCGGTGGTCGTAGGTTCCGGCGCGTTGGTGGTGGCCGCGTGCATATCCATCCCCATGTCCATTCCCCCCTGTCCATTGATTCATCATCACCGTGTGGAAGCGCGGTCGCAAGCGACGCGATACACAGAGTGAGAGTTACCGCCAATGCGGCTCGAGTAGCTATAAGCCGCATCAGGAAGATACGTGATATTGCAAAAAGTAATAATGTGTATGTGCAACAATGCAAAGTAGTTGAGAGATATAGAGCTTCAACCAGCTTGAGGTCGAAGCTCTATCGAATGGTGACGTAGCGAACTTGCCAAACCGGTGGACCCGTGTTTATTGCTTTTAATGATGCTCCAAGTCTAAACAGGACTACTGGAGGGCGCGAACTAGACCGAATTATTTGGAAATGGAGCTGTAGGGCTGAAGTATGAGCTAGGAGACTCTCGGGAGGAAATCCAGTATATAAATCCAAGGCTAGGAATGAAGTACCGGGAAATTGCTAATAAAAGCCAAATAAAATATTTTATTTAAAAAAAAGAGCTCAGCAAGCGCCTATTCGTAGTGTTGGAAAAAAAAAAGATAAAAGAAATGAAAAAAAGTGCGTGGAAGAACTTAGGGCCTCGGCGCCGATATCTCCAGCTCGGTATTACCTCTTGTGCTTACGGAGTATACATACTAAGTAGGTAGTTTTGATATCCATGGATGATCTTCTTCTGTAATATTTAAACTTGAAAATCATGCCATGAATTACATTGAATAGAAACTAAGGTCAGGGTTCTTTGATATGTTCTACATTTTAGCTCGTCCATTTACTCGGGAGTCGCGGGAGCCTCTTTAACTAAAGTGGATTTTTGGTGACTTCATGAGTATAAGAGTTTGAGAACTAGATGTATGACTACGTAGAATTCCCAATATTTGGGTTTTCTTGCTTTGAAATATATGTAGAACCTGCTCAGGTGCATCTGATGCCATATGTATCCATGGATGTTAGCCGGACGCACAGAAAACATACAGAGAGTAAGCTGGTCAATGACGTAGTCGATCGTTACCTTATTTGGACGGCGACCAGCCTAATCTTCTCAGTACTTTTCAATTTTGTCTTACAGCGTCGATTAGGATATGTACGGATTACTCTGTAACGTCATGGGGTATAGGGCGAGCATGTAAATCTGTGTGCTCGACTTCTAGCCCGACCATGACTTCTGAGGTGATCATTAACGTGAAAGTCTAGCGCCGTTGAAGCAGATGATCATCAGGGATCTGTTCCTCCAATCACCAAAAGCCTACCTATGCACCCAATACCAAAATATATCCCTGTCTGGGCCTCGCTTTGTTTTCCGAGCCGCAGTTTTGAGCTGGCCCCCGTCCTAGTGGGGGCGTGTGGTCTGATGGAAACTAAATGCCGTAGTATGTGTTTGCCTATGTTGTATGTTGGAGGTATACGGAAATACGGAGTAGCGAGAGCGAATTCGAGCGGAAGTTCGGCACATTACCCTGTTACCTAAATAGGTGATATTGAGGTAGTTACCTCATGGGGGTATGCCTACTAATCCGTGATAATCCGAATTCCCCGATACACAAATTTTGTACACATATCTCGTGAAATAGTTGAACATAACTAGTTGTATATATAAAAAAAGTGATCAATCCAAGCCACTAGTATCAACACATACCTTATATGCATATTGTCAGGTGGTATCTCCCCAGCCATCTTGTACAACTGACATATCCAATAACCTCGCCAAGCGCCACCCGTTGTGCTCCGTACTCCATTCTCCATACGTGGTATAAAATTTCTATTCTATTCCACCAGAGGCGCCACGATGGACCCGTATCTCCCAGTAGTAAAGAAGCAAGCGTGCACACTTGAGCATTGACAGAGGTCGGGGCCAAGACCCAAGCCCGATCTTGGCGATTGGTGAATCTGCATCCGTGAGCATCCGGGGACCTGAAAAGGACTAGGATTTTATATCCACGCACCTGCACGTCCCCGGGATCTGCGTTGAATAAAAATGGCTAATCTGTAAAATAATTTCCTGTAGACCCGGAATGCAAACTCCGCCTTACTTCCGAGCTCCGCACTGCCTCGTGTTTCTGACCAAGACATGAGCCATGAGCTATCTATCATATGACTCATGTTTGTTCATGGCTCAACCTTAAGCTGCTTCCCCGAGGTCCTATGTGTTTGATTTACAATCTCGGTGGTTTTATTAGTGTCTAACAGTGGCTTTCCACATACATCTATAGCGGCTGTACCCGGCTATAATCAGACGGTGTGACCTGGCGCCATACTACATGCCTCGAATCATGCCTCGAATTCTCATCCATGTCAAATTCTACAACTCTTACACCAAGTCGTGGCTTGTGATATGATTTTTAGGACCCTTAACTCTCAGAACCTCAGCTTTCAAAATGCAAAATCACAACTATAGACCTTCTTAGCTTTGAGAGATATTGCCAAGTCCACCACAGGGCTGGGCACAAAAAGCCTTGGTAATCGGAAGTCCGGCACAACTACTATCCGCACGGCTTTGGTCCAGCCGTTCCCCAGGGGTAATACTGGGCCAATGAGCACAATGTTAATATCTCAAGATCCCGTGTCGACATGGGTATAGGACTAGGACACAGATATGAATAAGGATTGACTAAAAGGACTTCCGGGCTAAAAGTACAAGACGCTAAATCGCAAATTATATGTACACCGCCTCAGTAGCGTTCCTGGAGCCTTGGTACTGGCAGGGATTAACGGTGATGTATTCTATATCAAAATCTGATCTATTTGATCCATGATAGTAGACAAAGATTACATTAAGAATCTTTTTGAAGTCTTTTTAGAGGCTCTTTTTTGGTCTTAAGTATTGTTATAGCTCGAAGAATAATTAAACTTAGCCCTCTTGGGCGCCTCGCAGGATCTCTTTTATCTGATCATAAAATCCTATATCTTCCTTCCATCGCCTCCGTCTATTGGGGGAGAAGCGCCTTCCGAAGTGCGTTGATGCATGAAAGCAATAGCCAGTAGTATGTATTTTGTGAAGCACTCCCACATACCTCAGGAAATCCACTTCACCGGATATCTCGCCTTTCTTCATATGTACCAGCCAACTCTCTGCATCTATAAAGTTTCCCTGGTCAAATCTTGCAGAAACTCCTCTCTCACCTGATTTATTGTAGTGGATGCAAATCCACTAGATCATTCAGAAGAATGATTCAAGATTATGCATGAAAGAATGCTGTACGCCCAGAAGCACGCCAATTGCTACAAAGGCCTTTGCGTCAGTCTTTCCAGTTGCTCCCGTGATACCGAATCCCTGTCCTCTGATGACCAGATCAAGATTAATTAAGACACACCACGAAAAGCTCTCTTCTTTCTTCTTGATCACCATATTATGGATTGAGATATCTCTGTGAAAGATTCCTGCTTGTTGTAAAGACTGATGTGCTTGTACGATAATGCACCCCTCTAACGCAGCAAGCAGGGCCGGACGGGTGCTTGCCTTGTAGCTTGGTTTGCCATGCAGAACAGCACACCAATGAACTCTATTTGCTGGTGGGTTAATAAGTGCCTCGGTAGAGTATGGCGAATAGGATTGCTTGTTATCAGATGACAGAGAGGCGCCGATTTGACTAGCAGAGCGCTTCACGCTAGGCCTGTCGCTGCTCTGACCCTTGCATGAAGTGCCAGCCACACTTACGCTAGTCAAGAGCGCCAATCATTCTGCTGATCGTTCCTCCAATCGTTCTGGCTGATGATTGCTCGCCGTTCTGATGCCTAAGCCGACATGGATTCAACCCATCGTATGATAGTGATATGGTGCGATATTGACAACCCCTCGTTCGTTGGTTTCCTGAAGAAGCTCACCTTCGTTGCGCTCTTTGTATTGCCAAGAGTCTTTGACAATAAGCAGAGCCCCTAGGGCATTCACGATGCGCTTCCTAGCATGTTGTTGCTCGACCCACGATGCAAAGTACCCTTATCAACCTATCGAGAATGAGACGCCTAGTCTGACCGTGCTGCTCTATCCCGATGAATCGCTAGCCTTTGTTGGTGGTGATCGTAGGGCCAAGTCCACATTGCTCCTCGCTCATATATGTTGTATAAGAAACCGAAAATTGTAGACACAAACTGGAGCACATCCGTGTTAGTGTCAAACCGTTCGGATACAACTCCTTCAAGACGGCCAAAGACCCATATCCTTATGAAGGATCCACATATGGTAAAACCTAGGACAAATCGACGGGTATCCGGGGTCGCAACATCTTCTCTGGCATACTTCCCCAAGTCAAGTCATGCCTTAGAATCGATGTCGGTCGCCGGATTACTTTTAGCTCTCCAGGCGCCAGAATATTTGAACATGACATCGGGTGTCCTTCCCAGCGTTGGTGTCACTCGCAAAGCCGACGTCTAGCTTGCGCTCTGATGTGGAACCCTGAATGGGGATGTACTGTGCTAGCGGCTTTCGAAGGTGGGTCGACATAGGATGGTAAGTTGTAGGCTGCTGATAATATTATCTTTCCAGCTTCTCGCTCAGATCCGCAAACATACTCAAGACATTTTCTGCCATCCACTGGCAAAAAGGAGCATTGCTTTGTTGCGTGCATATTTCGAATACGGCACCATATGCCAATTGGAGACCAATGAAGTTTTCAAGAAAAAAAAGTTGAGCAGAAATGCAGGAGTCCTTCATACAGGAGGCCCAAGCTCTGACTTAAGGATCCCGCCAACAATCGCTCTAGGTGGGGACAGAGAGTCCGCTGCGACAGCGTTAAAAAGATATGCTCATCTGTTGATGTGTCCAAAAGATATGTTTTGAGGATCAGTTTGATTTGATCAATGTCGAAATCCAGATAAGATGGCGGAATTGAGTCGAAGCAGTTCATTTCGAGCGATTCTTCTCGAATTCCAATTGCACGGCAGAATACGAGCGACAGGAAGGATACGAAGTGCTGCTAGGAGCATAGAAGCGAGACCTTGCACATCTATCCTCAAATAGATCTTGCTTCTATACTCAAATTAGAAGGGAAAACTTGTGATGGAGTGCTTCACCCTCCTGCTTGAGCCGATCGACGGTCTTAGCTGATGAGCGTAGATCTGCGCCTTGATAGATCAAGATGAACGTGTCACAAAAAGACATTCAGGCCATCGCCGATAGGTTTTGAGATGATCACTCTCAATCTTATTGATCTAACATGGCGCGGTCCCTTTCCGCTACCATGATTTTGGTAGTTGCGTGAGAGAGAGAACAGGGGACACGACAATACAAACGCGACGCCACGTGATTTAAATGAAGCTAGTTAACTATAATATGTGTATGGAAGTGCCTTTTTGTATTCCGTCCTTAATGTTTAGTGACTCTGTAGAAGAATCCTGGTTGATATATACTAGAATGACATTAAAATATCTTATAAAAAGGAATCTAGCAAGGTACCTGAAAAGACATCCAACATGACATAAATAACAGCGCATAATATTTCATAACTAGTGAGAAGCTGGGAGGAGAGCGAGAGAACTGTCTCTGTATGACTGATAATCTACCTACTGTCATAAAGCTCTTCTAGATGACTTCATGGGGACAAAGGAGCAATGAGCTCCATGTAAGCAATATCTCAGTGGATCAACAATTAATTATGTCTATTCTTCTACAATGTAGCTAAGGAATGGGGACAAAACAGATGATAATTAGATATTCAAGTACAGTACTGCCAGGAATGGGAATATAGTACAATGTAGAAATGCCGGGCCCATTCCTCTACGACGTACAACATACTGACAATAGATATATATGTACCACCAACTTGTGTATATACATGCCAGGGATACCACATGTTCGCCCTATCACAATGAAGTCCGTGCAAACATGTCAGTTTCATTCATTAAATAGTATCCCTGCATAAAAATGCTTATCTGCCGTGCCAGTGGTGCCCTATAGAGCCCTACGACGCATGAGCCGACATCTAGATTGTCCATCTGTCCGAGGTACCAAAACGGACTTCAAAGTAGAAAGACCAAGTATGTCTGATCTGCTGGCATCCAAAGCCGCTACGAAGAATTCGCAGGTCCATGTGTCCTCGGTGCATCTCAAATAGGCCCACCTGGCCAGACATCAAAAGCTACACCAAATCCAGAGGCAAGAATAGCCGCGCAAGCAGCACTTTCACCCACATCCAGATCACGAGCAAGTTGTACAGCAAGCTGGAGCAGAAACGATTCCCAGAGAAAAAATTCCGTCATTGAAATTGTTAAGAAAAAACCAGGATGAGGGAAATAACAGAACATCCTCGTTTTTCGAGACACTCCACGCAACAACCCCAAATCCTCCCCTCGGAGCCAATATCTGATTTGATTCGCAACCCCGAGACACCGGGCACGCAGGTCCGGTGTCTATTCCTCCATTCACAAAAACATCAAAGACGCCATTTTTGAGCTCGTCTGAAACATTGCTCCACTGGACGCTACCGTAGTCGAGCTGGGTGCGTAGATGGATTTCGTGGATGCGAACGGTTCGAGAGGAGGGAGTCAGTTTTTTTGATCGCTTAGCGGTACTGTAGGTTGAAAAACTTGTGGTTAGTGTTGTGTTTTTGTATTGTGCATGTGTGGTGGTAGCATTGGCAGATTTGTCGATTGTTGATTGAATTTTCATGTCGAAGAATTGTGGTTGCGTGGCATTCGAATGGGATCGGATAGGATTGTCGAGTGTGGGATTGAAACGAACCTTGGTGAAACCGATGTCGGTGGACTTCTCACGGAAGCACTGACGGCAGATGTTCATCTAAAACCATCCGTATTAGCCACACAAGTCCATGACACGTCACATATTGTAGTACACAATATGCTCGAGGGGTCGGTTTCTCCTTACGCCGTACTTGCGGATCAGACCGGCGCGGTGGGAGCAGACACGGCTGAAAGCGCACAAATATTAGCAAGCCCATTCCTTTTGTATCGATTTTCGATTCCATCCAGGCTTCCTCCAAGTTGCATTCTCGGTATCGACTGGATCGTTCATCGGGGGATTGTAGGGTAAACACACCATTCGCGGGAGCCCTTGCCGTACCTATTGAGTGAAGAGAAATTCTGGTTAGCCTTGTCGCTCTTTTTCGAGATAGTGCCTGGTGTGTGCGTGGTGCAGTTTCGACTTACTTGCGGGGCCGGCTGTACCAAACGCTCTCGTGAGTCATCTTGAGGTTTTAAAGGCGGGACCTGGGAGTTGACGGGGTTGTTGACGGGACGAGGGTCGCTGGCGTTGGGCGTTAAGAACGGAGACAAGAGTTAGGGTTGGAATTTGCGTTGTGTGCTGCCCCAATGGGGAATAGGGCACGGGCCAACTCGCTTGAGTTGCGCTAGCTTTTTTGGTGGATCATGTGACTAAGGGGCGATCACCGCATCTCGATGCCTCAGGCTGCAAGATCTTATACTTCAAATATGTATTATTTTCAAAGGTGATGTCTTTAACTGACTTTTTCTTCAATCTTCGAATGCTGCTATTAACGAATATTTTGGCTTCAAATTTGAAAAAAATTTTGAGCTATAAATTTATACAGACAATATGGGGCGCCCTTGTAAATCTAACATACCGCCGTAGTGCAAGGGCCATAAGGCATGTGCATGAACGCACTACTTCTTTTACAGCAGGATCAACTATAATTTTCCTTTGAATTCACAGACACTGAGGACATGGGGATAATTTACCAACCATTATGTACAGTCAAGACAACTCGCCTACTTTTGAAATAGAGCCCGTCTGTCGCTTTCCCCTGAAGACCATGGGCGTCGTCTTCTTAGGGCTATAAAACAGTTGGCCTAGACTAGATACGAGAATCAGAATAAAGAGAAGGCTTCTGACATGCCAATTCTGTGATGAATTTCAGGATAAATGGGTTACGATAGGGTTAGACAGCCTGTTCAAGATGAAAGTCCACAAACTGTGTTCGGAATCAGGAACAGCAAGGAGCGATGCTCAGCCAGGGCAATAGCCGGATGGCCCCTGGTATCATGCAATAGTAGCTCTGGTATCTGCTTCTCATGGGAAGTGGTGATGTTCGAGTATAGAAACATGGGCGAGGTCGTGGTTTCGAAGGGGCCTGCATGAACAAGCCATTCGAACTGCTGCAGACGAGGCCTTCGAGGGACACGATCCTACCGAAGAAAAGGCGAAGATCTCCCAGAAGTTGATAAGCGCTTTGAATGTTTATATTGCTTCGCTCGATAGGAGATTGCAACATCATTGAAGATGACATCGATGATCATCAGCTCCGTCAGACAGATATCCAATATGTAGTCCGTGATCAAATTCTGCTAGAAATTGTGGGTTCCAGCTTCGACTTGCAAGATTTTAGTAGCCCGTGAAGGATGTAAAATTGAAGTGTGTTCCCATTTATCAAGATTAGCGTCTGCTGAGGCCCTCTACTAGTTTATTTAAGAAGTCTACAATAATATAACGTAATAGTAGTTAGTATATGCGAAAGAATTAAATGGCTACCGGCGTATGAAACTTATTAATTGAATTGAAAACCTATTTGTGCACAAGGGACCTATTTCTTTGGCTTCTCGGCGCGGATAGAACGGGCACTGTAAAACAGAAGATAAGCATCCTGGCGGAGGACATCCGCCACACCGGCGACAGTGACCTTATTGTCATCCATCAGTGCCCACTATAAAAGTATATCATTAGCATAGACACAGAGAGGATAGATATTACATAGTAGAACAAACCTTGTCGTTGTCAATACGGGTATAGGCATAGTAATGTCCAGAGTCCATTGTTCCTTGATGGACAATGACTGTGGACAGGTCGTACATGTAATCGGACATGTCAACAGGGAGGCTGTCCTTTCTGACTGTGTACGGCAGCATATTCACAGACAGAGGGAAGTCGATATGACCATTCATTTTTTCAGAGGAGTTAGAGGTGTGTTCATAACGCTATACGAATGTCAGCATGGGATCTTATTCCAAGGCAGTGAGAAATTCAAACAAACCTTCAACTGCATGCAAAGCATAACAGGGAGTTTTCGGATCTGCAGGCGCTTTGAAGCCCGCTGGGGGGTGTTACCACATTTCTCGCAGTGGTAAGCAGCATCGGCGTGGAGATCCTCAGCAGCGGTGAAGCTGTCCAGGCAGCCGAGGAGGGTTCCAGTAGTAGAGGAGGTAGAGCGACCGAGCTTGCGCTTCTTGTGTTGAAGCTGGACGTCAAGACTCAGATCGGCCATGGGATCGTGTGTGTTAGTGGTTTGGCCGCATTTGTGACACATGACGCTGCTGCGCAGTTCGCCGTAGAACATCTGGTGGAAGAAGCAATCGCATGGCTTTTCATAGCTCTCTACGTGTCCGGGGGTGGATGAGTGCAGTTCATTGACAAGGAATTGGAAGTATTCGTGGGCATCTTGTTGGCGGTATCCAGCCATGTCCTATAGACTAGTTAGCTAGTTCTGTTGGTCAACTCAGACCTCGACGTACCTTGGATTTCTGCCAACCATGGTGGAGAAGCATGGCTGCGGAAACTGCGTCGTTTCTCTCGGCGCTGTTGAATTCCATGAATACTTCAGCTGTCGCACAGGCGAGACAGTCCTTGATCACGCATGTGTGTACGTCATGGCCACCTCCCAGGAAATAGGCAGTGAGGCTAGGGTCATGTAGTAAGGCCTGCAATATCGAAGCTTGGTAACACGTTTGACCCATGTTCCAAACACCACGAGCGCCACGGATGGAGCATGGGTTCTTGTGAGCATTGTTCTTGACATAGACCTCGGAGGCCGAGTCTTCAGCCCAAATGGATCGCCCATCTACCAGATTTTAGTAGATATTCATGAGTTAGATGATTTGGAATTGCTCAAGTCTCACCAATGGCTTCAAACTTGCCAGAAGGGCCACGGAGCCTGTCCAGGGTGTGGTCATAGATGAAATCGACACATTTCTCACAAAACACAAAGCGGTTCCGAGACTCGAGATCTACCATTGTGTAAGCATGAAACAAACTGATTAGTCCGAAACCATTGGCTCACAGAATACATGACCAGTTGCGGCGGTATGCTCCGCTCGCTTGGTACCCAGGCATACTTCTGCACAACTCAAACAGTGATACTTCGGCTTGAGTGACTCCACAGTCCGGAGGCCAGTGGTTTGAACAGCAACGGTGTCTGTTTTTGAGAACGGAGCTAGCAATTTGTATTGCCTGCAGAATTCCTCTCTGAACTGGCCAGCAGTCTTCTCATCCTTGGAGAGAATAGCCGCGAGATGTACTAACGGGAGGTCAGCTTGGCATAAAGTATAAATGAGTCACAGTAATTTCTAATTCTTACCACAGCCAAATGCAGCTTCAGAAAGAAGCTGGTAAGAGTCGAGGGTTGCCATAGTGAGCGACATGAGAGTGGTTGGATGATAAGAGAGAGTAAAAGAGATAGGGTGGAAGGGTCAATGTTAGGGTCAGAAGCACGATACAAAGATATGTAGTGAAAGTACACGTTAATAGAAGTTCCAGACTTCTATCCACGTAGAGACAAGAAGAGGAGGTTGAAAGAAAGTATTCAAGGGAGAGAAGAAAAGCTGGGTATAAAGAGACCAGGTACAGCCTCAAGGACTCCCCATGAATAGGGCTAGCATTGCACTGTAAGAATAACAGATATCAATGATATGTCCAATCACAGCATAGCAGAACAATAGGACTCACGAAAGCAAGTGAATAGGGACAATAGCAGACGAACAGAGGAAAGCTATACAGCCCACAAAGGGTTGCGAATGACCTGATTCGACGTCACAACTAGTCCAGACAATAGTTCCCCTATTCAACAAGCAAAGAATATAAATATAAAAGTTTATTTTTCCAACGACGAATGGGGACAAGTTCCCTGAGAATTTCAAAAGTAGTTGAGAGGTTGGTTTGCCATCGGGCGGTGGTTTTTCGCCTGACCCCGATTTACCGATTTACCGCCGGATAAGAGATTGGAGAGCAATTTCAGTGGCAGAAGTTGGCAGAAGAGGCCTTTGTATTTTTTTGGGGCGTATTTATCTTGTATTTAAGTATATAGGGTTGATTTTAATGTTGTACAACCTCTGGGTGACATGGTATCGGATCTAGTTTCATTCAATGGTCATTTCTAGAGAATCATAATGAAAGGCAGATACGTCAAACAGCCCCATTGCAGGTGAAAGCTATAGATAAAGGGTCCAGCTCTTGGATTCCAATAGTCAGACATATAGCATGAACTGATCGTCCATAACCAGGTCATGCTAAGCACTCAGACATCTGAATCGTTACCGAGTCCCAGTCCCTCTACCCCGAGGCAGTGCGCTGGGTCGAGTGCCACGAGTAGTGCCTCGTGTAGTATACCGGCTGGTTGCTGCACCACGAGAAGTGCCACGCGACGATACTCGTGAACCCGCGGCATACTTGGATGTCGGCCTAGAGGTGGTGGTGGTGCTCGGGGGATTCTCGACAAAAGTCGTGTCCGTAGTCCTGTAGCGTAAGAACCCATTAGCTCAAGTGTCCTCCCGTAGGAAATTTGTCGCATCATTCTCTAGACTCACATAAAGGTCATCTCGCCGTCATCAACCTGTCGTGTTCGTTCTGATTCTGATTCTGCTTCTGGGTAGGTGTTAGCAAACCCAATTCACCCCACCTAGGGAGTTCCCGCAGAGAGCCCTCGCAGTACCTTCTTTTTCTTCTTCCTCTTGCTTGGCCTTTTGGAACGAATCTGGAATCGGAGCCTGTATCGAGCACATCAGCAACCCTGTCGCGCGTTGTTACCACCGACACAACTGTCGGCGACGCGTCTGCGAGCATACCTCTGGGAAATCCACACAGAATGCATTCATATTCAGTCCGTAGAGGAAACTAGCGAAACTCTCACTGAAGCGCGTCAAGCTCTCGTGCATCAGCTGCAAGTGCATGAAGTTGGCCTCGAGGTCCGCCATCGAATCGGCGAGCTCAGCGAACTGCGGCTCTAAGGCATTGAAGCCCGGTTGTGTGTATCCTGCATTTCCAAAGTTTCCATATCCGTGGGCTTCTCGTAACGAAGAGCGCGAGCTTGGGCGTAGAGGGGTTGTGGGCCTGGATGAGGGTCTCGGGCGCGAGGTTGATCGAGGTGCGTCCATGTCTGTGATTTGTTTGAGATTTTGATTGGTAGGAGTGTTGACGTGAGACAGTGGGCTAACAATAAGCGTTGTTATCGTTAAACGGTGGGTTATTGCCAGAGTAATGTTGAGCGGGTTGTGATTGGGATTGTTGATCTCCCCGGAAAGGTCTCTCATGCGACACTTTTATACTTGCAACTTTGAGATAAGAACTGGATTGTGCAATAATACCTATTGGATGTACTCGAAGTAGATCGAAATGAATACCTCGGATTAAATCATTATTCTAAACTAGTATACCTATTAGGGGATGATCTCCCCCCGCATCGTCATCTCCTTGATTCCGCTCTCGCATTTTCATCCCTCCTCCCCTCCAGGGCTCAGACCTTACTCATTCATATCACCTCAATTATACTGCTTATGCGTGGTATAATCCTACGCCGTCTCTATCCTTCGGCCAAATTCCCCGTCGCCCGGTATTCATTTGCGCGACCCTTTTCTACACGCCCAGACCCAAGGCAGGCTTCATCTTTTTGGACCCTTACATTTACTCTCGCTATCGTTGGAGGAGGCGCCTGGCTCCAGAACAAATACCTCAATTCAAAAGTTACAGTCACTCCGCAGCCCCTGCTCCCTGAAAACCCCACCCTCGGAGTAATCGATACCCTCGCGACGATGCCTGTCAAACCCGCCCCCGGAACAGTCGGAAACCTTACCCCAGACCAAGAAGTCAAGCTGAAGGAATTCTGGGTTCTGGCACTCAAAGTCTTCGGCCTCACACTCGAAGAACTCGAAGCCCCGCAGTCCACCACCAGCGATGCCCCAACACCCGCCCCGGCCCAGGATAAGAAGAAGTCCAAGAGCCGCTGGGGAATCTGGAGCAGCTCCGACGACAACACAAAAGGCAGTTCTGATAGCAGCGTAGCTGCAATCAGCATCGGTGATGGCGATGATAAGTACGGCCAGTCCAAGGAGTTCAAACAGGCTCTGGAGGATATGAAGCCCGAGGAGATCCGGACCGCGTTCTGGAGCATGGTGAAGGGCGATAACCCAGACTCTCTGCTGCTGCGATTCCTGCGGGCGCGTAAGTGGGATACTAAGAAGGCGCTTGTTATGCTGATTTCCACAATGCGCTGGCGACTGTTAGAAATGCATGTCGACGACGACATCATGTTCAACGGTGAGCCGTCGGCTTTGAAGCAGTCGCAGGGCTCTGACCCCAAGGAGAAGAAGAAGGGTGAGGACTTCATCACGCAGATGCGTATGGGTAAGAGCTTCCTGCACGGTGTTGATAGGTCTGGTCGGCCGATCTGTGTTGTCCGTGTGCGTTTGCACAAGGCCGGTGATCAGGACAATGAAGGGTTGGAGCGGTTTACTGTGTATACTATTGAGACTGCGCGTTTGTTACTTGCGTCGCCGATTGAGACTGCCGTAAGTATTCCGGCGTGAGAATTGCATCTCGGTTGCTAACTCTTGCAGACTATTATCTTTGATATGACGGACTTCGGTATGGCTAACATGGTAAGCTTTCTGTCTCAGCACCATCAACGCTATGTACTGATATTGCCCAGGACTATGCCCCTGTGAAATTCATGATCAAGTGTTTCGAAGCCAACTACCCCGAGTCTCTCGGAGCAGTGCTCATCCACAAGGCCCCTTGGATTTTCTCAAGTCCGTATCCCAGCATCCCCATACGAAAGATCCCCTCTCTAATTATAACCCAGGCATCTGGAGCGTGATAAAGGGCTGGCTCGACCCAGTCGTCGCATCGAAGATCCACTTCACGAAGAACCGCCAAGATCTCGAACACTACATCCACCCCAGCCAGATCATGAAGGAGCTCGATGGCGACGAAGACTGGGTATACAACTACGTTGAGGTCCCAGAGAACGAGAACCCCTGTATGGCCGACAAGGAAAAGCGGGATACCCTCATGGCCGAGCGCCAAAAGCTCGCCAAGGATATCCAAGATACCACCATCGAGTGGATTCGCGCCAGCTTCAAGAAGGAGACTGACGCTGCCTCTGCTGCTGAGGAGAAGCGAAAGAACTTGATTGAGCAGCTGCGTGCGCAATACTGGGTTCTTGACCCGTATGTCCGGGCTCGCTCGCTCTACGACAGACTCAATATCGTCCAGGGCGGTGGGAAGATCAACTTCTATCCTGATTCGAAGGAGGCAGAGAAATCGGCGTAGACTGTATGAGTTGGGCGGTGTGTTTGATGTTGATTTCCATGCTTATCTATTAGATATCTACAGTCTTGATTTTGCATGTTTGTAACATACACAGACCTGGTTCTTAACTAGAGGATATATGAAGAATTTGGTATACATTTAAGGGAGCATAGTCCTTATGGGGGTATATTGACCTGACTCCCTGCTTTAGAGGTTCTAATACCTTCATCTAATCAAACCAATATAACAATCCTTCCTCCAACAGAAAAACGTCTACGGCTTACATCGATGTTCAGTCATAAGGTAGAGCATAGAAATATCTCAGTTTCCATTTGCTATCGAGTTCGTTGTCAACTAAGCCAAAGCCGTGATCTTCAACTTGATCTCTTCGTGAAGAGCCTTGAGCTTGTCCATATCGGTCGCCTGGGCAGGCCAGCCAATGCTCATACCCTCCTGCTCGTTGGGCTTGGGGATCTAATAGCTTGTTAGTGTATATCCCGAGAACAGTCCGTGAAGTAGGACCAAGTATCCAAAGGATAGCGAAGCATACCATGTGGAAGTGGACCTATTCGAGAAAACCGATTAGCACCGTCACAATTATTAAAGCGATCTTCAACTGAAACTCACATGGTCAACAACCTGGTGCGCGATGCGTCCATTGTTCTGCAGGATGTTGAAGTCCTCGGCGCCGCTGGCCTTGGCGATCTTCTTCGCGACAGGCTGTGGGCGTACATCTTAGTTAGCTACGTCCAATCCAATTCCGAGTTCCAAGTCTCTCGGAGGCCTTGTGGGATTTCCCGCAAGGTCCTCAAGTAAATGTAATCGAACTCAATCAAAGATTGAAAACATTGATTCCCCGCTTCAACCCCTCATCATTGTGGGATATTTCTCATCAACGTACCAGAATCTCGACCAAGTCCTCATCAGGGATATCGGTCAGCTTTGCGCCGTGGAACTTGGGAATGACAAGCTATGTATGTTATTAGTCTAATTCAGACATTATCGGCCTGGGACTTCTGGCCGAAGCTCTCGCCGCAGCTCCGGCGACTTTCGCTGCGCACCACTACGACCGGATGCGGGGAAGAGGGCTCGTAGGAATAATACGCACCGCATGGCCGCGGCTCAGCGGCTGGATATCGAGGAAGGCAAAGACCTTCTCGCTCTCGAAGAGCTTCAATGAAGGGATATCTCCTATAGAACCCGGCGTCAGTCAACCCATGTTTGGCTCTGACGTGTTGACCTCTCAGGACAGAACAATAGTTGCGTAGTGATAAGTCATTTTAAAAATAAATGCTCAACATACCCTTGATAATCTTGCAGAAGATACAGGCAGCGGAGGACATCTTGGAAAGTTTTCAAGTAGTCCAACTCCAATTTTTAGAATAAAAATAGGTGCTAGTTATGGTATGCAGTAATTAGTTAGTAAATTTCCAGGTGTTTAATAATCTGAAGGAACTTGGACAGCGGGTTTCGAACTTCGACCGTTTCCGATCTTCAGGCGGTCAGAATTACTAGCAATCCGGGCTATATAGTGTCCAAAAGAACATAATTATTCGAGGAGTGGGACAAATTAGTGCAGAACCCATTTCTTGCCTTTTACCAGAGATGGCCGTGATTTGCCCACAAAACTCCTCTTATAAATCTTTGGAACAACTATGACATAGCTGTCATTAAATTTTTATATTTTTTGCTGAATTGATTTTGTTATACAACATATCCTGTGAATAGTTCTTTTTTAGAGGATCTGGTGTGCATAGGCTGGGATTGTTCAACATGGTTGGATGTAGAGGGTGTAGATGGATAGTAGGTAGGTCTCTAGGCACCTCCAGGGCTACTACTTATGGTCTTCTGCCCTAACTAGAGAGATATACCACTAGAACACTCTTAAAGGAAATAGAAATAATAAAGAGAATGATGTGCTCATCCTCATAGTGTTGTTAAAATAAGTACATATGTATGTAGCTAGGGCTGTTCCTATATGTCCTAAGGTTAGTATCGTGGATGTCGTAAACTAAAATGCCCTAGTTTAGGCTGTCAGGCAAGAGTATAGTCTCCGTAGGCCAGAAACAATATCTTTGTTCTTTTCTGTTTTTTTGCTTGATCCAGCGGTGCAATGCTGTATTACTTCCAGTTGGTTGCGGAGACCTACGTTCATCTGGAACATGTCCACAAATAGAAGTGTCCAGGTGAACTACGGAGTAGATGAGTTAGAATAAATAGCCAAGTACAGATTCAGAAGGCATTGTAGGTAGACAGCAAGAAGGAATTCACTGGCCATAATTTAAGTATACAAAAGAACATACCTAGGGAAACCAGTGATGCTACAGATGAATAAAGCCCGGGGAACATCCAATCACAGTCCAGGCGTTGTCAGATCAAAACACGGATTTTGTTCTACAGAGGTTGTAGATATAGTAGCCCATATATTTCGATTAATACATTAACTGCAAATCAAATTGACATCTTAAAGCCACTATATCAACCGAGTCTAAGCAAGAAAAGGGGAGAAACATGAGAAAGTGATTTGTTAAAGTGGTTGTCCGTACTCCCGAATCAGGACTAGCGCAATAGTCCCGTGCGGTTCTTCCGAGTTGACTGCGAAAGACCCTCGCACATCACCACGCCCTTCTTGGCAACATTCCCCTCCAATTAGCTGGTCTCGAGAGATATACTCAGCCAGAGACCATGCAGAAGTCTCGCACCATCAGCACTGCCCTAGGGGCCCGGCCTTTCGTGCCAGTCCCGCGGGTGCAGCTCCAATTCCAGCGCAACCTTCAGGATGTCCGCATCACCCGGACTGGCAAGCCCCTCGTGAAGGTCCAGGGTGGCCGGTATGTGAACAATTACACTATGGCTAGGGTCACTGTTCTTGCTTGCTGACGCGCTCTTTCTATAGTTCTTCCATTGGAGGTAGCTAAGCCTTTCCGTTCTGATAATACGCTTCGATCCCGATATGCTCACCCAATTCTAGGCCACACTGCGACCGTCTTCGGTGCCACTGGTTTCCTCGGTCGTTACATTGTTAACAAGCTTGGTAGGTTGAGGGTCTGCTGCACTGGAATGCGATCATGGACTAATAGCCTACAGCTCGCCAGGGATGCACCGTTGTCGTTCCTTACCGTGAGGAGATGACCAAGAGACACTTGAAGGTTACTGGTGACCTTGGACGAGTTGTGTTCATGGTAGGGAGCCTTACTACCGTGTAATTTGTTTGAATTGTGGAGAGTGTCTGAACCCCAGTCTAGGAATACGACCTGCGCAACACTCAGTCTATTGAGGAGAGTGTTCGTCACTCCGATGTTGTCTACAACCTTGTCGGTCGCCAATATCCCACCAAGTGAGTTATAGTGTGTGATATACATGGAAAAAATGGGTTCTAACGACCCCAGGAACTTCTCCTACGAGGATGTCCACGTCGACGGTGTCGAACGTATTGCCGATGCTGTTGCCAAGTACGATGTCGACCGCTTCATCCACGTCTCTTCCTACAATGCTCACCGTGACTCGCCTTCCGAGTACTTTGCCACCAAGGTCAGCACATCTACCGGAACCATGCAAGAATGAGAGAGTGCTGATGACATATAGGCATGGGGTGAGGAGATCGTCCGCAAGATCTACCCCGAGACCACAATCGTGCGCCCTGCACCGATGTTCGGTTTCGAGGACAACCTTCTCCACAAGCTAGCCAAGATGGGCAACGTTTTCACTGCCAACCACATGCAGGAGCGCTACTGGCCCGTCCACGTAAGTCCTTCTCCCGAGGTGGATAAGCTGCCTCGAACTAACTCTCTCTAGGCCATTGATGTCGGTACTGCTCTGGAGCGTATGCTGCACGATGACAGCACCGCTGGCCAAACCTTCGAATTGTACGGCCCCAAGAACTACTCCACCGCTGAGATTGCCGAGCTGGTCGACCGTGAAATCATCAAGAAGCGCCGTCACATCAACGTCCCCAAGGCCATCCTCAAGCCCTTCGCCCACTACATCAACAAGCTTCTGTGGTGGCACACCCTGTCCGCCGACGAGGTTGAGCGCGAGTTCATCGACCAGGTGATCGACCCAACCGCCAAGACCTTCAAGGACCTCGGCATGGAGGAGACCGCTGATTTGGCCAACTTGACCTTCCACTACCTGCAGGGCTACCGTAGTGCCTCTTACTACGATCTGCCTCCCTCCACGGAACGTGAGCGCCAGGAAGAAAAGCGATACCTGCACGTGCTGGACGACCAGTAGTTTGTGTTTTTAATGTGTAAATAAGCCTTCCTAGACTCAAATTCGATTTCCTTGTGTTGGATGGTGCAATGCATACAATATAGACCAGTGGATAAGCCCGTATACTAAATACGCAACTTTCATAGAACAAAACGCATTCTTAGAAAAGCCCAATATAAAAAAACCACAATTCCCCAGAACTCCCCGCACTCGATAACATCATATCAATCCCACCTCCAATCCTTACCTTCTTCGCCTTCACCTCCACCTTCACCTCCACCTTCACACTCCAAACCAGCCTCCCACAATGTCTCCAGCACCCATCCTCCTCCTCAAAACCAAATCTTCCCCACACGATGGCTACGAAGACTTCTTCTCCGCACGAGACTACAACCCCACCTTCATCCCAGTCCTAGAACATCGCTTCCTTAAAAACAACCTCACCCAAGTTCGCGACCTATTCAGCACCGGCGCATTCAATAACAATGCCACAGCCCCCAGAAAATACGGCGGTCTTATCTTCACCAGCCAGCGCGCAGTGGAGGGCTTCGCGCAGATGATCGAGGACGAAAAACATGGTACATACAACAACCTCCCACTACACACCCAACCAAATCCCACGTCAAACCAAACCCAATCCCAAACTCAACTAATCAGCCCTCCAGTAACCTTCAACACCCCAACAACCCCACCCCTAATCCTCTACACCGTCGGCCCAGCCACAGCGCGCACCCTCACAACCCTCCGCGACAAACACCTCCCAGACGCCATCATACACGGTGCAGACACAGGGACAGGAGAGAACCTCGCGCATTTTATCCTCGGGCACTACGACTCCCTTTATCCAACACACAAACCCTCGCTTCTATTTCTTGTCGGCGAAGTGCGTAGGGATATCATCCCGAAAACACTAATGGATGAAGCATTACCGGTTGACAAAAGGGTTGGCGTTGACGAGCTTGTTGTGTATGAGACGGGCGTGATGGAGTCTTTCGAAGGGGATTTTGCGGATGTCGTAGGTAGGTCGGATGGGCCGGTTTGGGTGGTTGTTTTTTCGCCGACGGGGTGTGAGGCTATGTTGAGGGTTCTTGGGTTGGGGCCTTTTGCTGGTTCTGGTTCTGGGGCTGGGCAGGTCTTTGTTGCTACTATTGGGCCTACGACAAGGGATCACCTGCGTGAGAAGTTTGGGTTTGAGGCGCATGTTTGTGCGCCGAAACCTAGCCCTGAGGGTGTGCTTGAGGGGATTGGGGAGTTTATGCGTAAGATTTGAGGGGTGGGTATGGATGTGTGTATAAATTATGTACCTTCGGTGTTTTTTTTAGGGTGGATGTATATAACTAGATGTAGGGATAGAATTATATGTATATAAAATTGGGAAGAAGTTAGCAGAGGCAGTGCAGATAGGATTACGGCGCAAGTCAGCTGTCTTGAACACTCATAATCACATTTCGAGTTGCCCTGCTATCTCTAACATGTATCAAATCACGCTGTCAAGTCAAAGTGCGTGCAGAATAGAATCCAATCTCCTAGCCAACTAATATCATTTGAAATAATTCAGACCGATCTACCGCATGATTTCCTCGTAGATCAAGACTATGTTATGTTAGTAAATATAAATAAAGATAAGACAAAAGGTACTACGGTAAACTCACGCTTCAGCTGCTCCTTACTCAGAGCATCCTTGTTCTTGTCGAAATCGAAGAATCCCTCGGGAATGGGTGGTGCGGTGGGCTCATCTTCGGGATCATGGTATGGCTCGAGGTAGGGGTGTTTCAGGGCTTCCTCGACGGTGATACGCTTAGCCGGGTTGAAAGCCAGCAGCTTCTCGAGTAGATCCAGAGCGGTGTCGTTGCTCTTGGGGAAGAGTGCACGGAAGGGAATCTTCTTCTTAAAGGGGAGGGAGCGGATGTATTCGCGGGCGCGGCGGGATTTAATGCCGTAGTAATCTTCCATCGTGGGTGTGCCAAGGACATCCAGGATGAGAGTCAGCTGGTGGTGATCTAGGTGTGTGTATGTTAGTGATTGTTGTTGCTGCCTGAAAGGAGAAGTGAAATCTTACAATCCTTGCCCGGGAAGAGAGGCTTTCCGCTCAGCATCTCAGCCAATATGCAGCCGACACTCCACACGTCAATAGCCTTGGTGTATTCCTTGAATGTCAACATGATCTCTGGTGCACGGTACCAACGTGTAGCCACATATTCTGTCATGAATCCGGAATTGTCGTCGGTGGAGGCGGCCGAGCGAGCCAGACCGAAGTCGCAGACTTTCAGATCACAGTTGGCATTGAGCAGAAGATTCGAGGGCTTCAAATCTCGGTGGAGCACGTTGGCTGAGTGCATTGCCTTAAGCGCACGCAGGGTCTGGTAGATAAAGTATTGACAGTGGTCGTCTGAGAGGTCTTGTGTGCGAATAACCCGATGCATATCAGTTTCCATCAGCTCCTGCATACTGTTAGTAAATCGGTATATCCCGTACATGCGCATCTTTTCAAATGACAAGCTTCAACGTACTTGAATCAGATAAACTTCATTGAATCCCTCGTAGTTACGAGGACGTTGAATATCCAGAATGGAGATAATGTTTTCGTGGTTAAAGTATCGCAACAACTTCATCTCACGGAGTGTACGCAGACAGAACATAGAATGATCGAACGGCGTGATCTTCTTGATGGCAACCTTTTGGCCAGAGGGCTTATGAATGGCAGAGCTGCATGGGGTTAGAGGAGCCTTGACAAACAAAAGTCTCGTATTACTTACCAGACGACACCATAGGCGCCTTCGCCGATAACATCTTGGATTTCATATTGGTCGGAAACATTGAAAGAGATCTTCCGGGATCCTCCTGCGGGAGGGTTTGGTTGGCCCATAATGATAATGGTTTCTTTGATTTCTCCGGTAGGCTGAGCGATGGGGTGATTGTCAGCTTTCATTATCCGTGGGATCCAGTTGAAAAAAGGTCGAACACAGTCCATAGGGAATAAAACGGGAATTGGGGATTTAAAACACGGGGTAGACGGAGAATCGCGCACAATTTGGCGATTCGACAGTCCAGGGAACGCAAGATAATAGTACCCGAGATCAATTGCTCAAAACCCTGGAGCAATTCGACCGCAAATACCAGTACCAGGGAACAGACGCAACAATAACGCAGGGAAACCGGGAAACAAAGCTTACTTTCGTTTGCGCTGCAATCGAATTGGTTTTTCGGAAAGACGCTTGAACTCTCGACTGGATTGAGGTTCGAAGGTCGGCGAGATCTCAAGGAACGAGAGGTGAGGTGTAGAAAGGTAGAAAGGGACTTGGTCGTACGAAGCTCCGGGTGGGGAAGAAGATGTGACAAGTACAGCGTCCAGACCCTCGAGACCGGGGTAAGGTGCAAATTTCACGGGTTGGGGTGTCAGGCCGGGATCACGGTATCAAGTTCGGAGCCTAAGAAGGTGGGATGTTAGTGGGATTGGAATTGACGGTGATGCTGGGGGCGCATGGAGAGGAGCCAAGACGCTCCGAAGCGGGGTCATCCTCTGATGCGGGATCACAACGGGTCGGGCCAGACTTTGGACTCACCTTATCTCTTGCCTTTTTTTCTCTATCAAGGCAAAGAAAAATAGAGAAGAAAGGGGAGGAGGATGAGAAGAGGTGAATCTGGAGAAACAGCGGGCCGTAGGGGAAGTGGTGGGGCAGAGAGCTTTGAGGCGGCTCCGGCAATTTGGAGGGTGAAACAAAGTCAGTCAGAAATCCACGGAAATTGGCGTCAATTAAGAGAGAAAAACGGGAAGAGACTAGGATTGATCGACGGCCCTAGTGAGAAAAGAAGCATGGAGGGAGGAAGTACAGGAGTTAGGAAGAGAGAGAGAGAGAGGTCTGTTACTGTTTTTCCCCCCTTGTCTGTCTTTTGGTTTGATGGACGCGGAACCTTGGATCACTGCGAAAGTATCTCCACAGTTACTTGACGGGTACCTGAAATGACTGGAGTCAACCATAATATTATAAAGTATCCTACAAGTACATCCATACAACCATAGCGATCTAAGGATCTCCGCCACAGCGCCAAAGTCTCTCACATGTCGCGCTCTATGGACGACGCTACTGCACCTGGAGAAACTTGTCACAATCATCTTTCCCGCTCCACCGCATAGGAGGTGCTAGTTTCATCCTGATTGGAGAACCCACCCCTCGTAGTTTCACTAGTTTGAAGGGGCCATCCCGTTAATTGGGTCTGACACGGCGACTAAATCACAGCCAAAACAAGTATAAGTCATACGGGTCTATATATGCATCTATACGTACCGGATTTTCCCTGGCGGGTGGCGCTTTCCTATTTGAGCTGCCGCCGCTTTTATGAGGGTGCTCAGGCTCAGGCTCACTGAGTAGATGTCAGCACGGGCTCAGATCAGTGATCATACTCAGATCAGTCACGTGTATAATCACTGATGCTCAGTGAGTGCTCAGTGAGTGCTCATTGGGTGCTCCCTGATTACTCAGTGATGCTCAGTGTCCAATCAGTGAGCAACACTGATGCACTCAGCCCACCGCAGACTATACCCAGAAGGGATTAGCCCCACAGGGTCGTCTATACTGTGATAGTTAGTTCGTTGATAGCATTGCTGCTGCCCTCAATTTTTGGAGCACTATATCTTATCAAGGAGATACGTCATGACGAAAGGGCGCAGGATGGAGTGGAGAACCCCATCTGTTTCATGATGTTGCTTCCATCTTTCTTCTAATTCAGAGCGGCTCGAGCTCAAGATCTCAGATATAAAAGCAAACCGTATGGCAGCATTAGCATGTAATAATCAACACATCTTCTATCCAAGTGCCTTTTACCTTGTGCATTGGTCTAATATCGCATTCTTTTACTTTGAATGTATTCCCTACCTCTAGGTCGCGCCTCACTTAATTATGGGCCGAAAGGACTTTTTTGCCAAGCGCGATGAACTCGCGAAAGAGAGGCGCCGTCTACAGCGGGAAAAGAATGGTTATACCCCTGGAACCTATAAAGAGGAGGACTCAATTCGGGAGAAAGACAAAAGGCTCCCTAAAACCAACGAGTTACACCGAGAAACCATGAACCTTTGGCTCGAGTGAGTTACGCAGCATCTGAAGTAACAATCCTTTCCTATTCACGCATTCTGCTGACCTTCCTTTAGGTTCACTGCAGACCCGGAGAATGGGTACGAGTATTATAAAACTTCCCTCGGTTCTCCTGCTCCAACACATGAGATGATCAAAGCGTACATTCGCTGGTACGTACATTCTATTCAAGGGCGACTGAATGACGATGGTCTACCCACGGTGAGAACTGTGAGTGCGCATACCGAGAAATTCTTTGGTGGATTTGAACAATTCACAAGAACCAAAATCGTCCCAGACGATCGAAAGGAAATAAAAATGGTTGGTTCATTCGTAAATTCCCCTCTGAGATCATCTTAAACTCACCTGGATGCAGTGGATCAAAAAAACTTTGACGGTAGATGGCGTCGTTGTAGACCAAAAGAAAGAGAAACTCAACTTCACAAAGCAAGATTTTTTGAGAACAGTCTCATCTTTATGGCAGACTGATCACCAAACATTCATTCCGGGACTGCTCAAAGTGGTCATCTTATTTGCTCTCCAGCTGTATCTCTTTACTGGCGCAAGAGTCGGAGCTTTCATACCCTCTAGTGAGGACAAACATGAAAGAGGTCTTCGATACGAAGTAAGGCGTCTTTACTCCAGCGATATTATACAACATTAATCTCTATTCTAGCATATCAAGTTGGTTCTGTTTCCTTCATCCATAGGTCGTTGGGCGGTGGGTTGGAAGGTAGATCAGAAGTGGCTCAAAAATCGTCGATGTGAAAAATACACAGTGTGAGTGGTATGTTTATCGAATATACGGGACTTCATTAATTGGTGCTTCTAGATTCGGAATTGGTATCCGGGACAGCAACAGGCCGCAATTTGCGTCGGGCTACCTTCTTCTCTCCCTCGCATTAGCACACGGTGCTATTTATGGGGTGGATACTGTGGATGATCTGGCGCAGTTTGATCTTTCAAATGGGGAGATTCCGTTGCGATGGAAGGAAGAGTACTTGGATAAACCAGTTCTCAGACATGCCACGGCGGACGGGCCTCAGGAGACACCTTTAACGAAACAAAAATTTTGTTCTTGCCTTCGTCAGATTTTTACTGCTGCAGGGTACTTTGGTGAATTGGCAACGATCCATTGTATACGACGAAACCTTGGGAAAAAAGTCGAAAGTAAGCCTCCTACACCACAAAAACACTCAAAAGACACAAGATAGAGATCTTAATACTAAGATTTATCACAGAGAGAAATGGCTCTGCACCTGTCAGTCAGATACTGGCACATAAGGGGCTAAACACTTTTCCGGAGCATTATCAAGCCCACTGTTCTTCCATAGATACAGTGGGAGCTGTTCTAGATGAAGAAGACCAGTCCGACCATATTGAGTACTTCCAAGGTTATGTTCAATATTACGAACGTGGCTTGCCAGGTGAGTTGCCAGCAGAGATCAAAGAGAGTATTTTGGAAAAACCAGATATGGTGGAAATGAGAGCCCAGATCGATTCATTCGCACAGAACCACGACGAGGATCGCCTCAAGAACAAGAAATTGGAATACAGGAAGGCGCTCGTTCGGTATCGCCTTTTCGAACTTAGGCAATATCAAATTCGGTGGGCACAGGAGAAGAGAGACCGGAAAGTTATCAATCGAGGAAAAGAAGAGCCAACCCATTCAGAAAATGACATTCGCGCACGCACTCAAATGCTGATTATGCCCGAGGTTGCGCGAATCGCAACAGCCATGTCCTCCACCAAAGAGCTTTCCTTTGACGAAAAACTTCTCTTTGTCGAAGATCTACAGACGCAGTGTCTCCGTGATTTTGATGTGGTATACCTCCCAAATGAAAGCCCAGTACATGGCCTCTGTCCTGTAAAAGGTTGCCAAATCAATATTGCAAGGTGAGCTCCCCGGTCTAATGATAACTTGGCCGATACTAACTCTGCTAGTCTGAAAAAATGTGACAGAAGTGCTCATATTCACGGATGTATTCGGCGTGAGAAAGCTTTTGGCCTTCAAAGACCAGAGTCAGAGATGCGGTTTTGCTATGAATGTATGGATTGGTGTTTGTCGAGTCAATGGCGGGATCATTGTGATACCCATCTCCAGTCCTGGAAATCCCAGCACTGCGAAGTAATTATCTATCGTCATACCGTTATTCGTCCCGGCTACTGCCCCTTCTGTTTGTGGGACCCTGATCTCTCTGCAGAAAAGCGTTTGCGATACTGGCTGCGAAGTGACAATCTGAGGGAACACATTGAAGGGCAGCACTTGGCTAAAATCGGGCATTGTCAGACAAAGCTGATATGCGGATGCTCCCAAAGCTTCCACAATGAGCGTGACCTCCGACTTCACTTGCATGATGCGCATGGACTCAAGGAAACCATATGGCAAAATCCAAAGCTACCCAATAAGAGAAAGCGCACTTGCAAGTTGGAAGCCCAAAGATCTTCAGCAGGTCCACAAGAGGGTTATCCTAAGAAAGCCCGATTTTATAATTACTCACATCCATGTCATGGGCGTGAGGACTGTGTGACAGAAGGGTCTTTTTTCCCCGTCCCGGCCTTGCTTCCGTCTGTTGAAGAGAATGTGGAACAATACTCAGGGCCAAGTATGTGTGACAAATATAGCGCCAGCAGCAGGAGTAACTCAGTGGAACTATGTTTCTCGGAGTTAGGCTCCTCGCCCAGCTCGGGGTCAACAGCTCTAGGCCCTGAGGCTATTGATCCTCGAATCCTCGAGACGCCTAAATTCAACAGGGATAATGCACGCCAATCTTGTGATCAAGCTGCCATCCAGCCGAAATCACTCATTTCCCCACATAAAGAGTGCGAGGAAACTTCTGTCAGTGGTATAAAACAGCGGCAATCTCCCGCTCTAAGCTTTGCCAGTCAGCCTTCTGGATACTGTGCTGTCACTGAAGCCAATGAGGAGAGGAAAGATTTGCAAGAACATCTCACCTCTTTGCCTACTCATGACCAAGCTGTTACCGCAGAATTTGGCTGCGACAGTCATCCACTTACACGGGAAGAAGGCAAGCAAAATCTACCTTGTGATGACCAAGTCCCTCCTAGCTGCCCTCGCAGCCCCCTCACTAGAGCCAAGGCACAAACTCTGTCGCCTCAGCATTATCCAGGTGGTTTAAATGGCCACAGCCCCCCTAAGGGGCTTAACGCAAAGAACAAACGGAAGTTGCGTGACCTACAGAGGAAGAATTTGACCCTGAGACAGATTGGGCCTTATTTCGCGGATGTTGATATGGCCTTACTGCGACAGGCTTGGATGGAATTGAAGCCTTCTCAGAGATACACCAGATCTCGGGCTAATTGGAAGGGCAAGTAAATCATTTCTTTAGTCAAAAATATTTTGCTTGTGCTGGGTTATTATTTGTCTGTACAAAATTTGCTATTCAGCCGGGTAGTCCGACCCTCTGCCGACCTTCAAAAACTAGACTCATTGTCGCACCATTGGAATTTTTTTGGCTGTGCGAGAATAAGAGATCATTTAATAAATGGATGGCTCAGATGCCTGCTCAATCACACTCGTTCTACAGAGTAAATATGGTACGTTAAACTCAAGGGGCAAACACCCTACTGGTCCCTACACTTTAAGCGCAGCAAATCTGAAGCATGATAAGCGTCCTTTCAGGCGGGCTCGCGGATACACCTTTATATAATAATCGATTCATTTCCAGTGGTATTTGATTAGATCTATCCGGAAAATAGCTTCAGTGGGCAAAGAAGATCTTTGAGGCTAACAACACGAGCAACTCTTGGCTGTTCTGGCGAAAACTTAGTACAGCCAGCTTGTTACAATGAAACAAATAGTTACATCACAGTTACATGGTCCGCACCGCCACAGATGAGGAAGAGAACTTAGTACTAAGTAATTATGGAGATTAATGTAACGTACTATGTATGTTTTGATTTGTATTATATTACAGCTTCTGAGTGATCTCTGTTAAGTATCGAATATCTCTGTTAAGTATTGAATTTCCAGTAATCTTAAACAATCTGCTATTTCAATCGTCCTTGTAACTTCTCAACAGTGGTATACATATGAGCATCAGATAGCCTTATAAAGAAAAATTTGCCCAGATCAAACCTCATAGCACTCATGTCGAAAGCAGGTTTTTCGTATGTCCGTCATATTAGAGACTCAGGTACGATGCATAACTCCCAGGAACGGGTGAGTGTTTCTTGGGAACACCATAGCCGTATCCTGGGATCCTTAGGGCTCCTAGAAACCAGTCGCAGGGTCCCAGGAGCAAGTATCACGATCCTAGAAGCTGGTGACTCGACATCCACTTTTAGGTAAATCCCTATCAATGATATCGTTATTTAGTGCACCGGCTTCGATAATATGACCTCAAAAATAGTTAAATAGAAGCCACCGCCACAAAGAAATGTATCTCCCAAGCTCCTCAGCCAACTACTCGCGGTGGCAGACTTAATCTCTAAATTATTACTCTGAGCCCTCCTTTTATTATTATCTGCATAGATAGTCGTTACCTATACGTTCACGCAATCTGCCGAGATGCCGCTTTTAGGACTTCCCTTCTGTGGATTGGCGAGTCCATCGACAAGAAAGACCTTCGAAGTCTGTGTCTCACATCTCGGGAATCCTACGTCGTCTTCAGGAAGAGCCTCATTAATTGCATAGACTTTCAAGACACCCCGCCAATTCATTGGGCAATCGAACATAGAAGCTTAGGCATCGTCCAACACTTTCTGGGTTGGGAAAAGGCAGATATCAACCGGAGGTTTTCTGGCCTTACACCGCTTATGTTGGCTGCAAAGTTGCGGTACGCAGACGCTGTTGATTTGCTCTTAAGCCATCATTCAGTGAATGTCATACAGCGTGATACTTTGGGAGAAAGTGCCTTCTCGATCGCTGTTCTGCATGGAAGCGTCAGAATTATCGAACGACTCCTCAATGTACAGAACATTGATCTCAATAACCAATCACTAGAGGGAATTGCGCCCATTTCAATTGCGCTGACCTGTCGCCAAACTTATATCTTCCAACTTCTCTTGTCTGATGAGCGAACAAATGTCAACATCTGCGACCATCATGGCCAAACGCCACTGCACCTAGCGACAGAAATTGGCGACTATAGAGCAATCCAAATGCTTGTACGGAATCCTCGAGTTGACGTGAACTGTTTCAACCATCGACAGGAAACTCCGTTGTTTCTGGCTGTCAAAGGACACGGCCGTTTCCTCCCCATCAACAAACGGTTGCTTATCATTGAAGCCTTGCTTTTTAGTCCATGCCTCAACCTTAATCATCAAGATGAGAATGGACGCACCACAATATGGTATGCAGTGAGCAATTCCGACGTCAAATTGGTCGAGCTCCTCTTGCAGCAAACAAATCTGGACCTCAATTGCGCCGACAAGCTGGGCCATACAACTTTGGCAAAGGCTGCTGCGAATGGCTCCTTAGACTTGATCAAAGTCCTCTTCCGACAGCCGGGGCCTCATAAAAGCCCTCAATTCACCGATGCATTTCCGCCGCTCTGGTTAGCATGTCGCGTAGGACAATTTGCAACGGTGGAATTTCTCTTGCAGAATTCAGCCAATATCAACCAAATAAGCCCATCGAGGACGTCGCCACTTCAGGTCGCAGTAATTATGGAGCATGTCGACATTGTCCATCTCCTAGTCAGCTACGAAGGATCTTTGTTGATCAATGACCAAAATCATTGCTCCTCCTTTACTGCGCTAATGTTTGCGTCGGCTCTAGGCAGGTTTGAAATTGTCAAAATATTATTGGAGCGTCCCAATATATATGTGAATGCGGTGGACGACCAGGGGAGAACATCTTTCTGGTGGGCTGCGGCTGGTGGGCATTATGAGGTTGTGCAGTTGTTGGCCAATCGGCGTGGTGTGAAAAAGCGACTGAAAGATTCGAATGGCCAAACGGCGTATGCCATCGCCAAGGAACGCAACCATAGGCATGTCAGGGTTTATCTGCGAAGCTTCTAGGGCTCAGCTACTTTATAGAAAGATATTTCAATTGATACTATACCAGGCTTTGAGCTTGTTTGTGTACAGCGATCAGGTTCTCTAAGTGCAATATGGGACTGTAACAGCAGATTTTTCTCCGTGGCCTGTTACCTACTGCTTATCATTCTCTAGTGATGGCTACCAAGAACAAAATTGAAGAGCCCATCCCTAGCCCAGGGAATCAGCAATACTACGGGCTTGTGCTAATGCTACTTAAAGATGAAAGGATGCACTGCTGGATAGTTATTACCAAATTACTTACCCATGGCACAAGTCTGCGGTGCTTCAGCCACCAAAAAGCTTTGGCCTTTCGTGCCGGCTTTCAGGCGACAGGTAATTATCGAAATACGCGACTACTCAATGGTTTCACGGGGGCCTAGACCGGCCTCGTCGGTACGGGTTCAGTCTTTCTAGATACCATGCTATAGGTAAGGCCATCGTAAAGGAGGTGTGTTCACTGTCTCAATGATATCCATCACTCTGAAGGTCCCGCTTTCCACTTCTAAATCAAAACGCCCGCTGCACGGGTGTGGTCTCACTTGAATAAAGCATATACGATGCTAGTAGTCAGCAAACTTTCTTTTAGTTCAGAGAGAATAGAAATTACTCCATTTTTCGCTCCATCCATATATCAAGTCTATATACGCCCACGGCTTTGGTGATTAGATGTCACGCAGTCCTTCTGGTGACCTCAAAGAATAAAACAGATACACCTGCATAGTTGGTCCCTCGCCGAGGATAGGCTCTGTGGGTATAAAATTGGAGCTACCATCATTGATAAAAACGGCAACGGCCATTTGCTTAAGCATTCCAGAAAATCAGACATCGCGAGTTAGCAATTCTCTTCATTATTGACTACAGTTGACACGGTGAGCGGGGCGGGGCGCCACAAACGGCTCCTATTGCACCGCCCTCCTGCCGTCTCCGACCGCCTGCCCGTCTCCACCATACCCCTGCTCCTTTGGGTTTGGCGCCCTTACCCTGCCCCCGTTTTGGTTAGCCCAGTCCCTGGCCGCTTTTACCGCCCCGGCCATCTGCCATCTATCTATATAACGCCGCTGGCCCTCCTCTCCCCTCGACTTGTCGACGCACTTTCCCTTCTCTTTCCCTCTCTGCCCCCTTTTTTCCTCGCCCCCACCGTCACCTGCGCATTGGCTTTCAGTCCGACGCACTGCCCCCTTTCCTGTTACCGGAGATACCGCTCGATCCGACGCCCAGCTTGTTCTGCCCGGCCTGGGCTGCCACGCCATCCAGTCGCCTGGGAGCAGAAACACTGCGGTGATCCAGCCATCGATCGCATCGTATTATTTTGTGTCAATACTTTATCTTTCAAATGGGTCTACGAAGCCATCTAGATCGCTTTCTGCTGGTGAGAGCTTCCCGTTGACTCGTAGACTTCCGCAAAGCCCACAAATAGGCCCCCACCCTAGGCCCAAAGCCCAACCCGCAGTGGGCTATAGGCCTAACCTTGGAAACCCGACCCAACCCGTAGCCCACTAATGGGGGCCCATGAGGCCCCCATTAAAGCCCATCTTATCGGCCTCTGTAATCGCTGTATTACGATCTTCCACTAGGTATATCAAGTTCAAATTCAGAATTCAGAATTGTACTAGCTATATATGAATTTGGCTTGCAATATCCAGACGACGCAAATATCTCAAAGACGACTTGCAAGGATCCCAGAATTCCTACCGGTGATGGACAGGACTTAGTTACAACTGGAATAGATTCTAACGACGACAATTTGTTTCATGAAGCCGGAAATCCAGAGGATTTTTCAAGAGATAGCTTTCCAGCTCCTCGCCACACGTTTGGTATGACGAGCTTCCTTGGATCTGAATATGGAAATCAAGCAACAGCGGATCAATACCATACTCAGTTGAATCAGCGAAGCGAGAATCCCCTGCAAGGGGTCAGTCCAAGAAATATACACGGTATGCTAGTATTACCATTGTGTCATAAGGCATGACTGACCGCTACGCAGATATCAACCAACTACCTCGCCCAGAAAACCGGCCTTGGCAATCCGAACGTCCAATTTTCACACGCATGGTTCAACGCATGACTCAGATTTTTGCCTCGGGAATCACGCTTATTGAGGGGAGTTACTTGGTATGACATTGTAGGACACGAATTATCACTTTTCCCAGGATTCCTTTGAGAAAACGACAAGAGAGATATAATATAAAAGGAAACGTCTCTCGGTCTTTGCTCATTACATCTTCAGTGTCGTCGAGTCTCCAGACGAGGAGCCCGGGCGATAATCACTGCTTTGGCTATTACGCTTATTGCCACGGATTCTTTGATTGAACTGTCTTTCGTCTTCGGAACTTGGATGCTCCGATGGCGTTCGGGGTCGCCGTCGTTTCAAAGTGCCAGGATCACTACGATTAACAACTCCTGCCTGTTGGGTCTGCACCCGCTGCCTGCTTTCCGCACTTGAGAGGAAATCACAAAGTTGTCGAGACGAGATGCTTATAACCTGGTCCATGTCACCATAGCTTTGCGACAGCTCCTTTGGTGCGAAATCTCGCAGAGGAATTTGCAAGGCCACCCCTTCGGCCGGGGATCCATCGTCATTTCGAAAGACCTAGATCGATTAGGTTATCTTTTTATTTAATTTTAACTTAAGGTCATTGGGAGAATACATACATCTGCTTCGATCATAGCCTTTGCGCGAAGCTCCTTCACACCGTTCGCTTTGAGGTAGTCCGGTCGCCAGACGGTAAAACTTGCTTTTTGAGAGCCCCGATAATCGATATCCAAGGCAATAACCATGTTTATACTTCCATCTGTATTCAGTATATAATCATCCGCCAGATAAGAGATACTTTTGCTCTTCTGCGAATAGCAAACCTCGAGGATCACACCAGGGTAAAGTACTCCATCATGCCCAAATGATGTATCTGGCTCACGTCTGGTGAATACCTGCTTTCTATCATCTGTTTCTTCAGGCAAAAAAAATTCGTGATGTCGCGTAGTGCTTGAGTCCTCGAGCGAACTCCCCGGTAGGGCTGTCATGTCGTTGGAATTGTCTGATTTGTTGTAATATGCCGTCTGCTACGTTCGCAGAAAAAACATCATGTAAGGGGCATGGCATTCGGACTATAAAACGATGACGACGAATATCGTAGTCGTACCTGGAATGAATGTTCAGATATTATCTGTGTCTCTAGTAGGCAATCGTAGCGTACTCACCGTATCTTCTCCTCCACGTAAGCTTGAAGAGATTTATTGACGCTCAGGGCACTCAGTACTTGGTTATAAATCTGTGGTCCGAGTCGCACCTCCCACCAGGGATTCAGCTGATGATGTGCGCGATAAAGTCTTCCAAGGTGTTTTAAGACACGTCTGGCGTTTGTCGGCAAGACTTTCTCTGCTGTTGGCGGCGGTGTAAGAGGAGGCTCATCGAAGACACTCCCGGGTAGAGTGATACTAGCTGCCATAAGATGGGCCACGGGAATCAGGGCGAGAATTTGAGATGATTTGGTCGCGAGTGAAGAACCGCTTTTTGAATTCTTAGGGGGTGTTTATCTGCCTACGAGATCTGAGAGCCAGTGTCACGTGCTATGATTCAACATCCCAACCCGGCATATAACGCTGATCAATGCTCGTTGGATCATCTTAACATTAACCAATCAAAATCCCCGGTTTATCTTCGGCTTTTTTCAAATGAGTCTCTTGCTCCTCCAAATTCAACGAAGTCCGGCTTTACAGTAGAGAGTCTCGCTTATGACGTCAGAGTTGAGAGCATAATATAACCTCTATTGGTATTTCTCAAAAGGTTCAACAAGCTCCGTACGTACATGATTATTTGTCTCTCAAAATGAACAACCCCCTTCCCTTCAAGGGAGTAGTTTTGTGCTCCCAAGCAGTTTGCAGGGTTTGCTTACTGCTTGGTGCCTGAGGCCGAGTCCTTGGCCTCGCCAAGGAAGTGCTCTCAGGAAGAGGGATTACTAAAGGCAGGGCTTAGTAATCCCACAAAGAGGTTCCAAAAGGGTTTTGATCCCTGCACCCCAAAAATCTCCATTTGCACCCCATTAGATAATCAGCTAAATTACATAATACAATTGTCGGAATAAACAGGAGCAAAATCACATGATTAGCAACCTCATCTGTCAAATCTACTATACAAAAGCCTCAATTCTTCCTCATTAGGCAGCTTTTAAACGTATAATTGCTCTCTCCACAGCCCGAGCACCTACTCAGCGCCTTCCGCTTCTTCTTCGGGCGCCCCTGCTGCCTAAATAGGCAATTTGCGTCCCGTTTTAACTGCGGTATACTCGGAGGGAGGATTAGGACCAATTAAGCGCTTGGAATTGCTCTGATATACCAGAAAATATCGATATCACGGAATCCAATTGGCGTATTTGATCTGATAAGATCAGATAAATGGGATTTGTATAGAAGCCCTATAGAGCGAGTAAAATACCCGGAACACTACCCAATTGGGCTAGTTCATAGGGCTAATTCGCGTTAGTGATAGATTAATCTGATAGTATGATCAGATATATAAGCCCTCACCAAATCATATAGCTGAGATATTGCTATCTTTGGTATCAGGATCTTAAAATACGTAGCAAACAATGGTTGCTATAGGAGATTGATAGATAGATTGATAGTCATGTGACCTTTACCCTGTTTGTTACGATGATAATTAATTACATAATCATATGATTATATAATTGGGGTGCAAATGCAGATTTTTGGGGTGCAGGGATCAAAACCCAGAGGTTAGTATCGGCTTAGTAATTAGATGAGATATATTCGCTAGCTAGTACTATCCAATAGAAACCATGCGATCCTTACAGAATCTCAGTTTTACCGGGGTTGCCTCACGTGACATCTACACCGAGTCACCGACATTACTGAGGGCTTCTTCCCTCATACAACGGCCTCACAAGAGTCAATTGCTTGCCTCTGGTGGTAGCTCGTCATCTCTCACGCAGTCAAGGCTCGATTTTGTCCCTCCCGCCTTCCCTCTGTATATAGAAACCACTGCAATACAGACACACTACCTCCCTACAAGAGAGCGCGGACGGGCTCTATCTGACGCTACGGTCTAATGCGTTCCGTATAAGACCGCAGCGACAGGTTACCCGTTACGGCCAAACCATACTCTTCTTGTCCCTCTTGACTGCGCGAGGTCATCAATAAACTGATATTTCTGTTTTAGGTGATTCCATTCTTTTTTGATCGTTCCCGATCTTAGCCTCTAACACGGAATACCCATCTTGGACAATAACTTCTTTTTGTTTCTCAAACTCTTCGGCGAGAGCCTTCTCTCTTTCTAGGCTATCACTTGCAAGAAAAGTGAAGTATAAGGTCAGGTGACACATAGGTCAATACCCTTCAAAGCGCCAAGTGACTATGGCGGACACTGCATTAGAGGAGCAGAGCTTACTCTGGACTGACTTAATCAGACGCACAGGGTTAGCGGGGTACGACGGTCCGCCACCTGCTTCTGCGTCGAGAATACGATCGTTCTCTCCGCGCCATCGAACATAAAATCTTCTTTACAAGCAAGCAATACCCCTATATAAAATTCGCCAATAGACAATGGGATATAAACGCCATCGACCGATGGATGAACGATCTTGATCGAAGCCATAGTCAGTCAACAACTTAACTCGGTTCTCATTCGGGGATGCAGAAGATGTCCTTGTAAGCTGTCTTCTTGAAGTTTATTGGAAAAAGGTAACCGAAGATTTCTGTTGCAAAAACACTCTGCCTGTGTTTAATGGCCTTTGATTCACCTGTGCGTGGCCAAGAATGGCGAAATTCCGCACGACCAGAGCTTCCTCTTTGGACGACCAGCTTTGACCACACTCATTCCCAGATTCCTAAAGCAGAACTGCCGCAGACTCTTCCCCACTCCGATAGAACAACCTTAAAGTACACGAGTCTTGATTCCGGTTCAGCTTATGAACCGCCGCCATCTCCACCGGATTCTCTAAAGGCAGCGGCTCACCGAGTGCTACAAGATCTCAGACCAGCTGTGCACCCTCGGCTGTACAGCGTCGCTCCCAATCGCCAGACTCATCAGGCTCCGATTTGAACCAAGCAATTGGCCGCAAACGGGGCTTCAGCCAAGTTACATCCTCCCCATCTACCCAACGAGCAGATCGTCAACGGGACGCGAGAAATAATCAAGGCAACCAGGCCCGATATCACGATGCGCAATTTTGCACCCAACGATGTTTACTCGGATTGTAGTCTGGCGGTGTGTTAGATGACTGCTGTCCAAATGTGATGCTCCATCATCGAAGCAAATTCAATCCCCAACATCCGATGACCTAAAAAGATTTGGTCCGTTTACTTAACGCGCAACTGGACAAAAACATTGACCGATGCACACCTCTTGGCGGTTGCGGGGCATACGCCGTTTAAACTTACTTGTGTTGAATATAGCTACACTGTGATTGGAAAAGGAACCACATCGGGGCTGTGGAAAGAAGTCTCCCGCGAAGCGCATGTATACCAAATTCTGCGGAAGGCCCAGTCTGCAAATATAGATAAAAGCCGCAACAAACCTGTATGTGATCGTTGACATATCTTTCTACCTTATTCTCCATGACACTCATTCTGCAGCGATTCGGCAAGATGTTCAAGGAGCGGCTAGAACGGTTCCCCTCATTATTCCTATATTTTGTGGTGCGCCTTGAAAGCATTTTCCGGTTTTCGAGGCTTCAGAAGCATATACTAAAATTCGGGCTATTGATTGTCTTGTGGCTGCTTTTGGTGGCCGCCCTAATTCGTTATTCCCTCCAGTATCATGTCGATCCTCCGACCGAGTCAAGCACCAACAACGAAACGAACCAAGTGCTTCCAACTCAGGCCTGGGTCTCTTTATTTCCACGAAATATATGGCAAATATATCTCAGCCCGCCGGATGTCAGCACAAACAATTTTGAAGTGAACCCTAAGCAACTATCAGATGTCGTCTCTTGGCTGGCTCATAACCGCGACTTCGAATACACCTTGGTTGGAGACGAAGGAGCAGAAGCACTCGTGCGCCAGCACTTTCAGGAAAATCCAACTTTGTTGAGAATCTTCAAAGAGCTCAAGAACACCGGAATGAAGTCAGACCTGCTGAGGTACCTGATTTTATCAGTCAAAGGCGGTGTCTATTCGGATCTCGATACCGTTAACTTGAAGTCCATTGATTTGTGGGTACCTGAAAAATATCAGAAACACGCTCGAGTTGTTCTAGGGATTGAATTTGATCGCCTTGATGGGCCTAACTGGGGCGAGGTTCATCCCGATATGCAATTTTGCCAGTGGACCATTGCTGCAACTCCTGGGCATCCCCTCTTCAGCTACATGCTAGATTGGGTTGTGACCACCCTGAAAAACTTCACAACTGCAAGAAAAACAACATTCTCGGACCTCCATGTCAGTTCATCGGAAGTCATGAAATTGACTGGACCATCTGCTTGGACAGATGGCGTCTTTCGACAATTGCAGCAGTATGAGCCGGACCTGATATCGTTGAGCAACTTGAGTGGATTGTCGGAACCGAGGCTTGTGGGCGATATCTTGATACTGCCAATCGATGGGTTTGGGATGGGCCAGTCACATTCCAACAGTACAAATGACGGATCGATTCCAGAGGAGGCATTCGTACAGCATAAATTTCGAGGATCGTGGAGGCATGACAAGAGGTCAAACTAGACATAAATATAGAAGATAATAGAATCTGCAGATGCTTTCAGAAAAATGGAACGGACCAGAGAAATTGAATGGTCCCTATCTGTTCATGGACAACTTCAGTTTCCAGCGCTGCTGTCAGCAGAAATACGATGAGAGTGTCAGTCATAGGTGCTTGGTACAAAAACTCTTCCAGAAGCGTAGTCTTGCTATTTTAAGAGTGAAAAAACAGGTAAAAATGCCAGAAAAGAACTCTATAGGTAGATAGGCTTATTAAACAGACTTCCCTGGCTAATCCAAAAATCTTTTTCGTGTCACTGTAACCACCGATTGCGGGCCCGATTCTTTATGTCTACGAAGACTTGTAGGACTCAGGGTTCAAAACCCCTTCTGGGGGTGGGAATTGATGCCTGAGTGCCTTGTTTAGCACCGCCTTTTACACCGCTCTATACAGTGTATAGTAAATTTATTAATACTGCAACTGTCAAAAATGAAGCTTTTCATCTCCATACAAATGGCAGTAAAGAATTAAAGAGAGTAAAAAGGTGAAACTGATTTCGAGCGCGTCTGTATCATGATTTTGGCTGAAAATGGTGTTTGCACGTTGTATATCATTAGAAGGCCTCTGCAAAGCCCACAAAGCCCAAAGCCCAGCCCAACCCAGCCCACTAATGGGTTGGGCTTTGGGCCTATCCTTCGGGCCCATCGATGGGTTATGGGCTTATACCCTGAGCCCATAGGGCCCATTTAGGCCCATACTGGGCCCCCATTATATATCAAACAATACAAACATACGAATCCATCGCAACTGCATAATTAATACATTTTTTGCTGGTTTTTTTTGGGAATTGAGATTACTATCCAGGCTGTATATAAAGTACAGTGACTATTCATAAATCTTAACACCCTCTGGCCCCACATCCCTGATTATATAATATACTGCCGGTCTAAAGCCTCTATGAAATTCATACTATAAAATCTAGCATGGTGTATACCATCCCTGGGTCTCAATCTAACTTCCACCCAGTACGCTAGCATCCCTATGACCGTGAAATCTGCGCTGTAGCTACTGAAATAGCTTTTATTTGTGAGTTCTGTAAGGCGGTGTAAACCACATATAAAGGCGGTATCTAGGTGGGGCCAGAAGGGTGTTAAGATTTATGAATAGTCACTGTACATAATGTATACGTGAATCATCAATAACGAATTCACTCCCTCCCAGGAACCCATCGCCAAAGACGATGGCCCTTATTCCGAATCTTTCGGCCCTAAAAACAAAGCTTGCGTTTTGACCGCCTCAATCCAATCTTGAGAAGCCTTTCCTGGAATCTGGAGGGACCCTTTTTGGAAAATCTTGCGACCTTCAACCCTATCAGGCCATACACGAAGAAGTATCGGAACTGTTGGTGGAACTGATTGGAGATAAGACGTGTTCAGATAGGTTGTCACCGCTGGTTTGCAACAATCGGCAATGATACAGTCCATCAATAGGGCAATGTATCCGCCAAACAATTTCCCATTGTAGTAGCACATCTGTTGTGTAGGGCTCAAAAGCAGAAGAGACTCCACCTCCACCCCCAGAGGATAGGGCTTGTAAACGGGGTGATAGCCCTGCAACAGAGAATTCATGATTTCGATCGGGGGCTCGTGGGAGGCAGACACAGAGGATAGCTTCAAAATGTCAGTACTGTACAGTGCAAACTAGAAACTTATTATTCAGACTTGTAAGTGCATATGGGAAAGCTCGAGATACGACCGCTGTGCGCGGATTAAGAGAAACAAGGTAGTAAACAGGTTTTGAGCATGACTTAGCTTCCTCGGGTATCGACTTGCGATCACTGAGAACTGATCCCTAGCACCACGGAGAGGTGCCTGTATATCGCTAGGGGGAGCACAGAATATAACCTCACGGGGCTCAGGGCAATGAGGACCGCAAGCGGCAGAATTCCAAGCCAGAGACGAGAAATAGAGAGCTGAGATGAAAGAAAACATCTGAGCGCACGAGGGCAGGAAGCCTGCTCCTAGTCTCCGATAGTGGGCGCGTTCTACTGCCCAAGTTCGACTGCAGTAGACTCTTCTTGGATTCCGTCACCGACCAAGCGTATCTATCCCCGGCAGATGGCTGTAGACAGACTTGGCCGGGAGCGACGACAAGGCTAAGCGTCTAGGGGGTAAACTGTTCGAAACTACTGAGCCGTAGAGATATTCCATATGCCCTATGATGTGTTATTAGGCATTTTCCAATAAGACTGCTCTTTGGTCTGCACCTGTCAAAGGTCCAGCCGGACCAGTACTCGCGGTGAGGCGGACCGGCCAGCCAGACCCAAGGTTCAACTTATCATCTGACACTGATGTGATGCGAGTCAGCATCCATCTTGCGACCAGGCAATTGAGAGGACCCAACCGCTACATCCTTTAAGAGTCAATACACATTGGCTGGATTCCAAATCCTGACTGTCTTGTCAGAGGACTCTGATGCGAGTCGACTTCCATCTTGCGACCAGGCAATTGAGCTAAACATATCACCCCATCCTTGGGTGATTGACACGCACTGGCTGGCGACCGGATCCCAAATCCTGACTGTCTTATCAGAGGACCTCGATGCGAGTCGGTTTCCATGTACCTGCGACACTCAGAACTCTGATCCTTCGGCTTTATAAACAAAGCAACCGTTTTGGTCGCCTCGGTCCAGTCTTGAGGAACCTTTGCTGAAATCTGTAGCCTTTCAAGTAAATCTTGCAAACTTCCACCCTAACAGGCCATGCTCGAAGAAGTATCGGAGCTGTTGGTGGAACCGACTGGATGTACGACGTGTTCAAGTAGGCAGTGACCGCTGGTTTGCAACAATTGGCAAAAATGCGGTCCACCAATAGGGCAATGTAATCACCGAACAACTTCTCGTTGTAGTAGCACATCTGCTGTGCAGGGCCCAAGGATCAGGAGAGACCCCAGATTTACATCCCAACGCTCTTGACCACTCTTGACCGCTCTTGACCGCTCTTGACCGCTCTTGACCGCTCTTGACCGCTCTTGACCGCTCTTGACCGCTCTTGACCGCTCTTGACCGCTCTTGACCGCTCTTGACCGCTCTTGACCGCTCTTGACCCCTCTTCTTAACCACTAGCACCCCCCACCCTCCACTTGCCACTAGATATCTCATCTGAATATTATTTGCGACGATGCTCAGTAGGCTGCTTGTCAACGCACGCAGAAGTACTGACCTCAAGAACTCATTTATTGGGTATATTGGACTCATACGGTATCAGGTTGTGCATCTGGTCCTGAAGATCTGCCCACTTTACGATTACACTGACTTGGCCTGGAGCTCCATCCAGCCTCACATAGATAGTATTTGCTCTTGAGCAAGAGTAGCGTCATAGAGGTTCATTTAGCCGACCTTCAATTTACTGACCGTCGAGGGCTTCTGTACGAAAATCGCATTTACGATTGAACATGCTATTTTTCTGGGCTCGGACCAATGTTATTAGTCGATACGGACACGTGATGAATAGTAATTGGGAATCGGAAAACTGAACAAGAAGCAATGTTGTGCGACATGATGAAGGAGAGAAGTATCGGGAAGTACCCAAAGATCTACGTACACATTCAGACTCTTTGTGAGATTTCACGCCTAAACTCTACAGGCAAAGGCTTGCACAAGGGTAGAATCAAAAAGAAGAAGAAGATGGGAAATACCAGTCTCAATGCAACATTGATACTTCAGACTACACGCCCTTCTTCGGTCTAAAAACTCTTTCATCACGTATCAGGAGCTATGGAGGCTCGAGAACGCCGAATATCCTCATCTTCTTTTCTGATCCGCTCTAGCTTGAAAAAATTGTAAAGCGCAAGAAGTGCTGAACAGATTAGAAGAGTTGCTCCAGTAACAACAGTTGTAATAATAGCCATTACCGACCAATCCCCACCTTGAGACGTACAGACATTGATGACAGTGGTCAGCAGCCCGGCAGCAGCATGTAGGCATAGGGGTCTAGTTCAGGGTTAGATTTGCTTCTGGCTTCTTACTTATTTAGGATTTGCTCACTTACACAAACACTTTGTTGATCAGCCAGGGGTAGTTTCCCCTGAGCTTTGGGAAATGCATCAGCCACATGAGAGCCGCAATTCCACTAACAAAAAGCAAGCACGCAATAGCGAGTAATGGGGGGTTCTGGATCATATGTAGAACTGCACGGCCGGCGCTGTTGTTTTGTAATGTCTTTTCAATCTGGTTTGAGGTCTGCAATGAAGTGAACGTGCCGGGAATGATTAGATAGCCGGCCAGCAGTGCCCAATTAGCCGCACCAACCGTGATACTGAAACGCATGGCCATTTGGGCTTCTTCCCTAAGCATTCTGGCATAGGTAGTTTCATTGGTATGGTGTACCTGGTTGGCTCTACACACCCCCGGTGTCACATCCGCAGCTGAGCAAGGTGGAACAAGCACAGGGTTTATTCCAGGAAGTGGAGGCTTTTCCGATCCTATCTTCACTGGCATACTTATATGATTGTCCACAACGAAGGCCATGACCAAGGAAATTTCAGGGTTACCATAAGGAGGCAAATCAACAAGGAACTTTCTCAGTTCTTCAAATAGTCCGTAGGGAAAGGCCGCTACAGTACTTGGTCAAACTAGGTCCAGCTTCTACTGTAGGGGAAGCCTCATTTTTGCCTTACGGTGAGCCTTGCATGGTCTGGTTTCCGAAGTCAGAAACGAATGGCTTCTGATAAAACGCGAAAGTTGCTGCATACTTGATTTAAGCTGAATGAGTATACAACGGCCCATTCACGGACTCGACCATAACTACGTTGTGCTGAACAAGTTGATTGTTCACCGACCGAATAGCGAAATATAACAAGATCATCCAGGTGGGCAGACCAAATAATTGCAGCTGGTGGTATTTCCTCGTACGCGGCCAACTTTAAATAACAGCCAGCAGTATAGGACAACTCCAAAGACCGCAATCAGCAGAAGCACAACGGCCAACCCGATTGTCCAAATCAAAGCAACTGTAGACCACGAAGTTTACAGGGCCGCTCGAAATCAGCTTCATCTTTGTTTTCTTTTCTTTTCTTTTCTGAACTTTATTCTGAAACACGCTAGTCCCCCTTTGGTTTAGTCTATTAATGGGTCTTGAAATATTTCGTAAGGATAAATTACAAGTATGCGGAGCTGTAACCTTTCTGAAACACAGTACAATCGTTACGCTACGGTTGACCACAAGGTTCGTCACTTTGATTAGAGCGTTGGTCTTCTGCGGCATCTTCGAGGAAGATGGCGCTAAGTTCACGTATTGGACTCCTGAATAATGTAAATGGAAAGACACATCATCTCTCAAGGTGATCATAAGGGAATATGATCAAGGCGGGCGATTTCTGTCTCGAATCAGATCACCTGATAGCGGGGTAGACTGGGGATTGGGAGATCCAAGCGTGGATTTGAGCCTCCTCAAAACTCTTACGCAACGGCCATGGCAACTACGATTTCCCAAGGCGAAAAAAGCTCTGGTTTTCAGGCAGGGATGATAAACGGCAACATTGGAAATGTCACTATTGGTAAGCAGTAAGAAATAGATGTGACTGTAATCTACGGCTAGTAATAGTGATCGGCTTCAGTACAATCCGAAACGCTGAATCAAGAATGTCTTCGTGATTTGCATGCCACCAACCCTGTCGATGATAAAAAACGTATCAAAAATGACAAGGGCGGGCTACTCAAAGACTCATATCGCTGGATTCTAGACAACAAAGAGTTCAAACAATGGCAAGACAGCGAGAGAAATCGCCTTCTCTGGATCAAGGGTGATCCTGGTAAAGGCAAGACGATGCTCCTCTGTGGTGTCATCGAAGAGCTGACGGGATTGTATGGGGATAATGCGAGTATCTCGTTCTTTTTCTGTCAGGCTACCGACATGCGGATCAACAGTGCTACATCTGTCCTGAGGGGTTTGATATATTTACTTGTCAAGAAGAACCCATCTCTTCTCCACCATGTGCGAACTCGGTACGACTATGCAGGAAAGACTGTCTTTGAGGATGTCAATGCATGGAGCGCACTGTCAACAATCTTCAGGGACATTCTAAACGACCCGAAACTGCAGATGACTTATTTGGTAATCGATGCCTTAGATGAGTGCACCAGTGGGCTCCGTACCCTTCTAGACTTAATTGTCCAGGAATCCTCAGTCAATCCACAGATAAAGTGGGTTGTTTCTAGCCGCAACTGGCCTGAAATCACTGAGCGACTTGAAATTGCTACCCAGCTAGCTCCAATCTCATTAGAGCTGAACGAGGCGTCTGTGTCTGAAGCAGTGAATCAATTTATTCAGCATAAAGTTGACGAATTGGCCAAAGCGAAAAGTTACAGCGAAAAAACTCGCGACGGCGTTCAATCCTACCTATCGTCAAACTCGCAAGGTACCTTCCTCTGGGTGGCCTTGGTGTGTCAGAATCTCGAAAAGATACGATTCAATGTACTGAAGAAGCTAAAATTATTTCCTCCTGGGTTGGAGGCTCTATATGGTCGAATGATTAGCCAGGTTTGCGAATCTGAAGATGCCGAGCTCTGCAAGAAGATACTGGCAATCATGTCAACAGTTTTTCGGCCTATTACGCTACACGAACTAACTTCATTTATTAAACTACCGGATGAAGTTTACGATAATCTTGTTTCTCTTGAAGAGATAATCGCAATCTGTGGATCTTTTTTCACGTTACGGGAACATACTATTGTGTTTGTTCATCAGTCTGCAAAGGAATTTTTACTCAAGGAAGCACTCAGTGAGATACTTCCTAAAGGTATAGAGGCTGAACACGACATGATATTTGTACGATCTCTCGACGTTATTTTCAAGACACTTCAACGGGATATCTGGAATATCAAATCACCTGGAATCCACACGAAGGATATCTGCAAACCTAGCCCAAATCCACTAGCAGCGGTGGAATACTCATGTGTCTACTGGATGGACCATCTTGAAGCTAGACTACTTAATGAAGCTTGTGAGCTGGGAGTTTGTGACAGAGGTCGCGTGGATACGTTTCTGCAGCAGAAACTCCTCCACTGGCTCGAAGCTCTTAGTATTTTGGGAAGTGTTTCGGATGGCATCCAAGTGATGCAAAAGCTCGAGATGTTGATTGAGGTGAGTGGTAAAAATATTATAGAGATGATCTTTTCTTCTGACAAGGGGGGCACTTAAACAGGAGAGAAAAGAGTCAGGTATGCTTTTGAATCGAGCTCGAGACGCCTCTAGGTTTATTCGATATCATAGAACGGCGATAGAAAGCAGCCCTCTGCAAGTATATTACTCGCCTCTTATATTTAGCCCATTAATGAGTCTCACAAGGTTGTCCTTTCAGGATCAAAGACCAGAATGGGTTCTGAATGATCCTGTGAAGACAGAAGAATGGAGTCCCTGTTTTCAAACTTTTGAGGGTCATAGTGATGGGGTCACGTCGGTTGCCTGGTCGCCAGATGGAAGCCGACTCGCATCAGCATCTCACGATAAGACAGTCAGAATCTGGGATCCGGCTACCGGCCAGAGCATATCAACTCTCGATGAGCATAGTGGTACGGTCATGTCAATATCCTGGTCGCCAGATGGAAGCCGACTCGCATCGGCGTCAGGTGATAAGACAGTTAGGATCTGGGATCCGGCTACCGGCCAGAGCATATCAACTCTCGATGAGCATAGTGGTACGGTCATGTCAATTTCCTGGTCGCCAGATGGAAGCCGACTCGCATCGGCGTCAGATGATAAGACAGTCAGGATCTGGGATCGGGCTACCAGTCAGAGCATTTCAACCCTTGAGGGGTATATTGGTTCGGTCACATCGATTGCCTGGTCGCCAGATGGAAGCCAACTCGCATCGGCGTCAAATGATAAGACAGTGAGGATCTGGGATCCGGTTACCAGCGAGAATATATCAACTCTTGATGGGCATGGTAGTGAGATAATTTCGATTGCCTGGTCGCCAGATGGAAGCAGACTCGCATCAGCGTCTAATGATAACACAGCCAGGACCTGGGATCCGGCTACCCGCCAGGCTTTATTAATCCTTGAGGGGCACAGCGCCTGGGTCAACTCGATTGCCTGGTCGCCGGATGGAAGCAGACTTGCATCGGTGTCAGAAGATAAAACAGCCAGGGTCTGGGATCCGGCTACCGGCCAGAGCATATCAACTCTCGGTAGGAATAGTGGTTCGCTCTGGTCGATTGCCTGGTCTCCAGATGGATGCCGACTCGCATTAGCATCTGGTGATGGGATGGTCAGGATCTGGGATCCGGCTACTGGCCAGAGCATATCAACTCTCGATGAGCATAGTGAGGAGATCATATCGATTGCATGGTCGCCAGATGGAAGTCAAATTGCATCAGCGTCTTATGATAACACTGTTAGAATCTGGAATCCGGCTACTAGCCAGAGCATATCAACTCTCGATAGGCATATTGGCTCGGTCATATCGATTGCCTGGTCGCCAGACGGAAACCGACTCGCGTCAGCGTCTGTGGATAAGACAGTCAGGATTTGGGATCTGGCTACCGGCCAGAATATAATAACCCTCGATGAGCATAGTGGTACGGTCACATCGATTGCCTGGTCGCCAGATGGAAGCCGACTCGCATTAGCGTCTGTTTATAGGACAGTCAGGATCTGGGATCCGGCTACCGGCCAGAGTATATCAACTCTCAATAGGCATAGTAATTCGGTCATATCGATTGCCTGGTCGCCAGATGGAAGCCAACTCGCATCAGCGTCTTGTGATAAAACAGTTAGGACCTGGGATCCGGTTACCGGCCAGAGTATATCAACCTTCGAGGGGCATAGTGATTGGGTCTGGTCGATTGCCTGGTCGCCAGATGGAAGCAGACTCGCATCAGCGTCAAGGGATAAAACAGTCAGGATCTGGGATCCGGCTAGTGGCCAGAGTAAATCAAATCTTCTTCTTGCCTTCATCGACTCTCTTCAATTCGAGAACGATGATATCAATCTTCTGCGCACAAATAACGGCACATATGACATAGGCTCAAAAGGTCCGATGACGCCTGTGTCGGACGACTCCATCTTGCCGCTTAAGCAGTATGGATACGGATTAAGCCAGGAAAGTTCCTGGATTACCTATAATGGTCTTAACCTGCTATGGCTGCCTCCGGATTATCGCCCTTCACGTTCCTTCCATTTTGCCAAACAGACAAACGCATTGGCAATCTGCTCATCGAGTCGTCTCATATTCCTTACATTTTCACAACAGAATCCCATTTCTAGCCTTTAATCGGACATTTTACAAACCGAGATTTGCATTTGCATCGTTATCTAACTATTGCTCCTCGTAAGTGCCGGTGATTACTCAATATACAAAATGACAAAGTTTAGGATCACTCAATCACCCTTGACGATCACACTTTATATTACGCAACTGAGTTTTCTATTCGAAGAACTACTCTTTATTAATCATTCTGATCCGTAAATACATTGAACAGCTACTCGGTCAAATGTACATGCAGGTGATGTTCAAGAGCACAGTATATAATTCTGAGGTCAAACATATCGGTCTGCTTCCTGTTGTTCGCAGTGAGCAACACCCGCAACTTTCGGATCGCCAAGACAAAATAGCTTCCCAGGAGCCGCAGTGCCCCTCAGTCACGTGCATTTCCCAATACCCCAGCTCCCCCCGGTGTTCAATCAAAAATCATTTCGTCCGCTCCCTGATCAGAGGGGTGAGTGAGCAGGGTGAGCATGGAGAAAACCGCTCTCCACCGTTGTGCCAACGCAATAATGGTCAACCTCCAGCGACTCCGCGCAAATGGCGCCTCGGCTCCCCCCTCCAAACTGGAGATGATTCGTGACATGATATATAGCGGATCCTTGAATACATCACAGATGGCCGCGGCTGCTGAGTGTAGCCAGCGCTCCATAATCAGTATTCGCAACAACCTTCGCCTGTTCGGCAATGTCAGAGCTCCATCAACTCGCGTCGGTCGGCGACGTAGCATTACACCGCCAATGATACAGACTCTCTGTGACCATCTTCTCGAGAAGCCCGGATTATATGTGGATGAGATGGTTCTGTTTCTATGGGATGAGTTTCATACTTGGGTGACAAACTCGAGTCTCAAGCGGGCTCTTGTCTCGGTCGGCTGGTCGAAGAAGGTGGCTCGACAGAGAGCAAAGGAACAGAATGCTGATTTGCGCGATTACTATCTCCACAATATATCGGAGTTCAAGTCATACCATCTGGTATATGTGGATGAGTCGGGATGTGATAAAAGGATTGGTTGCAGACGTACTGGGTGGTGTCCGCTAGGCCAGACGCCATTACAGATCTCTAAATTTCATCGCGACCAGCGATACCAGATCTTGCCTGCGTACGCACAAGACGGCATTGTGCTTTCTCGTGTATTTCAAGGCTCAACTGATTCGGCTGTGTTCGAAGATTTTATCGAGCAGCTCCTTCAGCACTGTGGAAGGTGGCCGGAACCGAAATCCGTGATCATCATGGACAATGCATCCTTCCACCATTCTGACCAAATCAAAAAGATGTGTGCCGATGCTGGAGTAAAGCTGATGTATTTGCCACCTTATTCGCCTGATTTAAATCCCATCGAGGAGTTTTTCTCGGAGCTGAAGGCGTTCATCAGGCGTCACTGGCGAAAGTATGAACAGAGCCCGGAGCAGGGGTTCGATACTTTCCTTGAGGGATGTGTCGAGGCTGTAGGATCTCGGGAACAAAGTGCGATCGGCCATTTCCGGCATGCTGGCGTAGTCGTCGAAGACCAGCCTGGAGCCACAGTATCCAGAGTATAGTACAGTCGTTCTCGAAATCGGCTTGACAGATACACTCTTCGTCACTCTTTCTGGCCCCACCGCCGAGGCCTTAGCGCAGATCAATTATTGAGCGGGCCGCATTAAATTGAGGGATACCTTAAGAGGCCCTTAGTATGGTATTGTATCTTGCTCGTAAGATTACACAATACGTACGAGAATTCAGTGGAATTCCATGGAAGCCGATAGTGGGCTTCGCTTCTGGAAATCATGCGGAGGGGGCCGCCTCGCACCTGGTTCCTGGACGATCTGCCAGGTGACTGGTGCTACGTGGACTGTAAGTACAAATGGATGAGCAAACAGGGCCTGCTCCTGCAGCTACGGCATCATGCGGACTCCAGATACTGAGGGTGTAGTCGTTGCCAGATTAGTCCGTCCAGCGCGTTTCGTCTTATGTCCTACTACTCTCGGATAACTAATACTAACACGGCAGCTTTACAACGTTTATTATCCAGCCGCGCTAAGTCCAGGGCGCTACTGTGTCGAGAATTGGGCAAAATTTCCATGGCTCTAATTTGAGAGATAATACGAGCTATATCATCAAAAATATAAATTCTTGGGCCCAAATTCAGAGTTGACATTAACCTAGATTATATCAGAATGCTGCGTAGGGAAGTCTGTGGTTACAGTACGTAGCGATTTCTTGACTAAGCAGCCTCTGTGGCAAAACCTAGCTAGTCACATGGATTGTCGACTCTATTAGTTATTACTGGAACTTTATAGAATATTCCTCAAAGAGGATAGAGTCGTATAAATTCTCATCTTCTCCCAGACCCTTCTTTTATAAAGAGATTAGAAAATAAAGGAAAGAGCGGAAACAAAAATCATTAACTCCTACATACGAAACTCGACAAACGAAATCCGCCCTGATACGTGTCCTAGGGCAAGTACATTACCGTTAATCTTGAAACAGCTAGGCCGAGACTCGATAGGAAGCCATAGAACCCTTTTGCCATTCAATGTTATCCATTGCTTGTGCTCAATAGAGATATCCAGAGTCGCATGAGGCGGATGAGACGTAGGAATGACACACCTAGATTGAATGTAAAGGGCGCCTAAGTTGGTGTGGAGGTATAAACCGTTATGGGAAAATTGGAGCGTAGTGACCATTTCTTCAACTTCGAGGGTCTGGGTGAGCACGCCCGTCGCCGGGTCCCAGAGCCGCACTGTCTCATCATTAGAGCCGGAAGCCAGTAGGCGGCCGTCGGACGAGAAGGCCACCGATCCAACCGAGCTGGAATGGCCTTCGAGGGTCTGGGTGAGCGCGCCCGTCGCCGGGTCCCAGAGCCGCACTGTCTCATCATAAGAGCCGGACGCCAGCAGGCGGCCGTCGGGCGAGAAGGCTACCGATCGAACCGGTCCGGAATGGCCTTTAAGGGTCTGGGTGAGCGCGCCCGTCGCCGGGTCCCAGAGCCGCACTGTCTTATCATCAGAGCCGGACGCCAGCAGGCGGCCGTCGGGCGAGAAGGCTACCGATCGAACCGGTCTAGAATGGCCTTTAAGGGTCTGGGTGAGCGCGCCCGTCGCCGGGTCCCAGAGCCGCACTGTCTCATCATTAGAGCCGGACGCCAGCAGGCGGCCGTCGGGCGAGAAGGCCACCGATCCAACTGATCTAGAATGGCCTTCGAGGGTCTGGGTAAGCGCGCCCGTCGCCGGGTCCCAGAGCCGCACTGTCTCATCATAAGAGCCGGAAGCCAGTAGGCGGCCGTCGGGCGAGAAGGCCACCGATCGAACCGGGCTGGAATGGCCTTCGAGGGTCTGGGTAAGCGCGCCCGTCGCCGGGTCCCAGAGCCGCACTGTCTCATCATTAGAGCCGGAAGCCAGTAGGCGGCCGTCGGACGAGAAGGCCACCGATCCAACCGAGCTGGAATGGCCTTCGAGGGTCTGGGTAAGCGCGCCCGTCGCCGGGTCCCAGAGCCGCACTGTCTCATTATTAGAGCCGGAAGCCAGTAGGCGGCCGTCGGACGAGAAGGCCACCGATCCAACCGAGCTGGAATGGCCTTCGAGGGTCTGGGTGAGCGCGCCCGTCGCCGGGTCCCAGAGCCGCACTGTCTCATCATAAGAGCCGGACGCCAGCAGGCGGCCGTCGGGCGAGAAGGCCACCGATCGAACCGGTCTAGAATGGCCTTCGAGGGTCTGGGTGAGCGCGTTCCATCCTTCCTCAACTTGTGGTAACTGACATATCCAAGTAGGAAGCGACCGCTTGAACTCTCTACGGATTATCCCCGTTCGGGGTGCAAATATAAGTCCTGCACAATAAACTTGAAGGGGGGCCTGATCAACTATCTGGCGATTTTTCAGAATAAAGCGCTTTGCATCGTGAAGGAAATCCGAAATCAGGGAAGAGTCGTTACCCTAAGGCTGTTAGTGCATACCATGTATGATTATCTTCGGAACTTACCGATATGGACATTTGGAGGCGATCAAGAATACCTAATACTTCTGACGTAAAGCCCAGTAGGCTCATTGCTTCCACCCAGTGCAAAAAGTGCACCTGGAGAAATAAATAAGCATTGTGCATCATGCCAGACAAGTCCGTGCATTGTAACAAATGATACGCCCAGTATTGACAGGCGTATTTCAGTTGGGGAGGTATATAATGCTGAATCGAATCATCGCTAATCTCATTCCTTTGCGTGCCTTCGCTTGGCAGTTTGCAGATGTTTTTCTCCAGGCTGTCCTGCATAATCTGACGGCATCGTTCTGCAAGAAACTGGTTTATATATTTTTCATCGATCCAGAATTTGCTTTTGTCTTGGTGGTGATCCAAAAGAAAATCTCGGAATGACAGATGGAGGAGCCTGACTGGCGTGTCGAAATTGTTTGGTACACTGAGCACCGAGTGGAGCTGGTCTAATCGACATTTGACATCATCTGACTCTATGTCTATTAGGTGGCTAAGGGAGTTGATCGAGAGCGGAGTGGCAAGAATAATGATCACCCCAACTATCTCCTTGAACTCTTCGAGTAATTTCTGTGACTCTGTTTCATTCTGGCCAGTGAGAAGTTGCTTTAGCACGGGAATATATGTGCTGTCCATCTTGGACACATAGGTTGATTGGTCTGTCAATATCGCTTCAAGTCGCTTTTGAGGGTTCCATTTTGCATCACCGATAAAACGACATAGGGTAGCAGCTGCAATGAATAGAGGGACGGCCCTATCAACCAATTCCTTAGTAGCTGCGTCTCCGGGCCAGTCTGGTGGAAACGAGCGCCTCTGTTTCAGGCGCACGAACTGATCCTCAAAATACAAGGATATGTCATGCTCTATCACTGGCTTTTCGATCTCATGTAGGACCAAATCCTGATGGGCATCGATGATCCCTTCGAAGCCCAGCCTGATCGGCAACTCAGGTCTGCTTGTCAATAAAAACCGTAGCTGCACGGAAGTTGACTTTCGAACTTGTGGCAAGAGCCGGAGAATAATCCCTATATCATCTTCTAACTCGCATTCATCTAGAGCATCAATCACGATCACTCTTCTTGTGGTCTCTTCGCGCTGCTCAATTCCAGATAGTGGATCCAGTAGAAGCTTTTCAAATTGTTCTCTTAACACCTTTTCCGAAATATTAGGGTCATCGTCAATTGCCTTTTGAACTCGAGGCAGCATTTGAGGTATACTGATGACCAGTTGCTCAGTCAATGTTGGGAAAAGCTTTTTTGCTGTTCCTCTGTCCTCTTCACCTCTCCGAAAGAAGAAGCTGGCCCCGAGAAGCTCCTGCTCTTGAAGACGGCTTGCAACTGTTTGGGAGATTGTTGATTTTCCTGTCCCTGCCATACCGTTCAACCAGAATATACATTTTCCGTGTGGCGATTTTGCCCACTCGTCGATTTCTCGAAGCAGGTCAATCCGGGTCCCCGGGAGACATTCACTATGTTGATTGTCGTAGGAATCGAATGCTGCTTGTTTTGCAGTCTGTAGTTTGCTAAGGTCTATCTTTTTGTGGATCGAATTGGTAGATCTCCTGAGTCAGTGTTAGAGTTGGCCTTTGATATAAATAATTAAGAGATCGGATTATGGTCCGGAGCCTACGTTTGGTCAACCTGTAAGGACAAAGCAAATGTTGTTTTGTACCACTCAAGCTCCATGATAGCAGAATCTACCTCCGACCGTGCGAGCGGCCATTTCAAGGCTCGAAGGCCCCATTTCCTCATCCGTCTTTGCGTCGTTTCCGGATTGATTTTCTCTTTTAAATTTGTAAGTGCTGAAGAGCATTTGGCAATATTGTCGACCAGGTCTTGCGTAGCAGTAAGTTCATTGCCATCAGATCCACGGATCAGCTCATCGAGAGATTGAAGAACTTGGGCAAGGGCGGCGATCTTCTCTTGGAAGCGCTGAATATCCTGCGTTGCGTTCTTGACGTTATTGAGATATTTTCCACATATTTGCACGATACCTCCGGTTAACTGGATAACTGCGATCACACTTGCTGCACCCGAAAGAGGATCCATGGTTAACAAGCCTTCCACGGTATTAATAATATCAAAAGTCAAAAGTAATACGTCGCAAAGGATGAAGGCAAAAGAGAGCTTATGCCCCTCAAAGAGGGGAAGGCGTCAAAGTGAGGCTAAGAGCAAAACTGTACCCTGATTGGCGCTTGCCCGATCGATTGAGTCACGTGACTACCACAAGGGGTCGTTCATTTCTGCCCAAGTGGAAACCCTTACAACCATTGGCTACGCCAGGCACAACTCAGTTCAAAATGGCATTCAATAGAATATTACGAATAAGGGACACTTGAGAGAGTAGGAAGATCGGTCTAGGGGCCTGTGAGTGTGTATTGGGGACTTGTTCTAGACCAAGACGCCCCGGAATGATTTCCAGAGGCCCACTATCGGCTTCCATTGAATTCCACTGAAGTCTCGTACGCATTGTGTAATCTTACGAACACGATAAAATACCATACTCAGGGCATCTTACGGTATTCCTCAATTTAATGCGGCCCGCTCATTGATTGATCTGCGCTAATGCCTTGGCGGTGGGGCCAGAAAAGAGTGTCGAACAGTGTATCTGTCAAGCCGATTTCGAGAACGACTGTATTGATCTAGTTGGACATAATACTTCGTTTTTGGGATAATAGAGGGGCATTGTGTGAGGCATTCTATGCTTATAATAGCGTGTGAATTATATATATCAAGCTAATAAAAGTGATGGAACTGGATCATGAATCTAAATCTATGCAAAGCTACCACTTACAGGGAGGATCGAAATCAGTTTCACCACTTGCGCACAGAGATTCTTTCTCGAACCCTCCTTCTAAACACGCTAATCTTAATCCTGCTTAGCCTCGTTTCAAGTGCCGATTTGTATTGAAAGCTCGTATTATACGTGTCTCGGCTTTGTAAATTACGTGAAACACGCTTGCACTTGATCCCGCCAAGTCTGCCCCTTGTGGTAACTCTCCACTCTTGCATCGGCTCCGTCCGTCCCTACATTTAGTAAGGACAGTTTCGAGTGATGTAGTCAAAAATCTCGCTTCATGTGTAATAAGGTGATCAGCAACAGAACACCTCTTCGAAGTTCAAACTTAAGGCAGAAATTGGCCCTGAAACTTAGGATATAAGAGTATATAACTGTAAAATGACATTGAACCTGTCCGTTTCCTACACAAGCAATGTTCGAGAAGTTAATAATTAAAGTATGCGAATAATGTAGTTCAAGTCTTTCCCTCTGCCTAGTCGAACACTTTCGAAGCAGATCAATAGCTACAGTATACCATCATGACCGGAAGATTTCCAAGTGAAAGCGGAAAGGCCTTGATGAGTTCGGTCTTTCGAATTTCATCGCCTGTATCCGGAGCTTCTCAGCTCCACCAGCCCTGGTTCAAATTAACCCACGCCGAATTGAATAAAGATATTACCTACGATCAAATCCGATTTACACAAAGTTTCCATAGGTAGACTAAGGATGTTCCCGACGGTGTTTGACAATCATACAGATAAAGGGCAATATCAAGTTCCAACATGTTTGTGGATCCCATCGGGACTGTCGTTCATTTGACATATGTAATCACAGAAGAATTTACAAAGTTTGTTCAGAAGGTCCGGAGTCTTTGAGAGAAAGATTCTCAACCAGGTTTCTCGGAGCCACAAAGCCGGACTACGGTGAAGGCAATGTGATAGCGCCTCTTCTTTGAAGCATATTGACAATGCCGTGATGGCCTCGCTGTGAGGCAGCCTGGAGAGCGTTGCCATACCTGCCGCCCTGCGCGTTGACATCTGCTCCCTTGTTCAAAAGCAGGTTGACAATCTCTTGATAGCCTCCTAGTGAGGCAGCCTGGAGAGCGTTGCCATACTCGCCGCCCTGCGCGTTGACATCTGCTCCCTTGTTCAAAAGCAGGTTGACAATCTCTTGATAGCCACCATCTGAGGCAGCCTGGAGAGCGTTGCCATACCTGCCGCCCTGCGCGTTGACATCTGGTCCCTTGTTCAAAAGCAGGTTGACAATCTCTTGATAGCCTCCCTGTGAGGCAGCCTGGAGAGCGTTGCCATAGGTGCCGCCCTGCGCGTTGACATCTGCTCCCTTGTTCAAAAGCAGGTTGACAATCTCTTGATAGCCACCATCTGAGGCAGCCTGGAGAGCGTTGCCATAGGTGCCGCCCTGCGCGTTGACATCTGCTCCCTTGTTCAAAAGCAGGTTGACAATCTCTTGATAGCCTCCTAGTGAGGCAGCCTGGAGAGCGTTGCCATACTCGCCGCCCTGCGCGTTGACATCTGCTCCCTTGTTCAAAAGCAGGTTGACAATCTCTTGATAGCCACCATCTGAGGCAGCCTGGAGAGCGTTGCCATAGGTGCCGCCCTGCGCGTTGACATCTGCTCCCTTGTTCAAAAGCAGGTTGACAATCTCTTGATAGCCTCCTAGTGAGGCAGCCTGGAGAGCGTTGCCATACTCGCCGCCCTGCGCGTTGACATCTGCTCCCTTGTTCAAAAGCAGGTTGACAATCTCTTGATAGCCACCATCTGAGGCAGCCTGGAGAGCGTTGCCATAGGTGCCGCCCTGCGCGTTGACATCTGCTCCCTTGTTCAAAAGCAGGTTGACAATCTCTTGATAGCCTCCTAGTGAGGCAGCCTGGAGAGCGTTGCCATACTCGCCGCCCTGCGCGTTGACATCTGCTCCCTTGTTCAAAAGCAGGTTGACAATCTCTTGATAGCCACCATCTGAGGCAGCCTGGAGAGCGTTGCCATACTCGCCGCCCTGCGCGTTGAGATCTGCTCCCTTGTTCAAAAGCAGGTTGACAATCTCTTGATGGCCTCCCTGTGAGGCAGCCTGGAGAGCGTTGCCATAGGTGCCGCCCTGCGCGTTGACATCTGCTCCCTTGTTCAAAAGTAGGTTGACAATCTCTTGATGGCCTCCCTGTGAGGCAGCCTGGAGAGCGTTGCCATACCTGCCGCCCTGCGCGTTGACATCTGCTCCCTTGTTCAAAAGCAGGTTGACAATCTCTTGATAGCCTCTTAGTGAGGCAGCCTGGAGAGCGTTGCCATACTCGCCGCCCTGCGCGTTGACATCTGCTCCCTTGTTCAAAAGCAGGTTGACAATCTCTTGATAGCCACCATCTGAGGCAGCCTGGAGAGCGTTGCCATACCTGCCGCCCTGCGCGTTAACATCTGCTCCCTTATTCAAAAGCAGGTTGACAATCTCTTGATAGCCACCATCTGAGGCAGCCTGGAGAGCGTTGCCATACCTGCCGCCCTGCGCGTTGACATCTGCTCCCTTGTTCAAAAGCAGGTTGACAATCTCTTGATGGCCTCCTAGTGAGGCAGCCTGGAGAGCGTTGCCATACCTGCCGCCCTGCGCGTTGAGATCTGCTCCCTTGTTCAAAAGCAGGTTGACAATCTCTTGATAGCCTCTTAGTGAGGCAGCCTGGAGAGCGTTGCCATACTCGCCGCCCTGCGCGTTAACATCTGCTCCCTTGTTCAAAAGCAGGTTGACAATCTCTTGATAGCCACCATCTGAGGCAGCCTGGAGAGCGTTGCCATACTCGCCGCCCTGCGCGTTGACATCTGCTCCCTTGTTCAAAAGCAGGTTGACAATCTCTTGATAGCCTCTTAGTGAGGCAGCCTGGAGAGCGTTGCCATACTCGCCGCCCTGCGCGTTGACATCTGCTCCCTTGTTCAAAAGCAGGTTGACAATCTCTTGATGGCCTCCCTGTGAGGCAGCCTGGAGAGCGTTGCCATACTCGCCGCCCTGCGCGTTGACATCTGCTCCCTTGTTCAAAAGCAGGTTGACAATCTCTTGATAGCCTCCTAGTGAGGCAGCCTGGAGAGCGTTGCCATAGTAGCCGCCCTGCGCGTTGACATCTGCTCCCTTATCAATAAGATCGCGTGCAGGCACTCCAAGTCCATTAAAACAAGCATAGTAGAGCCTAGAGCCGCGCGCAGCTCCAGGGCTATCGTCCCAACTCCTATCAGCCTGATGCAAACGAGCCCATCTTTGAAATGTCTCTTCCGTTTCTAGAAAGCTCACTATTCTTTGGGTAATCTCCTCGTAGGCCAGTGTTAACGTAGCATGGTATGTCCAATGTTCGGCCGCATATCTTGCCATCGGAAAATACCGCGTTATCTCTCTTTCGCTACCGTTGATGTCTGTCAGATATATCAAGCACGTCCTCGTGATGGAAATGCTGGCAGTCGTAATCTGGAATTGGTCATGTCTGAGAAGGTACTCTTCCACAGAAAAATGGGCAAGATGCAACTCTTTATCATTGTTATAGATGACTGTCACTAAGCTGGGACAGTAAGCTAAGATATCAGTCTCGCAAAACAATCGACGCTTTATGTCAAACCCTCGTGACTCGTCTTCAATCTGCGTCGCTATCACTTCTTTAACCTCAGCCAGCGTTAGAGGTCGCTTGGAATGCACTAGGAATTGGAGAAGCCGTATCGCGTCAGTTTTTAACTCCGATGGTATACTTTCAAATATACGCTCGTATGTCTCGTTGAGATCCAGCGGCAAAGATTCAAGAGCCTCCTCCATAGCTGCCTCGTGACGACATCGAGCCAGGCTGTCTAGCTGACAGAACGCCCACCTAAACCTAATCAAGGCGTCAGTAAGCTATCATTATATTGCTCGAAGCAGTGATTACTCACATCCCGTCGGCGCCGTCGCCAACCTTTTTCCGGATCTCTTCCAGAAGGTTCGGGGACAAGGGCTTCTCTGTAAAATCACGCCGTTGAGAAAGTTGTGCTATGACCCACGATCGAATATCGGAGTTGATGGCTTGCTTATCAAGTGCCAGGCTGTTTTGCTTTCCTATTAAGGGGGGAATGTCGCGCAGAAACTCGGATTCAGGTCGACCGGTAAGAAGCAGCTGAACATGGACCAACTCTGGCCTGGACACCATATCCTTAATCCACCCGAGCACAGCGTCCCTTGTTTTCGATTCATCCAATGCGTCCAGAACAATAGAGACCTTCCTCTGAGCTACGAGCATCTTGAAAACAACACTCCAAAGCACCTTTGTCGTAGGTTGGTCGCTGCCATTTCGGTGCGCCTGGAACAAAGCATCGAGATGGTTTGCGGAGTCCACCCCACGGCGGTAAAGCTGGAAAGCAAGCGAGCGCAGCATGCCTTCCAATGTCTGTTTTGCGACGTCGTTAAAGTCAAAGAAGAAGCTAAGGATAAGATCGTCGTTTTGGTTTGCGAGATGATCAAGCACAGTGGTACTAAGAACCGACTTTCCACACCCCGCGAGCCCGTGCAGCCATAACTGTCGACGTGACCCCGAGTGCCACTCTTGGAAGACGGGCGATTCGAGCAGCCACGCGCCAGTCCCCTCATGGCGGAGCGTCCTAGCATGGCTGGCGTTTGAAGATGGATCCGGGGGACAAAGCCAGCGCTTGATCTCACTGGTATGAAGGTCAGATCTGATAGAATCTGCAGTGGCTCTTGTTGCAGCTGTTGTCTGCTGCATGCTATCGATCTGCAGTTGCACTACTCGCACCACTCGCAGTCAGAATATATTTCCAAATTCAAATGTTATTCGTCTCGGTTATTTGCTGGTATTTTGGACACCTGCAAACGATCTATTCAGGTAGGTATGTACTGACCCTTTTCCAAAATAGCCTTTGCTGTATCCTCCGTATCAACAACACTAGGCTGCACACATCCCAAAAGTTCCTTTGCGTACGCAGCGGCCACGGCTGCCGCATATTCTTGCCAGGTTTTCTCTTTTCCCGAGTCCGCGTAGTCACAAATGCCTCGGATAACAATACATGGGAAGTCATTCATGAGCCCAGCTGCCTCCATCTCCACGCATAGTAAGCGCCCGCCGTATTTTTTGTCAAGGAGGTCTCGGGATTGGGCATCCTTAATCACTTTGTTCCCGGATGCGATCAGGCCATAGTGTACCCTGACATCTCTTGGGGCCCTTGCACCCTCTGCCTTCTCTGATACCCGCACATTCTCCTCATTTACCGGATTAATGGCCCATGAACCAAGAAGATATGCGATAATCGCGATGATCGCCTGCCACAACCAAGACAGGAAATAGACTTCCCTCGGAGTCCGGAACCGCTCGGATACCAATAATGGGTCTTGCAAGGCCTCGCACCGCGTATATTTTGGCGCTAGCCGCGGGAATTTCCTTTCCATATCGTCCAGGTACTCATTTATCTTTGATCCGTACATCTCATGGTTACTTTTCAGCTGGTTCGAGGCATTGAGTAGCGCGTTCGGAGGTCGGTTCAGCGAGCCCGTGTGGACAAACCGCCCATCCCGTTCCAGCTTCCCTATATCCCATTGTATCACCCCGTGATAGTCAGCAACAGGTTGACTGACCACCACATCACCCAGACTGACCTTTGACGGAATTCCGCCGCCAATCCCTACCATAAGCCCGAACCTGATTGATTGGAACGTGTTGATCATTGAGGTCGCGACGGTTGCGGCAGAATTGGTTCCCATGTTAGGTAGGCAGGCTATGACGACGTTGTGGCCGCGTATCGAGCCAAGAGTATATGCGTTATGATCATTTCGAGGGGTCGGGAGAGGTTCGTGCTCTTTATCTAGCATGGCTCTGGCTGCTGTTTGTTCTTTTGGAAGGGCGCACACCCATCCGATGGTATAGGCATCGTGTTGGAGTCGCTTTCGGCATGGTGGTGTGTCGGGACTAGCTTTGTTCTGTCCTGACACTGATTGCTCTGGCTGAGATTGGGAATTCTCAGCCATAATGGATGAAGAACAGCTCGACTAACCACGCGATGTGTTAATCAAGCACTTTCTCTTCCAGCAGAAGACACTAAGAAGTAGCTCTTTTCAGAAAGTTCTAATGTGGTTTATTACGAGAATCTCAGTAGGACTCTAACGAACTGAAAGAGGGGGAACTTCCTCAGCCTCGTCATCATGTGACTCTAGCGCGATCAGCTAGGAAGATTAATTGCACCTTTCAGCTTGACCACACCGCTTTCTGAATGGTTTTGTGTCGATTTCACTTCCACGTGGGGGCGGGTAATGACGTTCCCAGGAACGGGTCTACCCGATTCCAAAAGTCAGATCGAATGAGGGCCCTGTTACTGTGACCAGCCAGCGTTTTCCAGATAAAATATCTGACCCTCATCGCTTGAAGAGGTCACTGCTTTCTAGCAATTAAAGTGCACATTTTAAGAAGTGCTGGATCACAGTTGGTGATTAGCATAACCGAGGGATGATGTGCCATTTTGTTTAATCATCTTTTTCTGAGGTCCGCAACTTTGAGATGTGCTGCTAGGCTCCCAGGGACTACGAGATCGTTATGTCACGTGCATATCCTAATACCTAGCATCCCCCAGGCTTTTCACCCAAAATTATTTCACCTGCTCACTGAGCAAAGGGGTGAGCAAAGGTGAGCAGATAGAGTCGCTCCCCACCCCCGTCGCCCTCCTAAAGCTCTCCTCTGTCAACGTCCAGAATTCTCTTCGCAATATGGCGCCAAGACTCCCTCTCTCCAAGCTCGAAATGGTCCAGAACATGATATCAAGCAAATCGCTGACTACCTCGCAAATGGCTAAAGCTGCTGAATGTAGTAAGCGTTCTATAATCAACATCAGCAATAACCTCCGCCGATTCGGAAATGTCAGAGCACCCCCAACTCGAGTCGGTCGACGACGAAGCATCACACCTCCGATGATAGAAGCACTATGTGATCGCCTCCTCGAAAAACCCGGGCTATACGTGGACGAGATGGCAATATTTCTATGGGACGAGTTCCGTGTTCAGGTCACAAATTCGAGCCTCAAGCGGGCTCTCGCATCGGTAAATTGGTCGAAGAAGGTGGCTCGACAGAGAGCAAAGGAACAGAATGCGGATTTACGAGATTCCTATTTGCACTATCTGTCGGACTTTAAGTCGTATCACTTAGTCTATGTGGATGAGTCTGGATGTGATAAACGGATCGGGTTTAGACGGACAGGTTGGTCTCCGTTAGGCACAGCGCCATTGCAGGTAGCCAACTTTCACCGCGACCAACGGTACCAGATCTTGCCTGCGTATTGCCAAGATGGGATCGTACTCTCTCGTGTTTTCCAGGGCTCCACCGACGCTGCATTATTTGAGGACTTCATTAATCAGCTTCTAAGGCATTGTGGAAGATGGCCTGAGCCAAAGTCCGTTCTAGTCATGGACAACGCGTCTTTTCATCGTTCTGATCGTATCGATGCAATGTGCACTGCAGCAGGAGTTAAGCTAGTGTATCTGCCACCGTACTCACCCGACCTGAATCCGATCGAGGAGTTTTTCTCGGAGTTGAAAGCATTCATTAGACGGAACTGGGTACGGTATGAGGAAAACTCAGAACAAGGGTTTCAAACCTTCCTCGACTGGTGTATTGAGGTTGTTGGGTCTCGAAAACAAAGTGCTTTGGGTCATTTTAGACATTCTGGCGTTGATATCCAGGCTCAGAATTCAATGACTAGACCAGCGATATAGGAACGTCACATATATATATATATGTACTATGGACTGCTAATGAAACCCACCTGAGGCTCTACTCATTTTCCGTCTACCGTTATATCCTATTTATATTCTGAAGTAGATATTCGAAACAAGTACTGTAGTTCAATAACAAATATCGCGATTCTCCTAGCCACTATTGTATGCTTCTTTAGAGTACTATCTATATACACTCAATCGGCGAAATATTCCTCATACTTCTGACCCATTTCACCACATCTCTTACGAATTGACGGGCAATACCCACCATGATCCCTTGATCGATAAAGAATGACGGATCTTGGTCCTCGTAGATTAGCTGAAGATCGAAACCATTCGCCAGTGCGATATCGCATACTTGACGAAACTGAGCTTTTAAATGGTCATCAGCGACATTCGCCTCATGCCATGCGCTATACTCTCTGACCGCAACATCTCGAAGTCCAGGAATATTAAAGTCGTCATTGACTTGGGCCTTTGGTGACGAAGGCATTGCTGGGGATGCGGAGGATCCGGGCGTCTCCAGTTGAGAGGAAGGTTGCACCCCATTAAAATGTATATTGATGGGACAACTTCCTGGGATACTGGACAAATCTTTTTTCTTGGATTGTTGGTTCTCCAGCCGCTGCTGCTCTTCCATGAATAGTTCTTCACGAAAGATTTCCGGGACGTCTTCATGAGACTGCAGGGTGTTGCCTTTTTCCACAAAGGCAATTAAACGTTTTAAATGGTGGCTCCTCAGCGCATAGTGCTTTTTCCCGTGTGGGTCTTGCCAGCAATGTGGGCCAAGATGGCATGATGAAGAAGGACAACGCATCAGGTTGTACACAGCTCGCCAAACGGATTCTTGCCCAGATGAATTCTCTTCGGCATCCACTTGAACGTCTAGTTCGTTGAGCATCCGTTTAGTGACCGATGACCTTCCTCTTTTTTCGACCCTGCCTGAGGCAGTTTTAGAGAGACGGTCGTCCTCAACATATTTAAAGGTAATACTTAACCTCAGTTTCTTGCCTCGACGGCACAGTTCGCCCCACCTGAGCAGTTGCTTTTCCACGGCAGTCCAATCGATGTCGAGATGGTCAAATCGTTTCGTCAGGTCGCGTTGGGAGCGATCATTCACCGACACGACGATCGAGGTGTCGTCCGACTTTACCCTTCCTTTACCGGGGGTCTTTCCATCTAACAACTTTTCCAACTTACCCTTCAGGGTCGTCGGCCAGTAGGCACTCGGAGTCAGGGCTACGTCCTCTTCAGTGTCCCGCGAGAGCACTTTCTTATTCACGGTGACTTTCCACTCTATCGTATATTGGATGCAGTTTGCCGGCAGTTCGTTACTTGACATTCCCTCATACCATTCGGATAGCTCAAGTAGTCGAGGAGGTTGTGATTGCTGTTGTGACAGGACTTCCGGATCGTTTTCGAAGTGATAGTCGAGGGAAGGGCTGCGCCCATAACTTGACGCAGGCGTGCGACCGTAGAATCCTGGAGTGGGGGCATATTGCGAATCTTGATCCCCAAGTTCGAGGTCATGCGGCTGAGAATCATGGTCATTAGGACACGAATTAGCAGTCATCTTGCTCGTTTCAAGGCTCTAGCAGATCCAACATCAGCATGATCACGACCAGTCAGTTCAGGAGATGCTAGTCCCCAATCAGAAGGCCAAGCCTGTTACAAGAAGCAAAAAATATTACCCACTAGTACTGTCTCTATACAACTCGTTCGTTCACAGTGGTCACTCTAGAGGGCAAGTGGTTGGCAGAATGGGGATTCTAACTCCTGCCACGTCTCCAAATGAGCTGCAGGCATTCGTTTGTTTGGCTTGTTTGCTAGATCAACGTTCTAGAATCCCTGGAGACCATACGAGTCAAATACAGAAGCTATTTTAAGCTGTTATTTACGATTGTATCGGAATACTGCCAAGAAAGGGGTTCAGGGGAAGAGTAACCGTAATAGGTATAGTGTGTTTCGACAGAGGGTTCGAGAAAGAATTTCTGTGAAGAAGTGGTGAAACTGATTTCGATCCATCCTGTATTCCAATGGGGGGTCTTCCTATTGATTTCTTATCTCTCCCACCCACTTAATGATATCACCGACAAAGCGGCGTGCAATACCTACCGCAATTCCTTCTTGAACAAAAAATTCCGGATTTTGATCCTCGTGAATCTGCTCAAGGTCCAGACCGTTGGCGAGCGTGACATCACAAGCCAACTGGAATTGAGCCCTCAAATTTGCATCGATGACATTTGTTTCTTGCCAGGCGCTGTATTCCTTCACAGCCACATCCCGTGGGCCATCAATTGTGAGAAGAATAAATCTATGCTGTTTCTGATGGGAAGACATTTCGGATTGTGGGATACAATCAACTGCTGCTGGTTGTATAGAAGATTGTCCTCCCATGAAATTGATGTTGATAGGTGGGCAGTTTCCGGGAGTGAGCGATTTGTTGTTCTTGGACTGTGAATGCTCTATCTTCTGCTGTTCTTCCATATATAACTCTTCCCGAACAGCATCGGGAACATCATCTTGGCACTCTAAAACACCCCCAGCATCAACATACGCAATCAGGCGTTTCAAATGATGCGTTCTCAATTGGTAGTGTTTCTTTCCATGAGGATCCTGCCAGCAATGCGGCCCAAGATGGCAGGATGGTAAAGGACAACGCATTAAGCTATAGACAGCCCGCCAGATGGACTGCTCTCCAGATACATGCTCTTCAGCATCAAGTTGTGCATCACGCTCGCTAAGCATTCTCTTCGTCACTGAAGACTTCCCTCGTTTTTCACCCCTACCTGCTGCACCCCTGGAAAGATTATCGTCCTCTGTATAGTTGAAAGTAATAATTACCCTCAGTTCCTTGCCTCGAGTGTGAAGTTTACCCCAAGTAATTAGTTGCTCCTCCACTGCAGTCCAATCAATATCAAGGGATTGAAACCAGAATTTTTCGTTCTTGTGTTTGCGATCGTTGACCGACATGACTACAAGCGTGCCATCCGATCTCACCCTTCGGCTACGTGGGATCCGCTCTTGAAGCACGTTCTCCAACTTAGGCCTCAGGACCGAAGGCCAATAGGCACTTGGTGTCAGGGTCACATTCTTTATCGTGTCCTCCCACCGGAACCGGTTGTTCACCTTCACTTTCCACTCGATTGTATACCGAATAAAGGTCGGTGGAAACTCGTCATCTGATCTACTTGCTTCCCACTCACCGACTTGAAGAAGTCTTGGTGTTTCTTGCGGGGCGCAGATCGAGGCTACGGGACTGCCCTGGGGATAGCGATCCGGGGTAGGGCTGAACTCAAAATGCGAGTGTAGTGTCTCGTTATAGTATCCTGGAGTGGGGGCGTATTGTGAATCCTGGTCCGAGAGATCGGGGGCATAGGGCTGAGCGCTATCACGGTCACAGAATGAGCCATTAATCATGGTGAACGGTTCCTGTTCAATTCAACGTTAGCACGGTTTGGCTTCCAGGTTCAACAGGCGGTGGGTTCGATGATTGAGGGCTGCAAGTTGATGGAGAGTCGATGATAAACGCATTGTAATGAAGACCCCACCAGTTCCTTTCTTTTTCAATCTGCGTATTTTCGTTCGCTATCCGCTTGGATCTACCGTGGGGGTTTGGATGAATGTTGGAATGCAAGCTAGAGAGGTGGCCAGACAACCGACTGCATTGTTTGACTTGTTTGCAATCAGTTGGTTCTAGAAAACAAAATCGTCCGTACAGCACGTTACGGAATCTATTTTTATTCGTTTATTTACGCCTGTATAAGAATACCGCCGCATAGTGGGTCAGGAGTAGTCTAGCCTAAACCGGTATAGTGCAATGCAAGACAAGGTTTCGAAAAGTTTTAAAGAGAGTAAACAAGTGAAGCTGATTTCGAGCGGCCCTGTAGGCACACAGAATCAAGGGATTCATTCGAGGGCTAGCAAATACTTGCTTGAAGTATTGCGGCGGTGCAAAGCTTTGCAGTAACTTTGACCCTTAGTGGCTAGAACCAGAGCTTTGTGAGCGAGACTCTTGGTTTGAACGGGATTGATTTTGATTTCCCCCAGCTGCACCGATACCTTCCGATCCACTCAGCCTAATATTGTCGATGATCCGTTGACAATACCTGAACACGTCGTCCGTTGTCAACTTGCTTCCTGGATCCTTTTCTTCTTCGAGGCCATCATTTTTGATATCAATAAACCTCTTTAGCTCCGGAACCTCAGTCAATTCGATGGTAATGATCATCATCATATGTTAGGGAACCATATATCCTTCAGATCATATGCTGCCATGTATCGGTCCTTGACAGCATTGATAAACTCTTCAATTGTATTGAAATCTGTACGTCGGGTACGGAAGAATTTTATTTTGGCAACAGTGATAGCAGCATGTCCTTCACCTTTGAAGTACCGCTTACACTCCCTCATGAATGTATCCGCCCATCTGATATCCCCGCTTCGCATTCTGATTTGACGACTGAGTGCGGGATCAAGGCTATAAGGATGCCTACCGAAGAAGATGCAGTTATTACCGTGATGTATGGGCTAAGTGTAATTCCTGATACCCTTACCATGGAAGAAGCCCAGGTAGAAATGGGGATACAGATGCGGATGCCAGCATCGATAGCGAGAATAGCTCTCCACGATGATATCGAAAATGCTGAGTAGATCCAGGAAAATGCAGATGCAGATGTAGGAGATGCAGAAGTTGAAAAGTAGGTTGAAAAGCAGAGGGAGAAAACACTAATGCAGGCAAATTCAACGCAGGCAAATTGAAAATCAGGTCCTGATTTTCAAAAATCATCTGATATACTACCAGGCATGCCTTTAACACCTGAATCATTTATACCTGGAAGCTTCCCCTCCTCACCACCGAGAAGATCTCTATCAAATTTTATCCACTCCACACCTACCCCATCGAATACCCCATCGAATACTGCATCAAATACTGCATCAAATACTGCATCAAATACTGCATCAAATACTGCATCAAATACTGCATCAAATACTGCATCAAATACTGCATCAAATACTGCATCAAATACTGCAGTAAATGCATCGAATCCATCGAGATCCAACCTCTGAGATACGCTACGATCGGATGGATCTTGGGCGGGGGGAGGAAATACACTGCAGGAGCATGAAAATCAGGACTTCGAAGATGAAGATTTTGATGAAGAAGAAGTTGAGCGTCAAATGATAAGAGAAATGTCATACTCTCAGTCCCCTAGACTAATTATATATGCCTTTCTTGATGATGCATTCGCAAGCCCGCATATCAAATGCCCTCGAGATATTTGGCGGTTCACAAAAGTTCCAGATTATCGCCACAGCACTCCTATTCATTTGAAGGATAGCCTAAAGGAGATCCATGTTTTCAGGCGCGCTGTAAGGACAGAATCTGGAGCTTGGACCACGGACCGTAAGGTCGACTTTTCATGTTCGCAGGCACAGGAGTACGAAAAGAAGGCTAGCGCAAAGGCTGGATTCGCAGATGAGGGATCACTCTATAAATACCGCAAAGGGGCAGCTGAAAACTTGAGTATGGCCATAAGAATCTAGAGATCGAGAAGTTGAATGCTAATAAAGTTTAGGGAATCTCGATGAACACTCACGTAATATAATAATGGGTCATCAAAAAAGTGCAACGTTTTCAAATTATATATCTGTGTTTAATGACACTCAATCCATTTTCATGCAAACTCCGACTAGGGATTCTTTGTTGAATCTCGTATGCCATGGAAATTTAACACGAGGTAAGTCTTGAGAGCAGCGCCTTTTTAATAGAGAGCCAATGAGCAAGGTCAATATGGCATTGCCCGTTTCTTGCGCGCTGGGTTGTTCTGGATGGTAGAAACCTGCCTTTCCTTGCACAGTTCATCTACATAAGCTTATATGTTCTCCAGTGTTTCCCCTAATTATTGGATCTTGTTTTTGAGAGCTGTGTTTTCGCTCATTAATGTCACGTTTTCAGTTAATACGTCGGCAAAGCTATCCTATGTAATGTCATTGATAAAGCGTTCGATTTTTCTATTAGTCTGGTTAGCATATTGATTTGCTCACTTGGAAAGCAGGCTTCGAGCCCAGGAAGGTACTGCAGCAGGGATCTGCCAGATTACTAAGAAGGCTGTGGAACTCACTTGATTCGCTTGTTAAGGCTGCCAATCTCAAAGTCAGCACAACAAGACCAGCCACTGTAATGTAAGGTAGGAGCTCACTCTTAGCTTTGCTGGGTTGACCGCGAAGATTGCTGTGCTGGTGTGAACTTCAATTCAGCCACTATTCATCCTGTGCGTGGGCCTTGACCACAAACGATGTTACCTTTCTTATCCTTGGTATAGGTTGCTAGATCGGGGGTTTCTTTGAGGTAAGACGATGTTATTCTTGTTGGTTGTTGCTCTTCCTCTGGAGGCATCAAGCCTGCGAATTTTGCTTCGTAACCACCTGGTTGATAACTGGATCATAGAATTTGCGTGTACGACATTGAAAGAACGTGACAGATTTGAAGGAACGTTCAGGTAAGTTCAGAATAGGGAGGACGAGGAGAAGGTCGGGGAAAGAGAGGAACGTAGGTGGAAGAATGCGCCATTTCATTCGCACCTGCGTAGCGCTTTCCGCTTCCTCTTTGGACTGCTTACCTTCCCAATTGGGTAGTTTTCTACCTGTTTCTATTGCTGGGGTATACTTGGTGGTAGAATTAGGTCCAATTGTGCTGGAACAGGCTTAATAAACCAGAATAGAGTGATTTTATCCAATAAAATCGACTGATTTGATCTGATTTGATCAGATAATCGATGCTTGCAAGGAACCTTGGGCGGTAGGCCTATTGAGGTATTTTCCTAAAGAAGGTATTAATTATTACCAGATCATGTTTGATCTTCAGTTGTTTTATTCAGTGAGGAGGTACGCGGACAGCGGCGGCTCTGCCAATATAAACCATAGAGCCGCTTGTACCCTATACGCGGCCGTTGCTGATACTTAAGGTAACATCATTATCGTCGTAACACAATGCCGTGACTAGCAAATATATCTAGGTTCAGGTATTTGGGGTAATATAGGTATCACCATACGTTTTCTTCGGCGACCAATATAGATCGGTCTCAAACAGGCCGACCGATAAAAAGCCAGACCCTCAGTGTCAAATAGAGCCATCTCCATTGAGTTGTATACAGAAGGGGTAAACATTGAGAATCATAAACTCGCAACATTCCGTGACGCTCTCGAGGCAGCTGCCATACGATGTACAAATTTCCAGCAATACGAAACATGTTGCGAGGGTTCGGACCTCGAAGTGTGTGCTAGTCGGGTCGTATATCCTATCGAATCATTAGCCCACCTGGACAACCGCTAAGGCTACCGCTATATCTTACCTGGTAGTTTCTCGTTTGCTCTATCCGAGTCATTTGTCAAGCGACGGTATTCCGAAACGGCCAGCTGCTCCAGCGCATGAATCAAATAGCGAGTTTTTGTGCGGGAGCCTTTAGGTGTGAAGATTGGAAGAGATGGTAAGCAAGATCTCCGAGCTTCTTCGCGTCGGACTCGTAACGGAGCTTCTCCCGAGCTAGAGGTCTCGGACAGAGTTTCTTGTATCGAGTGATATTCCCGTAACAGGTAATTTTGTTTGCATCTCAATGCCTCGCCTGTTCGTTTCACGCCGAACTGCCTAAGGTATACCCTGGATCTTTCCTTCCAAGATATCCCTCGGTGACGATGCAACCAGGAAAGGAGGTTCCTTTTTTCCCATAAAGACCAGGCGATCTTGTCGGTTTTAGATATTTTCGATCTAGACATCTAGACAACAGATTATTCACTGAACGAGGATAGCAGTACAAGGCGAGTTAGTGTAAAGCTCGGATAAAGTAAAAATTGTGAAAGGAAGTCGGTCGAACTTAGGGATGGTCACAGGTTTATTTAGGATAGGAAAGTTCTGAGGCGGCCTTGATTAATTGCGGTCTTCCGTTATAACTACGAGTGCGGGCTTACCCGACAAGACCCTAGTCGAATAGTTCTCCACCAGATATATCCTGACCTGGTCGGTCTTTGGCTTCTGGGTAGATAGATTCCGAGGGATAACAGTGACTGCGAATAAGGAAAGTGCTGTATAATGCTGTTACTAGGTTATTCATAGGCTGTTCAAGTTGGCGGAAGAGGCCTTCGGTTTTGTGAGGTAAAAGTGGTCGTCTGTCAGTACACTACACCGGTTGAGAAACGGTCTATATCCGAGGTTATTTATCGCCTTCGGGATAATTATTACGCCCAGTCATATTTTCGTTGTAATTCGGTCATGGGTATAAGCCTCTTCCGGACAGGCTACGGCCTTTCGCGACGATCTGCGTGTAAAAGTGAAGTCGTCCGGGATAAAAACATAAAAATATAAAAATTAATTTTATTATCACTATAAACGATAATTTTACTAATAACAAATAATAAATCAACGTAAAAAATAGTGGTATGATCTCTAGCTAAACAGACGCAAAACAAAATAAAATATGAAAATAAATAATAATATAAATAATAATATAAATAATAATATAAATAATATATTAAAGTGATAAAACTTGACACCTGGGGAATGCATAGGCTATATTCAACGGCCATATCACCTGCTAAGATTACCTTTCTCTTTTTCTTTTCTTTTTTTTTTTTTTTTTTTCCCCCTAAAGAGGTACACTCAGAAACTTGACAGGGAGAGGGGCCCTTGTTAGTGGAAATGGATGAAATTACTCAAACCTTATTGATTTGAGAATATCGGGAGATACTGAGCTCAGGAAATTATTGCTAGACTTGTTTGGGTACGGTCACTTTTCACTTCGAATCTTTAAAGGATCAAATTCTCCCGTTTCTTACTATTCCCCATTCCTCATTTCACAGTCTCTCCCCTAAGCCCCCTGCTTGACTTCAAGACAGTTGCAATGGGTGACCGGAGAAATTCGCAGCGGTATGTAGACCGAATGTCTCAATTGCTTTCATCAGGTTTACCTGAACCAAACAATATTGGGAGCCCCCGTACGTCAATCGCCGGCTCTGTAGACGACGATTGCCATTCCCAACAGACTAAAGAATCCGATGACGATAGCAAGGCTACCTCTATGGATAGATACAGTGATAAAAAGGGAACTCAGGGACAACAGGCCAAGGAACAGACCAAGGAACGGGCTTTGGGTGGAGCTAGATCCGCAAAGTCAATGGTGAAAATGATCGAATGTGTGGCAGAGTGAGTCTGGAACTTTTGCCTTCTCAGATATCGTATACTAACGGCTTGATTATAGATTGGATGAACGGGTGCAGTAGGTTTCCCTCGGAGATAGGACCAGAATCCCAACACTGACACGCTTTAGATCTAATGCAGAGTCGCTCAAGGACCAGGACCTGTGGAATCAGGGAATGCAGCGAAAGTATTTGGATATGATTGGTGCTATGGACAGGTTGAGTAAAGAAGTGGCCGCGTTAAGGAAACAAGTGGAGGTTTTGTCAAGTGGAGATACAGTCAAAAGTCGAGAGACTGTGGGTTCGAAGCGTCAAAGGCAGTGAGGGAATACCACTATCTTCCATAGAGACCTGAAACGAATTATTAAGAACTTTGTTTGCACGCGAGATAATCCTTTGCCCTTCTCCTGCGGGTACAGAGGGTTGTATATCGCTTTCGGTCAAGTTCGGCGCGAGAACCGCAATTTGTGACGTACTATGATATCGATTTATTATCGTGGGGGTGAGTTCGGTACTGTTATGTTATTGATTGAGGATAATTATAATGCTCATTTTAGACATTGATGGAGTGGTCTAGACGGTAGGAAAGGTCTACGATTTGTCCGGGGAAAAGCTCTGTCGTGCCCGGATTGACTTTTCTTAGCGTATCCACCGTTCCCTACAGATCCACGCACGAGGGGTAGTTTTATCATCTTTATCAATCAAGCCAATTATATCCCTAAGCCACAATATCGCGGTGGTCTACGGCGAATCAGAGCACGTCTATCATTGGACTTTTTTTACTCGGAAACTAATACCACTTACTCCCCTTTTTATACCGCAATCCTCCGCCAAATTTTGTCTCGTGTTTTCATAAGATTGATCTGCGCTTCCGTTAACTCCAATACGCTTGCGCTGCGATGAGCATTTGGCCGTTATAGAGTCGTCATAATTAAATCAACTCGAAGGCGGACCGTATGACAATATTTACCTAAGTCCAAAAGGGCCTAGCTCTTCTTATAAGAAAAGCATACGATTACAAAATAGTCTCGGCTATTGATTCTCCCTAACCGTTTGTTATTCCCCGATCAGCTTTCGCCAGGGGATCTCTATCCTATACAGAGAAAATCCTATAGGTACCCCTAGCCAGAGCTATACGTGCCGAGATTTCTGCGCTAGGCAGGGGTTAAATTCTAAATCTATTAGCGCAATCAACAGTATAACCCCTATTCCTCTTGTTCACAGCCCTTAAAGGCTGGAAGGCGTGATAGATAAAGTCAGTGTATCAGTGGTAGATCTAGGAGATCATATCGCATAGACTGTGCGCTATGTATGCTATAGGACGTTAGAAGCTTACGTTCCGTGCCGACAGGGGCCGGGCTGCGGCCCGGTTCTGATCGCTTTATTTTTTGGTGCAATAAGGCACTAGTCCGTATATAGTTAGAAAGAAGCGGTTTAAAAAAAGAAAAAAGATAATAAATAGAATCGGAATTAAACCAGGAATTATTGACGGAGATATACACAACATACTAATATAAGTCAACCCAATCTTGCAGGTGTCCTTTAATCCCCTAGTTTCATTCTAATCTCACCTCTTATGTGGAGGATAATCCACGAACAGCACCTAAGGAACTGAAGGCTACTTGGCTTGATAAAAACAGCGCTGTTCAATCCAGTCTGAAGCAAGGTCGTATACCGATGTCCCGACTTATACACAATTGGAAAGGATACGTCTAGACTGTAAGAGGCGTTGCGATTTACCCGGGGAAAGCTCAATTTGCTCCACTATCCGCAGATCGAGCCCGGGTTTCCGGAGGGCACCCTTTCCCCTGAATTTAGGGGCTAAGACTGCGTTAATTGTTCTATATCGGGCAGGGACATACTGAGATAAAGTACACCCGGAAAATCGTATGTCCTTCAGTCGACTAAGCAATTTCAAATAGCCAATTTTATAGTATTGTCGTATAACGGGTAGCTATCGCTTCACGTAGTAAGTAGTATTCCTTAACCGAGATAACTCCACGCAAGCTGCCCAACATCCCGCATGGTTACGTATCTGTGTTGCTATTGGCTTCAAAAGGACAATTTGCGGATCAGTCAGGTGGACACGAAGATCCCGCTATGGGATCTGACGCTGATCTCGGATTTAGCCTGGACCGACGCGCGCGACCGGTGTTCGATACAAAGGCCCTGTCCAATTATCGGCTCTGGTCGGCTTATAAATTTGCCCAAGCGCAATGGTAGAGTTTGAGGACAGGATATCAGAATAATCATAAAGTCGCCGTTTTGCGGACTTCTTGATACTTCAAATGAGGCACTAGTCCAAAAGGAAGTATTATAGACGAGTGTATTACGGAATGGGATTTTATTTCCAGCCTACGGTCGGACTAGCGTCCCGCAATAACGTATTTCACCACCGAGTGGTCCACCACAAAACACATAGTAAATGCGATAAATTACAACATCATATCTCAACAACAGTAGTCTATATAGCAATTTACTTATAGCTTTATGCTTTTGAAGTAATATATTGTCTCTTTACGGAGTTTCAGGAATCTATATAACTTGTTGATTGAGGTATATATGTTTTGAGCTTTTTGCAACGTAATTATCGGTAAATTTTGAAATGATAGGTACATAACTTTCCACTTTCTTTAAAATTGATATAAAATACTAATAAGTCTTATCAATGACTATCGACAAACAAAGAGCCAAAATACAAACATGGTTGTTGAGATATAAATGTTGAATATGTTGTATTTCCTATGTGTTCTGCGATGGACCACTCGGTGGTGAAGTACGTTATTGGCCAATGACAGGCACCGCTACAGCCTCAATCCCGAGACAAGAACCCGATCATCCGCGCTAATACATTCCTAAAGCGGAAGCTACTATGACTTCCGCCCAAGGGGCGTTTGCGGAATGGGATTAAATGGAGAAGTGTATAAGCTTGATCTTCGTGACTCAAGGGAAGATGGTATGGCCGTGCAACCTCCTGGCTGGTGTATCGAGTACTGAATGATAATTGTCTAGGTGGCGTTATATATACTGCTTGGGTCACGCACTGCGTGGATGATAGTGTTTGCTGATTTATATTCCGTCTGGCTAGATAAACAACACCGAAATTCCTCCATGATAGCACACACTTCCTCTGCAAACCGACTCAACTTCTATTCTCTTCAAAATTGCGGTATATATTGGCTAACTGTTGGGAGAGGTTGCTGATTTGCTTGGGTTGGCGTTTGTTGATTGGTCAAAGGAAGTGTATTCGGTAGTGAATAGCTTTGTAGCGGGTTGGTCCCAAGCGAACCTATCTGGCTGTTATAGACCGGCCAGGATGGCTGTAACACATCAGAAGCAGGGAAGCCAGCAAATGTAAGCTTGTTTTTCTCTGCGTTTCTCTCTAAATCTATCTTCTTCTCGAGCTGGCTCTGCGCATATTGAAAATTGCCGCTGACCTCCAGTATTATGGGCAACAGATTATCACCGGCTGCGCTACCAACCTGTGCAGCGTCGATTTGCTGTTTCAGATTGGATTTTTGGACCTCAAGTGTTTGAATCTTGGCCAGATTCTGGTCATTGGTGTCACTCAGCTGGCGAATCTTTGCTGTGGCTCGGGCGTTGTCGGCCTCTAGTCGCTGTATAGATCGTGTGAGCTCGTCCCGCTCTCTATCAGCCTCCTTAAAACCCTGTAAGCATTGTCTGTGGACAAGCTTCCAGTTTTGTTGCTGTCGTTGCTTCCGGGCCTTCACTATTGGAGAGGAGTTCTATATTCCACATTTGGTTGAGTATTTGCTTTTACAAGACCAGTGATACATAACAGGATATACCAATGACGTATGAAGGTTTGCGTCTTGAGTGTCTGATAGAGAGCCGCCATTACCGGTGCTGGGAGGGCGTCGAGTCCGTTTGGGAGCAGCATCTGACTCGGAACTACTATAACCAGTATCGGCGGGTGTTTTGGATATGGTTCTACGGGAAGTCATATCGAGCGCCAGCACTCTAAAAGGGATTTCTTTGCAAGATAGAGTGTCTCGTTGTGTAGCATTGACCGTTCGGGTGGACAACGTGGGCTCTTATAGGTCTCCGGTATACGTGCTAGTAGCCAGAACATTTCGATTTTAGTCCCCTGCCGCTTAATTTGCGCCGCAGGATTGCGAGGTTAGCGGATCGGATACCCGGCCATTGGTCTATATCAAGACAACCGGCCCGCAATAATAGTTATCCTGTAATTTCCACACTATGGTTACTTGAGGGTCGGTGATCGGCCGTTAACTATCACTTAACCGGTAGGTTTCTCGACGGTGAACACACTTCGTTATCTATAATTCTGCAGTCAGCTTTTGAAACATTGTCGAGACGGCGTACTCTTTCTGTCAGTAGATAGCGCTCATTCATATCCTCAATAAAAATTATCATTGAAATCTGACCCCGGTCTCATTCAAACTGCCCAAACTTTGCCAGACCATGCAATTTCGCCAAGTACCCGACCGCCGCTAATATTATTGATCTACCTGGTCTTTTCGGTTACTCTGGACGGTATACTTTGGCTCGGACTTCCCGCCGCTAATTACTCGAAAAGCTCTATCAGACAACGTATATCGCGCCGAGCAGGAACTGATAGGTAAGTCAAATGTTGGTTGTTTCCCAAATTACTCACTCCATACCCGTACATCAAGCATTCCATCAATGATCTCCGATCGACAGTATGATACAGGCTGTAAGAAATTTGCGACAACAGTAGTGGACCATACGCCGATCTACGTTCGTAAAAAGATAGGTTTTGGGCGATCAGTAGAAATAGGAGTCTGATTCGTTGGGCCTCATAAGCTACCCCACCTTCGAATCGATCGCGACTCAATAGTTCCGCCACTCAACCAGATATCAAGAATATGGGTTAACATAGATGATCCCTGTCGCATAATTTCCGGTTTCCTATGATTAGAAATCATATACCGGGGTACGCGATTCGGCTCGGTCTCGACCGAGTGGCACGCGTTGAGTCTGTCACTGTTGACCTTCCCTAATAGGTTTAGTATCTATCGTTCTTTCTATTATCGCAAAGGCCGCGGTTACCTCAATCTCTAAGCTGGCTGTATTTACTCGACGTCAGCCGAGGAAATCCTATCAGTTTCTGACGGTGAGTGAATCCTATCACTTTGGTATATATAGCGGTTCTCTGTGAAAATATAAAAACGTGCTATAAGTCTTGGGTTAGACTGCGACAGCGCCCACCAAAGTGGAGACACTTTTAGCGTCGCCAAGATATATGCGGGCACTCTTGGCAAGGTGGATACTGCCAAGAACTAGTTATGTACATAAAATAGCCTAATAGGGTAATTTTTGCATTAATTTTGCATAACGGTGGGCGATGGGCGTCAAATTTCAAAAGGCCCACGGGCCGTGGACACTTTCTAGTGCCCATGGACGGGCGATGTCGCAGTCTATCTTGGGTTAACAGTGTATACTACTAGTCTAAGCTTCGCTATTTCTGTCCTAGCTGATATATACGTATGATTGAGGTTGAAGAAGAACGAGAATATTTGCTACTATCACAGGTGGGAGGTATAATACAGTCCTCGGGTTCTCTCCACCGTTCCAAACTTGGGCCGGTCAACCGTCTATGGTCCAAAATAGCTCAAACGGACCGTTCAAGACCTATGAGATATAAGTCTATTGGAAGTCTAAGGAACTCTAGTTGAGGACTGACTATTGATATAGAGATTTATATACAAAGCACACCTCCGTTGCTCGAATAAGCTTCCTACTGCTTCTGTCAAATCTATATCCTCGTTACTCCAATCAAGACATACCTTAGTGCCTATCTTTATTCTGATAGAATGGATTCCTCGGTAGGCTTACTAACCCCCCTTTCAAGCTCTATCTAACTCCGAGATAGGAATATCTTCGACTCCTCGCGAGGCTCGACAGTCGGGCAGTCCGGGCAGAACGAGCCCAGACCAAACTTGAACAAGAACTGAGCGCCTCAAGGGCTGCCGAGAATCAAGCCACAGAGGAGCTAGGCCATGTATCCAGATTAGCGGATATCTTCTTTGAGCTCAGTCAAATTCTGGGGGGCGTGGTAGATCATTGGCTGAAGGAGCGCGGAACCAAAGAACCCGGCCAAGAGCCGGAGTCAACAAAGGTAATGCTTGATATATTGTTACAACAGTTGGAAGCACAGAAGTTAGCCAATAGCGGTGAGAATTCGGGTGATAACTCGGAAAGTGGCACAAAGGCTGCGCTATAGTGCAGCTAAATCATCGCTAGACGATAGCTTGCCGTGCATCGTTCCTTGTTCATATACATTGGTTTTTTGTGAAATGACTGGGATTTTTTACGGCTTGTTTGCGTGCAGAGATATCATAATATTCTTTTTTATCTACTTTGCTATGGCCGTTGAAACAGATCTGTTTCTATATCTGTCCATATATATGCCGTCGTATTCTTAGTTCAGTTTACAATACCTCTTTCCTTGAAGTCGCCGCGGTTATATTCCAATTTTTTCTGATTATGGAAACCAACAGATTTTCCGGCGTGCTCAGAAGCTGACGCGTGAGCTTCAACGTGTTCTGGAAGACGATCCTTCCAAGTATACTATCACCGATTCGCTACCCCAAACTCAATCTACCGCCAGACTAGGAGCTGCGTTCCAATTGGACCGCATTCGACGATCGGCAGCTCCATCGCCAGAGTTACTTTATAAGGAATTACAGAAGCAGAAGATATAACCAGACAACTCTGAGCTCGGTATATTGGAGACAGACTAGTGCACGTGCGATGTAGGATCACAAACACCGAGATATATCCTGATACAATGTCTGTTGTATACCACGCTCCGCGTGAAAATGTGGAAACAGCTCGACAAAGTCGCGGTGAAGGACAAGGATATCAGGTTTCTTTTTTCGTTTATAGTTGGCAGCCCTTCTAGGAAATAATAAGTCATTGTCAGGCCGAATGGTTATAGTGATAAGTTCTGTTAGAAACGAACCTTCAAGGCCTCGACGTACCGGCCGCTGCTATTCAGATTGCGTGGGAAGTGGGCTTAGCGAGGACTGTTGTCGCTTTCTTGTGGTATATGAAAGCCGGTGATCAAAAGGTACACGCTGACTGTTTGTGCTTACTTTGTAGGATATGCTAGCCGGCCAGCCGTGTGCCGGTGAAACAGACTGGTAGTACCCATCTTGCTGAGTTTGAGTGGCTTCCTCTATTTGACCAGCCTGGGTGTGTAACCGGTCCATCCATCTTTGGGCGCATTCCTTAGATCGTGAAGGATAACGCCTGCATTCTGCGCATAGCATATACCTTGCGGCCTCTGAGAGTCTTGTTCTAGGTAAATGACCGGTAGGGATATCTTGGAGCATCATGATGCATATCGCTCCATCTCTCCGTGAATCCTTGGACACAGAATTTTGGCAACGGACTCCATTATCCTCAACCCATCGGCATCCTAAACGATGAGTGGGATCGCCAATAATTTGGCCGAGGATTGACTGAAGATAGTCAGAGCTCCAGTTCATTTTATTGATTTGTATAAAAGTTTGTGCAGTAGGCACAAATATCAAGTCAGAGAAAATGAGGAATCTTCGTAAATCTTTAGGGGTACATTCTTTATATAAATAAAGTGCTCCTAACGGACAGTGGAATCTCCTGTGGACCCGACGGTCTAAGCGTCTAGTGAAATCGAAGAGCCCTAGTGGCTTTTAGTGTACTATCTGCATATACTGGTCGCTTTTCCCTCCCACCTTTACCAATGGCTGAAGGCTTCTAGGTTCGTGGGAACGGAAGTCTGGTTCCTGGGGTTTAGGTATGGGCTCCTAGGACTACATAGGCTCCCAGGAATACCCGTGTCATTCCTGGGGCCACCCGTCCGGTTTCCATGAATATATATTCAGGCCCTAGGAGACCGAGTGCTTCTGGGAGCTCAACCGTCTGCCCGGTAATCCAAGGGCCTCTAGATTATCGCCACCTATATCACTACACAACCTTATGTATAACGGATTCTAGTAGCAGAGAGGGGTTTTGATCGCAATCACCTCCTTGATACAATTTTTACCTCATATCCATGTACCACACTCAAGATGTCAGACTCCCAATGGTTTTGGAATCCCTTGAATGTCTGTGAAATGGGGCCTATTAGGGAAACTAAGACCTGTTGTGGTATTACCAAGAAAGGAGATGCTTGCAAGCTGATATCAGACCGTCTTCCGGTCGCCTTAAGCTTATCCATTATCCGTCGATATGTTTAGAAAGGTTTTAGGATATATTGGACCAGTTAAACTTTGCGGTGTGGTCTATAAACAGATATGGTTAGACCTTTCTAGGGCCGGTTTCACCGCAGTGATCGTTTTTCTAACGCAGCTTTGAACGCTTGACCTAACAAGGCTGGACAGCCATAAACACAAAAACTCACGCTCGGCTCGATAGGTCAGTGTCAAGCTAGCACTGCAGTGAGGCAGCCATAATTCTATATTCCTATGGCCTTATTATATAAATAGGAATTGTCTGAACGTCTCTGTGTATAAACTTTCCACTACTCAATGTTGACACCTTGAGCCATACCAAGTCTATTATATTTCTTGTGAATGGATCCTATAAAGCGCCAGCCCTCTCGACCTGAGCCTTTATGGCGCGACGGAACGCCAGATTGGGCCGCTTTGGAAAGAACATCTCGTCCTTCTGCGCCGTCTTCTAGACCCCAGCCCGGTCCAGTGATAATCCCTTCTACTCTGCCTCTTTCTCATCCTGCGCAGTAGAAAAGCCAAATTGAAGTTCGGAATATTCAGCCGGTCTTCCAAAATCCGTGGTTGACTTACGAGGCGATCGTGGTGATCGCCGATGAGCCTGTCGCCGAACCTGCCACCGAAGAGCCTGCCACCGAAGATCCTGTCGCCGATGAGCCTGCCACCAAACCTGCCACCGAAGAGCCTGTCGAGGAATGGATTATTCCCGACGCATCTTCTGTGGAAGGTTGGCCTAATGCTCACTTACATCCACATGGGGTTCCAGCAACCGAAAATTTATCCAGTGCTTCGGAAGCTTTCATTGAAGCTCAGCCTATACAGAATTCTTATATTAAGATATCGGTTGCGGACTTAGCTTTGTATGCCGATTGGGGAAAATTCCGTGGCCAGATGAGAGCTAAAAAAAAGAGACGAGCTTGCGAGAAGGGGTCTTCCAATTCCAAGCTGGGATGGCGTCGTTAAATTTGGTTTTTAGTTACGTTTGCGAACCAGCTCTACAATATTACAGTTCCATAACAGTGACTCAAGTATCATTACTAGAACAGTTCTGCCAAAATAATGAAGTGATGTGATGAGGAAGTGGTGAGCTGAAACGGATTAGCGTATCTATGACTGGGTGATTCTGCCGGGCCGACGTTAAACCCGATATGAGTCAGCTCATCGCATGCCTCCACCATCTTACTCGCCCTCAGCCCAAGGCTTGCGAGTTCCCAGCGATGGCGACTCACCGTCACCAGTCCTCCCTGGGGGGGGTTTTAGACTTCTCAATACCATTATTATTAACACGAAAGCAGCATGAGTTGGCAAAGAACCTGGTGATCACGCTTGTACGGCATTATGGCTCTGAGAAGACCGTTCGGAAGGGCTATCGGCCTGCGGCACTTATCCAGGCTACTCTCGAGCACGTTACATCGCCGGATACCTTTATGACTTTCTTCCTCACATACATCTATGAGGACCTGCGTTTCGACGAAGGACAGGCCGTTGATTCTGATATTGCCCTCGCCTTGGCATTCTTCGAGGGATTTTCTTCATGGGAACCGGAACAAATAAACAAGCTTCACGGAGGCTTAGAAAAGTTTGCTGAGTATATCGTTGAAAATTTTCTCCTCCCCCGTTCGTTGATTCCTTACATATACATATTGCTTGATCTCCAGTGAGTATATGCTAATTCACAATTGCAGTTAGAGCATCATCAGTCAAAACACCACAACCAACGCCCACGTCGTTATCTTCGCTGCAGAGCTCAACACCGACCGGCACGAGACAGCGTGTATCTGTTTTACGACAGAAATGTCTTATGCGCGACCGCCACCGCTGTGTAGTGTCTCGGAAATTCGATAGAGCAGCAGCCAGAAAGCGTTTCGAGGAGAATGCGGAATCTTGTGCTGATGATGACGGGAACCCATTGAAGGATGAGTCCAGTGATCAATTTCAATACTTGGAGGTTGCCCACATTCTCCCTCATTGTTTGACGACGGTAGCTTCTGGTGAAACCGATTTGGTATGTCCGATTATTGGGATTGATACAGTATTTTGACGGTGCTAACGTTGTGCCTAGAGCGATTCAAAGAAAAATGCTCTTCGGATCTTGGACATGTTTGATCCTGGAATAATCCATCTTATTGATGGACCAAAAATCGACAGTCCTATGAACGCCCTCACTCTAACGCTGGACTACCACCGGCTATTTGGCGAATTCAAGATCTATTTCGAACCCACTGGCACACGACACCAGTACAGGATAGATTCGACAGAACGCAGTCCTTTCTTACGTGACCCCTTGTTTCCCGTCACACGATCGCTTACCCTAAGTCCTCATCGCACGGTTGATCCGCCATCCCCCCGGCTTTTTGATGTCCACCGCGCCATCGCACTTATTATGAAACTTAGCGGCGCTGGCGAATATATTGAGCGGGTCCTTCGTGATATGGAGGAGCTAGATGTCAGAGAAGATGGATCGACACATTTGGGATATCTTACAGGCTTACGACTTGGCGGGTGGTTAGATACCCTATCAGTGCATTAGAGATTGGTACGATGACATTGACATGTCGAAGAATATATGCATTTTGTATCTCTGAATGTTGCAGAAGCTCATAATACAACATGATTCGCAATCATGCCCATAAATGAATTCGCTCTAGTTAGCCGGTGAGGTTAGTCCCGAACTCTGGTGCCGCAGTAGGCTGTACCTCTACAGCTAGGCCAGAGTGCCGAAAATGCCCCTCCGCGCTCTTCTCCCTCGCACCAACAACGTCAACACACCATTCAAGGAAGTTGTCGAATCCTTGCGCTGGATTTTCTTCGTAGGATTGCCAATTACGCCGGATAAAGGCCTTCAGCTCAGCAAAATACTCCTCAATAGGATTCAAATCAGGAGAATATGGAGGCAAATACACTAGCTTTACGCCAGCTTCTGAGCAAATCTGTTTAATTCTGTCCGAGTGATGAAAGGATGCGTTGTCCATCACTAGCACAGACTTCGGCTCGGGCCATTTCCCACAGTGCTGGAGGAGCTGCTCGATAAAATCCCCAAAGACGGATGCGTCAGTTGAACCCTGGAATACTCGAGACAAAACAATGCCGTCTTGCGCATACGCAGGCAGAATCTGATAACGCTGATCACGATGAAATTTCGACACTTGAACAGGTGCAGTACCAAGGGGGGACCAACCCGTTCGCCGGAAGCCTATCCTTTTATCACACCCAGATTCATCGACATAGACAAGGTGGTAAGACTTGGAGTCTGAGATAAAATGATGGTATTCGTCCCGAAGGTCAAGGTTGCGTTCGCGTGCCTTGACCCGGGCAGTCTTTTTTGACCAGCCTTTGGACTTAAGGGCGCGACTGACGCTCGATTTCGCTGCTTGAAGAGCGAATTCGTCCCACAAAAAAATCACCATCTCGTCCAAATACAAGGCAGGCTTTTCAATCAGATGGTCGCACAAGGCCTCGAGCATGACTGAAGTGATACTACGGGGTCGTCCGCCCTTATTTGGAGGTGCCTTGACGCTGCCAAACATTCTTATATTAGAAGAGATTCTCGAGATGGTGCTCTTGTTGCAACCAGCGGCCTGTGCCATCTTAGTTATAGATAGTTCGCCACTGTGGATCATGTCATAGATAAGCTCATGCTTAGAAGGGGCTAGATTTGGAGCCATCTTTGGTTGGACCACTCGTGATAGATTGTTAAGTGCGCGTCCCGAGGAAAGCTGCTTCGGAGGAGGGGCATGGAGGTGTTGATAGTATTAAAATTACAAGATAATACATGTTTCAGGTCACTATGTAACATACGTACGAAAGAATACACACGTGAATACCGGAAGAGCTCCAAATATAGACTAGTGTGTCTTGGCATAAGAGCAGGGAAATCAATCGAAGAGTGTAGTGGTTGCACCTGTTTCGGGACGTACTGTAGAATGGTACTTCAGGAAATAACTCACGATCAAAAAGATAAAAAGGAATGGATACAGTAGAATTCGAAATCAGTTTTAACTCTAAACTCTTACTTTTTTTGTCCCGGACCCTAAGTGGAGACACGCTAATCTAATTTTAGCTCTTTCCCTGTTAATCCATGTAGGGCTGTATTGTATTCACTGGTAACCACAATGAGTCATTGTTATAGTACCGTAATTTCTTGTAGAAACCGATGGAATCCATCGTACAAACAGATCAAACAGAAGAGAATCCTAACAATCTGGAAAGATCTTCTTTCATTCTCTCATATCTTGCTTGGGCTATTTGTCGCGCGCAGCCTTCGCCCACACTCTTTTGCATCCAAAAGAAGGCTGTAGTGACGGCATAGAGAACTTATCCTGGTACGCAACTTGTTTCTCTATAGCTCTGGCTTCGACTATCTACTGCCGTTCTCATTCGCTACCAAGTCTTAAGGAAATCCGGTACTTGGGGAAGCTGACATGGACCCTCCCAGGACTGCCATCGTACTGTAGAGATGACACAGAGCCCATATCATGACGATTTCATCCCTCATCCCGAAGATCCTGCAACATGGGAAAACAACTCACAATACGCTCCAACACCTGGATATTGCGGTAGTCCCAATGCAACACGGTTCAACTACAGTCCTTCCCCCTCTGTTGTGCTAGAAGAACAGTCACGGTCGGATATTCTTAGGCTGCTCCAGTTGTCTGAATAGGAAGAAGGAAAAGTATACGACAAGGACCCGCCGACCTGTATACACTACCGTATAGAGTGGCGTGTTACAATCAACAATCGAGAGGTATCAAAGGACACGGAGGAAGATCTTGTTTTGGCCCCTAGTGCCTTTTGGCAGCTGTTCTTGGAAAAGAAATTAGAGAAAGTTCTTCGACGAAAGATTGCCCGTCATCGTCAGGTGAGAGCTGATGACACTGCGATTGTCGTTTCAGTGAACGACCGAACCCAGCGCAATTTGACTAAACGATTTGATGATACCGAAATCATTTGGGCCGCCATCGAGAAGCAGCTTCGGATGTGGCCAGGTCTATTCTCCCGGGGTAAAGAGCTCACGTTGAAGATCAGTTTTAATTACGTAGACGACCGTCACTCTCCTCTAGCCGCTAGTCGGAAAGGGGAGAAAAGAGGAAAAGCCTCTGTCACGAAGAGAATGCTCGATGAGAGAGCCGCTCAGATTGATGCTGAGCAGGATGCTTCTGGAGAAAGACCTATCTGGCGCAGCGTCTACAACCTGATGCGATGCGCATCCTCGACTTGCCCATTAGGCCCATATTGTTGGGTGGATCCAATGGGGAAAAAGCATTACCAACTGAAGACTCATCATCTGAAGCGGCTCGTTACCCACGTCGAAAAAGGTGGGGTGTTAGACGGGCACAAGGATGTGCCAGAAACAGTATGCGAAGAATTATATATGGAAGAGCAACAGAGACAAGAAAAGAAGAATCGCAAAGGAGGACATGTGACTGGAAATGGAGCACCATATCCTGCTATCAACATCAATGTCCTGCCCTCGCGGTCTTCTACCTCTGCAGCTGCACAGGTTTCTGCTGACTTCCAGTCTATACAATCTCCAGGCCCGCTTGAGATCCCTGGACCTAGGGATAAAGCGGTCAAGGAATATGGTGAATGGCAGGTGTCAAATGTCACTGATGACACTCTCAAGGCTGCATTTCGAGAGATCTGTGATATGATGATCGACAATGGTCTTGATCTTGAGCAGGTCTACAAGGATCAAGACCCGGAATTCTTTATCGGAAGGGGCATAAAGATAGGTATTGCTCGACGGTTCGTAGAAGACATTCGGCGCTGGGTCGAGAATGTGAAGAAAGCAATCCCTAGTTATGACATAATTTAGCAACTACCTGCTTGGCGTTGGAGCATATGGCGTTGAGGGGATTTAATTTAACATAGTGCTGTTGACCGCAGGTTCAATTAACATACTAGTGGTTTCACGAGTGTTGATTTGTGTAGCTGGAATTGTTGTTTAGAGGCTCGGAGAGCTGAAGCAGCTTATTGGCTTCCGGTGGGGTTGAAAGTTAGGGCTCGGAGCCGTCCTGGGGCAACGGTTCAGTGTGGGTCAGAGGCAATCTAACTGTATTAGGCATAGCGTTATACAAAATGTGCCAAGTGACTGGCTCTCTATCATGTCGCGGATGAGATGCAGCTTGGATGGTGGAAGTCTCGGAGCCATTTTGTGAGGTTGTATAACGTTCTAGAGATAGTCGGGTGAAGATACCTCCTGCTTGAGGTGGGCGGTATAGCAGAGAATTACCATTTGGCATTTACAAGTAAGATACACAAGACAGGGTCCCACCTTCGTCATGTAAAATACAATGTCTATTCTTGGAAATCACGGATCTACCACTATTCCTAATGTGGACTAGCGTGTTTCAGATTAGGGTTCGCGAATCAAGTCGCAAGAGTATGGAGTTAAAACTGATTTCGAATTCTACTGTAGCGGTATTGACACAGAGGTCGGTTACTCCGCTTGGACTTTCATCTCCGTAAGGAGCGTTGCAGTTGCTACCCGTGCTCAAGGTAATATTGTTGCCACTGTCGGTAGAGACCATGACCGATTCCGTGCCGTCCTCCAGGGTCCAGCACCCCGCTTCGTAACCTCCAACCTCTTTCCCCGCGCCTGAACAATTGGTTGTGGTGTAGTAAGTGACTGGCCACAGGGCAGATGCTGACGCGGCTAGTCCAAGGGCGAAAGGAGTTTCAAGACGCATGATTTCGATGTTTGGGTTGAATATGTGTTATGAAGACAAAATTATGAGTCAGGATATGGTAGAAAGTCCAAAATATATCACTTTACAAGGCAGAGCTGCACCTTTGCAGGTGGTATATTCAACCGACCACTCTTCAACCGACCACTCTCTCAATTAACCACTCTCTCAATTAACCACTCTCTCAATTAACCACTCTCTCAATTAACCACTCTCTCAATTAACCACTCTCTCAATTAACCACTCTCTCAATTAACCACTCTCTCAATTAACCACTCTCTCAATCGACCACTCTTCAATCGACCACTCTTCAATCAATCACTCTCTCAATTAAACACTCTCTCAATTAAACACTCCGTGAAAATTGGAAACTTTGTCAAAGTGAGTGATTGGCCCGCAGGAAATTGATACTGGGTTGGTCTTCAGCCTTTAAAGTGTGGAAATTTCAAAGCTTTCAGCAGCCGCCGCAGAAAAGAGCGCCTACTCAGGGACTGGCTCTTTGCACCCATATAAGATAGACGTGGTATGAAGGGGAGGTATACAGCCACGCATTTTGTCTAAAATGTCACTGAAGGCGACTGAGCAGCATCCGTCTGCAGATAATGCCTCAAGCATTTACAGTCGCTCACCGGAATCTCCGAAAGACATGTTGAGTTCCAAGCCAATGATACTTCCTCCTCAACACGATCTACCGGAAATAAATTCACTGGATCATCAGATTGCACTGGCCCGAGGTTCTACCATAGCATTGGAAACTACCCGAACGCGTCTGAAGTGCTCAAAGTCACGAAACCGCCTGTCACTTCAAGAGTTGAAGGAAGAAAGAATTTGTCAACGGGATCAACAAGAGAATGAGAACCAGTTTTATCGGTCTTGTTTCGAAAATCTTCTCAATTTGACAATGGCGATTATTGATGTTTCCCAAGAGTTGACGTTGCAGTATCACTTCGAGCCAGAGGCAAGACCGCTTGACAATGAACGGGTGTTTCAAGCAGTCTGCAAACTTCGTGTTGCTCTTGAGCAATCCAGAATTCGAGAAGCCCAGGCTGAGCAGATTTGGAAACGACAGTGGAAAGTCTCACGAATTAGTCATACCACACGCTGGATCTGATCCACGTGCGGCTGTAATTAGCACTTGAATGTAATTAGCCAGTGGATGATAGTGTTTTCAATCCAAGTTTAAAAAAAAAATCCGACGGCTACGAAGTGTAAGTATACGAAATTATTGATACAGTGATATTCGAAATCAGTTTTAGCTCAATTCTCACTCTCTTTATCTCCCGATGCCCCACCTCAGGCGCACTAGTCGATATTAGGATATCCTTCCGCTGCCTTGTATTTCTTAATGTATCTCTGATGAGTCAGCGTAAATTACAGCGGTCGGTCATATAGTGGCAGATAATTATAGGTTAAAGCACACTATACGTTCAAAACAAGAAAAAAATTCATCCAGAGAGACAAGGATTGCCAAGAGATGAGATTACTGTAACGCCTGTTATCGCCTTCCCAGATTGCAAACAGTGAGATACTCTTCCAAATCCTAATCACATGATCACGTCGCATATTGTGTATGTTATGACAATGAAAATACATAAATGGCTACCGGTGTAAGAAACGTCTTGACATTCTAGTGGTGATGTCATATTCATCGCCTTTCGCACAGTGGCTTCTGTGGATGTTGAGTATACACAATATGATCCTAATCAAACGCGAATTGAATGGTCTTGAAATTTCAGCGTACTGCTGGCTTGCAACAAAATCTCATAAAGCTCTTAACTGCGAGTGCCCACATGTCTCATTATATCTGTTCGTTTCGCTTCCTTGATCGTCCAACGGGAGATAGAATAGTCATTTCATGGGCGCATAGGTGCGAGTGCTCTTGTATCTATTTAAATCCTGCTCGTTATCGTGATAATAATGACGACTACTACTTTGATAAGTCCACCTAAGACTCTTCTAAGTAGAACCACGGTGGCATTGTATAGACTTCTAGTATCAACTGCTAGCGATAACACACAGTACAATAGAAACTATACTATATTTCAAATTTTATTTTAAAATACAAATCGTCCTTTATTGTCTTAAGGTAACGTGGATCATAGAGCTCAAGTTTCTACCTCTTCAGCGTCGCGGTAGCAGCTTTTTCTTACTAAGGTCAATTTGAACTTTCATCGAATAATTGACGGCGACGAGCTCCTTGAGAATCGAAATGGTAATATCCGGCAAATTTTGCATGACTTCTATGCTCTCATCATGGGTGAGAAATCTATCAGCATCGGATGAAATTGACTTGGTTATAGCGTCGCGAAGCAGAGTCTCGTAAGGCGGAATGGTGGTCCAGATTTTTTCTATAATCAAGGGAGACTTGCTCGCATTTTTGTCGATCCATTCAATGATTCGAGATCTCGCAAGGTCTTTCAGAGGCGAAATGTCGAATTTATCAGCTGCTATAAACACCCTAAGGTTGTTCCACATAGCTGCATGGGGCTCTATATCATGATCCAAAGCACAGTTTCGACTTTGAACTTGCGATTCGTTTGTGTCTTGGTAGTCTTGATTGTAAAGGAAAGAGATAACACGTTGAATGGTTGCTAAATCATCGTCCGGGAGATCAACTTCTGATAGAGATGCTTCCTTGTGATAGAATTAGCCAGATGCAGCAGCCGCGGCAAAAGCTATCTCACCTTAAACCCCCCTTTCAATGCAGCATCAAAAAAAGATGATTGAGAGCAGACAATTGCTCGGTGTACTTGGAATCTTTTTCCTTCGCATGATATCGTCAGGTCTGAATATTTACCTGAATGTAGAAGGCTTTGCAGCATCGCCTGAGGACTTGAGAATCCCATGATCGATGTGAATCAACGAAGAACAGATCTAACGCAAGTTACTATATGTTGTTTCATTTCTACTGCCCTTCCGGAGATCTTGAAATACTAGACGTCACCATTTATACTGTCTGTGGGGTGCGGCCGTACATAGGTAAAATTACAGGTCTTGTTTCAATTACAGGTACATATTGTCTGTTTGAATTTTACCATACAAAGTTGAAACAAGAAATAAATCCAAAACACATAGTAAAAGCGATAAATTACAATATGATATTTCAACAACGGTTGTTTATAGAAGCTTTTCCTTGTAGCCTAATGCTTTTCAAATGATATCTAGCCATTCATTGGACTTTAAGGAAACTTAATAAACCAGTTAGTGAGATATATATATTTCTGGAGTTCAGCGATGCATTTTTCAATACCATAACAATACATATTCTCAATTCATTCAAAATTGATATATGATACTAAAAATGCTTATCAATTGCTATCGACGAGTAATGAAATTAACTGAAAGTGTTGGTTGTTGAAATATCATATTGTAATTTGTCGCTTTTACTATGTGTTTTGGGGGTGCGCAGCTCGGTGGTGTGCGCAGCTCGGTGGTGTGCGCAGCTCGGTGGTGAAATACGTTATGAGAGCCTTTCTCTGTCTACAACACGGAAGGCGATGTCGGGCGCTACTGTACCATAATTTGCACTGACTCGAAGATACAGACGAATGCAAGGTTGGCGGAAATATATCCAAAGACGGACTAGTGCGCCTGAGGTGGGGCATCGGGAGATAAATAGAGTGAGAATTGAGTTAAAACTGATTTCGAATATCACTGTACGAAGACTCCGAACATACACACACATACACACACACACACAATTCATACATGTTGTCATAGTCTCATTTTCGAAAGGAAAAGCTGTACCAGCTGCAAAAACCCTTTCTAGCCCATACAGTATTTCTCAAGCAGTTTCTCTTGTCGCTGTTGTTGTTGTGGTCATATCAGATCATCCCCCCCAAAAGCAATAACCCATCCCTCTGTGACACCAGACCCCCCACGTGTCCATTCTCGATGTAGTTTCGTGGACCTCTTCCCTGAGTAGCGATTTACCGAGAGTACTTCTCATATTAACGCCCGAAGTAGCTGACTGCCTCGCTGGCGGCAACACCAGATAGCAGACGAAGGACTGACGAATCGACATGCGATCGAACCGGTAGGGCAAGTGAGTTATTGTGAACAAAACCCGGTGAGGGTAGGTTGGAAATTCGTAGGCAGGTTGGTTGTTCGAAGGCTCGTCGACATCGCGACGTTGTGCGAAGTTGTCCACGTGCGAAGTTGTCCACGTGCGAAGTTGTCCACGTGTCCTTTTGAAGGCTTCCCGCCGCGTCGTCACAACCAATAAAGGGGTTTCCACCGGAGTTTCGATTTGGAAAGTTCTCAGCTTCGGTCAGACCTTGCAGTCCAACTTACTGACATCCCTCACCACAAGAAGGTGACTTTCCACGAGGGACTTCCGAACATACAGTAATATACGTCACTTTGCTCCCAAGACGCGTAAATCGGACCACGATCCGTTTACCATCAAGGGACAGACGGCTGTACCCCAAGACCACGTCAAGATCCTGGGCTTATTGATGGACACGAGACTCAAGTACAAGGAACATATTGCAAGGGCCGCTTCCCAGGGCCTGGAAGCAGCGATGGAGCTTCGGCGACTTCGGGGCCTAACCCCAGCAGCAGCGCGGCAGCTATTCACCTCGACGGTGGCGCCGGTCGTGGATTACGCCTCCAATGTCTGGATGCATGCGTGCACGGATAAAGCTATCGGACCGATTAACCGAGTCCAAAGATTAGGAGCACAAGCCATTGTGGGGACATTTCTCACGGTCGCGACCAGCGTAGCAGAGGCGGAGGCCCACCTTGCCACAGTTCAACATCGTTTCTGGAGACGAGCCGTGAAGATGTGGACGGACATACACACCCTGCCAGAAACCAATCCTCTCCGCAGAAATACAGATCGGATCAGGAAATTCCAACGTAGCAGACACGGACCAGTGTGCGTGTGGACAAGCGAGAGAGACCGTGGAGCACTTCCTATTTCGATGTCAAAAATGGACGGCGCACCGGACGGAACTCCTACAATGTACCAACACCCACCGAGGAAATTTATCCTTCTTCCTAAGAGGACGGTAGACGCGCTTCAACTGCCGAAAATAGGATGTTGAACACTTGGAGAAGCGCCTTCAAGTCAGCCTACTAACAAAATTACTAACCCACGAGGATCCGTTGCGATACGGACATCTGAGATGACATGTATTGCAAGGCTTTATGTATGGGCTCTGAGGAAACACAGGACTATATATATTATGACATGTAGCCGTCTTACCTAACAACCCACCAAGGGGGGTTTTGATACGCGCACCATCGATTTTACTACCCGCACCATTTTACATAAGCAAATTCTTAGATAATCAAAGAATTACGGGTATAATCGGATGAAAAATCATGTGATTGTCAACCTCATCTATCAATCTGATAACATACATGATAGCAAACAACAACTATTTCCGCATTGGGCAAGACCTATACGTATGCTCTAACTCTCCACACCCGGAACACTTGCTTGGCGCCTTCTGCTTCCTCTTTGGGCTGCTTTCCTCCCCAATTGGGTTATTTGCCACCCGTTTTGCTGCCTGTTTTGATTGCTGGTGTATATTTGGTGGTAGAATTGGGCGTAATTGTACTGGAATAGGCTTAATAAACCAAAATAGATCGATTTCATCCAATATGTGGGTTAGGTAAGACGGCTATAGTAGATCAGGGAAAGTCGCCCTTTCGGCTTAGCCGCCGGGCGTTAATAAATTGTGTGTGTGTGTGTGTGTAATATACGTTACTTAGCGTGATCGCTGGAATCGTGACTATGTTCACTGGATCCTCGTTTGAACCTTCCAACTTCGCAATTCCTGCACTGCTCTGTTTAATATCAGTTCCATCACGTGGCATCCGCTTTCGTTCGCGATTTGGTGACATTATCCCCAGGATGGGTCGCGATTCAATGATCTCGGAGTTTGTCGTTTACAGCAGCTTCATGCCGAAACTGTTTCGCAAACTCTGGTACGGTGCATTTTACAGGCACAGTATATCCGTGCGACGATAGCGTAATTTTCAAAAGAGCACCCCGAGAACCGTGCATACCCAGTACTTCACAATCTGCATTAACTGTCTGAAACAACTGACGCCGCAACCGTTTGAGGAAAGTGGTTACATTTATAACATGGTGCCCTTTTCCATGGTCAAGGACATCGGGGCAAGCTTGATCCAGCTCTCCCCCGTTTAACATTCCGCGTAGACACCTCAACGTGCAGTAATGCCGATGATTTTCCGTCTCCCTCGAGAACGACCCTTGCGTAACTGGTGTTGGTGCCATATTGATCGACGTTGGCTGTCCCTGTCTGATATTGCGCCATATCTGTGGGTCCCGGCTCGGCGTATCGGGGTCAGATTGGCCTCGTCTGTATCTCGTTGTGCGTCTCTATTGGTTGGCAACCTCCAACACTGGGTTTGTTTCGCCTGTGACGCAGTTGTATCGGAGATATTCGAAGTAACCCATTCGTCCTGGGAGGGCGATATTCGGAAGACGGTGCCTCCTCGTCTAGGATACTGCCGGGAATATCTGCGACTACCACTTCCCATCTTGGCAATGAGTCGATTGCTTGTTGTCTCCAAGCTTGATCCCGAGGCCGCAACTTGAGCGCCTGGGGAGTGAAAGCGAGGGATTGCCCCACGGCGGTCAAATGTAGACGATTTGGGCCGTTGATTGGGGGTTCCAGCCAGTGAGTCCCCAACGTCTCCCTTTGGAACGGAGAGGTGGTACAGAAGCGTCCCGGGATTCTCCAATTCGCAGATAAATATCAGCTTCGCCGGTACTTAGCACCTCAATTTCCGTACCAGCACGAATAATGTAGTCATATGGCTGCACAAGAAGTTCAGCAATCGCGCGACGGAACAGAAGTTTTGGGGACTCATCATCTTATTGCTCAACCACTTCATCAACATCTATATCCTCCAGCCCTTCATAGATGTGGCTTAGTGTCACCTTATGCGGAGATTTGTACTATTTGATATAAGCTGCAACGCGATCGATCGATTCGGATGATTGGCTGGGGTTGTTGTAGACGCAGAATTGATCGGCACGAGGCCGGCTGCTTCGCGCGGGAGGCGGGGTTCTCGGGCCACGGGTCGCTATGGTGCTTGGTTCGCTTTGTTCTCGGGCAGCTAGACGCGGTGAACATCGTTGTGGCCGACCACGAATATCGATATTCTGCATTCGCTTCTCAAGTTCCCACTCGGGGCTCAGTGTATTGGAGTGGTTCTCAAAGCGTATCGACCCTCTCAACCCAAATGTCTGTCGCAGTCTTGGATCGCTGTAGAGTTCTTCGATGATTTTCGAAACATGGTCCTCCACGGTCTGGCGAAGAAAGTGATTAAGGTCTAGTTCCGAGCCAACAAGCTGCCGCCGGATGTCTCTCCAGTTTCTTCCAGGGTATGAAGAGAAGTGAACAGAGTCTGGCTTCGACAAGCGAAGAATTCATCAGCAACCGCTAAACGTCCTCTTGTTCTTTCGCGAAAGAGTCACAGGCTTTGAGTCTTCTGGGGCGCAGTTTGTTGGTCGCGTTGGCGGGATCTCCACGCGTAGATTGTGTCTTATCCTGCTGAATTGCGAGACCATGGAAGAAGTGGTTATGGACACCGTCAAGGGAAGCAGGAATGTTGGTTTTGGATATCTTCTCCCTTTCCTCTGCGAAAAGGCGTCGTAGTTCGTCAACCTCAGTGGACATTTTGAATCACAAGCGTTGCGGATGGCAGTTGCAAATTCGCGGGGGATCATTGTTTACCTACCGCGTCACTCACGTGATATAACAGACCTGTCGCTGGCTTGAAACAAGATCTCACTCAGGAGACTTGTAAAGCAGAGGGTTGGTTGCTTGCCTTATATCAACACAACAATAGGTTCTTTCTCACAATATCTTGTACCTGTGAATTAAAAATGTGTTCGCTTTGTTCTGTCAACCTTCGGGCTGCCTCTGGAAGAAGGGCACGCCTTTGCATCAGCTCTGCTGGACGGGAGTGATATATCCAAATCTGAACTATTACCCTCTGCTGAAGATGGTGTAAGCGCTCATTCATTTGAAACAGTAAATTATTCAAAGTACTACAAAGGAATTCAAGCTGCTGTGTGCATTCCTTATCGCCTATGCAGCTAGCGAAAGCAACAGCAGCCTGAAGCATTTCAAGCAAGGATTCGCTATCTTGAAGAATTCTGTGGACTGCCGCATGGCGTATATTGCACACTGTATGCCTTAAGCTGCGAAGTTTAGCCAATATCTGGTGAAAACCTTTCGAAGATACGTGTTTTTTATATTCAGCCAACGTTGGATAAAGCGGAATCCACTTTGCTCCAACATTTTTTGCACTGCTTCTAAGACAAGGTGCTGAGCGCGGAAAGGCACCTTCTTAGGGATACTCTCTCGAAACGTGGAAACATCCCCTGGCAACCCTTTAAAGACTGTCGGTATACTCATGTGGCGAGCCATGTTATTGGGGGCTTACCGTGATTGAGCCGTTCTTTCCTAGTCCGTGGCACCACTCGTCGGGAAGGATATATCGTATGATACATACTGATTGGCAAATTTGGGATACGAATTATGAAAAAACCTCGAAGCCTGATAACGACGAACATGCAGAAATTTTTGCGTATAAGGTGAATGGGAAAACGACTTATTCATCTCTGTAAACTTTCAATCGCGAGTCCCGAGACGGTGTTATATCTCCAGGAGACGAAGCGGTTGATAGGACTTGCAGTTTACTTAGATTTACGTTTGCGAATTTTGTTGGTGTTGCAATAAGACGGAATGCAGATTTTCCGCCGGGCTTGGTGACAGATGAAGCAAAATGTTGAGGAATCTAAATTCCATATCATTTCGGTCTAGTTCGAGATCTTCGTATTGGTGGTACGCTTGTAGTGCTGCACGTTCACATACGAACGAACGCACTTGACCGATTCCTAACCGACCAGGGCAACTTTAGAGGGCTCTGAAAGCAATCTGTCACTCAGACACCAACGTGTCTGGAGCAATGGTTCTACCTATATGAATCCAGATTTGTATAACAGACCTGGGCCGCTTCTTTCTATCTCCTTGTTGCTGCAGTTCTACAACATCGAGTTTCTAAATGGCGCCGGTTGAGAGTCCTATAAAACAGGAGCAGCTGCGCAAGCGCCGCATAAAACAGGAGCAGCTGCGCAAGCGCCGCAATAACCTGCTACGCCGTCACAATGATTTCTGGCGCTTGTATTCAATCAAAAGTTGGGTAGTAATGGAAATGCCGAACGGTCGCCTCTATACCTACTATTCTCACCCCGATGTCGCTGTCCCAACTAAACAGGAAATAGTAAGATTGTGCTTATATTTTTGGCCACTTGAACGTCTTGTCTCTAACTCATATAGACTCAACGTCGTCAGCCTGCGGTCCACAAATCTCCACCCGACTATGGCCCCTATGAGTCGGCCAATGAAGCAATACCGAAGCTGCCAGCGATTACTGTTTTGGGGCGTTGCAACGAACTATGGAGTACTTTGTCACACTACATAACAAGGTAGCCAACACCAAAATTTGTGAGGAAACTGAGAGGTGTTTCCAATTTTTGTACAGAAGTACTCGCAGGCCTCATGAATGGAAAACGGAGCTTGGGAACACTTTCGTAGAGAAGAATTTCTGCTGCATCTTTCTAAGTTGCAGGGGGTTGGAAATATAGACGACCACAACGCACAGGCAGCATGCGTAGGACTAGGAAAGTGCATTTTCGGTGTGGTCTGCTCGCCAGTGTACGTGTAGCCAAAGACTGTATTTCGGGTATATTTTCAAACCGTCACTGATTGACAAAGTTGCTGAAGTAATCTAGAGAGAGCCAGTCTAGGATAGTAACCTTAAAACCAAGCGTAAGAATTAGTTGGTGAACTATATTAAAACAAGTTAATATCTTTCACGTACAGTTTTTGACATGTTGCGAAGGTGTATCCCGGCCAGGGGTGGGAAACTAATTATTACTAATATTGGTGCCTTAGGATGCCTGATTATACCTGATTATATACCGCCTTTCGGCACCGCTCTTACAGTGTACCTGGTCCTCGCCAAGTAACCCCCCCCCCCTTTCGGGAATTGGGTTACCACAGGTAAATGCAAACTCTTGCCAAATGCAAAATGTACCTTTTGTATGGGATTCACATATAAACGGTACATCCAGTAAATTAGAGTTTCTCGACTTTCGAAGGAGATAGGATAATTATAATATTAGGATTCAAATCTCAGGTATCTCAAGATATATATCTTTTGTAAATATAATTTCTAGAGCACGGTTGGTATAGATATAACGCGAACAATCTTCAGGGGCTGTTCAGAACTCCTTCATGCTATAACACCATGATATCGCCAATCTTAGACATTAAAAGAGTACCAAATGGATTTGTATATCGATAAAATAGAGCAATCGAGCTCAATTTATTTTTATCAATTTTTATCGAATTTTGGCAGATATTGGGCCATATGTACCGTTTATATGTGAATCCCTTACAAAAGGTACATTTTGCATTTGGCAAGAGTTTGCATTTACCTTGCTTGGCAAGAACCGGGTATTGTAAATGAAGCCCTCAAATGGAAGCCTCCCTCCCGGGTAATATTGAAGCTATTCCCACAATACAAATATTCCAACCCTCCCGTTTCTAGGCGTGAAGCCTCTTATACCATATTCTCGACGATTTCAATACCCCCCGACCATACATATCGCCAATCTATCCTCATCGCCATCTATCCTCATCGATCCCGACTGTGCAAATCGCCATCCATCCTCATCAATCCGAATACCCCTGACCATCTCCATACGCCCACGGATCAATCTCGACCCTCATAAACGTGAGATTCGGAGTCAGCCTCGGCGATAGGAATACAAGGACGTATAGTTTACCTTGAGGGGAGCTTCAAGTGGTGGAAGAGAGGGGGACGAGTACACAGTGGGAAGACCTCAACGCCCAGGAATAAGGGAATTCCAGGATTTGTATAGGTGCGAATAGCGTCATATTTGTGCCCATTTCTTAAGGCACCAATATTGTCGACCTCTGTAGTACTTGAATTCTTTAATTTCTCCCAAGGGCTCTTGTTATGAAGAGTGGTAAAAGGATGATATTCCTATCTAACTAAGAATGGTAGCTAACTAGTCGAGGCGGTGAGGGATATCATGTGATCCCCCAACAGCTCTGTTATGGTAATTCAGTTAGTATTCATATTTTCTGCCGGCAAATATTCAGGCATATTCAAGCATCAATATTACTAATATTAGTGTTGAGGGTGGTCATGTGACCGCCCCACTCTTCTAGCTTTAGCTATCCTCCCATGAGATAGTTTCTTCTCTTTCTCTCCACGCGCAATAAGAGTTTTCCAGTTACACCTACATCTTCACTATAGATACTGCTACTCTTCTCAAAGATATCAAGCCGGAGACAGTGAGGAATTTTCGTAAATCTTTAGGGGTACATTCTTTATATTAATAAAGCGCTCCCGAATGGACAGTGGAATCTCTCGTGGACCGGACAGTCCAAGCGTCTAGTGAAATCGAAGAGCCCTAGTGGCTTTTAGTGTACTATCTTTACAATCGAAGCCTCTATGCTGCACGTGCTGAACGCTTTTCCCTTCTCCTAGGAAAGCGATTTAGGTTCCTAGGAACACAAGGGCCCCTCAGGATATTTCACGGACTTGTATAATAGAGATCAATGTTACTTAAGCGCTTTTATAGGCAATAGGTGTCTACCTTTACCAACGGCTGAAGGCTGCTAGGTTCCTGGGAATAGAAGTCTGGTCCCTGGGGTTTAAGTATGGGCTCCTAGGACTGTATGCGCTCCCAGGAATACCCGTGTCGTTCCCGGGGCCACCCGTCCGGTGTCCAGGAATATATATTCAGGCTCTAGGAGACCGAGTGCTTCTGGGAGCTCAACCGTCTGCCCGGTAATCCAAGGGCCTCTAGATTATCGCCACCTATATCACTACACAACCTTATGTATAACGGATTCTTGTAGCAGAGAGGGGTTACTATAAAGACTTAAATAAATTCCTAGTGGTACTTTTTTCAATCGCTATCACCACCTTTATACAATCTTTACCTCACGTCCACGTACTACGCTCAAGATGTCAGACTCCCAATGGCTTTGGGATCCCTTGAGTATCTGTGAAATGGGGCCCCTTAGGGTAACTAAGACCTGTTGTGGTATTACCAAGAAAGGAGATGCTTGCAAGCTGATCGTGAAGAAAGAGACCCTCAAAGAAGGTCGCCACAAGTTGAACAACCTAGCACGACGCCCATTTGTTCTTTCTACACTTGACTCCCAGCTAAGCGACCTTGTGTCACTCTTCCTCTGCAAACAATGGCATCGAGAGCGTCAGCACATTGATGTTAAACAGCGGTGGTTCGATGCAGCCGTGCGTAATCAGGCCGATGCACAAGAAGCCCCACGCCAGCGTTTTCCACAAATTATCCCGGAAGAAATCGACGGATCGCAACAGGAACCAGCCAGCACAGCCTTAGAGATAGATGAGTTTGCTCCTATATGGGGTGTTGATACGGCTTTCCCAAGGCTTCCTGCGTCCACATGGCTAGAGGTGTCTCGGCCTCCTGGTCGGGATATTACACCGGGTATGCTCACAATGAATCGCGTGCCGTGGGATATTTCACGGGATACTCCAGCCATTTTATCTATCCAAAATGAATACGGTGGACTGCACTCCCTCCAGATTCACATCGTTCGCCAAGAGTCCTGTCCAGATGGTGAGAGGTGCCCAATTTGCTTCGAGGGCGATAGCGACGATCTCGTTATGTTGCAATGCGGTATATGTAAGGGGGTGGTTCATCTGGGGTGTATAGAGGGCTGGCTCGTCCATCGTTTACCAGGAAACAACACCTCTTGCCCAATACAGTACGTAACTTATCACCCTCTAATCCCCCAGTCCGTTCACTAATACAGATACAGTCGATGTCATGGATCGTTCAGCGCTCTCTTACGCTCGTCGGCCGTTGAAAATACTACTGGCGAGTCGACAGCAGAAACACCTCTCGATACCGCAAACACACTAGTAGAAGAGATGAACGCTCCAACAGTACCTCCGCAGCGTCGGTCGACCCAGACTACCCGGCGTTCAGACCGTCTTCGGGTCTCATCAAGCTCATCTATTATCCGTCGATCACCTCGATCGAGACGGGTTCCCGACCGCTTCCTACCCTAGGTGTATATTCTACATAGACGAAAGCTAGTTTACGAATGCACGAGATCAATTAATTCCACAGGATCAGATTTACCGTGGGGCTATGCGCAACGTGTTTGGCACCATTCCTGAGTAAAGACAACCGGTTTATGTTTAGAAAGGTTTTAGGATACATTGGACCAGTTAGATTTTGCGGGGTAGTCTATAAACAGATATGGTTAGACCTTTCTAGGGCCGGTTTTACCGCGGTGATCGTTTTTCTAACGCAGCTTTGAACGCTTAACCTAATAAAGCTAGACAGCCATAAACAGCCACGCTCGGCTCGATAGGTCAGTGTCTAGCTAGCACTGCAGCGAGGCAGCTATCCCCTTATATCTCTGTGGCCTTATTATATAAATAGGAATTGTCTGAACGTCTCTGTGTACAAATTTTCCCACTACTCAATGTTGACCCCTTAAGCTATACCAAGTCTATTATATTCTATGCAGGATGGATCCTATAAAGCGCCAGCCCTCTCGACCTGAGCCTTTGTGGCGTGATGGAACGCCAGATTGGGCCGCTTTGGAAAGAACATCTCGTCCTTCTGCGCTGTCTTCCAGGCCCCAGCCCGGTCCAGTGATAATCCCATCTACTCTGCCTCTTTCTCATCCTACGCAGCAGAAAAGCCAAATTGAAGTTCGGACTATTCAGCCGGTCTTCCAAAATCCGTGGTTGACTTACGAGGCGATCGTGGTGATCTCTCAAGGACAGTCTGTCTTTCTGGCGCGACACAGAAAAGACAAAGCGACACTCGTCGATATCCATCTTTCAAAGCAGCAATTCTCATCCGTGAAACCATTGCTGGAAACAATCAGCCAAATATCACACCCCAGCTTTCTAGGTCTAGTGGGGTGCTATTGTTGGGAGGAGCAGGTATTTCTGGTCCGGGAGCCAGTAGAGCTCTCGGTAAGTCACATCCTCGCATCAAGATGCACTATCACTGAGGATGAAATTGCTGCAATTGTTCGGCCGGTACGTACTACTGTCAACGGTTGACGCGAGAAAGTAAACGGTGCTTATGCCCGATAGGTCCTCGGAGGAATTCAATATCTGCGCGGTCACGGGAGAGCACTCGCTGCCTTGAATGCCGATACTATTCTACTCACGGAACTCGGTGGGGTCAGGATCGGTGAGTAGATATCTGAGTATAACTGGGGGGCTATATAAGCATGAGATTCTGATAGTTGGCTATGTCGCAGCGGGAGTGGAGCATAGTTGCCAAATCAATGCAGCCGAGATGGACGCAGCCACTATGAAGCTGTTTGCCTTAGCTGAGGTAGTGGAGAGGCTGATCATGAAGAATCCTTCACAATATCTATGGAGCGCCGAGATAAAAAATCTGCCTGAAGAGCTGAAAAAATGCGATTCACCGGAAAAGCTGCTACGCGTAAGCCTTGGCCTCCCAGCCCTCTGCGTTATATACTGACCAAACAGAACAAATTGTTCGAGCAATTGGGGGATGAGAGCGAACTGAAGATGCTGGTGAATGCGGCCAACAAGACTGCTTACCACAATCTAGAGTCATACAAGCGTATATGAACGTGGTGATGCGTAAATGCGGCGGGAATCCGTACCTCTTACCGTTTGGCAGGTGAGAAGACACAATTGAAGGTACTATACGTTTTGTACTGCAGATAGTACAGAATTTGGAGGCAATCCGCAGCCCTATTTGAGGATATAGCTTGCGGGGGCTTTTTTGAAATACAGCTATATATTATCTATATTACACTAACGAAGTGATTGTCACTAAACACTGACACAAAGTGGTTGAAAATAGTCAGATATAGGCAAATCTCACCCGCTTTGTTCGTAGCTGAACTTGGCTTTGTCCGTAGGATAAGCTGCCCTCGTATATCGATTTTCCATTTTCAGCAAATACACTATCCACCGAAGATATCTCAGGGGAAACAGCTTTTATATGATCTAGGAGCAGATATTTGATGGTTTCACCGCGCCTAACGTATGACTGGATCTATGGCGATATTCCGTATCGGTCCATGGTATTGGGATTGGCGCCTCTTGAGAGTAGTAGGCTCACTAAGTCTCTGTTACCTCTAAAGACGGTAAGCCAGAGTACTGTTTGACCCTCGCGATTTGGAATATCGATTTTGACACAAGGCTGTTGAAGGAGCTGATTCACAACCGCAGATGATGTAATCCTGCCGGGATGGTAGGTTTACTTAGGCCGCTAGTTACACGGGTTTTGATCCCTGCACCCCAAAAATCTCTAACGTATTCGGTAAGCGAGCGGCGGACGCAAGCGAGTGGCGGACCCCAACCAATGCATTAATTTCAAATATAAATATGTCAACCAAAACTCCATTAAATTAAATACAGTGAAATCATCTAGCTAGCTAGGCATCTATTAATCTTATGTCCTATTTCTCCACAACCACTGCACTTTGGTGGGGCCCGCGTACGTGGTTGTAAAGCCGGCGAAGGGCTTCTTCGTAGAGGGGAGGGAGGTGCTTTAATTGCTTCCACCGGCTCAGTAATCAATTGAGAAGCTTCCTGTACTGAAAGGCCTGCTTCTGCCTGTATTTGCCTCCGGGATCTAGTACGCTTTTGCTTCTGCTTCTCGTTGGCGGCGCGTAATTCCTTATTTTCTTTGGCGAGTAAGATAGCACCTTGCATTGTAAGACGGAAGCCTTTCACAAGCTGGTTTAATGCACGATCTGACGGGCTAGGCGGGCTTCGAGACCTTGTACGAAGTAAGGCTTTAATTGATGAAGCCTGACGACGTAGTTCTTTCTCCGTAAAGGGGGTTTTTGGAGTAAAATTCCGGCTTGATTCACTACCCCGGCTAGCTGGGGGGTTGGGGTTCGAAGTCGAATATTAAGCTTTGAAATCACTCGGTCGGGTGCAAATGGTATTAAACCAGCTGCTCCGAAGCTATTCTTAATAGTCTCCGATTTAAAAGCTTCAATTCGTGTAAGGGGGTATGCTTCGAGGAAGTCAAGTTTGTCAATATGATTGATCCCGTTCCGCATCTTGATTTCAACCATCCGACCATATATACGTTTTAATGCCGCAAAACAACCAATGTCCAGAGGTTGTAAAAGATGAGATGAATGCGCTGGCATACAGATTGGTATCACCTTATTTTGCTCGCAAATTGCGTCAAATTTAGGCGTTAAATGACTTCCGTGACCGTCGAGTATCAAAAGCCGATAGCTCCCCTTCGTACGTAAAGAAGTAGTCGGAATAAAGAGCTTTTCAAGCCAACGAAAGCTAATTTCATCAGAGGTCCAGCCATTAGGACTAACTTCGAAGCGCCAATCCCCCGGAAGGCCGTCGAACCATGATTCAATAAAGACTTTGCCTTTAAAAATCATACACGGAGGAAGGGCCCAGCCCGAAGCATTTATACACTCAATAGCAGTCACCCACTCTCGATTTCCAGGTTGTAAAAGTGAACGCCGACCATAGTATTCACTCCTCGTAATAACCTTTGCAGTTGCAGTCAATCCCATTGCAAAACCAGTCTCATCGAAGTTGTAAATATCATCGGGATCGATTCCAAATTGAAGAATCGTCTTTTGAACTAAATCAAACCACTCCCTAATGATTTTAGGGTCTTCGCATTTTGCACGTTCGTAATTGTACCGTTTCGAGAATCGGGAGGAGAGAAGAGGATGTCGTTTCACAAAGTTATATACCCATTTTTCGCCAACCGAAAGAACCGGGGTAGTTCCACGCTTTTGAAGAAGAAGATCCGCCATTTCTCGTACCATAGAGGGCCGGGGGGCTGCTCCACGAGAATCCATAGAGAGAATCCATTTTTGAAGAGACTCCTCTTCAATTTCCGTCAATTTAGAGGAATTTGCGCGACAAATCACGCGGCTCTGTACCCCCTTAAGGCGGCGGCGGAGGGTAGTTTCGGGCACACTAAAACGGCGCGCCACTTCACAAATTGAAGAGATTTCTTGATTTTTAAAGGCCTGGATAGCTAATAAAAGCCTGCCCTCTTGCTCTATTAAATTTGTAGAGGATTGAGAGCGAATTGGTGGCATAGTGGGTGGTTGAACTAACTAAGTGCTAATTCATGGACGCGTTTTGCGTGGGGTCCGCCACTCGCTTGCGTCCGCCGCTCGCTTACCGAATACGTTATTTGCACCCCAATTATATAATCATATGATTATATAATTAATTATCATCGGAACAAACAGGGTAAAGGTCACATGACTATCAATCTATCTATCAATCTCCTATAGTAACCATTGTTTACTACGTATATAAATACTACTCTCCCCTTCTTTTATCTCTTTACCGCTCTGATAAATTTACAACCAATCAAACGCTGCAAAAATAGCTGCAATTATAGTGTAAATAGAGACCTTTCAACTGTTTTTAATACAGTTGATAAGGCCATTATATATAGACTGCGACATCGCCCATGGACGGGCGGGTGGGCAGTGCCCACGGGCCTTATGTAAGCGGGCGATGGGCACTATCAATACGCCCATGGACGGGCCCTACCCTTAGGGCCCATTGTCCATGGACACCGTGGGCGCCCGTGGGCCTTTTTAGTAAGCAAAATTAGCGCAACACGTGATTTTTATTGACAGATTTCAAAATATTTCAACTAAATTTATATTTTTTATATATTTACAATCATAATTCCGGATTTTTAATAAGATATATATAAATATATATACTATAATTTACTATATATCTAATTTTTATATATATTTAAGACAACTTTATATAATGGTGGGTATCGTGGGCATGCCCGCCGTGGGCATGCCCGTGGGCCTTGGGCGTTATGGACGGGCACTCGAAAATCCAAATAGCCCAAGGCCCACCGTGGACGGGCGATGTCGCAGTCTAGATGTGACTAGTCTCTTTCGTAGTAGTCGAAGAAATGTGTGATAGGCCTGAAAGTTGCACCTGCTTGGAATGGGTGCTACCGGGTTGGGCCGTTGATTTCGGTGTCACTGTATCCAAACAAAAGACAGGATCAAGGCTATTCGATGTTTCCTTCGAGTAGAACCCGGGTGCCAGCGGATTTTTGGAAGGAATAACACCGAACTAATCCTCATTGGATCAAGTGGCTTCTCGATGCCTGCTGTATCGTATGCGCCACATCTATAAAGCTTAGTCGAGCTTGGTTGAAAGTCTCTAGTAAAAACATAGAACCTACATAGTATTGGGTATATTCCTGTTAGCACGAATTATACAGGAAAGCCTGGTTCCTCTTTGCACTTGGTATTTTCAATCGCAATGTGAGGATTGACTTCTCTATATACGAAGTTAAGTTAGCTTAAACCTAAGAAGAATAGAGGGCGCAGATTTGCACACCTGAGTGCGATTGTGGAAAAATGGAAAGCAGTAAAGTGCGCAAAAAATGAGAAAATATCAGCTCGCAATAAGGGTGATCAAAGTTAGCTCTATAGTATCCATACTAGGGGAAGGTGAATTGAAATATATCTTTCGTACAATGATCAGGCTTTATATATCTATTAAATTATACTATTATATGCGACCCGATTACTGACAATGTTTTGCTTCTTCCGGCGACGAGCAAACATCAGACTTATTGGTTATGGCCGCTATCTCAGTTAGTATATATCTATCTGGACTGAAGAGTTCAATTGGTCGAAGTAACTAGATCTGCACGCTCTCGCTCTACATTTGATGGAGGTGAAAATAAATGCTACGTTTGCAAAAGCGTGCGGATGGGCACACAGCATGAGAGACCTGATGATAATTGAGTGAGAATACTTCAAGGTCGATACCAAAAAAATTGAGCCTCGCCAAGGACTCAGTGTAGGAGCAAAACATGAATTGAATTATATGTGCACTGGTCAAATGAATCCGAGTTGTTCCTGGCGCCTGTCAAGGTCTTTAAGAGTGTTATAATACTAGTCGGTCAAACCCTTATTCATCTCGTATCCTAAAACTGCTGCTAACTCTTTCGTTCTGTTACCCTTATATACGTATTTTGAGCGTAGGTGCTGATAACAAAGAGCTTTCTTCAAGTCAAGGTCTTTTGCCGATTGTTGTAAGACAATCGGATCATCGCTGCTCAACGGAATGAATTTTATAATCCCATATTTCCCCCAAACCTGTGTAACACCAGCCTCGAGCACGGCAAGGTCCACCAGGAATGCATCCTTCGTATTTCCATAGTCCTCAGTGCCAAGCTCTTGAAGAGGAACGGCATCAACAACCACATCGTGGAGGCCCTTTCTTTTCTTCCATAAGTTGGAGTCCATTGGGATAGAACCAAATTCGCAGTCTTGTTTGGTTAGAGCTTGGTTTTAACGAGAAGGAAAGGGGAACCCACAAGCAAGCTAACCGGCGCTGGATCTTCGACAGGAACACCAGAGACTGAAGAGGTAGGCTGTTCTTTCGACATCACGGCTATATCTGTTTTCGTAGGTTCGATCGTAGAACTTTGATCGGAATCTGGACCTCCGAATAAAACTGTTTCTCGGGACTTTGGGGGGTTCGTTTCCTGTGAAATTCAGGAATATTAGATTGGGGGTTTGCTGAAAAGCAATCTGGCCTCGGTTCTCAAGCTCCTTTATTGCTAATTATCTTATATTGGCCCAGGGCAAATCGGGCTAGGGTTGCTTTGCGGGGATAAGGGATGGGATTGCGATGATCACTTACCAGATTAGGGTCGCCCATTGGGGGACCTAAATCGGGCTAGCGTTACTTTCAGGGGATAAGAGATGGGATTGCGATGATCACTTACCAGATTAGGGTCGCCCATTGGGGGAACCTAAATTGGGCTAGCGTTGCTTTTGCTAGGGTGTGTGGTGGAGTGGCGACAGGCAACAGTCAGGTTAAGGTCCCATCTTGTAGATTCAACGTAGTTGTGTTTTGACATGCGGGCAAGTAATAGGGCTGACTGGTCAGGTAGAGCTTGATTCAAGAACTGGTCGGCCGTATGGATATAAGATGGTAAAAAGCTTAGAGTAAACTTGGATATAACACAGGCACTAAAAAGGTGATTTTGATTTACAAAAGTCGAGACAAATTGTTCTAATATAGGGATTAAGAAGTGCAAGGGGTGTTCGCCTCACACTAGACACATCGATGTGATGAGACTGCAGGTATGGCGCATTTGATTGGCTCGTTGCTCGCGCCACCTGAACACCTATACTTGGGGGCGAGGCGGGAAAGAAAAACTATTTGGCGCCTTTTCGTCTTGTATTCGCCCATAGGTATGTAGGCAAGTATGCCTTGTTCCCGCCGATTTGGATTTGAGGGTGATAATACCGCCTATATCTGGTATCTTGAAGAGAGAATCTTTACACTTGAGAAAATTCTTCACAGCACATCTCGACAAGATACCTATATCGAAGCCCTTCATCCTTCACGAGGCCAAGACAACTTTGCCAACAATCCGGGAAAAGATTTCGAAGTTGCGAGATATCATGAAAGCCGCGTCCCTGACAGGCAAGGATGGGATGATGGGACGCAACCCGTATCAGAGACCCCACCAAGCCCTGGTGACGAACAACACAACCACGAAGCTGAAGATGCGGTCTGTCAATGGACAGGATTGGAAATCATCGAATACAACCCGCTTAGTATGCTTCCGAAAGGTTCCGGGGCTAGATCGAAGATTAAAAAAAATAAACAGCCCGGGTCTTCTCCAAATAAAAACGAGCACCGCAGGGGAAGTGGTGGGCAACAGCTTAGGGTGAAGTCTGAACTTGATAAATTTCTTGAGGACCTACCTTCCTTGAAAGATTGGAAGCCCCCTATCGACGAAGCTCGACGCAGAATCGTTCTTCGGGAATTGGTCCGAGACTACGGGTCGGCTGCGCCGACCTGTACCTCGTTAAATAAGGTATTCAAAACACCATCGGGCAATTCGGCTGAGCCTGCCAATATTATTCCAATCCTGCGTCAATACAGACAGTTCACGGTGAGGAGCAGCAGTATAGATCGGAAAATCGCCTACTTCCGAGAGCTTGTCTTCGTTTCATTATGTGCTGTTGCGTTGAGAGTTCATGAAGACAAAGACCAAGTGTACGAAGTTATACGAGATTTCCGGGGATCTAACGCTCAGTCAAAATATTTGAACAAACTTGTTTGCGGTGCAAAGTGGGCGAATCGTGCTATGTCTCTCCTTAGCCAGACTAAATGGGCATCTAGAAGCTGGAGTGTTATTTTCGATGGTAAGTCAAATCCCATCAGGCTCTTCGCATCTGCTAAATCAAGAAGCGGAGCATCCAATTGGCTTTTACGCTCGATTCGCCGAGTTTTCTACCGAGACCAAGAAATTATTTTTAGGGAGAGTAAGGGAGAATACTATCAATGACTCTTCCGAACTTGCAATCACAGACGAAGCAGCCCCTCTCGTGGTACCTCTGATCGTAGAAAGGCTGTTCAAAAACACCACTTCGTAAGTTTCTCGTTGCTATTTCTGATTCCAAAGGCATGACTAACTAAAAGCAGATTGGAGGTAATTTGCAAGTGTCTGGGGTACAACTGCAAGGCTGTGAATTCATATCGGCTACTTTTCGACCAGGCATTAAGCCCTCATAGTAATAAAAGAGCCAACACATCAGCGCAACTAGGGCTATCAAAAAGGCGATGTCAAGGCCAACGCGACCCGCCAGTATCAGGTAAGTCTATGTCCATTTTCATAAGTCATCAGTAAATGACTTTTTCAGATTGCGATGACGACACGCTGCGACCAAGGAGCCAGCATTTAATGTTAACTGATGGCAAACCCCCAGACACTCAACTAAACTTGGAGCAAAGCAATGGGATATTCGACAAGGCCACTAGCTTGAGCTCCAGAACTCTGCAGAGCCGCCGGTCTCTATCACTTGATCTTCAAACAACACTGATATCTTCTACCCATGAAAGCCCTAGGGCAAACCCCGACGTTTCTGCCTTAGTAGATCCCTTCCCGGCCAGTGACTTCCCCCGAGATGATTTCAACAATCTACCCAATCTACCAGAGTCCGACCCCTTCCCAGCCAGTGACTTCCCTCAAGATGATTTCAACAATATACCCAATCTGCCAGAGTGCGACCCGCCTCCTTTCCTCGCCGACCCCTTCCCAGTCAGTGACTTCCCTCAAGATGATTTCAACAATATACCCAATCTGCCAGAGTGCGACCCGCCTCCTTTCCTCGCCGACCCCTTCTCAGCCAGTGACTTCCCTCATGGGTTTTTCAATGCTCCGCCAGCGTTGCCATTATCCAACATACATTCTATCCTAGCAAGATCTTTGCCACTCGGAGATAAAGCTGGCACGCCAAAAGGTTGCTCTGTCAACTCTGCTGTCACGAGGGAACCAGGGGATTGTTCGACAGGTTCCGTTGCCACACCTGGTTCTCGTCAGGGGAGTTTGGCCGGTTTTCCAGTGTGCCCTTCCAGCCATCTTCCAAATCTGACAAGCTCCGTCCTACATAGCGATACTTCAGAGCGGTTGTTTGAACATCCTTCTGGGCGGGCTGGAGGCTATTCTACTGTTTCAGGGGTCTCGAATTTCTCAGAGCATGCAAGGTATGAAGTTCAAATTGCGCGGAAACATGGTCATTTATCTTGGCTGGAGAAATTAGTGGCATAACACAAACCGTTGATAATATATACACAGTAATGAATACGATACTCAATTTTTATCTGATGCTCGAGGTCATAGGGAGATAGTACATGATTTGAAGAGAAGATGCCAATTCACATTTCATTGCCCAGCTGGGGATGAGTCGTCAGCCTTGGGTAAATAGACAATTAAGCAATCCAACTGACTGTCGAGTTTCAGCGGACTAGAGAATGAAATATAGGTTCCTGGTGTAAGGACCTCGCCTGCAGCTTGCACTTCCCCTGCCGCACCATCCGACCCGGGCTTAATTGATAAAGGAAAGAAAAGAGACTGGTAATGACGAGTGGGTTTGAAAGCAATCTTTCCCGTGATCCGCCAGATCGAGTAGCCGTATCCCTAAGAATATTAGGGCAAGTTTCAGGCAAGTTTCAGGCAAGCAATATATCGATATACCTTGATTTTATTAAATCTCAGTTCCTCCAACAAAGGATCAACTCTCACATGGCGGCCTTCATCTGAGCATCTGAATAGGTGTTCCTGTTCCGCCTGGAACTCATTCGTTTCGGAGACCTATGCCGAGAGTTCTGTCAATCGCGAGCGGGCACTCTGATTTATCGTTGTGGGAGACATCGTGTGGATGAAGGTAAAGAGCTGTAAATTGTTTGTCAGAATATATTGAGTGTCAGCTGCAATTATATGGAAAACTCACCCAGGAGACAAACTGGTTCGGTAACCGACGAGCGCCAGCATTTATAGAGGGGTAGATACAACGAGACGTTGCTTGGATACCCGAGATGTCATCGGGCAATGATTAATAAGGTATATCACGTGAGATCATAACGTGTGTTCTGTGGTCCCTAACGGAAGTTAGGGCCTAATATATACCGCTGCAGTGACAAACACACGTTCTGTTTGTCCCTATGATCTTTTGGCCTAGCGGCAAAATACTCTTATATAATCCCTTAGGAGTTGCGGCCTAAGCGGTGCTTAGGATTACACTGGCGGGTATTATATGTCACGTGCTGAGTCTAGCTCTTTTAGGTTAGGCGCAGTATGTGCCCAGCAGATGTCGGGTGGTGATTGTTTTGAGCACAAGAGTACACGACTAAACCCTTGGCTGATAGAGCTGGATTCTGTGGTAGTGCCGTAGTAGCTATATGGTGGCATAAATAGTGTTCCGCGTGCAAGTGCGGGTGACAACAGACGCAATTGACTTTGTGAAAGGTGAGCCTAGGATATATATATTGACTAGTACGGTTTGAAGTTTCAGCCGCGAACTTAATGAACATGGCCTTCTATGGGCTAGGTGAGCCCTTCGCACTTGCTATCTCCTGCTAATGTGTCATAAGATCAATACCCGCGTTCTCACTCCTAACAACGCGTATTTTGCACGATCATAGCCGCGTTGCGATAGGCGCGAAGTGATATTTCCCAAAACGGGGGTTTAACTGTAGACCCACCGGCCGGAACGCTAGCGCTCGTAAGATAATACGGATACGCGACCACAATGTCGTCAAGACACCTCGTCGGGTATCGGAGCCGGTATTCCTAGCACGATACTGTCTATACTATCACAAGATTCACGTTGTCTGCCTCCATGCAGTTTTACCATGCTCCCCTTATGTGCTTGGTACTCCTGCAACACCTGTATAGCTTCGGTGATCCCACTGCCGATACGAACCAACTCGTCTTCTAGGTAAGTTGCTCGAGATGAACTACTGTCCAACTCGTCCTGAAGCCGACGGATGTTTGCTTGCAATATACGGTTTTCGCCGAGGGACCCTTGCAGGTGGATAGTGGTACGGTCAAGCTCGTCCTTCAATACATGATTGGCGCATTTCAGCTCGTGGATCTTTGCTGTGAAGGATCCGCTTTCCTCTTGGTCACTACGAGCTGGCCCGGCCTATTCAAATTTAGTATTGCGTTTACCTCGTCAGACAACTTCAGGGATCGTATAGCTCACCTCTTCTCGTGGCAGGTGGTCCCGTTCTAATTGGGTAACCTGTAGCGTCTGCGGAGTAACTGCCTCAAGCGACCGGCCCAATTCCTCACAAATGGACTTGTATAGGCCCACGCTTCCACGGCCCAAATTTGACTGCAATAGGCTCTTCTTGGATTCCGTCACCGACCAAGCGTATTTATCTCCGACTGATGGCTGTAGGCGGACATCGGCGGGAGCGACGACAAGACCAAGTCGATCATCTGACGATTAGTTTCGCTTATCAGGCGGAGGAAGACTATAGCATACATATATGGGCTGCCAATGCCTCACGACACTGTTGTCTGAAGAAGGCACGCTTCTCATTGCTTGTGAGGACCATGATTGTATTTGATTTGCCAAACAAGGCTGTAAGTCCTTGATATATGTTCGTTTTAGGCTTTAGAGATTGTATGTCTTAAGGACTTGAACGTCCTAGTGGGGCTAACCGGTTACCGAAGATTAAAGTTAACCGAACCTTGGAAACCGGTAACAGGCCATAAAGCTCGGGTAGCATTGAGTTGACCAGGACGGTTGTATGGTCGTCGCGAATAACCCAAGTGGGCGAACTCCGCTATTTTACTACCTTAGCTTAGCCAGTCTAGACGGATGATTAAAGGAGAGCTTAGACGATGGCTAACGACTTACCTTTGTCCCTATAAAAGCTCTAAGCCCGAGTCTATGAAGCACAACCGGAATCACCTCACCAATTTTTGGGAAATGGCTAGAGTTTTTATAGACGGATAGTCAGTCATCCCATGGCCAAGTGATTTAGCCCAGTGGCCCTCCAGCTTCTGATGGTTTGGAACCAAGTAACACCCACCCCTCAGTTTAAATAGACTATTTATCAACCGATCAAATACAATTTTCGCCCAATGGGCTACGCGTCTATTATATCCCTTGTGTCTTTGCATCGCCAACTACCAGATCCCTGTCGTTCACCGTACCCGGTTTCAGAGTAACTTCTAGGCCTATTAGACAGCGTAAAACAATAAAAAAAACCCTGAGGTCCAATCTATCGTATGGCTATACGGCGCTGTGGGAGGCGGGAGAGCAAACTCGGAAGAGAGTACAATCAACTTTCTAACGCCGCTTAAGTATGGCCGTGCTGTCGACCTTATCATCTTACGAGCTATTAAGTGAGGAACGGCAGATTAGAGATATACGTTGATTGTGACAAGGAGTAATTAGTGGTGAATGTAAGGGCATGGCAACGATAAATAGCATATGAAGCGGTCTAATATTAGCGGTTAGGTATTCAAGTGTAGGTCTATACCCGCACATTTGTATGGTGGCTACAGGGAGTGAATGTTGGAAGTCGGTCGAATACAAGTAACCGAGGGTCTGCTACCCAGTACTACTGCCACGGTGACTTTAGTCTAGCTATACTCCACTATAGGCAGCCGAGGGAGCAAATTTGTAGTATAAAGAGAGACCAGTTCCCAGCAGCGGAATGAGCCTCTTTGCTAGCACGATCAGTTATGGAGAGCCCCAGCAAAACATCAGAAGTCACAGGTACACAGGAAGAGGCACCGCTCTATATACAGCCAAGTCCAACCGAGGAGCCCCCACTTCCCGGTGTTGCAACCCCGCTGCCGGTAAGAATAGAATTTGAATAGACCGGACCACGCTGACCAGCCAGACCCAAAAACACGACATAGAGAGGCAGACTTTGGCTATAGAGCCCTTCCGACCTATACTTGAGGTCTTGAAGCAAATTGAAGAAGAAGATACTGAACTTGCATTTCGTGCTGCACATCTGGTGGGGTACATTAGATGTCTGTGGGAGTCTTGTGTTTCCAAACATACAGATATCCAGCAGCTCGAAGAGGAAAATGAGAAGCTGCGGACTGGGAATATTCAGCTATGCAACGAGGGAAACCGCTTGAAGCACTGCCAGGATAAGCAAGTAGCCCGCTTGCGTGCTATCGATGATGCGTTGGATGAAGTTCGGGGAAGGCTTATCGGTGTGCTCAAAGTTTGGAACGATCGGTCTGTCGGCAACTTGGCCATTTTGCCGGAAGATGGGGTTTCCCGATATTAGTCGTTGCCGTCGAACAGGTCAAAGTTACTTCAAAGCTTTGCACCGCCACAATGCTTCAAGCAAGTGTTCGATGATAGCAAGTATTTGCTAGCCCTCCAATGAATCCCTTGATTCTGTGTGCCTAAACTTCGTGGTCTACAGTTGCTGAACAAGTTGATTGTTCACCGACTGAACTTCCAGCACTTCGAATAGCGAAATATAACAAGATCATCTAGGTGGGCAGAATGTATAATTGTAGCTGTCAAAGTCAGCAAAGAGTGGTATTTCCTCGTACGCGGCCAACTTTACCTCTAGAAATAACAGCCAGCAGTAAGTACCAACTAGTGCTGTAACCTTGGTAAGGCACGAGGAAAGGGAAAACAATGAAAGATAGATCATCAATTGAGATAGTGTATTGATAAGGCTTCGCAGCAGGATGCTCATTCGGAGAGACTGATCCTTGGTGGTTAACTTCGGCTTGAGAAATAAGCTTGTAGTATATACCACGAGTAAGAATGGAAACACGCAGGCTATCCTAAGTTTTACCTCTCTTACAGCCTCACTTGTTCCGGCCCAGCTCAGTCCATATAATCTACCAGTAGAACATCTTTCGGTACAGACACTGCAAGGTCAGAGGGCCAGATATAAAGAGTTTTCCTGCACTGTTCGACGAGACAATTCCAAGCGAGCGAGGCTGGCAATTAGCAGCACGGTAGCCAGGGTTTTATACACCTTAGGCGAAATCTGCATGACTGGCTGGTATACTCGCAACGTACAGTTTTAAAGGGACTGAGTTGCACTTATACACAGGATTATATGCTACTGGATTAATTATGATATTATATATAGGGGCTCAATGATCCCGTCCTTCGATCTGTAACCGTCGTATATAAGCTGGTGACACCGAGCCTCCTTCTGGGAGCCCAATTAATGGCCCTGGAAACGGGGCGGGAGTTCCTAAGACCCCCGAAGCTCCCGGGAACATATACTTGGATCCCGGGAACCTTCTGTCCACTCCCAGGCACCGAGCAGCTTCTAGCACTTCATAAATATAGACGCCTATTGACTAAAAATGTACTCAACAAGCCCAGTACTCTAGGAGCGGGAGTGGCTCTCCCAGGAACGAACTAGGGTACATGCTTACCGTACGGTACATTGAATATTTCTGAAAGCTTTTATAAGACGCCTTGATCTCCACTTTTTTATACCGTTCAACACTTCAAACGAACTTATTATTACAATTTCCCCTCGGTAAGATCTTCATAGTAGCTTGAGCAAGACGAGAATATACTGAAATTCCAAAACCTACAGCTCAATTCGCATACTCTGTCAAGATGTCTCCGGGTCAAAATGGAATCTCATTGCTATTTTACCACGCAGGCTACTATGAGATAGCATGCAGTATAATGGGACAGTTGACGGCTTCCGATGTTGGCGCCCTCTTAGCTTCACTTCGGATTACACCATCCCAGCATACAGTGGAGACGTTCCTACAGCCACTACGAGACTTTGACTATACCATGCGACAGTTTGAGCCCTGGTTCGAGGAGAAATGTCAGATACTAATTATCGGCCCGGACACTATTCGATTGAGCGACCGGATCTTCAAGGCAGACAAGTACTACAAGGAAAAGCGCTCAAGTCAAGCTCGGCTGGAGGTGTGGATAATTGCGATCCCCGCCACCTTTGAAAAGAGCGTTAAGGACGTTCAACGCCTCAGGTACCGTTCTTATGCCTCCGCGTTATTTTCTCTGCAAACGCGCGCAAAAGCAGGGATTGCTGGGCAAAAGCTTCTCGAAAATAACCTGATCAGGCAGATCAGTTATACAGGATTCAAACCACGCAAAGTATCTGGAGAGTACCTAGATGTCAATGTTTTCGATCTTTTTAACACGACCACACATCGGTATCTAGAAACACATCTAATTGGGCTTGAATTTGCGGGAATGGAATTTGCCATCGAGTGGAACATCAAGGATCCAATGTCGAAGGATCACTGCTGGAAGGCAAGTCACGGACTTCCTTACATTGAGGCTGCTAGCCCTCGCGACACCAAGGTAGCCGTGAAAGACCGTTGGCGTCATCCAAAACCTCAAAGCCTGGTATTTTACCCCGTGTACCCGGATTGGGATCCACAGTCAACGGTTTCTATCCCTACCAGCTCGCCCTGAACTCTTGCGCTTTGTCGCAACAGGTGTGTTGTTTGCTGGTCAGTTGTTCATGATAATGAACGAGTACTGTAAATAGAACTATAATCTTACGTTGATATAGCGGAAGTACTTAGGGCTCGATGACACCGACCCAATAGCAGTAGATACGGAGCCAGAGACAAGTAGAGTCCAAGGCCGCGGTCTCAAGGCCTTGCAGGTCATCAGATTGCCAGCTGGCGTCCCCTACAATACCACGGCCCGCTTAGCCACAGATCTCAGAGCTACAGATCCCTGATGGCTCAAGCCCTGATACAAGCCTTTAGAACCAATTACAGCGCCGTGAGTGTCTCATATATACATAGAGGTAGATACCGTTTGGAGATAAGCAATCAAATTTAAGAAATACTATAGTCGACTCTAGATACAAGACGCAGCGCGAGGAAGCAAAAGAAACAGGCTTCCTCCCGTTCAGGGGAACCCATATACGCCATGTGGGTCCCGCAGATCATTTTTCCAAACATCCTGTATACTTTATGTATATCCCTGATATTGGCATTCAAAGTAGGTGATATTATATCAAATGATACCGGGATGTATAGAAATGTCAGCCAAGTTATACCCGCGGGAAACTAGTTATATAGAGGCCATGGCTGCAAGGACTTGAGACTCTCAAGCCCACCATTCGATTACCGGTGACAAAACGTCTTCGGGGCCAGAAAGATCAAATACCTCCACAGAGAAGACCAATGGCGTTGCAGAGGCCCCTCCCATTACCGAAAGTTCACCGAGGTCAGTCGCTGGGTGGAAGTATCATGAAGGTCCTGACTAACATCGGCTCAGACAGGCAACATCCAACTCAAAGAGTTGAGGGTATCATTACAAGTATATATGCTGAAATGTCGAGAATGCAGTATAACCACATTCTTATACTGCAAAACTGCGACAATATACTGCGGGATTACGCAGATGCAAGTGCCAGCTTGGAGGAGCAAAATCGGTCTTTGCTTGAACATATCAATAGTCTTCAGCGAGAAAATTGCTCCCTAGAGCTTAAGCACAACAAACTGATGTCCGAATAGGCGAAGGAGAGGCTACAGTGCCCAGAGAAGCCCGATGAAAAGCGATCTGAGACCTGCTTGATTAGATCTGATTGACCGGATTTTGCATCAAACTTTGAGGTACCGGAATAACCAGCTTTCAATATTCTCACCCGCGAGCCTGTGAGTAGGAAGAAGAGGTACCAAGAAGGGTAAACGACGGTTAACAACACTATCACTGGGTGTTCAACGGGGAATTCCGTCGAAAGCTGAGTGTGTAACAGTCTATTTGAGCCCGCAAGAAATGTGCCGAAGAAACCGCAGCCACCCTATTACTCAAGGCCACAAAGCCAAGTTCCTCACTGGAATAGCAATAGCTGTACTACAATCAATCAATCAATCAATCAATCAAAGTTCAATTAACCTGTAGCAGTCTAACTAGTTGCGTATAACTATGCAGGCGCTTCATCCATCTGAAGCAAGAACTCGAAGCCAAACGCCGACTCGGGATCACTCCCGGAAGTAAATACAGAGGCTGATTTGTAAAGAGTGTGGAACCAGCCCATTCCCGCATATTGTAAACCCACAAACCCATACATAGTAAAAATATCAAATGAATGTGGCGGAGTGCACCCTCCGCCTTCCGCCTCCTGTCTCTCTCTCTCTCCCCCCCCCTCTCTCTCTCTCTCTCTCTTCCTCCTCCTTGTATCCTCCCCCTGCCCCAGTCGCAATTGGTGGTGTATTACCATGGCCAGCTACCCGGCATATTGGCTGACAGTGTCCAGGTCTCTCGAAATCCCGGCTTCAGATAGCGCATTGTCGAGTACCCATCGTCTTCCTCCCCTGCCCCATGGCCCCGTTGGCCTTCGGTACCGTTATCTATTGCTGTCCTCCCCGTCCTCCCCCTCGTCGTCGTCGTGGACAACGTGTTGGAATTGTTGGAGGAGGCCTGTCTTGTGTACAAAATTGACCACGTAGCGGGTGGCCTGCGGGTGGGATATGATCTTGTCATAGTCAGTCCCAATACATACCTTCAATCTTCGCCAGCCTCTTCAGCTACATGCTAGATTGGGTTGTGACCACCCTGAAAAACTTCACAACTGCAAGAAAAACAACATTCTCGGACCTCCATGTCAGTTCATCGGAAGTCATGAAATTGACTGGACCATCTGCTGGTTCCATAGCTTGACTCGAGGAACAGCGTTGGGGTCTGCGACCCCTGCTCGCAGTCACAGCGGTCGGTGTCCGAAGCCTTGATTTTGTACAGGAAATATCGAAGGCCAATCCTCATCGTACGCATCTGAATCAGAATTGCACACTGAGGCTTCGATAGGCCCTCGTATAGGCGAAGGGTCTTCTTTCCTGGCGCCTGCACTAGGCGTTTTGTCGGGGCCGAGGTCCTTTCTCGCTCCCACTGCCTTATCCATTTTTCCCTCGTCCGTTCCCGGACTCCGCGTTTGGCGGCCGCAGCGAGGCGGGTAATCAGATTATCCGGGTCGCCTTCAGCCGGCAGTTTTGCTCCAAGCCCAGCAGCCCCCTTCGCCTCCCTATCGGCATACTCATTCCCAGCTACATCGCTGTGCGCAGGGATCCACCGGATATTGAGTTCAGTTTGACGGTTTTGGCTCTGGTTTCGCGACCGAATAGCTCGTACGTGTTCGTATAGCACACTCAGCACGTACTGGCCAGACGGTCGCTGTGGGTTCTTGACTGCCTGGATTGCAGCCTGGCTGTCCGAGAAAATAACTACCTCCTGGGCTTGTTCGGCACCCTCCTGCTCGCTCCTCCTCCTAGCTTTCGCTAGCGCCATCTCGATACCGCTGAGCTCGGCTGCGTACACTGTGGACTGTGAATCTGTGCCAAGATATCTCCTCTCTGAACTAGCCTCGTGTATATTGGCAGTTGATACACCAATATACCCGTCTGCTCCGCTCCCGTCGGTGAATTCAAGATATATATCTTGCTGCAGGATCCTCCTAGCCTGGAGCGAATCGTGTGTATCCAACGCTGTCTGCCGGTTTTCGACATAGCAAGGGAGTGGTGCCTGCCAAGGTGCAAGCACAAACGCGCGTTTCTCCTCCCATCTCTCTCCTCTCCGCAAGCATCCAGGTTTCTTCCGGGCAATTGCTTCGGTCGGCGACCATCCCCCAAGCTTCCGCTGTGCTGCGTTGCGTGGTGGCGCCTTCGCAATTTGAGGGCACGCCCATTGCGGCCCTGTGGGGATTCGAATAGCGGATTCCTCTGCCATCTGGTGCAGTCGTAACTTGATCGGTGTGATATACATTTCGACATCGAGCGCAGCTCCTGCTGTTCCTCGGAACGCCCCGCTGATTAGGATCGTTGCGCGCCTCTGGATCTTTATAAGTTCTCTTGTGAGTTTGTCGAGCTCTCCTCTTGGCATAGATCTCGCCGCTGGACAGAAACAGGCCGATAGTCCCCACAGCATCTGCGGGACAATTACACCTTGGTAGACCTTTCGCATTGCGATCAGTGATGACCCCCACGTAGAGCCTGAGATCCCGCGGAGGGCCTCCAGGCTCCCGCTCGCCTTAGCTAGCATCTTCTTTCGGTGGGTTGTGAAGTCTAGGCTTTTGTCGAGCCATACACCAAGGTATTTCGCTGCTACGGTTGGCGCAAGGATTGTCGGGATCGGGGTTTCGGCGGTTCCTGAGATTATCACCGGCATACCATCGTGGCCTTCTGGCGCTGGTGGGATCTCCCAGATATCGGCTGGGTCGTAGGTCGCTGTATTGAGACTTGGTCCCTTTTCTGCTCTGGGGTTTTTGAAGTGGATCAGTTCGAATTTGTCTGGTGCAAACTTTGCGGCATGTCGTCTGGCCCACCGGCCTGCCTTCTGCAGTGCTTTTTCAAGGATCCAGGTATTCTCTTCATAGCTGTCAGACGTTGCAAGAATACACACATCATCCACCCACCCGAATCCTTCACTCTCTCCGTATGGTAGAATCCGGTGGCACACTGACACCAACGGTTTATTAAACAGTAGGAAGAGGATCGGCGAGATTGGCGAGCCTTGCGGAATACCGGTCGGTGCAGGGAAGGCCTCGCTTATATAACCGTTTGGTAGTTTAATCCGAGTGCTCCTACCGGTAAGGAAAGACTACCCACGGTACCAGTCCACCTAGACCCAGCTGTCGCATATTAAACAGTAGTCTCCTGTGAGACACTATATTATACGCACCCGCTACATCGAGGAGCAGTATACTTATCACCTTGCTATCTCCCCAGGCCTGGTGTACGCGTCCAAGGATCAACTGGATCGCGTGGTCCACAGAGATCCCTTTCCGCCCCCCGAGGTGCGTTTTTGGGAGCAGGTTGTATTCCTCCACCAGCCACGCAATTCGTGTCGCGACAATCGCCTCGAGCACTTTACCGAGCGTGTTCAGCAGTGCAGCTGGTCTATATGACTTTGGGATCCGGTAGTCACGTGGACCGGCTTTTCGCAGTGTAACAGTAACAGAGGTCTGGAAGTGTCGGGGATTATATCCAAGTCGAATACATGCGTCGAAGACAGCAGTTAGGAGTGGTACAAACCTCCTCTCCGACCTTGACCCTGGCTCCGCTAGCACCCTCCATACTTTGTTTGGCAGCGCATCGTATCCTGGTGCCTTGTTTGGTGGCGCCTTTTTGATTGCAGCTCTCACTTCGGTGTCGGTTACCGGTGGTAGCTGGAACTATTCTTGATAGCTGGCGTTCTTAGCTGTACTACAATAAACATGCTTTACTATAAGAATAAGTGGTCTTTTCCTCTAGCTTGGCAAAACGAACAGAATACCCCCAACTGGGTCAAAGTGGTATCGATGGATTGCTGATATATCTCTCCCCAACTTATACGCCACTTCGGCCGCTATATTTATAGCAATTTGCTTGATCTATTGGATTGCGCGAGATGTGTGGCTCTGGGCGTGGACAAGACGCCATGTGATCTTCCGTCGCCCTTTTCGATCGAAAATGATAGGCTCTTGGAGGCGACTTGCCTTCGTCCACCTGCCAAAATGCCTGCGTTGGCTTGACATCCCCAACTACCGGGAAGCGCTCATCCTGACTCTCATGCTCACGGCAAACATTGTTAGCCTCCGGCTTAGAGCCCATTCTTGGATGGAAGCACAGAAAAGGGCTGGCTCTTTGGCAGTCATCAACATCGTGCCTTTGTGCACCGGTATCAGCTTTGGACTTCCGGCGGACCTGCTCCACGTGGACCGCCAGATACTCGCGTGGTTTCATCGCTGGGTAGGTCGCATCTGTGTGCTCCATTCTCTGATTCACTGTTCGCTGCTTCTTACTGTCGCCAGAACGATGAACCTGGCGACCTCACGGCACATTGTTCCAATAGCCGTAAGTCAGAGATACCCCGAGGCTAAGTGTACCTATTGCGTATATCAACATCTCATCAAATATAGGCCTATTGTGCTCTCTTCCTCGTGATACCAGTTACTTGTGCGGCGGTCCAACGGCGATACTTGCAGTTTGCGATGAAATGTCACTACCTTCTTACAGCAACGGCGATTGGCGCGCTTATATACCATCTCGTGGAGCGGCGGTCACTGTATCGGTGGTACCTAATAGGCGCTATCTGCCTGTAGTTTTTTTATCAGCGCTGTTGTCTGCATCATAGCCGTATAGAATCAGAAACCTTAGGGATCTTCCCAAAAAGAGGTAGTCATAAACTCGGTGAGCGATTTTCTCTGGCTGGATATAGAGCTACCCCTTAACCGAGCGATCCGCCCTGGCCAGTTTATACAGCTTTGGATACCACGAGCCGGCTTTCGGGCTTTCTTTCAGCTCCCTCGGTTCTATGTTGCATTCTGGGAAAATGGACCAACTCAAAGAATAGTCCGCATGGTAGTAGAGCCGCAACCCGGGCTTACGCAAAAGCTGTATCACGAAGCACTGAAATCCCCGGCCAAGCATTCGGTTATGATACTCGGACCCTACGGACACCCTCTCGACTTTTACCGGTTCGGTACAATCCTCTTCGTCGTGGAGGATATTGGATTTTTTCGAGCGCTTTCATACATTTAGATGTTGGTGGAGGTAAGCCGCAGGTGCGGAGTGATGGTGCGAAAGCTAGAGGTTCTCTGGAAGCGCCAAGTTGGTAAAGATAGTATGTTTCTTAGACAAGTACTTTCGGGTCAAGGAGCCGCCTGTTGATCGGGTTTTTCCAGAGAATCCACAATGGGTAAATGAATGGATACAAGGACTTTTCAATCGCGACTGGAGAGCGTTCAAGGTGAATTTTCTGCTAGTGCAACCCATCTGAAAAGTCACGATCTGACCATTCTCCAGATTTTGCAACTCAGTATCTACTGCCCGCGTACTCAGGCAGGACCCCAGAACAATATTTCCTACGAATATACAGAAAGGATTTGTTACTTTTATGGCTCGATCAAAATCGAGGAAGAAGTTGAACGGTATCTCAATAACCACCAATGCGGAGCTGTGGCCGTAGCGGGTGAGTTTCCGAATTCCAACCTTCAACCCTATCGTGGGCTGAATAACAAAGTTTTGTGCTTACGGTGCTTACGACCTATGCAGTATGTGCGGGTCCGTCAATATGTGCGGCTGTGACAAAGACTGTACGGCTACACACAGGAAGAAATCTTCAGCTAATAGTTTTCGACCCCGATATAAGCCCTGCGCCGGATGGAGTTGTAGATTCCTTCGGCAGCGACGAGACTCCAGTTGACCAGGATCCACCACATCAACTTTTGGGAGTAGGCGAGGATAAGCAGACCCACCAAGTACAACGATTCCCAACAGACAGCAGCAAGCTACAGTACTCATCGCCTAAAAAAATCCATACGGAAGCTGGAAACGTCGAAATGAGCAACCACTCGAAGTGGGTGGAAAGTAGATTGGAACAGGGGCACAGAAAGCCTAAACTATGAGATTGTGCCAGCTTTATAATGCTTGCGCTCTCAGCGTATTGATAGGTTCTGTAGCTTACTGGAAACCATATTATCTGCCGCAAGTTCGTATATCACAGGGAGGGCATAGGAAGCTCGGAGCCTGGCCTTGATCGCCGCACAGCCGGTCCGCCTTCGCGAGCAGATCCCTTCCCGGGGAAACATTGATGGATATCTTAGGTGGTTGATATGATAGTTGATATGATAGGAAGACGATCGCCGACCATGGCAAAGCTGGCAGCGAAGCGTGCCAGTCTCGGGTAGGATGGTGGTGTGTGTATTTCGTCCCGCAGATCCAGCACACTCCACAGGAGTCACTGAACTGCCTTCTCTTCGAGAAGATTTCAAGAGACAAAAATATTTCTTGGCTCTATTGCTTAATATATCAGTATTTGCAACGCATAGATCATAAGCTCCACATACTTTGCATCCATCCACAATTTAGTGCCAATAAGCCAATTCATCGTTGTGTGCGCAGAGAGCGTAGCTGAAGCCTTCCGGACGCAAGCGATCCCTAAGTGGCACTGGTTATAAGGTATACAAGAGAACATAGAGCGAGATAGACCTTGATCCATAGAGGTGTTTCTATCCTAAGTCAATCGATATTGTTGATCGCACGCGAATCAATATCCTTGGAACCCAGAAAACACACATATAGGTTTAGGCGAGATGGTATGTCTTGACCACGAATTGAACAAGAAAAGAACGGCTTTTTGCGATACTGTGAAATGAAACCGTTTCAACTCTGCTTCGCTTGTTGTCGGCCGGTTGGAAGCCGGTTAAACCGTAACGTTTTGAGGGCTACGAACGCGAACACATAGGAGACTATTTACCTGTCACCGGTTAACCTAGGAGGGTTGCCCACTAAGGATAAAAAAATAGATAGGCAATAAATAAAAACGTGATTGCGTTTTTTGAGGTTGTTACCTACTCCTACTAAACAAAATCACAAGACCATAGGAACATCGAACATCAAAGTAGATTTCCGCACAAGCCAATATTACACATTGATACCCAAATTAGCTTTCACACCATCAACTGTAGAGATATCCATTCCTGAGTTAATCCAAAGGGCACCAAAAATGACTTCGTAGTTGTATGTGTTATTAGCGGTCTCGCTTTTTTGTGCCGGTGACCATTAGTGATTGGTCTTATGTTGTAAAGCAAACAGCGAAGTAACGAGTGAGGATCTCATATTTAAATAGGAGGCTCTATCCGACCTTCTATATCGATCAAGACCTGGCCAAAGGAACATTCCTAAAGTCATCTCGCCTGGCTGTTCCCTCTGTGGTTGCTCTTCGTTTGTGGATGTGAGACTTCCAATTCCAGAGAATTTATGACATAATTTTTTTGTTTGAAGGTTTGAACAAGAGCCACTGTTTAGAACGCAGACAAAGTCCGCCATATATTATATACGGAGATATTGGTTATGAGCCCTATCATAATTCATTCAATCCAATGCACGTGAATAAGAGAAACGTAGATGGCGAGAGTGCTCTGTGGTACAGTGTAGCGAAAGGGTCACCTGCTGTTTTGAACCAGCTCCTTCAACACCCTAGTGTCAAGATCGATCTTCCAAACCGCGAGGGTCAAACAGTGCTCTGGCTTACTGTCTTTAGAGATAACAGAGACTTGGTGAGCCTGCTACTCTCAAGAGGTGCCAATTGGACCGATACGGAATGTCGCTATGGATCCAGTCATGCGTCAGGCGCGGTGAATTCATCAAATATCTGCTCCTAGATCACATGAAAGCTGTTTCCCCTGAGATATTTTCGGTGGATGGTGTATTTGCTGAAAATGGAAAATCGATATGCGAGGTAGACTTCCGCAAAGCCCACAAATGGGCCCCTACCCTAGGCCCAAAGCCCAACCCGCAGTGGGCTATGGGCCTAACCTTCGAAACCCGACCCAACCCGTAGCCCACTAATGGGGGCCCATGAGGCCCCCATTAAAGCCCATCTTATCGGCCTCTGTAATCGCTGTATTACGACCTTCCACTGGGTATATAAAGTTCAAATTCAGAATTCAGAGTTGTACTAGCTATATAAGTATATATTTTAATTTTGAATAAAATCCAACTCGTAGAGGTCGAGATACTCCGAAAATAGGCTAATCTTAATGTTTTGGTGAGATATATATTTTGGGTTTGTGTAGGAATACTACTACTTTCTACGTGAACTTCTGTAATTGAAATAACGCGCTTTCTCGCGTTTTTAAACGTGATATAGAGAGATAACTGGTAATTGATTCTAAATCATTTAAACCAATAAGATATTACCTTTAGAATCAGGGTTAGAAACGGGGGTAAAACTAAGGGTAATTCTAAAAACCCTTTTAGGGGGTTCAACTTAGTATGTTTGCATTGTTTGGGGCCCATAGCCCATCGATGGGCTTAAGGACCGGGCCCAAAACCCGGCCCATTTACGGGTTTGGGTCGGGTTGGGCTTTGGGCTTTGTGGGCTGGTGCGGAAGTCTAGTTATGGCGCTGTAACCCGAGCAGTACTAGTGACAGTAATAAGGGGAAGGTTATCTTTCGTAGTGGTGGTAGATGAAGTGGTGGTAGATTGAGCCCTGGTAGATGAGCACGGGGGCGAATTTATTGTGTCCGCTTTGGATGCAATGCACCAGCTGCCAGCCTTTAATTAATTATTGAGCACACAAGTTGTTAAAGGCCAAAAGCAGGCCTTCAAATTGTCGTATTTGGAAATAGGATAGCTCAACTGATTATGGCTCTTGTCCAGAGCACCAGTGCCTCCAAGGGTACTCACAACCTGCAAAGTTCAAAGTGAGTAAGATAATCAAATGTGGACTATGAAACATACCGTGGTAATCAAACTGTCATCACCTTGCTTGTCACCACTAAGCTCCCACCACATACCACCACCAAGCCCCTTGGATTTGATATACTCACCTTTTTTACGCGCAAGCTCAGGGGTATCATAGCTGATGTACAAACGCGACCCCGAGTTATAGCAGTAGCTAGCAGCTTCCTGGTCCAGATTTGTGACCTTGCAGCCGGTCTGAGGCAGAGCTTTGTAGTCCCATACACCATCCCCCCAGCTACCAACACCAACACCGTTATAAGGTTGGCCAGGGCCACTAGTGTCAGTAAAGGCCCGGCCGTACAGAGGCATACCCAGAACAATATTGTAAGAGGCTACTCCGTGCGAGGTGTAGTAATCGATTGCTTGGTCCGTATTGAAGGGAGTGCTGGCTGGGTTGCTGTTGGATACATACAGATTGGCGCCATGGCCGGCAACGGTGTCCCAGCTTCCGGCGTAATCGTAGGCCATCAGGTTCCAGAAGTCCAGATACTGATCCATCTGGGCAAGGTGCTCTTTTAGGTAGTTGGAAGGGCCTAGAATTTGATTTAGCGTTGTTTAGGAGTTTGAACAAATGATACGGACCAGCAGGAGATGCAGTGGTCAGTAAGAAATGATAGCCGCCTGTGTTGGCGGAACTGTATGAATCCAGGGCCTGAAAATGTTTAGTTTTACAGACCCAGCAATGAAAGAAGCATAAAAATACCTCACGAAGACGGCGTAGGGTATCAACAAATTGGTCCGCTTCGTTGTTATTTCCAGGATACTATCTAACATTAGCATCAAACACCGTGAACGAGATAGCAAACTCACTTCAAAATCAACATCAATACCGTCGAAGCCCAGGTCCTTCAGCAGCTCGACAGAACTGTCAGCAAACTTCTGGCGTCCCCCTTCAGTCTCAAACGCCAGCCTGAGGTTAGAAGAATACGTCCAGCCTCCGATCGACAGAAGAACCTTAAGTTTGCGGTTTTTCTTTTTGAGTAGGAAAAGCTCCTTGATACAGCCATAGACATTGTTACCGGTATCGGTCCAGGAATCGGTAGGGTAGTGCTTATCAGTGTCCGACCAAGGGTCCGACAGGATCACCTCACCAGAGGCTCGGACATTGGCAAATGCGTAGAGAACATGGGTTAGTTTCTCAGAGGGGATGTCCTGAGGCTGGAAGTTGCGAGCATAGATACCCTGATGGGCTTTGGTAAGTTATTTTGATTTTATAGTGGAATATGTTGTTCAAGCATACCCAGTTCACAAAGTATGCTACGGAACGATATCCGTTAACATCACGAGTAGCAATGTCAGCCGCATTGACCTTGGCCAAGGAGGGAATATAGGTAGCGTTAGCCAGCCACGCCAGGCTCAATATAAAAGAAAGGATAAAGTGCATGGTGAGAGAGTGGCAAGATTGTATCTGATAGGATGGCCCGACCCAACAAGCTTTGACAAGAGGGTATTGTAGATGAGGAAGGGGATATACGTACTATTTGTAGTCGGTAAACAATCTCACTGATCGTTGTGGCCCACAATAAGGCAGCTAACCCCTCAATAAAAACTCAGGCTTGACCCTGAAGCGTAACAAGAAAAGGACAATACAGGTATTCTCGAAATCGGCTTGACCAGTACAAAGTACACACTGTCTTTTCTGGCCCCACTGCCAAGGCTTTAGCGCAGATCATTAATTCTGCGGGCCTCACAAAGATAAGGCTCATCGTAAATGTCGGAGCATACAGACCGGCATACCGGGGATTTAATTAATCCAGGTTGTGCAGTAATTTTGAATTAGTAATCCGCTATCCATATAAATTGCTAGGAAAACGGATACTGCAATACAGAGATTTGAACACCATTGATTGGACCCATACACTTGAAGATACCAGTGTAATTGACAGTAAAATGTCCCGTATTCAAAACCGCCAACCCGTCAACGTTTACCGCCCTGCGTCTGAGGTGTTATATGATGTTACCGAATGTGTTACAATGCCATACACAGGGCTTGAACGGCACACTTTGTCAGAACAAGCTAAAATTGTATGGACTAGTAGGTGATCGACGACAAACAGAGCTACAGAGACATGGTGAAGGAATGGAAACGGAGTCTTTCTGATCGCGAGGACTGGCAAAAGCGAATTCTGACGGAAGCATTCGCGGACGCATGCAGCGACTATAGTCCGCCAGAGTCGGATGACGACTCCGTCGCCGTCGACGACGACGTCGAAACCATACCTACGGTTGCTCCGGCTGTCACGGCGGAAGCATCGACAGATGGCAGTGTCACGGTCACCGCTGACGTATCCACCTAGTTTTATGCTTTTCTTTCTTATTCTCATACTTGCTTATGATACTTTCATGCAGGGCTACAGGGGCCCCTTCTTTTATGTATTCACTATCTTGTACCTACTACCTATCTGGGTTGACCGAGGTCGGCCAACAGCTCAGGGAGCGGCAGATGTCACCCATGGGTGTGATCACCTGACCAGGTCACATGACCGCGGTCTCTTTATGAGCCGCCGTAGGTAGATAGGAATAGGATCATCTTTAGCTTCCCCTGACTTTCAGTGCTTACAGTGAAAGGTGAGATGGTGCAAAGATTAGATGCAATAAAAATTGTGAAAGGAAGTCGGTCGAACTCGGGTGTGGTCATAGGTTTATCTAGGATAGAAAAGTTCTATAATAGCCTTGATTAATTGCGGTCTTCCATTACAACTATAAGTGCGGGCTTTCCCGACAAGACCCTAGTCGAATAGTTCTCCACCAGATATATCCTGACCCCGGTCGGTCTTTGGCTTCTGTGTAGATACCGAGGGAGAACAGTGACTGCGAATGAGAAAAGTGTTATATAAAGCTATTACTAGGCTATTCATAGGCTGTTTAAGTGGGCGGAAGAGGCATTCAGTTTTGTGAGGTAAAAGTGGTTGTCTATCAGTACACTGCACCGGTTAAGAAACGGTCGATATCCGAGGTTATTTACCGCCTTCGGGATAATTATTACGCCCAGTTATACTTTGGTTATAATTCGGTTATAGGCATAAGCCTCTTCCGGACAGGCTACGGCCTTTCGCGACGATCTGTGTGTAAAGTGAAGTCGTCCGGGATAAAAACATAAAAATATAAAGATAAATTTTAGTATCACAATATAAAAAATAGTGGTATGATCTCTAGCTAAACAGACACAAAACAAAACAAAATATGAATATGAATAATAATAATACTAATATATTAAAGTGATAAAACTTGACACCTGGGGAATGTATAGGCTATATTCAACGGCCATGTCACCTGCTAGGATTACCCTTCTCTCTCTCTCTTTTTTCTTTTTTCTTTCTTTTTTTTCCCCTAAAGAGGTACACTCGGAAACTTGACAGGGAGAGGGGCCCTTGTTAGTGGACATCCCATGCGTGGAGCATCGCATGCAAGGCTCTTGTAGCCTGGTCAATGCGCGAAATTACTCAAACCTTATTGGTCTGATAATATCGGGAGATACTGAGCTCAGGAAATTATTGCTAGACTTGTTTGGGTACGGACACTTTTCGCTTCGAATCTTTAAAGGATCAAATTTCCCGTTTCTTGATACTCCCTATTCCTTATTTCACGGTCTCTCCCCAAGCCCCCTGCTTGACTTCAAGACAGTTACAATGGGTGACCGGGGAAATTCGCAGCGGTATATAGACCGAATGTCTCAATTGCTTTCATTAGGTTCACCTGAACCAAACAATATTGGGAGCCCCCGTATATCAATCGCCGGCTCTGTGGACAACGATTGCTATTCCCAACAGACTGAAGAATCCGATGACGATAGCAAGGCTACCTCTATGGATGGATACAGTGATGAAGAGGCAACTCAGGGACAACAGGCCAAGGAACAGACCAAGAAACGGGCTTTGGGTGGAGCTAGATCCGTAAAGTTCTTGATACCTGAGTATTCCACAGAGTTAATGGTCGAATGTGTGGCAGAGTGAGTCTAGAACTGTTGCCTTATAAGATATCGTATACTAACGGCTTGATTATAGATTGGATGAACGGGTGCAGTAGGTTTCCCTCGGAGATAGGACCAGAATCCCAACACTGACACGCTTTAGATCTAATGCAGAGTCGCTCAAGGACCAGGACCTGTGGAATCAGGGAATGCAGCGAAAGTATTTGGATATGATTGGTGCTATGGACAGGTTGAGTAAAGAAGTGGCCGCGTTAAGGAAACAAGTGGAGGTTTTGTCAAGTGGAGATACAGTCAAAAGTCGAGAGACTGTGGGTTCGAAGCGTCAAAGGCAGTGAGGGAATACCACTATCTTCCATAGAGACCTGAAACGAATCATTAAGAACCTTGTTTGCACGCGAGATAATCCTTTGCCCTTCTCCTGCGGGTACAGAAGGTTGTATATCGCTTTCGGTCAAGTTCCGCGTGAGAACCGCAATTTGTGACGTACTATATGATATCAATTTATTATCGTGGGGGTGAGTTCGGTACTGTTGTTTGTTAAGGATAATTATGACCGCGATACATTTCAGACATTGATGGAGTGGGCTAGACGGTAGGAAAGGTCTACGATTTGTCCGGGGAAAGAAAGCTCAATCAAACTGACCCGCTTTTCTTAGCGTATCCACCAGATCCACGCACAAGGCGTAAATCAAGCCAACCATATCCCTCAGCCACAATATCGCGGTGGTCTACAGCGAATCAGAGCTCGTCTGTTATTGAACTTTTTTACTCGGAAACTAATACCACTTACTCCCCTTTTTATACCGCAATCCTCCGCCAAATTTCGTCTCTTGTTTCATAAGATTGATCTGTGCTTCCGTTAACTCCAATTGGCTTGCGCTGCGATGAGCATTTGGCCCTTGTAGAGTCTATATAATTAAATCAACTCGAAGGCGGACCGCATAACAATATTTACCCAAGTCCAAAAGGGCCTAGCTCTTCTCATAAGAAAAGCATGCGATTACAAAAGTCTCGGCTATTGATTCACCCCAACCGTTTATTATTACCCGATCAGCTTTCGTCAGGGGATCTCTATCCTATACAAAGAAAATCCTGTAGGTACCCCTATCCGCGTTAGCATCAAAATTAGCCAGAGCTATACGTACCGAGGTTTCTGCGCTAGGCAGGGGTTGAATTCCAAATCCATTAGCGCAGTCAACAGTATAACCCCCGTTTCTCTTATTCACGGCCCTTAAAGGCTGGAAGGCGTGATAGATGAAGTTAGTGTATCAGTGGTAGATCCAGGAGATCATATCGCATGGACTGTGCGCTATGTATACCATGTAGACTGCGACATCGCCCATGGACGGGCGGGTGGGCAGTGCCCACGGGCCTTATGTAAGCGGGCGATGGGCACTATCCATACGCCCATGGACGGGCCCTACCCTTAGGGCCCATTGTCCATGAACACCGTGGGCGCCCATGGGCCTTTTTAGTAAGCAGAATTTCTTGACCTCGTGACCTGCATTATTTGTGCATTTTTTTTCTCTGTATTTTTGAGTAATTCGATTACATGTACAATGACTTGATACTACTGTCAATTTTTTGACCGGGGTCAGAAATGAGCCTTGGAAGCCTTTGCATAATGACTTAGGCATTCATTGTATTCATACATTCACACTAATACGATACAAATTGATCATCATTGGGTTTGCCACGCTTCCTTGCTTCTCTTAAACCAGGGCGCTTTTGAGTGCTACCCTTATCTCCATAATGAGGAGATGAGGACTGCTCTCATCTTCGCTGTCGACTAGCTCACTTCTCTGTCGCTTCCGCGTACTTAGCACTATAGAAGGACGAGGAAGCTGACTCTCCATTATAAACTCATGCTCGATCAGTCCAACAGGATCATTATCCTCGGAATCCTCACCATCGCTGATTGGTTCAGGCATGTCAGTGGTAAGCTCAGCCTCTCTCTGTTCGTCTGCTTCTTGCATTGAATCCAAGGACGTATCCTCATCGGGTAGTTCTTCTATTTCAATGTCGAACTGGGTTTTACACCGGAACATCATGATATCCTGGACTGTCTTCGCACTCAGCCGCCCACGTCGGTAGTGGCAGACATCCCGTGCTGAATTGAAAAGACGTTCAACTCCAGCGCCTGTTGCAGGAATAGAGAGAATGTCGCGAGCAACACTTGAAAGAATTGGGAATTCATTCTCATATTCCTTCCAGAATTGTAAAGGATCGACCTTTCTCCTTGCTATCATAGGTATTAGTATTCCTGCTCGTAATAACAGTGAATATAACGTACGCTTTTCAAGGTATCTAGCAAGTTCGTGCTCCGACGTTGATGGATCAGAGTGGATGTGAGGCAGAAGGTCAAGGAGGGCGTCTAGGTCACTTGTACTGGCTGAGTGACGCTTGGGGGGTTGCTCTTCTCGTAGGGACCGTGTCTGAGTGTGTCTTTGGGCGTAAGGAGCTATGAACTGGCGAAGCGTTTCCTTATACTGATCACTCCAGTTTGTGTCGTTCTCCGATGTACCCCACGCCTTACTTGAGAAGAAGTGAAGCTTATGCTGGGGTGCAAGAATTGTTCCAATCGCGTAGAGACTACCATGGATCTCTTTCGTCTTTGTGTAGTAAGAGGTAAGCTTTGCCATCCCAGCATTGAGGGCTTGTAGCATCGCCTTCTTCCAAGGTATGGTTTTCGGAGTGAGTCGTGCAATCGATTCCTCGAAGTGCTCAAAGAGGGCGTTATAAATACCAAAAACATGATGTACTGTTATCTCTTTGGTCTTTGAAAGCACTGTGGTAAAGCGATAGAACGGCTCTGTGATATACAGAAGGTAGTCGACCTGCCGCCATTCTGCCTTACTAAGTTTGTATTTCTGAGTCCCAATGTTATCACAGTATTCATCGCAGGGCTTGCTGAGGCGTTTCGCACGACGAAGCATCAAGAAGGTAGACTTCCAGCGGGTGCGGACATCTTGGATAGGCGCAAGTTTTGCTCCATTGGTCTGGAGACGGAAGAAATCATCGCGACGTTGGGGGCTTGCATTAATGAACACAGCAAGCCCTCGAATCTAGATAGTTATTAGATATATTAAGTGAGTGATAAACAAAGTGATACACTTACCTTGACAAGGGTCTGTACAATGACTTGTTCACTCTGTGAAGCACGGAGCGATCGAGCTTGGGCTTGGGCTTGGACATCAGAAACATTCCGATCTGTGGTATCATTCTGGGGATCGGCCTTCACCGATCCAAGTAGCTCGCGAAGGCTTAGCCGGATAACATGTGCAAGACAAGGGATTCGAACAACCACCGGGCTATTCGGTAGTTCAAGGGAGTCAATAGAGTCTTGAACTGCCTGTACCAAAGTTGTGTTATTTGACGCGTTATCTGATGTAATCGCTAACACACGATCAGTAATATCAAGCTTCTTAAAGATCTCCATAAGCACTTCACTTAGATTCACACCAGAATGCGCCCCATCAAGTGGTTCGAAACCAAGTAGGAGCTCACGGTAATTCCAGTCTTGGTCGATAAAGTACCCTGTGATTGCCATGAATGCCTGCTGAAAAGGCGATGTCCAGCAGTCGAGGGGATGTCCAGCAGTCGAGGGCGATTGAGAGCTTCGCATCTTGTGGCAAGGTAGCGAGAATTGTATGTTGCTCCTCGTCGACCAATTTCTTGAGCCGGCGTTGAGCAGTGCGAGGATGAAGTAAAGTGGGTTCAGCTGGAGCCTTTGATGCCATTCGAATCAAGGAAGCAAATTGCTTCCTCTCAAGTATCCGGAAAGGGAGGTTCAGACTGGTAAGACATTCAATCTGCTCTCTTTCCCATTCATCATTCGAGAATTTTGAGTTATAAGATAACTCCAGTGCCTAATATATAATATGTGAGTTATCTTGAAGGGTATAATCATATAAGACTTACCGGTATATGCTGCATGGTCTCCTTAATCGACTGTTGTGTAGACTTGCTTTTACCACCCTTTTGGCATTTGCCTGAGGCTAGATACCGCTTGAGTGTGTTGGTGCCGCTTTGCTTTGTACTTGGATGAGGCAATGTAACCCCACACGTCCGACACATAACCAAAGGTTCGCCTGTAATATGATGTGCTACCTGGTCGAAGTTCTCCCAGACATCTGATATGTGTTTTGCATCCCACCGTAGCCTTTGTTGTGTCTCAGTACTGCTGCCGCGTACTGTGGTACGCCACCACTCGATAAACTTTACTTTGGACGCGTTGTTCATCGCGTCGTAGAGGATAAACTGCTTTCTCCGATCGGGGCCGACGCGTTTGAGAGAGCAATCAAGAATAGCCGGTTGAGTGAACTCGGACTCTATCAGTGAGATAGAAGTCTGTTGGCTGTTGAAGAGACTGGGATCAATATTTGGATCAAGGTTGGGATCAAATATATCGGCGACGTAGGAGAGGTCTGGTTGGGAGCTCGGAGGAAGTGAAGAACGCCCTGCGGTATAGGCACTAGGTTGGGACATAGTTAATGTGATGTAAGGGATAATATAACGACTATAGGAGAGTGAGTGATCTGAACTTACAATAGGTAACTTGCGACCGTGTGAAATGAGGATTACTAGTAAAAGGGGTGCTTTGTATAGATCTGATAGATCGTAAATTGAGTGTAGACCCACTATATGTTATAAGCTGATTGGCTATAAGTGTCTTTGTCCATAGGCATGCCCGTGGGCACGCCCGTGGGAACATACCTAAACGCCCATCTTGAGTTACAATCGAAGGATTTAAAACTCCCAGAATAATAACACAAGTCTTTAAGTGATATAATTGACAGAATTTAGTGATATAAGCTTATAAAATAAGAATTATACTAATTATCTTTCGATCTACCTATAAGAAATATACCAGAGTGAGAGATAAAGTAGAATCCATAAGTAGTATTTTACTTATGGAAAATGCCAGGCATATACCACTGACTTGAATATATATCTTCGAGCTGTTACAGTATGATTTGATAAGTTAATAAAAATACCACACAACATGATGTATTTCGATTGAAATTTTATTGCAAGTCGTATTATATATATACTAGTTTCTCATATACATAGATATTTCAGTAAAATTTATAGATGTTGTAGATTAAAACTGCCATTTTACATGGAGTTGGCAAAACAGGTGTAAATAACAGTCATTTATTATGCAAAGTCAGCGAGTTATACGTCCATTTTGGGTGACTTTATGCAATGGTGGGCATCGTGGGCATGCCCGTGGGCCTTCGGCGTTATGGACGGGCACTCGAAAATCCAAATAGCCCAAGGCCCACCGTGGACGGGCCTTGGGCACCTCCTAGGTGCCCATGGACGGGCGATGTCGCAGTCTAATACCATGGATGGGACGTAAGAAGCTTACGTTCCGTGCCGACAGGGGCCGGGCTGCGGCCCGGTTCTGATCATTTTATTTTTTGGTGCAATAAGGCACTACTAGTAGTGCCTTGCCGCACTACGTAGTCCGTAGACCCCCGCAAAGCCCACAAAGCCTAAAGCCCAACCCACTAATAGGCTGGGTTTTGGGCCCGGTCCTTGGGGTGAAAGCCCACTGGGCTTTGAATAGGGGCCCATTAGGGCCCAAAAAGCACCAAACAATACAAACAATCCGAAAAACGTGACTTTTTTAATTACTATATATATAGACCCTGTTTCTCGCCTTTATCTAGGGGTGATATAGGGGATTGGTATAGAGACACCCCCCTTCAGTATGGCAACACCTGTCGGTGCATGAAGTCCGGCATACCGGAGGATTTATTAATCCTTCATGTTTTGTAATTAATATTATGTAATCGAGGCTTCATATAAATTGTACCCGGAAGCCGATACTGAAATACAGAGAGTTGAAACCCATTCATTGGACCCCCCTATTTTACAATACCACTTGCTCCAACAACACCCCCCTGCCTGTATTTTCAGGTTTCAATTCACCGCCTTCCGATTTTATACACCGCCTTCGCGTCAAACTCCCCACGTAATACGAGCAAGACAACAGATACCTACAATTTATATGTAAACCCCATACAAAATTAAGTCACTTTTGTTACTCATGACGCTGAGAAGAGCAACTAGACTGCGACATCGCCCATGGACGGGCGGGTGGGCATTGCCCGGGTTTTGATCCCTGCACCCCAAAAATCTGCATTTGCACCCCAATTATATAATCACATGACTTTCCTCCGATGTTAGTGTAATCCTGCGGGGACGGCAGGTTTACTTAGGCCGCTACACCTAAGTGATTACATAAGATCATTGAACCGCTAACGTATTCGGTAAGCGAGCGGCGGACGCAAGCGAGTGGCGGACCCCAACCAATGCATTAATTTCAAATATAAATATGTCAACCAAAACTCCATTAAATTAAATACAGTGAAATCATCTAGCTAGCTAGGCATCTATTAATCTTATGTCCTATTTCTCCACAACCACTGCACTTTGGTGGGGCCCGCGTACGTGGTTGTAAAGCCGGCGAAGGGCTTCTTCGTAGAGGGGAGGGAGGTGCTTTAATTGCTTCCACCGGCTCAGTAATCAATTGAGAAGCTTCCTGTACTGAAAGGCCTGCTTCTGCCTGTATTTGCCTCCGGGATCTAGTACGCTTTTGCTTCTGCTTCTCGTTGGCGGCGCGTAATTCCTTATTTTCTTTGGCGAGTAAGATAGCACCTTGCATTGTAAGACGGAAGCCTTTCACAAGCTGGTTTAATGCACGATCTGACGGGCTAGGCGGGCTTCGAGACCTTGTACGAAGTAAGGCTTTAATTGATGAAGCCTGACGACGTAGTTCTTTCTCCGTAAAGGGGGTTTTTGGAGTAAAATTCCGGCTTGATTCACTACCCCGGCTAGCTGGGGGGGTTGGGGTTCGAAGTCGAATATTAAGCTTTGAAATCACTCGGTCGGGTGCAAATGGTATTAAACCAGCTGCTCCGAAGCTATTCTTAATAGTCTCCGATTTAAAAGCTTCAATTCGTGTAAGGGGGTATGCTTCGAGGAAGTCAAGTTTGTCAATATGATTGATCCCGTTCCGCATCTTGATTTCAACCATCCGACCATATATACGTTTTAATGCCGCAAAACAACCAATGTCCAGAGGTTGTAAAAGATGAGATGAATGCGCTGGCATACAGATTGGTATCACCTTATTTTGCTCGCAAATTGCGTCAAATTTAGGCGTTAAATGACTTCCGTGACCGTCGAGTATCAAAAGCCGATAGCTCCCCTTCGTACGTAAAGAAGTAGTCGGAATAAAGAGCTTTTCAAGCCAACGAAAGCTAATTTCATCAGAGGTCCAGCCATTAGGACTAACTTCGAAGCGCCAATCCCCCGGAAGGCCGTCGAACCATGATTCAATAAAGACTTTGCCTTTAAAAATCATACACGGAGGAAGGGCCCAGCCCGAAGCATTTATACACTCAATAGCAGTCACCCACTCTCGATTTCCAGGTTGTAAAAGTGAACGCCGACCATAGTATTCACTCCTCGTAATAACCTTTGCAGTTGCAGTCAATCCCATTGCAAAACCAGTCTCATCGAAGTTGTAAATATCATCGGGATCGATTCCAAATTGAAGAATCGTCTTTTGAACTAAATCAAACCACTCCCTAATGATTTTAGGGTCTTCGCATTTTGCACGTTCGTAATTGTACCGTTTCGAGAATCGGGAGGAGAGAAGAGGATGTCGTTTCACAAAGTTATATACCCATTTTTCGCCAACCGAAAGAACCGGGGTAGTTCCACGCTTTTGAAGAAGAAGATCCGCCATTTCTCGTACCATAGAGGGCCGGGGGGCTGCTCCACGAGAATCCATAGAGAGAATCCATTTTTGAAGAGACTCCTCTTCAATTTCCGTCAATTTAGAGGAATTTGCGCGACAAATCACGCGGCTCTGTACCCCCTTAAGGCGGCGGCGGAGGGTAGTTTCGGGCACACTAAAACGGCGCGCCACTTCACAAATTGAAGAGATTTCTTGATTTTTAAAGGCCTGGATAGCTAATAAAAGCCTGCCCTCTTGCTCTATTAAATTTGTAGAGGATTGAGAGCGAATTGGTGGCATAGTGGGTGGTTGAACTAACTAAGTGCTAATTCATGGACGCGTTTTGCGTGGGGTCCGCCACTCGCTTGCGTCCGCCGCTCGCTTACCGAATACGTTAGGCCAAAAGATCATAAGGACAAACAGAACATCTGTTTGTTATTGCAGCGGCATATATATTAGGCCCTAGACTCTGCTTGGGACCACATTAGTCAGCAAAATCGATGGTGCGCGTATCAAAACCCATTGCGCATAGCTAGGTACGTAATATCAGCTAACTAGTTAACTAACTAATATTGGCTTATGTAATTAGATGAGATATAACGTATTTCACTACCGAGCCGGCCACACCACCGAGCCGGCCACCCCCCAAACACATAGTAAATGCGATAAATTACAACTTGATATCTCAACAACGGCCGTTTATATAACGATTTCCCTATAGACTAATGCTCTTTAGGTAATTTCTAGCTTCTCTCGCGAGTTTGGGAAATATATATGACTTTGTGATTGTAGTATATATACTTCTGGCTTTTAGCACTGTAATTTTCAATACCGTAATGATGCACCTCTTCGATATTTTTAAGATTGCTACATAGTATTTAAAATTCTTATCAATAGCTATCTATAGGTAATAAAATCAAACAAAAACGTGGTTGTTGAGATATCAAGTTGTAATTAATCGCATTTACTATATGTTTGGGGGGTGGCCGGCTCGGTGGTGTGGCCGGCTCGGTAGTGAAATACGTTATTCGCTAGCTAGTACTATCCAATAGAAACCATGCGATCCTTACAGAATCTCACTAGGAGGAAAGAATGGTCACGTGACCACTGACAAGATGATATCACCGCGCCTTTTACAATACAATGTATAGGGCGGTGTCAAAAGCGGTCTAAAATCAGGCATTATTCAGGTATAATTCAGGCATTTTAAGGCAGCAATGCATGTTTCAATTGAAACTGAACAGAGGCCGCTATACCCCTTCGCACGAGGATGACCTAGAAGATGAGAGCGAGCCTGAGCTATAACCTGGCTATAGGGTCAATGGATAGATGATACGCCTGTTTCTTGAAAGCTGCTGTGTCGCTCGATTAAGTATGGCTACGTTTTGATTCTTTCAGAAATTTTTTTTTTGCTTTTGCTGCCTATGATTTTTTTTGGAGGGCTTGCTATGTTTTGAATTGCTGCTATTGATATTTCTCATGCTTTTCGGTACTCGCTTGTTTTGATATTTGTTGGAGGTCTAGGACTTTTTTTTGGATTTTATAATGTTTGTGAGATCGATACTGCTTTTTTTCGTTCTATTACTGTTTCTTTCGTTCTGAGGGTGGCGATGCGACCCCCCCTGGAGCGGCCAAGTTTTTAGGGTGGGGTGGGGGACTACGTCAAGAAGAAAAAAAAAGGGATTCTACGAAAAACACTGTTCAGCAAGGGCCCTTCTTTTAGGGCGGCAGCATAGGATTTGTTATGGATAGTGAAGGTGTCACGAGAAGGAGAGCCTCGGGAGAAAAGCAGAACGAACAAAGAACTACCTAGCGGCGACTAGGGACCCGCTGCAGGTCTGGAGGCAAGATCGATAAAGGGAACTGGGAAATATATCGACTCTGAACGGACCAGTGCTCGGTGTAACGGGTGTCATTCTGGACAGTATCGGTGACCGTAAGTTGGAAGTCACGTACAGCGCCGTACCAGAAATGGACCATATCTTCGGTATCCCGCAATTTGTGGCGAGAAAAGGACATCACGGCTAGCCTTTCGATTTCATTGCCCGGTACAGTGGAACCCATTGGGTTTGGAACCAACTCGCGATTCATAAGAACAGTGCGATAGGACCGGAGGGAACTTATCCGGGAAGGGCAGTTATGCTGCAAAGAGTGGCTCACGATGTGGTTTTCAATAAGTTGGCAAAAGGCAATACAGAGCCTTCCAACAGTCTCCCCGAGATTGTGCAAGGCCGCGACCGAGACCCCAACAGGTACATGGAGACCAGCAGATGAAGCACGAAGGTGGTCATATGGGGACCAGAACAGCGAAACCCAGGACAGAAGTGCAAGTAGTTCGAATCTATGACCCTCAGCCCCTTCCGGGATCTGAACACAAGCCACTCCAGATCCAGCACAGTCTCGACAGTCATTGTTGCTACCAGAGTCCTGGATGCAAGTCACCTTGAAAGGAGATAGGAACCCGTTCTCGTATCCTCTCTGCGTCCACATGACGATGCAAGTCTTTACACAAGTGAGACAAAAACGGAGGTGCGACACCGGAAAAGAAAGAGCAGTTCCAGGATCTCGTAGAGGATTGTCGGCCCAGGGCACTGTGCCCCCCTCATTATGGCCACGGCGGTTGTTCGACATGATGACTTGGAGGAGTGAGAAGAATTTGATTTGAAACGATGGAAGAAAACAGGATCAAAGAAGTGAACTTGAAAGAAGGAGTATGATCAAGGAACCGAGTCTTGGCAGGATGAAAGAAGAGAAATGAAAGAAAAGCGGAGTTGACCGAGGATAAAAGCTTGGTGTGGCTGATCGGGGTAAGAAAGAGAAGAAGCGAGGTGGGAGCAGCAGAGCGCGCAGTCAATCGGGGATTCTCAAGTTTCATCTCTTTGGACCTGAGCCTAATTATTCCACAGGGAAAGGAGTCTTTTCGGCCGAAACCGGGAAGAGGAGCGATCAAAGAGACACCATCTGATTTAAGACGGCGAGCCCTCGAGCACAGCACTTCTCTCACAGAACTTCTCTCGCAGAACAGTACTTCTACTACTATCACTACCCTGTACAGAACAGCCAGCACAACACCTCCCTCTTCCTATTCTACCCAACGTGCGAACGATTTGTACGAGTTCTACAAATGTCTTCCCCCGCCGAAGAAAACACTGGAATGGAACTCGTGCTGAATATGAACACGGTGCCTACTGTCCAAGATGCCAGACAGATCGTGGAGCAGGCACCAGAGGAGGATCGATATACCTTGCAGCTGAAACTGGGGATATACATGCTGGAAAAACGGGACGAGAACGAAGAAGCCATTTCAATATGGTACGACTACGTGATCCAAAGTGGAGTATGGAAACGGGAGAGAACGGAAGCAGATTTCCGTGATGAGTGGGAGCGAGCCCGTAGTATCCGAGACAGACATCAACGAAACCTCGCCTATATAGAAGCTATGTACCAGAAAGCGGTCTCGAAGTGCGGAGTGGAACATACGCAGGACTTGTTTGTTCTGATCCGCACAAAGACAATAGCCGAGTCAGTTAGCAAACTCCTTACTCTGGACGCGAGTTTCGAAGAACTTAGGCGGGGAATCAACCACGAGTTAGTCAGGAGACTAGCCAATACAGGACGAGGGTATCGCCGAGCTAAATATCTGATACAGGGGGATCTTAAGCGCGCCGCCGGCTCCTTATGCACGGAAGAGCTTCGCCCTTCACAATTCAAGACGCTCGGCCTAGCCCTGGGACCTCACGGCTGGCTAGTTGAGCGACATAGACCTCCCTCCCCAGATATCGAATCTGTCGACCAGGATTGTGGCAACGAACAACGAGATCATGGCGAGAACGCACGAGATCATAGCGAGAACGCACAAAACGAGAGGGCTGTCGATAAATCCCCTACTCCTTCTACCCCTCCTAGTATTCCTCTCACTCCGCTATCCACAGGTGCGAGAAAGGCAAAGAGCCAGCGAAGAAGAAAGAAAGGGAACGCCCCGTATGACCGTTACCGCAGAGCCCCTATACCGAGACACCCCCCGAGCACCTTCAATAACAGCTGCGGCTGTGTAATAGCGAGTACCTTGCTTCAGCGATTCAGGTCCCCTACAACGGATGATCGAGTGAGACTGACCACTCTGAGGATGATCTCTCGAGAGATGACAGTCTGTTCGGCCGAAAAGATATACTTTGTGTACACGAAGGCTCTCAGTAGATACCTGGGACTATACACACGCCAGTTTCTTTATAAGGACCTCCTCCAAAGGTTGACCTACGCAATCAGATAGGTGGATAGGTGGACTGAATTTATGGAAGAAAAGGCAGTGTGGTTTACCCCACAAAGCTTTCCCGGAAAAGTGACCCGCAGTTCCTTCCGATTTGAAGTGACCCCTTCTGTGCCGAGGATTGCGCAGTACGTCGAACTAGGCTTCAATCTAGCTGATATCTGTGCCCGTATCTATAGAGTCTAGGATGAGGTCTACCAACAGCAGGAAGACGAGTTCAATGAGACTGGAAATGTGATCCTACCAAAGCTCTTTGGGTGGCTGGACGGAGATATCTCGACCGTGGAAGGAATAGACGTTCTCTCTCGTATGATAGGACGGCCTATAACCTCTTTGATGCAGTTGATCCACATAGAATTCGATATATACGACTACCACTACTCTCCCGCTATCGCGAAGCCTCGCCTAGGGTGGAGCCGGAATATGTTCCAGTCTCTAACCCAACAACTGGGTCGGCAAGACGTCTGCTATTATGCCGCCTACGTGGCTGTGCGCCCGGATTACGCTTGGAAACTGATCTCGTTCCCCTACTACACAAAGAGTGCTTACCTAGGGGAGAACACTGCCTTCACCTATATCGATCTGAATATAGGGGACTACCTTGCGACCGGCCGAGGTGGCAGCGCTGTCCAAGGATCTCTGTCCTTTACAGATAAAGACAAAGAAAACTGCACGATCATCCTCCCGAAGATACACTTGCGCCTTGAAGAATAGTGGTCCAGGATCAAAGATCACCCTGACTCCTAGACGTCTGGACACACGATCAATATCTACGATTGGATGTGGACTGATGAGGATAAAGAGAAATTCGGCGTGTTCTAGGGTGCAGTTTGCCAGGCAGGGGACGTTCGACTTACACTCCCCGTGATCCCGTATGGTTCGACGGTCCTGCCACTCTCCTACGACGAACAATAATGCCCTGGTTCGGAGTTATCCGTGACGACCATGAAAGACTCGAGACCGCAGAAGCCGGTACTTGGGAGGAGATCTCCGATGCGCACCGAGATATGTGTCTAGCTACCCGGAAGCCCTCTGGAGAATCGAGCCAGAAACGTGCAGTTAGCTCTTATACCTGCCCCGGCGTGACCCACCTCACTGGACTAGGTGATTTATCGGACGCCCTACTAGGTAGGATCAAGTGGTCTGAATGGTCTGTGATTTCAGAGCTGAACCTGTTGTTCGGAGAGGACCAACAGGCCGCTTATAACTGGGTGTGTCAATGGCGTCGTCGCGCGTCACGTTAATTTGTGGAAGCCTTTCAAAGAATTGTTTCGGCCGAAAAGTTGGCCCATAGAGAACAGTCATTCTTCCACCTTTTGAAAGAAGGCCTACCTGTTCCCGAGCCGCACTTGGAGTATCAAAAGGACTTGGGTAGCGATATCAGCGACGCCAGTGACGTCGACGGTGATAACGAGATGGAGAACGAGATAGAGGATGACGCGGAGGGCGCTCCTGTCCCTATAGAGACGTGAGCGGGGTGGATTCTCAGGCAAATCTTCTGGGGTGACTTCTCTGGATAGTATTTCTTTTTTTGAGTATTGGACTCGACCAGGGGACGGTCGAGGTTCTCGGGTGGGGTGGTATGTAGTGGGGGATATGGTCTACGCAGCGGTATAGGCGCCAGCTGCCAAAACCTTATTTCCAGTAAATGTGGACGCCTTGATGCCTAACTTTGGCCTGACGGCCTGAATTAAAAATGGCAGAAGAATTAAAATACCTGAATTACTATGACACTTCCCTTAATAATCAAAGTAGCCTGATTTTGCTGGCGTTTGGAACTCTCAAAAATGAAGCCTTTGGCCTCTATACAAATGGAGATATCTCGACTTTCTTAGACGATTTGCTAGTGTCAAAAATGAAGCTTTTCATCCCATACAAATACAGATATCTCTATGTTCTTTGACACTTGCAAATCATCCCAAAAAAGTCGAGATATCTCACTTTGTACGAGGCCAAAAGTGTCAGACTAGGATATAGCCCCCCTAGGCCATAAACAGGAACCTTAGTTTTTGTTATAGTCTAGTGGTAAAATGATTGTATTATTTCCCACAAATAGCTTCATTTTTGACATATGCAAATCGTCTAAGAAAGTCAAGATATCTCCATTTGTAGGAGGTCAAAAGCCATTTTTGACACTTGCAAACCGTCCAAGAAAGTCAAGATATCTCACTTTGTAGGGAGGCCAAAAGCTTCGTTTTTGACACTAGCAAATATACACTACATTGTATAGGGCGGTGTAAGGAGCGGTTAATAACCAGGCTAAAATTAGGCATCAAGGTATCCACATCTACCGGGAATCGGGGTTTGGCAGCTGGCGTCTATACCGCTGCGTATATGGTCCTCCACTACTATACGCCTGCACCTATCCTCTCATTTGTGCAAAGGGATAATTTATGTAAGCAGTTAGTGCAACTAGTACTTTGGAGGTTATAAGTAGTGATAGTTTACAGATTGACAATACACACTCCTACACCTCTCTTGGTCGACTCCTTGGTTTGCCGTCCCGGTTTGCTTTGTATGCCATAGGGGGGTATAAAGCTTGGTTACAGCTGCTGAATCAACCCGTATGCCAGAGAGCATACTGCCTTGAGCGTTCCCCTCTTCAATATCTGTTGATAGAAACAGCCCAGATAGCAAATAGAGAGCGTCCGCATCCTTAGTGAGCAATTTGATATTCATTCTGAGTGTAAATAAACAGAAGCAAAACGGAGACAACTTGACAAGTATACCGAGCAAAGTCCTCACATCGCCAGCGATAGAAAACATTCTCGCCACATCAATACCAGGATAATTGTATCACTTTCAAATACCGAGATCTTTGGCCGCTTTCCCCCACCCTAGATATCCACACCTATATCCATATCCATATCATCTTCTACAACGTAGCCTTGCTTCCTCAGCTCGTCCATATAAACGTATGCAGCAGCTTCAAATCTCGCAATGTATTTATCGTCGAGGCTACTGAAATCAGTTTCCGGAATTCCCACTCTTCCCAACCATCTCTTATAGAACTTGCTTAATTTTGGTGGAGGCCGATTTTGACCAGATCCGCTGCTTATATCATTATTGAGGCCATTGTTGTTCGGACCGTTGCTATCCTGACCACTGGCGTTCTGAGCATTAGTACTGAAGCCATCGACAAACAGGTCATTGTCTTCATCGTCCTCATCGTCCAATTCCTGCTTCACTGAAACTGAATCAAGCCGCTGTGTGTTTTTCACCGCTGGTTGGCGACTCCCTAGCCTCCCCCCTCGGGGCCCAGCTCCAAACTTTGTGCACTTGGCATAGAAGGCTCTCTTGTACGCTCGCGCTTTATTCTCTCCTCCTTCTGTGCCTTGAAGGAATCCAGCGGGCAAGGGGTGGGTGAACGATCAGGGCTGTCTCTTCCTATTTGGCCTTGCCACTGATTGTAACGTTCCTCCTGCTTACCCCAAGCCTCGGAGATCTTTTGCTCTGCTGTGGCTAAGTCGGTGAGTCTAACTAGATCTGCCTTGGTAATCCAGGAGTTGCCTCTGGTCAACAGGTTCTGATGCGCAGCATCGATTCCTTGCCATTTAACTTTGACAAAGGCCGGGGGAGCTGTTTTGTAGACCTTGTCAATGTTTTTTCTTTCATAAAATGCCACACCGACAATGCCGACGATGTTGTCCCTGCTGTATCTATAATGGTCTTCCCCGTCCTCCCCTTCGTACATCACGTACGAAATTCGGGTCTTTAGTTTGGATACTTTCTGCAGCCCTTGGGTACTGTACCCATTTCCAGGCTGAACCCGGTATTTTGCCGCTTTGTAGGGTCCATACCGAACCAGCAATATATTTGACCGTCCAAGACGACTCCAGGCGTCTGGTTCTCCGTCGTGATCATGACCAATTGAGAGCTTCTTCAGGTCGGTCAGGACTTCATCCGAGAATTCCGACGAGTCATTGGGGCCGACAGGAGAGGGACTACCAGATTCAGCTGAGTTCTCAGCTATATAACGCGACCTTGGGCTGGCTCTAGGGGATTCTAATGGTTTCCTTTCAGGCTCAGCGTCTCCCATAGGCTGGTCGTTAGATTCATCTGGAACCGCTTCTCCCATACTATCTGGGCTTGGCTGCTCCTCTTGAGTGTTGTACGGGGGCTTCGACTGTGACTGAACCGACTGACTTTGGTTGGTTGTATACGCACCAGTATCTTTACTGGAACCTGGCTGAATGTACGAGGCTTGCGCATCCGCAGCAGCAGCCTTGGTTTGGGAGAGAACCCCCTCGCTTTCAACCAGATTTTGCAGTTTTCCTTTATTATCTTTTGGTTGCTTATTTCTCGTACTGCGTCTTAAACCTCCTTCAGCGTTTGAGGAAGACATAGCCCAGTATAGCTGAGGATGCTCTCCCAAATGGATAAATGGATATTCTTGAGACGTATGAAAGGGCTTCCCTTATTTATAGTTCCAAGTGTATAGGAGACTATCTTGCTTGCTTCTTTGTTGTCTTTTCCTTCCTACATCCTCTCTCCTCCCTCCTTCCGTTCCCCAGAGATCGCCACCGACCGAAGATGGATATTTTTACCATTAGCCTAACCACCCTCTCTTAACCACCCTCTCTTAACCACCCTCTCTTAACCACCCTCTCTTAACCACCCTCTCTTAACCACCCTCTCTTAACCACCCTCTCTTAACCACCCTCTCTTAACCACCCTCTCTTAACCACCCTCTCTTAACCACCCTCTCTTAACCACCCTCTCTTAACCACCCTCTCTTAACCACCCTCTCTTAACCACCCTCTCTTAACCACCCTCTCTTAACCACCCTCTCTTAGCCATTCTTACTAAAAGCCATTGGTTAATGTTATTTGTTAACCGTTCTGACCTTCTCTCTCACGATGCTTCCTACTAAGTTGCATTGGTTAGGCCCTAGACAATATACACAAACCAGGGCGGCATCGATTCAGCAGCAGCTTCGCTCTTACTATTCACCTTAAAAAGCCCAGCTTCCCCTATGTCCTCGCTCCAACAAGTACACAGTCCACGACCTAAATGGCTGACCCAAAAGCGCAGTCCTTGCACGATTTTGCAATTCTCACTATAATCAATGTCTTTGTATTACTTTACTTCTACCTTTTTGTAATCCATTTTCTGCTCTTCTATTTCCCCTCATCCCCCAGAGGAATTTTAGACTCCCTGTGTGTGCTATTTTTTTGCGCAGGTATCATCTTCTGGTGTATATCCAGCCTCTTCTACCGCTTTCTAGATGCTTTCCGGGGCAATGATACGGCAGAGTGGCAAAAGCTAGAGTTTGGAGCCACTTTAGTCCTAATTTGGGCGACCACCCTTCCTTCGGCGGTTTTGTTATTCCGCACCGAACCCTACCTCCAGCTCGGATATATATCTGCCTTCACCGTCGTTGCTGTCGGGATTCTGGTGGACTTTGTAATCTGCGATCCCAGTTGCTGTGCAGTGCGGTACCGGTTTCCGTACAGCTGCGTTTCACTGGGCTTACTTTCGCTTATACCAACCATTTATGCTGTCACTGGGAAATCCCAGAGTGTGCCCTTATTGGCGATATATCACGGCCGAATAGCTATCTGGAATTCTCTTGGCGCTACATTCTATCTGTTTCGTCCGTTGGAAAGGATTGGAGTGGTGAATGGCTGGCGGCCCAGTCTCTATATGATGCATTTAGTCCTGGCCTACAACGCCGTCACTTATTCAAGGGCTGTCTTGTATACGGTGGCTCAAAACGCAGCTTAAGCTTCATTGGGTTCTGGAGAAGGTGTGGCGGAATACAAATTACCTAGGCGTGAGCAGAACGTTTGATAATCACTTACCTCTTATATCGGGCCCTTACCTAGATTCCTTCTATATCTCTATATCGATCAAAAAGGCTACATCCCTGGTGTTCAAATCTAGACGGTTCAATATTCTTTGTCTGATTACAATTCATCGTGATAGCCAAGATCTTATACACTTTGGATTGCTGACAATCTATGTATATATCTGAGATATAACCCCTGCATTGTGAAAGCAAACCACCCAACTGCCCCCCAGACTAATTGATTGTTTGTGTGATAAGCTCAGGTAAACATAGAGATATATAGCGTCTTGAAATAAGTAATCAATATTAAGAACAACTATAGTCGACGCTGAATACTGTACAAGACGTAACGCGAGGAAGCTTGTCGCTTTCCGCGTTCAGGGGAACCCGTGTATTTGGTGATGATAATCAATTCCTCTTACACAACAGTAGACGTGAGTGGTGTTTGCTAGGTCAATCGACCACTATAGATAAACCTTATCACCCGGTACCTTAGTCCTGCTCCCAGGAGTGTTGGGCCTTAATTTGAGGATCGGAAACATGCCCTACTAATGGGAAGAGTAAAGGTCCTTCCCAGGAACGAGCCAGTAGGCAGCCAGAAAGGGCTGCGTTTTTTCCATCAACAACTTACTTCACTGGGATTCTTTAATTTAAATATCTGACCACTAAGGTCTCTAAGACCGGCAAGCTTGCCTAGTCTGCATCGAAAAGAAGAATTCTCTCTCCAGCATGTAAATACCTGAAGACACTAAATTTCTAGACGGTTCTTTACACCTTCGAAATAAAGTGAGCATTAAACATTAGATACATACTAAGAATGCAGTAATGAGATAAAGTGGGCTTTGCAAGGCAAATAATTGATGAGTGGTAAGGAAACATGCTAGGGGCAATCGGAAATTGCGGGCCCAGCTACAGTAGTTGAATTGCTTCCTGGGATCGCCTTATCGTATGTTCTTTGACAACCACGAATTGGATGACCTACCCCCACTTTGCTCTTGCGGCATACTAGACAGTCTTCTCGCCTGTTTTCTGAGGCCAGTACTTTTCTCTCCATTATCTACTGTAGCTTCGTTCCCGCTCCCAGCGCACAATTCACGAACTTTCCCAGTGTAAGTTAAACAATATCCAATTAAAGTACTGTAAGTCAGTTCGGACAAATTGCGCAGGTTGGAGGTGCCACCACCGGTCGGCATGTGAGCTGACTGCCCGCTTCTAATCAATCGGCCTGTCTGCTGTACTGCTGAGAATTATGCCAAAAGAACACTACCACAGGTAAGTGCCTTCCCCCACCCCTTTTTTCTTCGTTCAAGAGGGTCCGTAAAAGTGATGTTGTCGCTTTAAATGATTCCGTCTCGAATATAAATAATCCTCGGCCCCAGCCAGTCGCCACTATCATCGCACTTGCTTACCTTGAAGTCGCGCATAGTCCAGGATGCGTTCCTTAAATTACCTTTTCTTTATCGGAAATGTTGTGGCGGGCAGTTATCTGGCTATCATTGAGGACAATGACAGCGAGACTAACTGTAGAGTGTGGTCTCAGAATAACCACGGCTGTACAGGCTACTCAGCAACCTTTGCTAAGCTGAAAGGCAATGATTGCTCAGGTGAGTATCCAATTTGAATCAAAGGCCCTCACGCTATTGTTAACACTCCTTAGGTTTTATTGGTGCCGGTTTCGACGATAAGTCGGTGAAAGTTGATATATGTGGCACTGAAAATGGAGAGCAGGTTGCCTGGGTGACAGTCAACAAAAACGGCATTGTGTCTTTCCTCAACCGACAGGGAGACACGTCTAGTTGTATGCTAGAAAACGGTCTTAAGGTGCCCAGTGGGTGTAGCATTGGTAATACAGGTTCCTCTCAGACGACCACGCCGATCTCTGCAGGCAGTCAGTTCTCGTTCTCAACTGCAATCGGCACGTCCACTTCTGAAACAGCCCGTGCTGATCAATCTCCAACTCCGATATTCACGTCGACGCCTACAGACAGTCTAACTTTGTCTTTAATCTCAGCCGGTAAATCGGCTACTGAGACACCCCTTGCAGATCACTTGCCAACCCTCACGTCTACCCCGGCATGCAAATGCTCTTGCAAATCTGCAGTCATCTGATGTAGATAGAACTGCACTGCCAGTGCGAGCCGCAGGTAGTTAATTAGAGTTTATCAGGTTTAGTACTGTATGATGGAAACTTTTCACACCATATCTTGCCTTATATAGTTGAAGCTACACGTGTGCATCATGCAGGAGGTGAACGAGCATTTCTTACATCCCGTTTTGTATTATGAAAGAAAATAATGGTGAAAACAAGGTATGGTAAGGTAATCAAATATGTATAACTCTAACTAAATAAAACATGATGAAAACCCGCGTTTTGACAATCTGTGTGCGGCTTGCTGACTAATCTCTAATACACTTTTGTAGGGGATACCTGGTACCCGTGACACCGCTCACCCATACCCTGCCGGTATGGGTGACTCGTGAGCTCCAGCAAAAAGCTATTTTCTCCACAACGCTATTTTTAAAAAGAATATCAAATTCAACTCCGTATAACTACCTAAAACCATCTGTATCTATAATCAAAAGATCTCTATCCCCTGCTTCAGCCATTTTTCTCGCTTCCTCCAATTTTTGATCCTTTTTTCCCCGGGGTTTTGCGGTTGAAACTGCTACTGGCGTATCGAGTCCTATTGGATGGACTATTCCACGCCGCACTTCTTTTTCTAATTCCAGATTCTCGCGCTGAGAGATCCTAGCATTTGCATCTGTAGAGAGCAAGGGGTGCCTATGCTTTATCATTCTCTGAGAAATTTGAGCCTGATTTCTTTGGTTGTATGGAAGCATTTGACGAATTCGATCCTGGCTTTGAGATGCTACCTCCGCTTGAATTAAGCCCCTATTGAAAACCCCATTAAGCGACCGCCGTAACTCGGGGCTAATTAAAATTCCAGTATTATCTCTGTCAAGCATTGCTCTTGTTTTCTCGATTTTTTGCGCCAGTTTCTTTTGGGCTTTTGGTGGTGAACTAGTAATCGGACTAGAAGGGGGGTGTATCGGCATCGGTGTGCGAACTATAGATTTGAAGCACCGGTTGATTTGGAAGATCAGGCTCCAGTTCATCGTATATTTTCTGAGGATTAAAAGGCCAGATTCCACAATCTCTAAAGGCGCCTTTATTTGTAGCGGGTTGTAATGCACGAATTCGTACATTGTGGATTTCAGCGAAGAAGGTTGCCTTCAGATCAACCCGGCCACCAAGTTCCACCACCCTATTGTTATTAAGCCTATAAAAGTGCTTTAAAACCTGAAAGGGCTGGCGATCCAATGGCTGTAAAAAATGTGTGGAATTTGGTGGAAAAGACCATACAATAATCCGATGTTTCTCGCTGAATTTGAAGAATTCAGTTGTTAAATGAGGACTACGGTTATCCATTAACAATAGACGATATCCACTAGGAGATACTCGGTCTTTTGTACGTTGATGGAAGGAATAAAGCTATTGTAACGTTACCAGACTATTTGTATACCCCGATTCAGTGGGAGCAATAGTATAATCTGGTAGGTTATTTTTCTTATACCAATTGACCATATGGTATTGACCTTTAACTAGAAACCATGGTGGTATTACCTAGCCATCGGCAGCTATGCATTCAATACCGGTAATCGTCTCGCCACGAGTACCGGTTCCTATATAGGATGATTTTGAAGCAGTAACAACCTTTTGGGCCTTGCCTTGGCCTACTTGGTAGCCGGTTTCATCGAAGTTGTAGATATTCCTCAGGGTTAATTTATGCTGCTTTATAATCAACCCCACGCGATTGAAATACAGGGAAATTAATCCAGTATCTGAAGCGTCTATTCTTTTTGCTTCCATCGGTTTTCTCTTGAGAAAATTCTAATGGGGGGAGACACGAGCGATAAATCTGTAAGGCCAGTTCCCACCGACAGTTCTGGCATTGTGGTGGTATAAAAAATTGATTTGAAAATGGTGGGTTTAGAAAAATAGTGTTGTGGAGAAAATAGCTTTTTGCTGAAGCTCACCCAACCCCCTGAGGGGCCCCGTTGGGTGAGCTTAGTCACGGGTACTGGCTGTCATATGACAAATCAGCTGTTTTCATCCAGTAATACATGCGGTATTTCTGACATATTAGAGGGCTCCTGGAAAACCTTTGTCAGCCTCATATGTTTTAGAAATGTACTGTAATTTACCGGATTATCATATTAGCAGGGCAAATGTTTATTGTCAGACTGGGATATGGCTTCCCTAGGCCTTAAACAGGAACCTTGGTTTTTGTTACGGTCTAGTGGTAAAATGGCTGTATTATTTCCCACATTTATCACCTGTAAGATGAGAAGCTGTGACCCGAGTGCCCGCGTCCAATCCGAAATCTCACCAGGGTTTCTTGGTTGACACTTCCATTGACAGTGCAACGAAATGGGATTAACCTAGCAAGGTCAAACCTCGTCTTGATTCGTGATATGATTAGCAGTGATGAATGAAGTAGCTCGGAGGTGGGGGCTAACTGCCGGTTGCATTGAGCGAGCCATTACTAGAATTTGGTCTAACCTGCGCTTTTTCGGTAGTTTAAACGTTTCTCCTATGAAAGCTGGACGGCCACGGCACATCAACCCAGTTATACGGGAAACTCTGTGGGATCATTTACTTGAAACACCGGAGTCGTGCCTCTTGTGATATGAGGCTGTTGCAGATCAAGAAGCTTCCAGTTCTTTCTGCGTGGAAGAAATACATGATGCAAGTAGATGCCTTCACTGTGTGTATATATATAACCCCGTATCTCCCTCTAAGGAAACAATTAATTCATTCCTCTGAATTACAACAGTGCCTTCATGAGGTTATGCTGTAGCTAATGCCGTGTATGACAGGCGGCGCAACGAAAAGTTCCAATCTGGTATTCCCCACATTCCATTCTCACTGCTGAACAATGCCGACAAAGACGACGTGAGTTGAGTTTTTGAGCAAGTACCTGAAAGTAGTCATATTCGCTCGGCTGTTTGACTCGTCCCTTTTGGACTAAATCCAGGATTACCTGTAACCCAAGGCATCCAAAGGAACTGAAGACAGGGAGAATAGTCGCTCTATCGATAAGTTCGAATATATGATTTGAAATAAGCACGGCGATAATCTCCTGCAATTTGGTTTCATGAGGAGGAGTCAACGCTAGAGCTTCTTCGACTACCTCAGAAAATATGGGCGAGTCCTAATTTTCAGATACCCATTTTGAGAACTTCTCTGAGGCTAGATTCTTCAATGGATCGATTTGAAATTTATCAGCGGCGGTGAACACCAATATGTTGTTTAAAGCCCTTGCTTTCAAAGCTTCCGTATTGTTGGATTTATCCCCTTGAATGACTGAGTCTGAAGCATCAATGGAAGGAATATGATCTGCAGTAGGCTGGAGTAAAACCGCATGCCCATCATCCGGGTATTCCCTCAAGTAATGTAACAGGTAGGCAGCATGGAGTTACCGCGGACACTGCATCTCACCAAGCCCAAATTCTAGAGGAGACCATGAAGCGGGAATTTTCAGAGAGCGCTCAGTGCCGCGGGGTTGCCGCGGGGTTTATTATCAGGAAGCTCGCCGACGGCCCTACAGAGTAGTACATAGTAGTAGCAGTAGTAGGTACCATTTACACTGACCCCTCGCCAAAGTTGATTTAACCACTAGACCGACGGACTTGGCTGGGAGTAACGACAAGGTCAAGTCGGTCATCTGAGGGGCGTTAATTTGACCCATCAGACGGAGGGAATATAGCCACCTACGTATTGCACTTTCTAGTGATAGTAATGACAAGGGGGATGATAAATAGCCTGATTCACCCCAGTTAACGCATCATATCCCCTCTCACGTTGTCCTGGATAATGGCTAATATCTCTCGTCGGTCAACGCGCCGCTTGCGGGAGACATCTGACACCATGCCTTTGCTTGATCATTGCTTCAACATGCAACCGTCGCCAATGACCGAGACTGCCCACAGCCCAGAACCGCCCTTGAAGCGGTCACAAGCTACGCTTCGACTGCGGCTTCAGCCGGGAGGCCTGAGACTAGAGACATGGTGGAAATATCTCACGGCGTTTGGTCCCCTTAATGAGGGCTTAGAACAAAAGCTGCAACATGAGAGAGCTGTTGCCCAGGAGGAAGTTCGACAGGAGTGGATGCAACGTCTGCGGCCCAAACCTCACCGACAATGCCCACCGGCAAAACGAGGGAAAGGATACAGAAGGGGCTAGCAGAGAGAAACAATGCCCCGAGAGGCCGAACCTTCAATCAGCAAAATTCGGAAATTGATTTAGTGACCTGAATAAACCGGGTTGTTGCAATAATTTATTCAAACTGCCATCAATACAATACAAACACAGTAGAAAACTTCAACTTACATGTATGTACCGTGTTGAGCTATGAACAGCTTTCACCTAAATGGCTTTCGTGTTTCTATGAACTAAACACCAGGTCAAACCAAAGGCTTTTCAAGCCCCTGGCATACATCTGCTACTACACCAACTCAAAAGCCAAAGAAACAAGTCATTGCAAGAGAAGGGTTCTGTGTAGAGAGTACAGCCATTGCTTGGGCTCTATGATGAGTAATTGCGCTGAATTAGCTCCCCCAGGGCTTCTTGGAGTCGCTATTACTGCGCACTCTGTAATACAGCAAAGCAGCATGAATAGGGCTTTGTCTGGCCTTACGCAGCTCAAAATTTGAAGTATAAGGAGGACACAAAATTATATTGGTAGTTGGAGGCGGTACTGCATCAGAGGAAGGCAATGCATAATTGAGGGCGCTAGCAAACACCGTTTACTCTTGACGTTCTCCAAGTTTCAACGGCTAGGTACATACCGATTTTCATGTTGTGAGGTCCAATTCGATACAACATAAAGGTTTATACCAGGGAGGGGGATGAGAAGGACTCTCTATTCGTCTATGTTCACAACATGGCTAGCTGGTACTTTGGACGAGACAATCAAAGAGCTGGAATAGGTGATGATAATCCGGAAAGGAGAGCTGAACACAATGTCACAATCAAATATATTTAAAAGTTTATCGATTCTAGAGATAGTAATGGGCCGGCGCCTGTCTAGTACCAATTATAGAGCGAGTGGAACGAGCCGCCGAGGTTGAATCTCTGCAGGTCCTATACATAGCGAACTACAGAGCACGGTGAAGCACAAGATAATTCATTAGATGCATTGATCCTACTCGTTCACACTAGTAGGATAGTGATTTGATATACATAGCACCTGCGACCCTGGAGCGGACCACGAATCAGGCCATAGATTGACTGTAGGCACAGTTGGGCTAGATGTAATCTGACCATTCCGAATCCACCGTTTATGAATCATACCGAAGACCGGCAGATATCAAACTCACATTCCTATTTCTTGATCTGAGATGGATTATGTGCATGATTTAGCCAGGCGGCAAATTCAGGAAACGAAAAGAGTTCTAACAAGTTAAGCGGCTCTGGCTCTTGAGCGCATTAAATTGGACTTGCGACATTGTTCTTTGCTCTGCGTCTTGTTTGGTATTTTGAATACCACAATTCCTAGGAACCACAGCAAGGCATCAACAATGGTGGCAAAAACGAACGCGTGGTCTTCAACAGGCCTCATATAGTTCAGGCACCCCGGGCCCTTAGTTTTCTGCTACCCAATAGATCTTCAATTGACCGGATAATCCTCAAGGGCTATATATTCCTTGACCCCGACGCCTTTACATTTTATAATAATTTTCAAACCACTCAACAGTCGAACAGGCTTTTGTGTTGGCGAAGACTATAAAATCCTTTTCCTTTTTGATCAATTCCTTTTGTAAACCTCTGAGAGATTTTCATTCAGTCTTGACCAGAACAGTCTAAGCTCCTCTTTACGTCGTCTCGAGCTCTCTTCCTCCAAGTGCGATTGCCTCAATGAGAACGAAACCGAAGCCTGGCTGTTTTGATACGGCCCCTGAGTTTGACTGTCTGAAGGCTCTCAGGGAAATCTCTCTCAATGAGAAGCTCGTGGCCTTTGTCGAAAAAGCTCATTTAGCGATTCAGGAAGGAGGTTGTTTCAATCAACGGGATAGCTTTAAAAGATCTCTCCTTCATTACGCTGCTATGGGCAACTGTACCAACTTGCTTTATTATCTCTTGCAAAGCAGGCGAAATATTGATTCTCGTGACCAATGGGGGCGGACGCCACTCTCCTGGGCTGCTGAGTACGGCTCATTGGAAGTTGCGAAAATTCTACTGGAGCGAGGAGCAAACGTCAATGCATTGGAATCTGAGGATGGCACACCTTTGACATACCTGATGTACGCCGGCAACCCTGAAATTGGAAGGCACAAGGACACTGAGGCGTACCTTAGAGATAGAGGCGCGAAGGAAGGGAGATTGCGAGGTATCAAGCTCGCCTGGGTCTGGGTTTTGACTTATTCCCACTTACTCCGACACGTTCGCCCGCGTATATGAGGCTCCCGATTACATCGAGCCAGGTGATATTGTACTCTACTATTACGGCCATCAGACAAGGGTCATAGTCGTGGAAGCGCCGGGTTCGCAGACACTCTTGTGTTCTTTTTGTACGCGTCAATCTCGTCTTACCGAAACAGAAATTGGAAATTAGAAACTTAATTTGCGCATAAAGAAATGCGAATGTGCTTTAGTAGTAAAAAAACCCTAGTCTTGCATGGCAGTCCAAGACAATAGGGTAATCGATACATGTGCTATTTTCCACCTTAGCCCATGAAGAGATGACATTTGTGTAATCCTACCGAAGCCACCTAGGATTCTGCCCTTTCTTTCTATCTCCTCGGACCCCCATCAATAGGACATGTGTCCCCCCTCACGACTAGAGATTTTTTCCTCTATCCTCGCATTAATTCAATCTTGACACTATGCACACCACGGTAAATCCAAAATGAAGAGACCAGCTCCGATAGTAAGACATAGATGCGGGGAATCTGGCCGCCGATACAATCTACAACGTCTATACTCCAAATGCGGCCGTATGAAAAACCAGATTTTCACAATCGCATTTAGCGGTCATATAGTCTCGTATTGACTGAAGAAAGCAAGTACACACGAGCGATACAAGTTTGCGGCCTTGGCTGTCTCCAGAACTTAAGGCATGTAGATGAAAATAAAATCATGCCTCTATACAGAAGCCGTGTTAATGCTGTGAGCTCGCTTAAATCTATGTGTCAATGCTTAAATTTCCTGTCAATCGAGTAAAGTTCTAAATATTTCTTGAGACTTAGGCAGTTATAGATGGGCGAAATATCGAAGATAAATCTTTGAGTGAACCTATCTGAGAGACCCTCGGCCGAAAATCAGAAAACGAGAACTCAACGCTCCAATAACCAGATCAGAGTTGACGACAGGCTGAAATACCTCCAGAATGGCTTTTTCGGCGAGGACAGACCCCTCCGTGCCCCCGGTTTTGTAGTATAGCCACGCATGTGATAGAATACATCACAACGAATAAGCACTTCTCGTTTGACCGCCAGAGTAATATGAATGAGACGACCCATATCAGTTGCCTTGGGCCACTCATCTTAAAGATGATTACCGTCCTTGCGCTTCTCCTTCATCGCAGGTTCCATTATCCCGAAATTCTTGACAATGGGCTTCGTTGCTTTGACGAGGCTGAGTGGATTGGCAAATTCTCTTAGGGTCGTGGTGACATGATTGATTTTCAGCAAAGCTGGAAGATCGTGTGAGTGTCATAGGGATGGTCACAGATTCCGATCTTCCGGACTGAGTTATCGCCTTGTCGGAAAAATCTAAATTGCGATGGTGATGGGCGTGGCTTGGGTTCATTTGCTGAAACTCAACGGGGGGCTGTGATAGCACTCCTTGACAGAAAGTCTCGTCAGGCTTAGAGCGATTTGGTGGCATGAACTTCTGATCGTCGAGGCTGGAAGCCTGAGGTAAATACCTCCCCTGGCTACTATTTCGCCCACTAGGAGGAATCAAAAAGTCAGGTTGTGGAACAGGGCTAATAGTGAGGGGTAAAGCCAAAATCTAGAAACCTTTGCCCCAAAATAGCAAGGAAATAGGGAGGAAAACAGGTCTTGAAAGGGATAAAAGAGAAAAGGAGTAGGCCTGCTTACCTTTGATATAGCGGGAGTTGATCCAGGTTAAGGCGATGTTCGGGGTAAGAAAAGGGCGTACAGGCTGGTGATGTTGGAGCCACTTGATATGAGTGGTCGGGGTATTGTGACATTCCATAATCTCCACCTAGACTGGAATATCCGGGATAATTCTTCTCGCTCTCGGGCGGGTAAAGGAGAGCTCTGGGACTGAGATCCACGAGATCTCCCATAGGTGTTCTGGGATATTTTCCCATTTGCGCTGGTCTCCCCATGATGATGACCAACATGAAGACTGTTTGTTTGACATACACACAGCTCCACTTAGTCCGTGGATCCTCATCTTGTCGATCTTGGATCAGTTGGTTGATCTGTGCACGGCAGTTGTAGCCCACATGTTGATATTGCTGTTGAGCAGAATAAGCGTCTGCCCGCTCATGGACCATGGAGTAGAGCTCGTTCTGTTCGATTTGCAATTTAATTCGCTCTGCCCGGGCCCACGTTGACCTTTGCCCTAGGCTAGGATCTGCTTTGAAAAACTTGTATCCTTCAAACATTGCATCAGAGTGTACGAGCTCTTTGCAAATAACCACTTCTTGAGAAGATGCCTTATGTGTAAAAGAATTGCGGGAAAAATTCGATGTAGCTCGAAATGCGTGGTAGCAACGAAGTACTTCCCTTGGGGGTAGGCTAGCTGAGCAGAAAATCTGGGAGAAGCAGGTTATATACTAAAAGCAAATGGAGAAGCATAGAAGCAATGAACCAATTATGTGTAGGAGTGTAACTAATCAATTAGATTGTTGAAGTTCATACATAGGGGCCAGAATTTGATCCAGGTTCTCAACTTTTCCTAGGAGCTAATAGATCCAGGGGTTTTGCCGCCATTTTGCCTAATGGTAAATACGGCTAAAGCCTCCCGCAGTAGCACTACAATAGATCGGGTAAAACTTAAACTTACTGGAAATGATCATGGAAAATTGGGGCACTAGACGACTCCCAGGAACTCTTGTTTAGTGCCTAGGAGCTCAAGTGCTCCCAGGGGCATTATAACTTGCTCTACGGAGTTATGAAACTCTATATAATTGTTATTTCATGCTATGCAGTCAATATGGCCTGATGTATTGCAACTTCGGATAAGTAAAAATAATTACTAAAAATGCCCACCTAATTCCTCAAAATCGTTTGGCCTTTCAACTGCTATAACCATTACATTTCAAGTTTGCCTGAATCCTTCTGTAAGATTACGCAAGATAGCAGTATAGCTATTACCTCAGAAAAAGGCGAGAAGAAACGCTCATCCTATGCCTCACCAAATTTAGACGAACGTACTATTTAGGCGGGCCATGCCTGGATCTAGTGTTCTACAAATTGTACTATACATCATTTTGGTGAGTATTAAAGGCTTTTTTGTATTATTTTAAAGAAATATGGCAGGAGGAATTCAGAATGATTCTGTTGAGTATTTACGGTATGCTTGAGATGCTCCCGGGACTCTTGACTCAGAATCCGGACGAACGACAAGAGAGTATGTAGTGTTAACAATCTCACGCTTCCATCTAGGGGATAACGACAAACACCAACATTGTAATGCCGTGTTTGCTCATTTCACGCGGTTCTTCCATTCAATGAATCCAACCAGGTCATCTGCAAGTATCAGAAAAGACGCATTAAGTGCTGGCATATAATTTGCGATACCTGCATTGGCACTCTAAATAAGAGGGCTGAATATCACTTTGACATTATGAAGTGCCCGTTGTGCCAAGACTGCTCAGCTTACGATCCGTCAACTACCGCCCACGAAATAACCCCTAGTGCTTAATTTGGAAGGTAGTAGGATTTGTAGCATTGTTCAGCTGGGTCTACATCCATTCGATAAGCAGCTCGGGTATGGAATACGCATGCCCGACATATTTGATCTATCTGGAGGACAAGCGTTGGTATGTGGCAATCACGACATTCAGGTACTTTATATGTTTCCTTTCTGCCTTTTCCCGTTTTCCCACGCTTGACTCCCGTATTAGCCACCCCTGTTCCTGTGCGCCGTCCCTCTTGAACAATTTTAAACCTAGTCAAACCTCTTCTCTATCTCTCCTTGGATCTCCTGGATAAGTTCCTGTATCCTGCGCTGCTGCTTATTTTTCACAGCACCCCAGCACATACTACTAGACACAACACTTGCTAATAGCTCCGGCGGGATGATATTCTCCTGCAACAAGTCCTTGCATGTCACCAACATTTCAATGAAATTTATCAAGTCTTGCTCCTTGATATCCTCATTGCTGAAGATAGTTCCCGCCCTGTCTTGGATTGCTAACACCCGGAGGCTAGAACCAAGATGTGGTAGTGTGTAGAATGAACCTCCAAATGCTAGTGTGTGCTCTGGCGTGGCAACAGCGTGTGGGCAACCAGGGGGCATTATACTAGTAGATACATTAGTAACATAAATATATTCTAGTCATGGCACATACAGAAGATCTCCAGGCAGTAACTCAATCTTGATAAAGCCATTGTACGTCTCAGGAGTAGAACTTCCAAACGTAGCGAGAATCTCAGAAGCCTCCCGGTCCATATTTCGCGGCAGATACCAGAGCTTTCTTCCAGAAATGACCGTGATAAATGTCGCTCCTCCTGCTGTATCCCCATGCAGCGTAGAGATAGAACCTTGACTAGAGAGTAGGAGAAACTCATGGTCCGCAGCATCCATTAAGGTATGTAACTTCTGGGACTTGGATGCTGATCGTTTGGGTTCCGAAGCGGAATTATCCGCCGGGGCCACATGGAGACGCGACTTCTTGGATTCTGGGGCTGGCATTGTTCCGTGTCGTCGGCGAGCCAAGCGAAGTAGGTCAACTTCATTAATCTCCACTGGGACTCGAGATGCGAAGAAGTTGCGGATATCCAGAAAGTTCAGCGGGTCGCGAGTACCAGGAGGCGCTTGAAAATGGTCAAGAATGTTATCCAGTGTTTCGGTGTAATTAGAGTCGGTTCTCGCATAATTGTAGACCTCTAACGAATCTATACCCAGGAGACGTAACTTCTGAAGAAGTTCCGGTATAGATAATGGTAGACCATGAAGACGGGGTTCCTTAGCATATCCTCGCCAGAGTATTGGTTTTCCAAATGGGCGTTGTAGATGATCATTGAGCTCATCAATACAGGTGACTCTTGCAATCCCAGTTTGATCTCTTTTACACATACGGTCGATTGTATCGAGAAACTGCAGCTTTTCTTGGGGCAACGCATTGGAGTTGACCTCAAGCTGAAATGGTAGTCCAGGGCCCAGTGTATCTTGGTGGTTGATTTTCGTCTTCCTTCTCTCTCTAGACTCTAATATTCATTAGCAAGAACTAGTACCCCGAAGCTAACAACATACTCTGAAAGATAGCCGTTTGTTTCTCTTCCATTTGGAGCAGAATTGAATTTGCTTCTGCTTCTAGAGGAGCAGGGATAGGATTATCCTTTGTCCACGTTCTGAGTGCTAATAACTGCATATCGAAGTTCTTCATGGTCCGGAATTTGGTATAGCGAATAGAAGTGACTGCAAGAATCCAAATATAATCCCCCAGTGCTCGTATTCCCGTGAGCTGCCTGGCGACCCGTTGTTGTTCTTTGTTGCTTGGATCGTACGTAGTCTGAAAGGCGACATGGATTTTGTGGGAGTTGGTCCTAAAATGAAGCTTGAGGTCATTCCCAAAACGTTCTCGCTGATGGGATATTGAATCAAGAAGACCACTGTGCGACATGATATGCTTGGTGTTTGATGGAACCCGTATTGGAATGGAATAGCGAACTATGCGAGAGGAAGCGCAGAGTAAGCAAGCGAAGCGAAGAGTAAGCGAAAAGGAATCGAAAAGGAATCGAAGAGTAAGCGCAAAGGAAGCGAAAAGAAAGCGAAAATGAATCGAAAGGTTGTGAAGGTTGTGAAGGTTGTGAAACGACCCACTACTCGGATCTTCGCACCCCATCAACATCAGCAACCGAGTGGTTGGTGGGGCGATAAGGTCCGAGTACAGGATCAATACATACACTTTATCTTAAGTTGGCACACGCAGATTGGGAAAATCTTAGGTGCATTGTGCGCCCGCCAACGGTTATTGCCTGCGCTATTCCCATTTAGAATATAGGTATCTAGGGCGGTGTGGTACCGACATAAATATCAGCCCTGGATTGAACGGCCTCTGAATGAGCTGACAATCTTTGGGTTTGGGATCTTCCTTTTCTGTTAGCTTTCCAACGGTCTCACACATTGCTATTCATACAATGGGGGAGTCAATGCAACAAATTCGCGAGCGTATCATGGGTCAAATCTCAGATACCATAAAGAGTTTTCTTCAATCGGTTGATTCATCGCCAATTCGAATACTTGGTGATGTTCCCAACAGTATTCTCGATTCCAGAGATTATTTGGGGTCTATACGTCCATTTGTGTCAAAGGTCGAGGGTTCCCTTCGAAAAGATCGGCCAGACAACCAGACTTCCTTCCTCGCTGTGAACATATACCCCGGTCGCCACTCTTATTTCGTGCTAGATCTCAACAATGTCGACTATGTCTATGAGACTGCTCATAAAGACATGACTCCAATATCTGTCTACGTCCTTCGCCTATCAAAAAGAAATCCTACAATTTTCAGAAGGGAAGCCCTAGACAAAACACTCGCTGAGACACTTGCAGCGATGCACAATGGGCACGGCCAAGACACTCTACCTTTGATTGACGATCATAACCGGGTTGTTCAATACCGCAACCCGCGCAGCCTTCAGCCTTGATATTTCTCGTGTGCTTTCTTTTCTTGGCCCTAGAGATTCCTATTCTCTACGAATATTTTGTTGTTGGTATCACTACATGTTTTTGGCTTGTTATTGTATTTCCTATTGGGTTGACACAAATATAGTTATTGATTGCAGTCCACTTTTACCCACCTTTGGTCTCTGGATCTCAACACAGCAAGATAGAACACCTGTAGGAGGCACACTTAAAAGCAAGATTGCGAGGCACTCGAGCAATGGCCAGCAACGGTCTGGATGGTGGTACCTTCCGTAATTACTTTTCAAGACTAGGACACATCACAAAAGCTTTCTGCATTCCGAGAATAATCAATTACAATATGCTGCGATGCATCAACTATTAGTTAATGATCTCTCATTTGCTGCTATAGCGTGCTCAAAGTTTCGTTTTGAGCCAGTCTAACCCAGCACTTTCTACACGCATCACAGCATCCCCAATCTGGATCTGGCGCAACACCTTGCCTCAGACGGCGAATTAAGATACAGAAGGATGATCTGATCATTGAACGGTATGGAGCTATTCCCAAAACTCGCCTCGGGGTACGGGCATGATATGTCGAGTAATACCCCTACTTGTTCTTGTGACTGAATTCAGTGCTCATGACCTAGCTCTGTTGGCATCTGTCAATATCGAACGTTATTTTGCGAGTTGAATTCTTACTAAACGACTAGATCCCCATGGAACGTTAGCACCGATCAACATCACATGATTCTATGCCTCTGGCTGCAAGCACCTTTGTCGTTTGCATCTGATCAAACAAGTACGCGTCAG